TCAACAGGGCGAGACCTTGATCAACCCAACCACGTGTGCGTGTGCTTCGGTGCGGAGGATTTCGGTGAGTGACGTTGCTCAAGGCGGCGGCGCCTTGTCCATGTAGCAACGGCGCCGTCGATGCTGGTCAACCGCCGTCTGGCGGGTTGGTGGAACCCAGCCAGCCAGCACTGGGCATTCTGGCTGCGGAGGATGCGGTATTAGTCGGAGGCGCCACAAGAGCCAGGCTGATGGGAGGGCAGGAGGGCTGATAGGCCTAGTTGGACCTTCAGAGGCTTGTCCCTGTTCATTCCGCTGCAGAGCACCCAATGAGATGGGGCCTTCCCGATCAGATCGTCCGATATTCCAGAACACCGGGAATGAGCGCAAACAAGGTTGCAAGGCGCCGAATTAGAGAGCTAGCCCTGCTGGGAAGCACGGTCGGGCGCATCCCACCACCCGCTATCAGGGTGTGCCGTAGCCAGCGGCCGCCAGAGAAATGCCGACTTTCACCCCCGGGCGTCTGCTGGTAATAACAGGGGACCACCACTTCAACAATCACATCACATCACGGCGGCACACGTCGTAGTTCCCTCGGGGCAGGCTCAAAATTCCCATTCAGGCGTGGAGCTCGCACCGGCCAGGGTTGTGGCAGAATTTTGATCCGGAATTCCTTTGAAGTCCAAATGGCACTGCGCGTGGTCTGGTCATGAGTATACTGGAGTACGACTAAAAAGGCGTTGGGTGTGTGTGCGCGCGCGCTCGCACCGACGCCTGCATGGCCCTATCAAAGTCCCAATCGCAAAGAAATCAAGCCAAGGTCTGAGTCTAGTTGAAGCGTGCGAGTCATAATTCTGTCGTTCTAGTAAGTCTCATGCCTAACGCAGTGAAACCGACACGAAAGACTGCTGAGTGTCTCGGGTTTGTGCCTCGTTGATCGCGCTTCACGGCCGTGTGACCATGACATAAGATCGAAACAATCTATTGACTGATATTTTCCTTCCGCAGATACTGGCTCGAGCGCGGACTCGTGGGATGCAGATACGGTATGAGCGTGGCAGCATCTGCTTGAGACAGTTTTGATAAGCAGGGCCAGAGACCAACCACACGGTGGCCGGGCCGCGGAAGGGCTGAGCCGGTCCCTGGTCACTCGCTGATGGGAGCACTGAGAAGAGCATGTCTATTGCTGTGTGTCTCTGCTGTTCCTTTTTCTCCGTTCGCATGCCGACGCAGTGACCCCGGCGGCGCTAGCTTGGCGGATGCAATGCGCCGAGGACTCCCCTATTGACGACTCTGATAATGGCTGCTCGAGGGGCCGTCCGTAGTATGCAGCCATTCGTCGCGCAGGCCGGTTTTCTTTTGATTTTCTTTTCTGATGGCATCGCGCGTAGGCCATGATTAGAGTCTGCAAAGGAAGTTGCTCCCTGCATCTTGACCGCAGCGTGTACCTGTGTCTGTATCTAGGTGGTGTGGACCGGAATACTGTCGACTGCGTCCGAGCCGGGGGAGCAGGACAAGGTATTTCCAGGGGTCATTACGGGGCGAGCCTGTCGCAACCCGGCCTGCATGTACATGATGCGCGTGGAAGTTCGCGTATCAAGCGAATGCTGTTTAAAAGGTGACAGGTCAACCGGGTGGAGATCTGGAATGCGGCGGGGAAGTGAAGAAGGACCCGGTGGATGCACGCGTGTACCACAAGATGATGCCGCAGCCCAGAGCGCGTGGAGGAGGCCGGCCAGGGCCCCGGCGACAAATTTCAAGAACCACAGCAGTTGTTTGAGGAGTAAAAACGGGGTGTTGTATGCGCATCGGGCATTCCGGAACGGACTGGTGCTTGCCGCGCGATGCAGGATGTCTGTCTGACGGGTGACTGACGAGTAACTGTTGCAACGACGAGCCCTAGGTACCATGAAGATGGGAGAAAATTAGCATGGGGCGCATCACGATGCGTAAAGTGACACGATGGTGCGCCCCCCAGCATGTGCTCGCCGCATCGAGTAATCGAGTGTCATTAGGCGATGCGCTTTCGGAGTCGAGCCTCAAAACAGGCCGGCGAAATCAAGACCAGCAACTCGTGAGTTATTCCTCCGACGGGCTGAGACTTGTGTGTCGTCCAGTGCGTACTCTCTACCGTGCGCGGATGGTTATTGTGAGAGGGCGAGCACAGGGCTTGTCGTCACAGGAAGCGCGCCAGACCCTGGGCGTCAGGTCAGGCTCGGGGACTACTCATCCCTTGCTTAATTTGACCAGCATAATACGAATGCCCGACTCAGCCTCAAACATCAAGATAGATCTAGTAGGTGGCCAAAGATGTCGTCCATTTGTGGAAACGAGCATGGGCCGGAGGATATTCCCGGGGTTCTTCCAGAGGCCAGGAGCAAGCGGAGAGGCGGCAGGAGTAGGACAAGAGGCGCGCCAGCAGAGAGACATGCAGCTCTAGACGCTGTACGCCCGAGCCCGTTTGAGCGCCGCCTGGGTCCGGAGCGGCACAGCGGCTAGCTGGAGGACGTTGAGGTGTCGTGAGATGCATTGTGCGACCTGGGCCGCCAGGCGGGGGCAACAAGAAGATGCTGTGGCTTGCTGTCAGTCGAGTCGGGGGTATGTGGTGATACTCTGCGCTGCGATGTTGTGAAACGGGCTGGCTCGGGATCGATTGCTGCGGTCCTGCTTCCCCATCCATGCCTCGTGCTGGTGATGGAGGACGGTAGAGACACCGGGCCGGCGCGCAAGACAGCTTGACCAGAGTCGAGATGCGATGAGTCGCGATGCGACGGCCGATGCGATGGCATGGTACTCCGTATGCGCTGCTATGCGCTGCGCTGCGCTGCGATGTGGTGATAGACAATACCAACCAGCCTCTCCACGAAGCCCTGTCGAGGGCTAATGCAAGCAATCTTAGAGTCCCCAGTCGCAGATGCCGCAATCACATTCGCTGGGAGGGGCATGGCGTCAGGGCGTACGGAGTACTGCGCTCTCTTGCCTCTGTACACGGTAGAGTCTACTGTGGGCGTTGTACTTGCAGGCTGCCTCGGAGTTGCAGGGCGACGTTTGTGGTCTAGGCTGCCGTCGCTGCCATGGTACTGCGTCGCTGTAGTGGGATGTGGTGACCTCCAGACCAAGGATTTGATGAGTGGGTGGATGTGAGGGCGAGCGAGGGTTGATTGCGAGAGAGAGAGACGAGCACGAGAGGGCAGGGGTGGTGAGAGGCGCAGATCAGTGGGGTGGATAACAGCAGCATGGGGAGCTGGAGGGAAGGAGGGGAGGAGGGAAGGAGGGGGGAGGGGGGAGGTGTGGGCATAGCGGGGACCGGGTACATAGTACATGCCTACAGTACAGGCTGCAGGCTGCAGTACCTACCCACCTTAGGTAGGTAGGCATGTACTACATAGTACTACATAGTAGAGCCCCAGCGGGAGGGAAGAAAAACACCATGGGCAAGGAACCCCAGTTGCGCGTGGAGCCGCGGTCGAGACATCGCGACTGTGGCACCCGCACTTCGCAAGCATCTGCAGTCTGGTCGAGTGCCCTCCACTTTAAGGCGTTTTAGCGCCTCCGAGAGACCCTTGTCGCCGAACCCAAGCGGCTGCCACACCTTTTTTTCTCGACGTCCTTCGCTGGTGCTGGCCGTGTTTGTTTGACCGGGCTGAGGGCATTTGGAGCGCTTCTCTGATGAGTGCCCCTGTCTGCTGTCCTCCCGTCTTCCTTTTTGACAGCTATCACACTGCCTGTCTGACCGTTTGACAGCGCCTGCCAACGCGGTCCTTGACGCTTGCCACGATCAGGGCCACTGCATTCTACCTGGCCTGGCCTGGTCTGGTCTCGACTGGGCTGTACATACACGACACCACGTCCGTCTGTCTGTCTGTCTACGTACAGACAGACCACAGTGTTGTGTCGGTACTGTGGTGGGCAGCTGGCTCTGCCGCTTCCCCCATGACGACAGCAGCGTCCATCTCTGTCTCAGTCCCGACTCGGCTCAGCTCTTGTCTCGACCGGGTGGAGTCTCCTCGATAGAGCTGCGGTGCTTCCATTCCAACCCCCCAAGGCTCGTGGCACGCTTCTCTCCCGCTTCTCTCTCGAGTCTCCTTCCTCATCCGCAATCCCTCATTCGTCATCAGCGCCAGCACATGTCTGCCTGTCGTCAATGCTCCGTGGCCCCAGGGCCCATGGTCCATGTTGAGCAACCCCCATGCTCGGTCATGGAAGGCCGGCTAGGCAGGGAAATCTCGCAGCTACCCAAGCTACACTAGATCATGCATCCTCGCGAGGGTCGAGGGTGCTCTGTGTGCCCTGTGCCCCTTGCCCCTGTGGCTCTGAGCAGCTCTGAGCGCAACCTGTCTGCCGAAGCCTTACCCTCAGCTCCATCGGGGCCACATCCCGGTCAGCCTTCACACCACATCGCCGCCTAGTTGAAACTATCCCTGCCCAACGATCAAGCCCGCCAGCCCGCCAGCCAGCCTGCCAGCCTGCCAGCCTGCCTGAGCTGCCCAGCGGCAGAGGGAGCACCAGTGGTGGGGGTGGCTATCCTCATCGCAGAAATACGGTGGCCATGTGTGTGATGGGTGGGCGCGCGTTGGGTGTCAGTGTGTGTGCGTGCTGCTGCTGCTGCCGCTGCTACGTACTCCTCCTGCTGTGTTTGCTCGAGGTACCCTCCGCCATGCCACAGTACAATGGTACTTGGACCCTTCCCAAGCCTCCACACAGTACTCCTTCTCCACACCCCGTCTACACTACTACCACCCTTCATGTACACATGTATGCATGCGCCTGTTTGTTTGTACTTGTGTGTCTGGGTCTATGTACAGCAGCAGAGAGACCAGGGGGGGAGGGGTGTGTTGCAGGGCAGGGGCCCGGGTGGTGGACTTTTTTGCCCAAGTGTGTGCAAGGTACTCGACCACCCCGGCCCCAGTGCCCATCGTCCAGGGCCCTGTGGGGAGCCCATATATCATCATGTATGTCTGGTCGCTTGTATCTAAGTACAGTAGAATATGTATGTGACAGACTTCCCAATCTCTCCTGCACGACCCAGAGATCTCGGAGTGCCATGCCATTTACTATCGCCCCGGATACCCAGATCTAAACCTCCCGCAGTGCCGCACCCTGGCTGCACATCACACACCCATCCACCCTCTGTTCCACCCTGACTATATCATCAAATACCTTCCTTCTCCTCCTCAGCCCCTCCCAGACATCATCAAGCCTCCCGTGTGTGCTTCTTCTTCTGCCCGCAACAGGACAATACACCACAGTCCCTCCTGCCCATCAACCTGCCCACGCTGCCTGTCAGCAACTCTCCTGCCAGCTCGGTATTTTCGTCCACATCGATATTCACATCTTCGTATTCGTCCCCACGCCTTCTCACACCCAAACCTGCCGCCCTCCCACTCCTGTGCGGTCTGCCTGACCCTCACACTGCCCCCTTCGCGGACAGACACGATCGAGTCGACACGACATACGGCACTGAACATACTGTCTTGCCAGCCAGCGGCCGGCCCGAGCAGCTGAGACTGTTTCTTGCAACCCGCGGCAAAGGTTCCTGCTCCATCAAAGCAGGATCCAGCCTCTCAGTAGCAATGGCACCATACCAACCACACCCTGCCTCCCACAGCTGGGACCAGCGCTGGCCTCAACACCAGGCTGGCTCAGACTACGTGATGATGAACGACATGGTGGGCTACGACACGAGGTCACTCCCGTCCTCGGCACCTCTCCAGCGGCCCATCATGGCTCCGCAGTACGTCATGGGAAACTCGTACGGAGACAGCCCAGTGACACCAATGTCGGCTTCAAACTATCCAGGCCACTCCCAGTTCGGAGACTACAGCTCCTACAGCCAGCCTTCGCCTTCATTGACCTCTCCTTTCCAGCAGCAACCCGACCGATTCGCGCACCGACCCATGGCACCGCCAACACCACCGCTTGACTCGGATAGCCATTCCATCTACTCAAGGGACGGCCAGACAGCATACAGCTCTAGAGACACAAGCCGGAGGTCTTCTACAAAGCCGGTGATCGTGGTCAAGCCGGAGGATGCCAATGCCTCGAGGACGCCAAAGACCATCGAGCCCTTCAAAAAGGAGGATGGCTCACTTCAATGGGAATCCAAGGAGAAGTTCGATTGCCTCCTGCGAATGATCCCCAAGGCTCTGAAATTGGAAGATCCCAAGGATCAGCAGCAGGTCCCAGAGCTCAGCAACGTCAACAACCCCACGAGCCTGCCAATGAAACAGGTACGAGATCACCCCAACCCGGTCGATAGCTCCTGGCTGGGTGCTGACCGTGAAATCACTAGGACCCCGGGGCCAAAGCGCCAGTGAAGAAGTACAAGTGCGATTTCTCAGGCTGCAATCGGAGCTTCGCTCAGAAGGCTCCTTGGAAAACACACATGGACACCCACAGGGGAGTCAAGTCACACGTGAGTTCAGTATCCGATGCCAGACTCCCAAGAACATCACCGCTAATTGGGCATCGATAGCAATGTGACGTATGTGGTATTTGGGTTTCCCAGGCAGGGAACCTCCAGGTATGTCCTTGAGCTACCCACTCTGCTGTGGCAACAAAAGCGCAGCGAAAATTGCAGGACACTCTATCTGACAATACCTTATAGACGCACAAGCGCTGCCACACGGACGAGAAGCCTTTTGCATGCGGAGTATGCGGGAAATTGTTCAAGCAAAGAGGGAATGTCAAGCCTCATATCGAGAATGTCCACGACAAGAAGAACAAATCAGTCTGCAACTTCCCTCGCTGCGGCAAGCACTTCACGACTATTGGGAACTTGAAGGTCGGTGCCACACCCTGCAAGGATGGGGCACATTCCCCTGATTTTGTAATCTTATGTCCGTGTCACTAATCATTGGATCATCTCGAGCAGAATCACATTGGCAAGGTTCACAAAGCAGTCCTCGAAGAATTGGTCTACAAAATTGAACGCAACGAAGAGCTTGAAGACAGCTGGAAAAAGCTTTTTCAGGAATACTGCGTGATATTCAAGAACAGCAACAAGGGCATCAAGGGCCGAGGCCACAGTAATGCAAAGACACTGAAGCAGGAACAGATATCGGTCAGGTCCAGGATCAATCCGAGACGAGAGGCGACTCAGCAGATGACGCCCGTGAGCCCTGAGCCAATTCATGTTGGCGATGTGGCTCACAGCAGGTCGCAATATTACGACCATCATCAGCCAGCTCAACAACCGTTTCATGGCCTCCCATTGCCCGCACAACAACAGGCCCAGCCGCAGTTCCATGGTCTGCCGCTTCCTGCTCAGCAGCAGCAGCAGCAGCAACAGCAGCAGCAACACTACCCGACTCCTCAGTACACACCCATGTCGACGCACCAGACGCAGAGCCCACCCTACCATACCCTACCTCAGCCTATGGGGAACAACATGGGATGGCCCACACAATATCAATAGACGTACAAGCCACCAGCCACAACGAGCTGGAACAAACAGACATCGCATTTCACCGGGCGTTCCTGAGTGGGCAAAGAACAGATACATGGACACGACGGTTTACACGGATTTACGGACATGAATGAAGAAAGGGTGCAATGTGCACCCGGATGATTTGACATCAACAACACAACAACAACAACAACGGCGTCGGGGAACGGGGTGGTGTAGATAAAAACCAAAACGGCACAAATCGGACAAAAGGGAACGGACCGGAACGCACACGTGCGAACCAAGGCATTACATACACTTCGGTGCTGGGCGTTTTACAACACGACTTATCAGAGTTATACCAGGAACGAGGGAAGATCCAAAAGTGAGTTGGGCAAAGGAAAACCATCAGGAACGGCATTTCACGCACAAGCCCCGGCTACTAGGCCTGGCCGGCGTAACAAAGTGGGGTCATCTTTTCCTTGTGCTCTGGAGCGGCTGCTTAACCATGATCTATCTCTCTACGCAACTTCTGTTTCTATTCTGCATCTTTCTTTTCTGCTATTCTTCCAACACATCCAAACAGCATGTACAACAGTGCTCAGCCCTCACACTGGAGGGGGAGCCTGCATTCAAACCATCATGTATACACCCTAGCAAGGCATTGTAGCCTCTTCTCAGTCACCTCACTTGGTCTGTCTCTTTTCTGTTTCTACTTTATTCTTTTGATCTGGGTTTCACATGTCTGTTTTTCCATATTCTTCTAACGACCTCTGGCGACTCGATACCAACATCATTATGACATGATTGCCATCTATATACAGCACATACATGTGGAAAGGGAGCGAGCGGGGTTTACACAAAAATCCGGAGTGGGAAAGGGGAAGGAAGGGGAGGCGTTAACCAAAGGATATTGCGCCGGTGCGTTCCCTTGGATGGATGTTGGCGGGGACGGAAACCCCGAGAGACACGCATCGTTGCGCGTCCCAGCTACTCTGTGGCAATGAGTATAGCGGGAAGCCGCGTTGTCAATACTGTGTAATGTATCATGTCATCAGAATTGACGAAGGGACCTCGAGTCCCAGACTATTGAGTCAAATGGCTTCCAGAAAGTTGATCTATGTGCAATCTAATTGAAACAAACATGAGAGGATCGTACTAAAGCGCCTGATACTAAGCCCCAATTCCAAGAACGGCATGTCTGAGAGATTTGGAGACCAAGACCAGCTTCATTCCTGCGATAAAAGGCGTCCAAGTGAGCCCCTCCCGTTGAAACATTTCTGTAGGGCTTTCCTGCAAATATCTATTGCTTCACTGGGATCCGCCCTTGAAGCACATGTGTCATCACTGCTAGATGCCAATTTCTGACAAGACCCCCGGGGCCAGGAGCTGGCGAGGTTACATGACGGGCTAACAGACGTCCAGAGTAATCTCACACAATCCTTTTCAGGGTTCAAATGGTCTGACTTAAGACGCCCAGCACTCAATAGACACGCTGCCATGGGGACCACCAACCACAGCCATCAGGATGTATGTCTCGCTCCTGTACTCCCGCCTACTACCAACATGGGAGTCTGCCACTAGATAAGGAGAAAGTGAGGACAGTGGACAAGGACAGTGGACAAGAACACAGCCAGCCCGCCAGGCAGCCCGCCAGGAGCCAGCCCAGCGCAGCCCAAGGCGCAAGATTACGTCTGAGAGACAGCATTTTGCATGGCCCCCAGGCAGCCCAAATCTGCCAATCTCAGATACGCGAGGTGTGGGGGACAAGTCGGCTGCGTCCGTGCAAGGTGACAGGTCGAAGGGTGTTTGCGCGGGTGGGTGTGGCAGTCCGTTGCTAGGTACGATACAGGCGACCGACACACACCTGGGCACACCCACACCCACACCCACACCCACACCCACACCCACACGAGGAAGGATTTCCCCGTCCTGTGCCTGTTGCTTCCCCGGTTTTCTGACCACCCACACCTTGGGCACCCGTCCAAGCCCCTCCCTAGCTGCCCAGCCCAGCAACCTAACACACCCAACACACACCCAACACGCCTCCCCACTACCTACCAACCTCTGCCACTTTTCATGTGGCTTTGACGTGCAATTACCGTGCAAGCAAGGCACACCGTTGCAAAAAAGCCAACCGGTGTGCCCTGTCCACTTTTCCTTGCCCCTGCGCGACGATGCGATTTGCGGGAAAAGATTCGTTTCCTTGTAACACAAATTCGGAATGATTTAGTGGTCTACCTATAGGTATGTTCGTGTGTGTACGTGCGCGCGTCCCCCATGTTGAGAGGACTTCTGGAGGGGAGCGGCGCCAAGATGGATTTGTGACGGCAACATCTAAGGTGCTGTCGATGGATTTCCCTATCCGATACCTCGAAAAAGGTCCCGGCGGAACTGCGGCAAGAAAAGGACTTTGGACAACACACACACACACACACACACACACACGCACACGCACTCGCACAAGACCCGCGTGCGGTGACACAAGCTATCGGCCCCGTATAGAGAGACCGTATACCACATTAGATCACACGTACTCAAGTACTTACCTTGTGCGTCTGGTTACCTCTTGGACGGGTGGTACGTGCCCAAGTGCGTGTGTTTGTACCACGCAACACAGGACATTCATTCTGTAGGGCCAGCTGGCCAAGATCGGCAAAGACGCCTGTCTGCAAGATTGATGTGCGATGAGGCAGGTAGGTGATATGATTGATAGCCACCAGGGGGGGAGGGTGTGTGTTTCCAAACGAGGCGCAACGGCATTGGCCGCTCAGCTCGTACAAGGAGACATCTGGACATAGTACTTGCAGTACCTCGAGTCTTTGCAAAAACAAGTACATGATACCTGTTCGCAGGAAAGTCGAAAGCAGCCAATAGACCAAGCCTGTCTGTCTTCCCTACTGCCGCCGCTGCTGCTGCCATATATGCTGTTTCGCTTGCCCGCCTAATCTGAACTCTGTGCATCAGGTAATGTACATCACTGACATGGGGGGAGGGGGCGGGGGCGGGTATCGAGGATAGAAATGAGCAAGAAACAAACAATAATTCTGCAAGCCTGTCATGTCGACATTGTAAGAGGAAGAGAAAGCAAAAAAAGGGGGGTGGCATGGGCTCTTCGAGAAGCCTGTCTCTCTCCCTCACCGCCCGTCAGGAACACATAGGCCAATGAATGGTGGCGGCGGAAGGGGAGGACAAAACGATTGTCCAAAACTGCAAGATCTGAAAAGCAAACTGCAGCAACAAGTTACCGTCATGCAATGCGGGCGCATCGCTGGTGAAAACGACAGCGCACACACACAGTTCGTGGCTGCGGCGGCCTGTCGTGAGGCCTACAGGGGCAGATACAAACCATGCGAGTCTCACCGCCGCGCTTGACAGAAGGCATTGTAGACAGTGTATTTACGTTTGTAACGTACGGATGTACTGGATGTATCTGCAAGATCAGTAGTCCCCGGGCCGGTTGGTACACATCGATTTTCAGGAACTTCAAACCGATCCCGCGGCAGTAATAGTGACAAGTCCAGGGCAGACAGGCAGTCCCCTGTCCAGGGGAGAGAATACGACAAAAGTTCAAAAATAGAACGCCAACCTGAAAGTCAGACATACATATCTACACACATACATACATACCATACATGAGGAGACCACCGGACTATCCCACAATATACATAGTCTATGTCCAACCTAACTAGGCCCAGACACACCCACAAGCCGGGGAATTAGTCAACCGCCACCGGGATAAAGACCTCGTCTATCTCGGAAAGGCGGATCAGTGTGGACACGAACAGCATGGCCGGGCCAGGCCGCGAGATTGAAGGAGGTCCCCCGGCAGCTGCAAAGCCCACGGACAATATGCTGCCCTGCCTGTATTGTATGTACTTGGGCAGGCCTTGGGCCGCATCAGCACCAAGCATGGCCCCACTCAAATTCCCCCTTGGGCCCTGGGCCCCAGCACTTACATATACATACATCAAATGACATATACACACACCCAAGCCCCACATATACACCACACAAAAACCCCGTGACCGCACAACGTCACGATACCTCCCCAGGCGCCCCGGTGACGGAGGGGTGGGCTGGGCTGGAACTTGGAACTGAAGCTGGCTGGGTCGATCCGGGGAATTTCACTTGATTCAGAGTCGACCGGTAACCTCCGCCCACGGCCCCCCTCCCCCGGTGGCCTGACCTGCATGCATGCAATGCAAAAAATCCAGACTAACACGCCCATCCGGGATCCCGGCCCCAACACAAGCCACGAGAAGAAGGGGAAAAAGGAAAAAAATCCCACACCCCCAACCCGCACGCCCCAGTTGCCGTCTCGTCCCCCGGGCGGGAGAGAGAGAGAGAGGTGTGTGTAATGATGATAGACCAATATGCTCTCGAGCCTCCTGCCCTGTCTCTCGGGGACCTGGCCTGGGTGCGGGGGACCTTCTGAGACGCGGGCTGGGGTGTGGTGGGTGGCCCACCCCCTTCGCGCGCCCAGATACGAAGAGATGACGGGCGAAACGCCCAACCCCCTCCCTCTTGCCCATCGTCAATCAGCCTTAGCCGCATCGGGGCCCTCCCCACCGGCCCGCACCCGTAGAGCCTAGGAGCTCCGTCGCCTTGCGTCAGATAACGGGGGAGGCAGATACCGCACGGCGGTCTCCAGCCCTCTATCTCGACGGCCGAGACAAAAATGGGGGCGGGAAGCTGAGGATACCCGTTCTCTCTGAGCAGCAGGCATCATCGCTGGGGCGGACTGAGCCATCCATTCGACGCCACGGCTTGTTGTTTCCGGTAGAAAACGGTTTGGTTGGGTTGCAGGGCCCAGAAAGTGAGAAGGAAGAAAGGGGGGGCGGTCGGGAAGCTTGTCTGCCCAAGCGAGCGTCGTTCCCAAGCGAGCGTCCCCATGTGCCCTGGCTGCCGTTTGACGAGATAGGCCAGCGAGAAGGAATGTAAATCACGATCCCCCGCGCAAAGCGTCGTACTTCCGGATCTGCCCCTCGGCCAAGCCAGGCCGGGATAGCCGTTCCCTCGCATCGGGACTCTCATTGTCTCCCACCTACGTACGCACCCACACGCGCCCACGCAGTACGCACACACACATTCTCTGTCTCTCTCGGTCTCCCTCCGTCTCTCCCACACACTCTCTGCGGAGGCTTGCGCCCGGGCTTGCTTCCACAGCACTTCTAGCCCCCGTGCAGGGTCGACACGAACAGGATGTTGTCACCGCTCTGGACCTCGTACGACTCCTCGCCCTCTAGCTCCCAGTCGGCGTCGTTGATCAGAACCAGGATTCCCGGGCGGCTGGAGGCGGGGAAGCCAAAACGGCTTGAGCGTCAGTTCCTCTCTCCCCCAGTGTGAGTGCATTGGAGGGTGTGGATGCATCATAAAAACGCCTTACAAGTGTAGAGTGGCGAAAACAAGGAGGGAAAATGAACGAGACACACAAACAAGCTGTCAGGGCAGCCAGCCAGCGAAAATCATGGCCGCTGAGAGACAGGGGACTGGAAAAGGGGTTCGCGCAGGAGTACGTACATGTGGTTATCTAGCACGAAGAGTTCTTTCCTGCTGTCCTTCATGACGTGCTGGCAGAGGTAGTCGATGAGATAGGCGATGGTGACAGGCTTGCTGTCCTTGTCATGGGCGGGGATGGCGAGCTTGTGTTGGCGTTGGTCCGAGAAGAGCATCTCGAGGCCGCCCCTGAGCCAGGTCAGTACAGGAACTATTCCCTCCTTCGCCCCTTTGCCCCTGAATTGGGTCTCTCTGCACGGCTTGGTGTGTCTGTTGTTCCTGTGTTTGCCACCCGGCCCCTGTTCATCACTGAGACGGTGACACCCCATGATCGAGGTGATCAGAAGATGCCGTACGATAGAATCGGGCAGTGGATTCATTCCCAATGAGACACCAGGGAACTGACCACCTTGGGTCGTCCCGATCATCTGTCTCCCCAGACACACATCTGATGGTCTGTGACCAAGGCCTCAATTTTCCCTTTTGTCGGTGTGTGTCATCCTTGGGGATTCGTGCCGTCGCCATGGAGAACAGCATATGATTGTGACATGTTCTTTTTGAAGTGCTCATGATTGGTGGCTCGTGCAATGGGTGCGTGCCCCAGGACGGCGAACCCGTTGGCGGATTGGCAATGAGCTAGGAATGACAGCGAAAGAGCAGCGGCAACTCACGAGAACTCAACGGTGATGGACACCATTGGGGTTTCCTTCTCAGCAGTCGCCTCGGCCATCGTGGACAGAGGCCAAGCAGTCGCCTTTGAATACGCAGTAGGTAGTCGTCTTGCGCAGGATGGTCGGTGCACAGTCTTTGTGCGGCTCTGCGGGCGTCAAGTGGTAGCGAAAGTTTATTTTTTGAGTCGGGCCAGGGCTCTGATGCACACTGTACATGGCTAGGTACACCACGGGCGATGAAGCTGGGGTGTTGTGCTGACAGGGAGCGGGCACAGTGCGGGTTGGAGGCACAGTGCCGTCAAAATTTGGAGTCCCGAACCATCGCCAACAGCCTCACTCACAAGGTCAAGCTGCAATGAGGATGGGGCATAGACAAAACACAATTGTCATACGAGAAATACTCACTGGCTGTATCTGAGATACCTCATTACAATCCATCCATGGTGCATCGCCACAAAAATAGCGACCGGAAATCCCTCTGCCTAGGCCCGGAACGACACTGCAGCATCGTCTCGAAAAAGAGTGCCCCACTGCCTGCGATTCCTGCCTTACACACACATCTTATCATGTTCCCGAGACCATGACTTATTACTCGATAGGCGCCAACCGCCAGACAGCAGCTTCAGACTGGGCTGACTGCTACGGCGGCGTCGTGGCATTCGGCGCAGACGTCAACCTCGCCCTATGGCGTCCCAAGGACCAAAGGGTCTGGCACCCCAGCACCCCCGGCCACAAGGAGCTGGTCAAGGCCGTCAAGTTCCTGCCCGCACGTGCAGACGACCAGTCCTCTTACATAGTCAGCGGTGGCGACGACAAGTGCGTCAAGCTGTGGAGGCTGGACCATGCCAGCGGGGAGGTTGACTGCGTCCAGACTGTTGAGGACCACACGGCCGCCGTGAACTGCATCGCGAGCTTGAAGCCGGGCTGGACTGGAGGAGCTGATACAGGGTCTCTGTTCGTCACTGGTGCGGCCGATGCCACAGTGAAGGTCTGGGCGTTCGACGGTATAGAGATCAGGGTCCTACAGACTATCAAACTGTCGCCCAGATACCTCCCCTTGGCCCTCGCCGTGAGCCCGCTGGGGAGCAGCGGCAGTACATACATGATCGCCTCCGCCGGGACCAAAGACACCATCCAGATCTTCACCGGCACATTCAGCCAGGACTGCTCCGACTTCCGTCTACAGGCGACCCTGTCCGGCCACGAGGGCTGGATACGCTCCCTCGATCTCACCCCCGAGGCCCCAGACAGCCCAGACGGCGACCTGCTCCTCGCCTCAGCCAGCCAGGACAAATATGTGCGTCTCTGGCGCGTCCACCAGGGCAGCGAGCTCCCGGCGCAGGCGGCCACCGCCTCAGACCCCACCGTCGGCGCATACCTCCCGGGGCGGTCGCCCAGCAACAAGGCCTACCGCTTCCAGGCCCAGGACGATTCTGACTACTCGGTCACGTTTGAGGCGCTGATGTTCAACCACGACGACTGGATCTACAGCGCGCGGTGGAACCGCAGCGACCAGGGTGTCCTGCGACTCCTATCCGCCTCGGCAGACAACTCCCTCGTGATCTGGGAGTGCGACGCCGAGTCGGGCATCTGGGTGCCGGACGTGCGGCTGGGCGAGATATCGCGCGAGAAGGGCGCCACCACGGCCACGGGGAGCATCGGCGGCTTCTGGACGGGCCTGTGGTCGCCGGACGGGCGCTCCATCCTCACCCTCGGGCGGACGGGCTCCTGGCGCCGCTGGGACTGGGACCCCCAGGGCGCCACCTGGGAACAAGGCGTCGCGGTGTCGGGCCACACCCGGGCCGTCACGGGGCTGGCGTGGTCCCCCTCGGGCGACTACCTGCTCTCCACGAGCTCAGACCAGACGACGCGCCTGCACGCGCGGTGGGCCGAGGACGGCCGCTGGTACGAGATGGCGCGCCCACAGATCCACGGCTACGACCTGAACTGCGTCGACGCGCTGGGCGAGTCGCTCTTCGTGTCTGGCGCCGACGAGAAGCTCATGCGCGTCTTCAAGAAGCCCAGGGCCGTGGCGAAGATGCTGCGCGCGGTGGCGGGCATCGGTGCCCAGGGCGAGGGGGCCGAGGAGGCAGACGACTCCACGCCCGAGGCGGCCAACATGCCAGTGCTGGGCCTGTCCAACAAGGCGACGGTCGAGGCCGACGACGACGACGCGGCCGCCGCCGCGGCAGCAGCCGTGAACCCGGAGCAAGACCGCAGCGCCGTCGACCCGGCGAGCATCGTGCGCCGGTCCGCGCTGGACGGGGGGCACCCGCCGCTGGAGGAGTCGCTGTCGCGGCACACGCTGTGGCCCGAGGTCGAGAAGCTGTACGGGCACGGCTACGAGATCAGCTGCCTGGCCGCGAGCCACGACGGGCGGCTCGTGGCGAGCGCCTGCCGCGCGTCGTCCCTCAACCACGCCGTCATCCGCATCTTCGAGACGGAGCGCTGGACGGAGCTGCGGCCGCCGCTCGCCTGCCACACCTCGACCGTCTTCCGGCTGCGGTTCAGCGCCGATGACAAGTTCCTGCTGAGCGTGGGCAAGGACAGGCGCTGGGCTGTCTTCAAAAGGAGGGATGGCGAGGAGCAGGCCGCGAAAGAGGGCGGGGCCGGCGGGGGCATGTCCTACGAGGAGCTCCAGAACGATGAGAAAGGGCACAAGAGAATGGTCCTTGACGCAGCTTGGGGTCCATTGATGCCGAACGTCCCAGGTCGGAGATTCTTTGCCACTGCTAGTAGGGACAAATCCTTCATCGTGTGGGCTACGGCAAAGAGCGGCAGTGGCTCTGCAGATGGTGAGGAAGGGTCGGACAGATTCCAAAAGTTGCAGAGCGTATCCCTGGAGGATCCCATCACAGCAATCGACTTCCTGCCCCGGCCGTACCAAGATAAATATGCCGTGCTAGCTGTCGGCACGGAGAAAGGACATGTCCGCACATATGTCTGGGACGTCCTTGAAGGCTCCGGGGTGCCATTTTCACCGCGATCCTCAGGCGAGCAATTGACTCTGTAAGTACCTTGCGCCCGGTCTGCGACACTTTTTCACACTGAGCCCCCCTTTACACACTAGTCTCTTGATTCCTTCTCCCCTGTCCTTCCGATTCTTTCAGTGGACGTTTACTGACACGCAAACCTGCAGAATTGAGCTCGCCAAGCCTATCCGGCAGCTCGCCTGGCGGCCAGGTCAGGAGGAGACGGCTGAGCTTGCCGTAGCCGGCGAGGACGGCTCGGTCAGGATATGTAGCATTGATATCAAAGTGCCGCAAGGGGCGTGAAAGCCCAGCAAGCAGGCTCTGTGTTTACATGTGTGGAATGGTTGTTCTGAGCCCTGGGCACGTCGGTAGCGCGTAGGGCGATGAAGGCCTGGCAAAGTCGGATAGAGAAATACCAGCACGGTGTTGAGGGTTAGCCGCACCAGTTGAGGACAGCAAGCACTTGTGGAAACAAGGCTATCTATCGCTTACAATACCCAGTGGGTTAGTGACCACAGTTGTCAGTGAGAACTTTGACGGCGAAGCTTATCCAAGGTTGCCGAGACACTCTGGAAAGCCCTGCAAGACCTGAGAACAAGAGCATTGTAGCTTTCCTTTCATAATGGTCCTGAGACCACAGTCTAAACATTAAGTAACGTATCTATATCATGACATGCTATGCTATGCAGAATTGCGATCTGCTCTAGCTGCAAATATTGTATTCGTGAGACATCAAGAAGAGGACTCACGGCTTGAACCCATCTCTAAGAGTATGTATACAAGTCCAAGACAGAGGATTCGACATGGGCAGGCCATGTTCTCTCGCACCAGCCCCGACCGTTCCCCTATCAGGTAATCACCATGAAGCCTAGGTGGTCCGTCGAGCCCCCTGGGGCAGACACCCCAGGCCATCCGCCGACCTAGTGCAGGACCCGGGGAAGGTGCCCCTTTTTCACGCAACTACCCAAACACAAGAAGCAAAGCCACCCTACAGCTCGGCCCTGGCTGCCCCGGCGCCCTCGGCAAACGCCTGTGCCATCTCGGTGGCGATGGCCTGGGCGACGGGCGTCGTGGTGGCAGCAGCCGCGGCACCGGCGGCCTTCTCGGCGAGGGAGCGGGCGGTCTCGCGGGCGGCCTCGACGGCCGAGTCGCCGTGGATGTAGAACCAGGCGCGGCCGGCGAGGAACATGATGTGGTGGGGCAGGTAGAGGATCGTGGCGATGGCGGTCAGGGAGAAGAGGAGGAAGACGAAGGACCCTGGTTCCCGGAGTGTGTGTGGTTAGCGTGGGGTGGACACATGGTAAATGGACGGGTTTGATGGACGGACGGCGAGTAGGAGGCCCGAGTAGGAAACAACACATCATCAGGTGATGGAGATGAAGGGGAAGGTGGACGTACAGAAGATGAACTTTTCCAGCGGCGTGAAGATGTAGACGCTAAACGTCACCTCCACTTGGTAGAGCTTCAACGAGAGCCACTTCGTGAGGGACTGGAAGGGCGAGGATGAGGAGGAAGATTGTGATGAGGCCATCGTCGTCGAGTTGGTGGCCTTGCGACTACCGATCTGCACAGTGCTTGCTGCGGATGTCGTTGGTCGAGAGGCAGTGGTGGTAGAGGATGAAGCAGGTTTGGGCTGTCGGGTCATGCGATTTGCGATGCGGCGGCGGTAGATAGAGGACAGTAAGTCGAGGGTGCAGTCGTCGAGTGAAGAGTCCTAGTAATTACACATCGTCGAGTTGTGGTTTGCAGCGGTCGAATGTCAAGATTGGAAAGCGGATCGACGATCGAAATGGTTGGCTGTTGGGATTCTAGTTATCGAATCGACCAGGGTAAAATCGCAGGACGACCGGTGACGAAGGAGATAGTCTAGAAGGAAAGTCTATTCAGTGCAGGTCGATGGATGGTGCATGGAAGTGAGAATAATCGCAAGCCTCGCATTGAGAGCAAAATGGCCCATCTGACCCTGGACCCGGCTCGATCCCAAATTCCAAGCACCCGACCCAGAGAGGGCTGCAATCAAAAGGGACGCGAGCCGGGGTGTCCGCGGCTGCTGCAAGCGCGACCCCTGTCCGTTTCCTCGCACCATCTGTCCGTACCACAATTACGTCTTCCGCCAGTTCTCAGAGTCCCCACCGTGCCGGGCCCGGCCCAGTCGCCGCGGCACACCCAGCACCACCCACACTCGCTGCCTCTGGCGGGCCCCAGTCACCGACCGCGAACACCAGCATAGCTGCATGGCACTACGATGCCTCCCAGGAGACAGAGACAGGACAGCCCAGCCAAGCAATGGGGTGGATGAAGGCTCTCGGCCCCGCCGGCTTCGCAGTACGCCGCAGCAGCCGCAGCAGCAGTAGCAGCCATGGCAGCCTCTTCTGCCCTCCATACATGATCGCTGCAGCTGCCGCCCCCTTCTCGACAACATGCCCGGCCAGCAAGGCCGCAACCCGGTACCCACCCCGGCCCAAACCGCCGCCCGAGCACGAGTTCACCGAGGTCTACCTCAAGGGCACCGGGCCAGGCGGCCAGAAGATTGTATGTCCTACCATGTATACCCATTGCAGTTCGCTACTCGGCTACCAACTCTAATACATCTCTTTGTTACAAAAAAAAACAGAACAAGACCAACTCGGCCGTCCAGCTCAAGCATATCCCCACCGGCATAGTCGTCAAGTGCCAGGACACGCGCTCCCGCGAGCAGAACCGCAAGCTGGCCCGCGAGCACCTGGCCGAGAAGATCGACGACCTGCTCAACGGTGACCAGAGCCGCTCGGCCATCGTGGCCAGGCTCAAGGCCAAGAAGAAGTCCAGCGCCGCCAAGAAGAGCAGGAGGAAGCATCGCGACGCTGCCGGAGGGGGAGAGCAAGCCGATGAAGGCCAGGTCGACGACGACGAGGCTCCGGATGGAGAAGAGGCGGGACTTGAGCCAATACCTGACCACCGCCCGAAAAAGGTCAAGATCCAGGAAATCAGGCTCTGATCGTGGTGGTGCCTATCTGTTTTGTGACCCATGATACTTAGTAGCATAGGAGTGGAGTACCAGAAATGTCAAATATAGAGAGAGGGCTTGTCTGTTCCCCACACTGCTTGCTTGTCACTTGTGCAAATGGTTTCCTCACAGGTGGGTAATCTTCACTGTATTGCTCTAAAAACACCTCGACCTCTGCTCATGGCACACCACGAAGGGACTATTTCAATCCATATGGGGCAGGAAAACAATAAAGGGGGTTTGATCAGCCTCGATTGTACGTTGTTGTTCGCCCCTCTATGCACAACCAATTAAGAAACCAAAGGCCATCGTTTTCCGCCACCGGGACAGCCGGGGCGCCACCCAACTGTCAACCATGACCAAAACTTTTCGTAAGCATGAGACGCTAGTAGCGCGCGAGCGCATCGTGGGCTCTGCATCTTGGCCGACCCGGTCGAGATCCTCACACGCTCGGCATCGGCTGGTCTTCGTTGTCTCGAGTTGCTGCCGCAGGTTGTTAGCCGCGTTGCGTGTGGCGAGGCGGACTGTCTGTGGCCAGTATAGCTTACCTTAGAAGCACTTGCGGTGAACGATCGAGGGACCGCTCTCGTCGTACTCCTGCTTGGAGATCCACATCTGCTGGAAGGTGGACAGGGAGGCCAGAATGGAACCACCGATCCAGACGGAGTACTTTCGCTCGGGGGGAGCGATGATCTTGACCTTCATGGAGGATGGCGCAAGAGCAGTGATCTCCTTCTGCATACGGTCGGACAGACCGGGGTACATGGTGGTACCACCAGACTAGGGGTGCGTGTTAGCACGTGCTTACGGGGCCCACAATTATTATCCAAAGGGGGGTCTCAAAACATACCATGACGATGTTGCCGTACAGGTCCTTACGGACATCGACATCACACTTCATGATGGAGTTGAAAGTGGTGACGTGGATGCCACCGCTCTCAAGACCCAGCACAGAAGGCTGGAACAGGGCCTCGGGGGCACGGAAACGCTCGTTTCCGATGGTGATGACCTGACCGTCGGGAAGCTCGTAGGACTTCTCGAGGCTGGAGGACTGGGCAGCGGTCTGGATCTCCTGCTCGAAGTCGAGGGCGACGTAGCAGAGCTTCTCCTTGATGTCACGGACGATTTCTCGCTCGGCGGTGGTGGAGAAGGAGTAGCCACGCTCGGCCAGGATCTTCATCAGGTAGTCGGTCAAGTCACGACCAGCCATGTCGACACGGGCAATGGCGTGGGGCAGGGCGAAACCCTCGTAGATGGGGACGACGTGGGTGACACCATCACCGGAGTCGAGCACGATACCGGTGGTACGACCGGAGGCGTACAGGGACAGGACGGCCTGGATGGAGACGTAGAAGGCGGGGGCGTTGAAGGTCTCGAAGACGATCTGGGTCATCTTCTCACGGTTGGACTTGGGGTTGATGGGGGCCTCAGTCAGCAGGACCGGGTGCTCCTCAGGAGCGACACGGAGCTCGTTGTAGAAGGTGTGGTGCCAGATCTTCTCCATGTCGTCCCAGTTGGTGACGACACCGTGCTCAATGGGGTATCGCAGGGTCAGGATACCACGCTTGGACTGAGCCTCATCACCGACATAGGAGTCCTTCTGGCCCATGCCAATCATGATACTGTGGGATTTCACATTAGAACCGATCGGGGTGGTTTTCAAGCTATTTTTCGAGGAGGATATTTACCCATGGTGGCGAGGACGACCGACAATGGAAGCTGGCGAGTTTGTTAGTTCATCGTTGGGTCTCGCCGGCGTGGGCAGCTGGGTAGCCGAGCATCGGGAGCGGCGCGCAGCCTGACAAGGGCGAGCGGGGTTGACTTACGGAAAACAGCTCGAGGAGCATCGTCACCGGCGAAACCGGCCTTGCACATACCCGAACTGCACTCAGGTTAGTCTGTCATGTTCTCGAAACTCGCCAGAGATCGATGCTGTAGATGCAATTGCGCTGGGACGATGGCGTCCACAGCTCGCACGCCCTCTTGGGAGATGTCGGTGAGAGGGCCATCAGCCGAGAGGGGGCGATTTTGGGGGTGGTTTGGCAGCCGGTCTTACCCATTGTCGATGACGAGAGCTGCAACTTCTTCTGCAGGTTGGGAAATAAATGTCAGCGATGATCAAGCAGATGAGAGTGGATTGCGGATTGCATCGTGATGGCCTCGACCAGCCACGGCCACTGCTGGTTGTGGTTGTGGCAGCAGCAGGGGCGGCGACAGTCGGGCGCTGGGTTGCGCAGTGCGCGGGCACGAGCAGGAGCAGGAGACAAAGACGTGGCCAACTTACCCTCCATGGTGACAGATTACGTAGTAAAAAGAGTGGTAGTGGGAATTAGGGACTCGAGATAAAGACGAGGAAGAAAGAAGGCAAATAAGAACCGGACGATGTGATGGTCGAACGGAGCACGAGTTGGTGGTGTCGAGGAGTGTTTATGTCGCTGACGACAGGAAGAGTTTGGGTGGCAGACGGTGGTGGTTGGGTTGATAAAGGGGGAGGTCCAGGTGCGAGTGAGAGCTAGGTGGCACTTTACGTTGAGATTTGAAGTGGGAAAGAAGCCATCGCACAGGCCGGGCCAGATTAAGTGGGGGTGGCCAGGAGGAAAGGTTGATGCGACCCTGTCAGTGGCTGCACTGCAATCAGCCAACCACTGGAACGGGGGACAAGTGGGCTCCGCCCTGGAGGAGTCTTGGGAGAGGAGGGGGGCAGGGGTACGTACCTTGAGTGAGTAGGGGTAGCAACCAACTCACCTCTGAAGCCACCTGCCGTGAGATCATTCTGTCTGGGGGATTATTACGCGCGGGCTGGACGGGCTGATGGGACCGGAAATGGGACCATTGTGCTCTTCACAGTCTGCTGAACCCTTTCGTGACTCGATCTGCAGGCCCCGTCAGGCGGGAGAGGGCGATGAGTTGTGTGCGCCGACGGAGCACGGCGTGCATCTCCTGCATGGACGCGGAGCTGTCACTACTCGCTGGCAAGGCTCTCGACGATTGTCGGTGTGGCTGGCTGTCAATCACTCATCTCTCTGCCAATCCGCCAGAACTAACACATGCCATGCCATACACACATACATGTACATGCTGTACATACTGCCTGCCTGGTCTGCGCGTATATACGTATGCGTACACGAACCAACAGCAGCCAGCCGTGTCCCACCCGGGACAAAGAGGCTGGTATGCACAAATCTATTTATTACAGCTGTGCTGCGGAACTTTGCTTGATATGTCTAGCTTCCACTGCTCTGCTCTGCTCTGCCCTGCCCTGCCCTGTCTCGCCCTGCCACAACAGTACGTCCGATGGCGATCTATCTGTGAGGCCTCATCGTTGATAATGGCCCGCCGCTTGTTTCGAGGGCATGGTGAAACAAGTCGCATGGTTCCGACCCTAATCGGTGTGAAACGGTAGAGGATACTGACGGACAAACATCATAGGATGAACACCTGCAGGCGAGAGAGAGAGAGAGAGACAGATCCCACCTTGCTGCTGCTATTGCTACTTCGACCCTGTCGTGCATGCACAAAATCCCGCCGGCCCAGTGCGGTACTTGGCTCACAGACGAGCTGTTCAGGACATTTGCAGGCATCTCGGCTCTGCCCTCATGGTGGGCGATGACGTACTGTCCTAGCTAATAAGCTTAAGGCTTATCTGTGCGTGGTGCACCTAGGATCAAGGCATGACGGTCCGTTTCGGCATGAACTCGTCGTCTGATGCCGAGAGCTCAGGCAGAGACGGATGGATGCCAAGCCTGAGTCGTCGTCAAGTGAGGCCGGGCTGAGTTGGGAGGATGAGGTTGATTGCGCAAGCAGAGGCGAGGCAGGCGAGGCGCCTCACTCCTGTTGTTGGCCGCCGCCGTAAGCGCCCTTTGGACATGGAGCACTCGGCATGTAGTTAAAAGGGCTAGAGTGCATGGTTCAAGGCTGTGTTCACAAGCTTACACAGTAGCAGGAGCAGGTCGAGTGGGCGGGGATGGCCAGGCTTAGGTCCGAAGCTCGACGGTATGTACGGCTGCCCGGTACTGTGGTACTCAGACTCGGACATGTCGATGCAGAGCCCATCGCCATATTCACGTGTCCCATACCGACGATGCCTCAACGGTGGTGCGACGCATGTGTCCCGGTCGCCAAAAAGGGGGCTGCTGCTGTTGGTTACTTGCTGCTTTGAGCAGGCCGATGGCGGGGCATCAATTTGGCGGGGTTCCCGAAGCTCCAGATTCGCTTCTAGAAAGAGGACCCCTGACTGGAACCGACAACGGGTGGTGATCAACGGTGGGCAGGGCCTGTGCAGGCCCGCGGGCCCGGCAGGATGAGCTGGCGGCAGCTGGACACAGGCGAGAACAGGCGAGGCGGACACCGTGAGATAGCCGCTAGCATTGTAGATGGTTGTAGATACCTGGGTACTGTGGTACAGTGCCAGTTCAGTCAGCCCGTTCTGGTTCATGAGCCTCCAATTCCGCGGCTGGGCTTGCGTCCCGCAGATCGCCATCACTGCGAGACCCGCGGTAATTATAGGCCAGTGCGTCTCCCCGTGGGAAAAGGAACCATTATAGCTTCCAGGCTTGTGCAATTGCATTCCCAGCGGCCAGCGTGGCTGGCAGGTCCTGGCTGGCAGGCTGGCAGGCAGGCTGGCAGGCTGGTCCGTGGCTTCCAAGGTTGCCGGTCCTTATTAGTTGACAGGAACGATGGGGACCCGCGCTAGTCCGTAACGGTGCAAGAATTTTCGAGAAGCTTCCCGAAAAAAGCAACAGTCGAAACATTTTGGGATAGCTCTACAATCCCGAGGTCACCACGAGCAAACTTTCACAGAAAACAAAATCGTGCCGATCCCCATAGCAGACCTTCCAATTTCCATTCCAATCTCTCGCAATAATTCAATCCATTCCTCGCCGGAACAAACACCCGCCGAAGAACACAATCTCGGTTCATCACAGGCCAGATCCAAAACAGCTCCGATCCGAACGAGACCAAGCCAGAACAAGCCGAGCCCAATTTACCACCCCTCACCATGGACAAGAATCTCAATGAGCTCCTCAGATGGAGCATCGAAGCACAGACCGCCGGGAACGCCAACTCGAATGGGACCCCTTCCACAACCGCAGTCAAGGCCATAGATGCGCCCGCCACCGCCGGGGAGAACACCACGGCGGCAGCAGCAGCGACGACAGCCAGCCAGGCCGCCCCCTCCACAGCATCACCAAATGGCCTGAACCCAGAGATTCTCGCCTCCCTGCTGGGTGGGCCCTCAGACGCAGACCTGATGAAGCAGTCCATGTCCGTCATCACCAACACCAAGGACCCGGAGGTGACGCTCGAGCACCGCCTGACAGCCTTTGACAACCTGGAGCAGCTGATCGAGTCGCTCGACAATGCCAACAACCTGGGGCCTCTGGGCTTGTGGGCGCCCCTGCTGTCGACCCTGTCCGACGCCGAGCCCGACGTCCGCCTGTACGCCGCCTGGGTCGCCGGCACCGCCGTGCAGAACAACGAGACGAGCCAGGAGCGCCTGCTGGCCATGGGCGGCCTCCCGCGCCTCGTGAAGCTGGCCGTGGCGCCCGAGGAGAGGGCTGACGTCCGCCGCAAGGCCGTCTACGCCCTCAGCTCTGCCACCCGGAACTACCAGCCCGCCATGGACGTCGTCGCTGCCGAGCTGGAGAAGGGCGGCCAAAGGCCCGCGGGCTCGGAAAAGGTCGACGCCACGAATATGGACGCTGTCGATGCGGTGATGGAGGGGCTGAAGGAGCTTGTCAAGAAGGACGCCGCGAAGGCTTCCGCCTAGGTATGAGTGGGACAAAAAAAGAAAAGGCACATTGGTCAGGGCGGATGGAAATCGCATTGGGACCCACGAGGCCATGCATAGACGGCGTTAGGGGCGTTGTGGCAGACATGAGACTGCAGGATCCTATATAGACATTGGGCATGGTTACAAGCTGCATCGGAGCCAGCTACATGATATTATGGAAATTGGGGAAATGAGACATGCCATTTTGATGCCATCCAGATGCCCCGGCCGTTTCTTCCACTTCTATGATATGTGACAGGAGGCTTTACAGTTTATGATACAGCGAAACGGCAGTTTTGCAGCATGGTCTCAAGCTCGACTTGCATATGCTCCATCCGAAATGACAATTAGGCTATCGCGCCTCATTTGAAGTTGCCGTGGAACGGTACTCCCAGCGCCTGCATGAGGAGGCGAGCGTGTCGGTCGGATCTGGCTGTGGTCTGGACATTGACTCGGCATCCGGGAATCATCTGGACACAAATACTAGTCAGCATAACTGGTCGCACCTGAGTTCCTCCCAGCGTTCCAGCAAACAGGAAGCGACTCACCTTTGCCGGGTAGGCGTCATAGTTGGCCTGGATCTCAGGGAACAGCGCAAACTGGTCGGGCTCAAACCCCCACGACAGGTTCCCCGACTCGTCGCCCGTCTTGCCATCGACGCCGGGCCACTCCTTGATCTTGGGGAAGACGAGGTGAACCATCTTGTCCATGAGCTCGTAGGCCTGCTCCCCCCACACGGTCACCTTGCAACCGGCCGTCTGGCCCTTGCTGACACCAAACTGCGAAACACCATGCTTGACGCGCGTGATCTCGGTGCGCCCGCCGCTGACAGCCTGCAGCGCCGCCCTCGCGGCAAGCAGGTACGACCCCTCCTTGGCGCCCTGCGGCACGTACGTCGACAGCGTGATGGCCAGCAGCCCCGGCACGTTCTTGAAGTCGATGTCCTTCTCCACCAGGCGCAGGGCGCCGGTGCTTCCACGGGGCCCCCGAAGCGGTCGGTTCTTGTGGTACGGCGATGAGTCGTCCCACTCCCGCAGCCGCTGGCCTACGGGGCCCTTTTCCGTGCCGGGCGGCGTGTGCTCGTACGTCAGCGTCAGCAGGTCCGGCGCGATCGTCGTCTGCCACGTCTCCTTGAGGCGGGGGAAGTAGAAGGGCCCTGCTTGGAAGTCGCGCGCGATGGGGTCGGAGGACGGGGGGGACTGGACGGGATGGAGGGCGCCACGGCGGAATTTGGGCGGGTGGTATTGGTATCTAGGAGGCGGAGGGCATTCGGGTTAGTGGGAGCGCGCAGAGGCCTGACGGCAACGCGGCCGTACCTGTTGCTAGGAAGCTGGTATTTCCTCTCCTCTGCTCGCTTCTTGGGGTTCTTGAACTCGTCTATTTGCTCTGGTGACGGGCCGGGGGCCAGTTGTGTGGAATCCGGCTCGAGGTCGCGGTATACTGCCGGTGTCTCGACCGGCGCCGCAGCCGCAGCTTCTGCCGAGTAACATCTCCGTGGACAGGCCGGCCTGGCTTGTCGTGATATCTGTGAGACCCGTAGTTGCCGCAGCGGGCGGACCGCTTCCCTCCAGCTCGCCATCTTGTCTGGTTTGTCGCGTTGCTCGGTTGGCTGGCGCAGCTATGCGGTGTCAACCGGTCGTCGAAGAAGCTCCAAAATTTTTGGAATACAGTAGTCGACTGCTCCCGCACGGGCCACATGCCAATGCCCCGACCCCTTCCACTTCAGAGCCCCTCGACATGCATGTCTGGCATTTTATTTAAGGTCTTAGCCAATTGTGAGGGTGTGATTTCAATGGGGAATTGATAGCATGGAATTAATCTCAAGATATCACCTCTTTTCAAACATTTCGATTGCAAATACAATTGTGTTTGTTTCCACATCATAACTACAAATTACCCAGCTACTCAATTGGTACTCATTAATGACAGGCACCTGGGCACACATATTTTTAATTACAGCTGAGATGCCTCCTGAAATCATTCTGAAACATAACAGACATTATAGTTCTTGTAAAGACGGTGGGTATATGCTACTGTTCCTGTATTAAAAGACCGTTCAATGCGTTTTTGATATCGCTTACCCTCATCTGACAGGGTCACAATCCAGAAAGTCCTCCCTGTACTCTTAAGGCTTTTCGTTTCAACAAAGCACGTGTGCACCTCTGACAAGAGTTGTGTGATCTAAAGGATCACCGTCCCCAGAACAGACACCCCAATTTTACCTCTTGAACAGGCGAACTTCCTAGACCGTACCTATACTTCGAAAATCCGTGGTGACCAATTCCTGGGTGCTTGCGTCCTCGTTTCCTCCGCACAGCTCTCGTTCACCACTTTCTTCCATCACTGCAGAACCACGTCATCACGCCTTCGACATCTCCATTCTGCTCTCAGTCCACTCACAGCATCTACTTTGCAACGTCGATCTCGAAACAATACCATGGTCAAGCAGATGCCACTGAGGTGGGAAGCTCGGCATCGCTCCGAGGCGCCGGATCCCCTGTATGTGACCGTTCCCCCTCCAGAGTTCATACACAAAAGTAGGGTAGATCAAGTCCTCGACGATGCCCACCAACAAGCACTCGACAGTGCGGTAATGAGCATTATCTCCACACCAATTGCGGAAGAGACATTTGCCCAGATCGTGGACGGGCTCCCCTTGAGAAGCGTGGCCTTGGGGACTCAGAACCGTCGGGTTATACGGGGGGACCCGATCGACAATCATCCTGATATGTGTCCTGGGGCATTGGAGAAGGCCAGAGAGTTCCAAATGAGGCTTAATACGAGGGGCCTGGAGGTTGCATCAGCCGTAAGTAATGAAGGATTAAGAATCAAGAATACTACAGACATGACTAGTGGCTGACTAGGTTCTAGGCCCTCCAGCAATATCAAAATACCCCTATCGGCTCTAAAGCCTCCAAGATGCCTTTCTTGGAGTTAGTAGCGGTGACTATACATAATATTGCCGTAGAGCTCTTCAAACTAGTTAACGGGGGCTTTCATAAAGATGTCATATGGCCTAGCGACGAAGCCTATCAAGAGCGAAATTGGTCGAGGTGGCCAACGCCTTTCTGCCTGCTTCACTATTCAAAACCAGAGCAGTACCCTGATGGAATTGCTGACTTGGCGGGATACTGGGCTGAAGACCGAATCTTTGGTGGAGTCGTGCTTTTTGGTCGAGGTACCAACGATACAGGCGTATGTTCCACTTCCAACCCCGCTACCCTTGTCCCAAGCAGATTGAGATTGAAATACGTCGTATATGAAGGATCATCCAGTCGAGAACTGATTTGCTTATATTGTTTTGTTTTCCAGTCTACTTACGATGGTATATGGTTCCATTCTCACCGGGACGACGTTACGAAGCGGATATATGCGCTTACAGAGCAGCAGACAGCGAACCTGCTGCAGTTCCTAGAGAAGGGGCAGATTAACGGGTCCGTATGCCCATTGCCAATCCTGGCAGACATCACGAACCGGCGGCGGGTGGATGAGGAGATTGCTATCCCGGAGTTCAACGTGTACCGGGACCGGTGGGAACGAACAGTTGACTACCGAAACTGGAATGACTATCGTTCCCAGCGACACCATTGCAGAAACGCCATAGACTGGCCGGAGATCCTGGACTATCAGGAGAAGCTAAGGCTAGAGGTTAATAGTGGATCGGACAGGAACTAAGACTTCCGGTCTGTGAAATTCCAAGATCAAATCCAAGGTGTTACGAGTACATCAGTGCCCATATTATCCTTCATTTCTGGCCCTTGACTACCTTCAGTTCCTCCGTCAGCTTCATGAAATCGTCCTCATCCGAGTATTTCCCCTCAATGTGCGCTTTTCCAACAATGGCACCCGCAGCGTCGGTCAGCTCGGCCAGCTTGTATCTCTTGACGAGCAAGGTCGTGACCAGGATGAGATTTTGCCACCTATCTGAGACATCACCTTCTCCAGTAGCAGGGTCCAAAACGCTGGAGAGAGTCCTCATGTTGACAGGGCGCTCTGCCTCGCACAGGAAGTCTCGTAGCGTGATGCCGCCATCCCTCCGAACCATCTGTACTGCCTTGACGATCTGTCCGACCATTCAAGATTATTTCTCATAAGCGAATCGGACGTCAGTAGGGGAGAAAATAGAAGACCTTTCAAATGAGATAACATAAAGCACCAACAAGTCGGAAACCCTAAACGAGTTGGACAATTCTAAGCACTAAGAGCACAACAACCCAAATTACAGCATCACAAGCTGCTCCTGCTGTACTTGTGACTCGAGATGATGAAAAAGAAAATGCTCAAATACCCGACCCTCTCTTTACTGCATCTTCCTGATATTCTCCTTTTCATCTCTGCAACATATCCACACAGCCTCTCGTCTTTTCGCCGATCTTCGTGCACACCAGGATCCCACATATTCTTCCCTCAAGTGCTCCCTCAGTACCCAGGTACCACGACTAGTATGCCACTTGGCTGTCTTTCCATCACAACCCTCCGCATTCCCCCGGCTCCCAGAGCCCTCACCACGCCTCAGAGCAATCGCACTCGACGTCTTCCCATCTGTCTCAGACCTACTGCGCCGTTGATACCACCCCACGGGAACCATGTAACTAGCTGCTCCGGGCAGGTTCACTGCCGCAGTGCTCGCGAAGTTGACGTTGTGGCCGGCAGTCATCACAGACAGATTTTCAAGGTGGGATAACTCCACTCCTTCGTCTCGTCCTCTATTCCCCTCCTTTCCCTCGAACACAGGCACCTTGGCATTGATGAAAACAAATATAAGCCCCCTCTGTCTTCGGGCATGGGCAACATGAAGCGCAAGGCGCACTGTGTGACAGACAACCTGTGGTAACGCCGAGTGATGGGTTTTTTTTCCTTCGAAGATTGTTCTCTCGCCCAGGTACCACCAGCTTTATGACGATGGAAAAACATGTTTCTCGGTTTTAGGGTCTCATGGGGTCACAAGATGCAGCCCGTACAATCCTCGACTCGGACCGGTCACGGTCTAGGGCGCGACGAGCTTTGAACCAGGAGGTGGTGGTGGGACCTAGTGTTCTTTGTTTGATATCAAATCCAGGGCCGGGTTCAAATAGCTAGCTAGTTCCCCCTACACACAATACAAGCGACCATTTCCACCATCACATCGTACGCTGCAAGCACTTGAGAGCATGACTTGGAGCACATGATATGTTAATCTTCTTCTGCGGGTCTCGTACCTGTGCTTTGTTGAGGATCGTGCCTATAGTCGCCTTGACTCAGATTATTTGTGTATTTAATCTGCCATCCTAGTCAGCGGCGCCGTCGGGAGCGATGCTTCCTAGCCTTGTCTGTGCGGCACGAGGCTGAGGCTACGTGCCCACAGACGTAGGTGTTGTATTCTCTCTGCACTGTTATTAGTATTGGATTTTTTAAACGCTGGGTCTTAAGCGTTTACCAGCGTATAAAGGCGCTATATACGTTTTATGTGTATGGGGATTAGAAATAAAACTACTTCAAACTATTCAATCTCCCTTCAGATTTGTCATTTGCTTCAGTTACACTTCGGCTGTGGGGGGAATGAGAGAACATCACAAGGCGGCTAATTGGCTTCGAGCGTCTGGCAACTCCGTCTCAACATGTCAAAACAACATTCACAGCACATATGCAGTACTAAGTAGGAGACCTGAGAACACTGCCCATCACCATCGGCGCCGCAGGTTGTCTGTCATATGCACTGTATATAACCGGGGGTGCCTAAATTGTAACTCCTCGCTCCGTCCTGCTCGAAAGACGCATTGCTATCCCATAGCCAGGATAGTCTATAGACCAAAAATAAGGTACCCCACCAAACCCAGACCCTTCTTTTCACGGTGCCACGTGCTCCCGAGACCATCTAGCTCTGCCACATGTGCTCGCTAAGCTCGAGCAACCGATCAGCCATGTTCCTCTTGGCAGCATTAACATTACCCCGTTCCGCACTCGCCAGCGACTCGCTGTAGCAAAGCTCGAGGAGAGACTTGAGTTCGTCATACGTGAACCGGTCCGGGTCCCGACCGATCGGCACGCTGTTCTCCTCGGCGGCCTTGGCGGCATCCTCCTTGGCCTTGGCGACGATGGCGTCGGCCCCGCCGTCGAAGAGAGCCCAGTAGTTCGCGGCGCGCGCCATGTCGACGCCGGCCTCGATGTTCTTGAGGTTCTGCTGCAGCACCAGGATGTTGAGCTGCATGCGCCCGGAGCCGCGGGCGTTGATGGGCGCCACCATGGACGCGTTGGCGATGAGGAAGGAGTTGATGAGCAGGCCCAGCCCCGTCCGGATGAAGGCGACCTCGCGCTCGCGCAGGAAGCGCACGATCGTCTCGTCGTAGGCGAGCAGCTCCGAGTTGAGGCTGAGGATCTGCGGGTCGGGCTCCTTGACGTCTTGGTCGAGGAGGTATGGCGCCGTCTTGGGGTCGAGGGCCACCCGCAGCGAGTAGGCGATGCGGCAGCGGACTTCCATGTGCAGGTTTAGAAGCGCAGTGGCGGCGAGTTCCTCGTAGGACGAGACGATGCCGTCGAAGGATCTGTGGATTACTGTTAGCGTTTCACGCTCAATGGAAACGTAGCGAGTCAGACTTACTGGACTGTCTCCAGTGTCATCGGAAGGAACACTGGTCCTTCCTCGGAGGTCGCCTTGTTCGGGTCATTCAAAAGAGTCCACCTCCGCTTGCCCGGCTTGGGTATACTGGAGCGATTTGAGTCCGTCTCATTTCGTGTGATGTGCCTCAGCGAAGACACCTTGACAGACAGCCACTTCATGCTGGTATACAGTAGACAAAGGGACGAGATGGTATCCCTATCCGATATGATGTCACTGAGCTGTAGTGGTTTCTCATTCGTCTCCGTGATCAGCAGTGCCACCTCCTTATCCAGAAGATCCTGGTCCAAGGTGTCGGCGGTCCAGAGCTTCTGAATGGTATCGTGGATCTCGCCACTCTCAGTTGCCATGATGGCTGACGAACGTAACGCCTGGGTTGCCGTGCCATCCTCCTGCGTTTTGGTGACCAGAGTCTTGTACCAGCCGAAGCACCGGTCATAATACCTCATCATCTGAGTGATGATCAACGCACTGAGAGCCTGGTCGTGTGGGATCGTATCAAGCATCCTGCAAAATGCCGTGACCACAGCAAAGAAGTCTGTGGCACCTTTGAACACCGGTTTCTTTGCGACCTGACTCCAATCTGAATCTTGCTGGAACGCATCTGCTTCGCCGAACACGGTATCGCTCAACTTGCCCAGTGTCTCGTCCAACTGCGGCTGGAAGACATTGACCAAGAAATTATCAAGGAAGGTTGTCAGAGTGCTCGTCGCCAGATCTGATCCCGGTGGTACAATGTTCTTGAGCCTGCCCAGGAAGACCAGAGTCGGCGGCAGCAGCAGACTCATGTTGAACACGTTCGGCTCAACCAGTGATTTGTACGTATCATTCTGTTCGCGGCCACCATATAATGGAACGGCGCTCTTTCTAGCATCGGTCTTCCCGGATTTCTTGTCGCCCTTGCCTTTGGCCAGACCACCGGTGAGGCCGGGAACCGCGTCCTCGATGGTTTCGTTGAGCTTGTCAAGCTCCGTTGTCAAATCCACAGCCTTCGGATCTCCCTCGGTGAACTTGAACAAGTGCTCCCTGTGAGCATCAATGACACCGTTCGTCGTGCCCGGTCTGGGTGTGTTGAACTGGTACAGGTCCGCGTCCGTGGTTACATAGTTGTGTAGTAGTGACCTGATCTCGTTCTGATATAAGTTCCACAGCTCTTTGAAGCTCCCAAGCAAGGCAGCGTTGTTTCCGCCGCCCTCCCGGCGGATTAGAGCCTTGATGGATTCGTGGAAAAGACGGTGACCCTCGGCTATTGCCTCGAACTTTCCGTACAGTGTCCAAAGCAGGTCGTATATCACATCTGCTCGCATTTGTGTTTCTCTGTTGTTGTAGATGTGCAGCCCACCTGTGCTCGACGACACTCCACGCAGTGAACTGGGGTGTTTGTGGTCAATCTCGTTGATCGTGTCATTAACAACGCTGAACAGCTCGACCGGCAGACGCTGCTTGATGGTGTCGACGGCAGTTTCGAGACGTCCCAGCTTGTTCAGCGCCTCAACCAACAATGCCACGTAGGAGAATGTGTCGGACTCGGGGTTCCTGCCAGGGTCCTCTTGTACGTGAGTATCGAAGTCCATGTTATTCAAGACCTCGAAGAATGGTACTACTGATCCTGAATCGGCAATGTCGTCGCGGAACGCGCCTTGGGTCTTGGCCAGGTTCTGCCATCTCTCCTGGCAGTATGGGGATTTCAGGTACAGGTGCTCATGCAGCTCCTCCACGAGAATGTCCATCAGTGCCGTCTCCTGGTTGGCCAAGTAGCTCCTGAGGTCGCTCAAGGCGGCAATGTCGTCCAGCTCTGGCTTCCTCAACCTTCGCAAGGCATTCTGCAGGACCTCGACTGCCGTGAGGAACCTCTTCTCCGATATCCTGGCCTCGAGCTGGTCGGGCACCTGTCTCAGCTCCTCGAGCTCGTTCAGTGTCTGCAGCAGCTCGTCGTACATCTGGCTCGTGTTGTAGAGCTTCTTGAGCTCGGGATCCGTCGTGCACAGGGCGACCTTGCTGGTTGCCAGGTTCTCCTTCAGCATGCGGACCTTCTTCTGGCTCTGCATGATGCTGCCCTGGATCTTGTGGAAGGTACCGATGGAGCTGTTGAAGCCCTGATGGTAGTCGTGGACGATGGCCTTGAGGGAGTCTTGTAGGTATTGGTGTGTCTGCTGGAAGTTCCTGTACTCGTGCGCCCTGCCCACCGAGCTGTTGTCGAGCAGCTGCAGGGCCAACTGCACGGGGATGCAGTCGGTCTGGCACATCTGCGGCCAGTCCTTCTGTATGATGCCCAGCACCTCGTTGATCTGTCTCTCTGCGTTGGTCCATTGCTCCTGCTGGGTGAGCTGCTGGGCCTGGAGCTGTGATCTCGAGGGAGGGGCGCGGAGGGAGGACGGGGAGGGAAACGCGCGTCCGCCCTGGGTCGGAGGGGGTGTCCTGTAGCGATCGCCGCCGCCGCCGCGGGAGTCTTCTCCGAAGGGGTCGTATTCTTGGCCGTTGCCATTCGATTGTCCGAAGTTTCCATAACCGTTGGTGTTGCCGCTGCGGCCGTACATGCCGGCGCCGCGAAAGCGGTTTGCCATGGCGCTGGCTGGTCGGGGAGGGGCAGGGAGGTGTCACTTGGGCCGAGGAAGCCAGGGGCTCGAAAGCTATCTGTCAAGGTTCCATGCGTATGGAAGCATCATCGGCAAGCAAGACAAGGATCGAAGCTGTCTGGTGGTCGTAGCGTGGAGCTTGTGATGTACGAAGCCACGAATATGGTCGCGAACTGGGGTTTGGAGTCGAGTTGTCAGGAGCAGATCAAGGTGGCCCTAGCAGATGCAGGCAGATAGTACCGAGCAGCGTTCCCCGGGTCCTGTCGTCACCCGCCTGCAGGTCTCACCCAGTCAGACCAGTTGACCAGGTAGGTCCTGCACCCCTAAAACGTCGGAAGGCGGCAAGCAACTTTAGCGACAAGTTTCAAAACCTGGCCGCATCACATTTCAGATCGGCAATGGCCCCGAGTGCAAACTGACCTGTGGTCTGCATGTTGGTTATTTCCCCTCATTGTAAGTACCAAACAGGAGCACTTCCAACACTTGTCAATATTCTTCCTTGTTCTACAATACTACTATATTCACTCGACTATCAATTATGTACAATTGAATCACACTAGTCGCCGCCTCGCACACATGCTGCACACTCTCTCAGCACACCCCGGCCTGAGACTAAGCATTCGACAGGACCACATTGCCAGGGTTCAGCTCCCGCAACCAAGGGCTCGTCAGGTCCGTGTAGAAACTTGCGCCCTGCACCGTGGTGGGCGCATCAGGAACAGTGACATTGCAGTTTTCCACAAAGCTGCCCGCCGCCTCGAGCTTATCCGAGACGTACTGGGCATAATCACTCAGGAGGCACGACCCGCCAGGGCCGTCCTGGCAAGACGGCAGGGTGTATACGGCGTCGTTAAGCCTGATGCGGACGTAGGTCGCATTTGATGAGGTGTTATTCCCGTACATGCTGCTGCCGGCGAGGCAGTTCAGCCTCTCGAAAGCGACCGTGCCTCGCATGGAGGTGTAATGGGAGGCGACGAAGAGGCGGTCTGGGTTCATCTCCGACCCGGATAGGGCGGGCTCGTCGTCGAACACGCCACTGGATGCGACCAGCTCGTTGAGCTGCCCATCGTTGAGGAACGTCGCCAGCAGGCTCGGGAGCGTGAAGCTTCCTCCGTCCTGGGCGGTGCCGTTGATGCCGGGCCCCTGTTCGAGCAGTCCGATCAGGGCGTTGAGGTAGGGCAGCATCATGGTCTGCTGGAGTTCGGTGCCCGGACCGACGCCGTAGTAGTATCGGAGGTCGTTGGCGTACTCGTACTGCTGCAGCTCCTCGTCGGTGAAGACGCCGCACCACGGGGACAGTCGGCCTGTGATCTGGCTCTCGAACCCGCAGAGGTAGGGGATCTGCGAGATGTCGTTGTCCTTGAACGTGAAGTTGCCCTCGATCAGGCCCTGCAGGCGTTCCTTGATGGGCGGGATGTACACGCCTGCCCATTCTGCGGCGTAGTCACCGCCTTCGTCGTCCTCGAAGTTGGGGCACTGGTCCGACGGCCCGAGCGAATTGCCAATGTTGCCGGTGTATCCCTTGGATGTCACCGAGATGACCTTGCCATAGGTGCTGGATGTGAAGCCGAGATAGCCCTGGACGAACATTTGGGCGGTCTGGAGCACTCTGGTGTAGTTGTTCGCCCAGACATAGAAGTCGTCGCCCTCGTTGTAGAGCTGCGGATATCTCGTGCGGAGTGTGTAACCCATGTCTTGTGCCTCCTTCGCACCGGTCGGCGACTCCATGGCGATCTGAAGTGCAGGGTTGGTCAACACGGTCCGCCACTCCTTCATGAACGATAGGCTGCCGCTTGGAGTATAGTTGCCGGACGAGAAGCGCTGCTGCATGTCGACCCATCCGGCGTATGCGCCAGTATCGGGGAAGCGGGAGCCATGGCGTGAGACATATGCAGCCTGGTCAACATAGCAGTTCTCTGGGACCTCGGAAGAGATGTTGTACACATTGGGCCCTGTTATTCCTGTGAGCATGCTGTCCTCGAGCCCGCCACACGTCTCCTGGCACATCCGTCGGCAAATGGGGGGTCTCACCAGCGAACCACGGGCTGTTGGCGCCCAGCCATTTGAGGGGCTCGGAGGCTGTCTCGCTTGCTGGGAGGTTGATGTCGTTGATGGGAGCCAACATCTGAGCCGCTGAGACAGAGCCCACCACCGCCAGGGCGGCGGCAGTCTTGACAGCTGATGAAGCAGGCATCGCAACTGTCATGTACTGTGCTCGGGGGGGAGTATGCCAAAGCAAGAGCAGCAGCGTTCGAGGTCAATTGAGCAAGTGGACCAGTAGGCGAGTCACGAAGCTGAGGTCTGCATTTCCAGGAGGTCTTTCGGAGGCGAGGACACTGGACTATATTTATTGTCTTCACCCATGATCGCCCTTAAACTCCACACTCCACATGACGTTGACAGGTACCGGCAAGGGTCAAGGGCAACTCGGAAGTCGGCGAGGGCTATCGCGGGCGAGGAGCCCGGATTGGGGATGGGGAGTCAACGCTATCATGTCCTCAAGACTTCTTGGGGAGGGTTGCAATCTCCTTGGCCACCGACTTCCCTAGCACGTGTGAGCACGTGTGAGCACGTGTGGAGGGAGTTGCTGGTGGTTTGCGGACGAGCCCGTTGGGACTGAATCAACTTGCAAGCACCGGAAATTGGATGGGTCCACTGATAGGATACCCCTGACCCATGCTTCCCCGTTTGGCCGGGTCCCCGGGTCCGGTCCGGTGAAGCTTGACCGAAATCGAGGTGAGGGAACGGATCGTCGCCGTGTTTAGTACTGTGTATTTATTAAATCTGCGAAGGATGGTCCAGCTGGCGATAGACGCAAGATATAAGTAGTCGCTACCACTTGCCGAGCAGGATTCTCGCAACCAGTGATGGTTCTCGTTTCTTTCAATCTCGGTATGTTTCGCTCCTAGTTGAGAACCATTTCAATCAGGTAGGTCTGCAACGCTAAAATTCAGGCCCTATAAGTAGGTCGTGCAAGGCCCTACAAACCCACATTTCCTTAGGTAGGTATCTGCGATCTCCGGGAATAAGAGTTGGGGAAAGGTTGGACTTTGATTGTTGGTGGCATACCTGGGTATCGAAGTGTCGAATTGGACTGTGTTAGAGAGAGTTGATTTATAGAATTAGGCGAAAGTCGAAGCGATGATCCCTGACCTGAATGCACGAAGTGTGTATAATAACATTGAAAGACCACTCGACGACCTGATGTGACCATCAAGTGTAACCGATGTGCACGGAAGATGGACGAAATGTTCTGCACGCTGTCAATCATTCCGGCCGACTTGCACTGCACAGCCCCCATTATAGGTTTTAAATTTGTTTTTAAATCCTCCGGTCCCATCATTGGACGATACCTGACTGAATCGAGATATTCCAGGCTGAATCTCAGCCTTACGTATATTTCCAGCCGGATTGAACGAGTCTCGTAGGTGGTCGGCGTTCTGTATCTGCCGCGCAGATTCTCTGGATCAACTGGGGGAGCCTAGGGTGTGTTGCCACCTGCCTTGCGTAGTGCACGGAGTGTATGCGGACGGCCTCTGAAATCGACTCCTTGCTATGAACTAGCCAGAGCTAGGGCTTATTCAAGTGCGAGCAGATGTTTCAGATCCACATTAACTCTAATGTCTTGGTAAGTGATATCTACTGTAGTATTTCAGTTTTCAACAGCCTCCAACATCTAACTCTTCGTCTCTCTGGTGCGGATTCCAAGGCGTACACTGGGCTTGGGGATGATAGCAGTCTTCCAACTGAAGGTCCTCTTCTCCCTGGCCGTATCCAGGGAAAATTCGTAATTCTCCAAGAGGGCGACGGTCAGCAGTCTCAGTATATCACTAGCAAAGAAACGTCCAGGACACGTTCGCCTCCCCATGCCCCAGACAGCGAGTTGCTGCTGATAGATGACATCTGGATCAATGAGTCTCGTCACAGGACTATCCTCTTTGTCCCGCTCTTCTGTCATTGGGTTAGGAGATTTTGATGTTGCCATAAATCAATAATTATCAAATACGTTCGGGTTGTGGAAGACCTTAGGGTAACTTTGAACGACACTGAGGGGCAGACATACCCACGATCCTCTTGGTACGACTGTTGTCCCCAAGACTCAAGTTTTGGATAGCCTTCCGTCGAACGACTATGCTATCCGCTGGATGTAGACACATGGACTCTTTGATGAAGCTGTTAAGCAGCGGTAGCTCATGTAGGCGGCTCACCCAGTCATTTGACTATTTTACCATGCGCATCTGTTCGCGAAGAAGGAGCGTATACTCGGGTTGATCCACAAGTGAGAAGATTATATGAACGAAAGACTTGGTGCATGATTATACTGGGGTTCGACTTAGAAACCCAACTATTGAAAGTTGATGGATATTATGTACCAAACCACAGCGCGAGAACTTCTTGGACCACCATCTTCGCGGTCCAATGCTCTTTCGTGGGAGCTAGGTCAAGGATCCACCGAATCACGCCCTTCTACAAAGTCAGAGCATCGTTAGAACTGAAATCTCTGTAGATCTTGACGTACCGGTTTCTCTACTCGGGTCTGGCTGACTGTGTCTGCTGCCATCGTTCTTTGATTCTGGGAAGGAGGTAACGGTCCAAGTCTTTTATAGCACGTCCACACTTGCTCGAGCACCTTATCACAATCGATGTAACAGTTATTGAGTCGAGAATGTTAATCACTTAATTTACAAATAATCGAAGACTGAAAATACGTTCACAGCACCAACCTTGTTAAGATCGTCCTAGTAGGTGTGTATTGAAGAATGTCCCCGGTATGGACATCAGACACGAGCATCGTTTGGATACTGAAAGGCTACATATGTAGCTCCCAAAACTCCTGCTCGTGATCGTACCCTGAGTGAGCAATCCAACGCCAGTCACACCCTTGGTGTATTCATCCCCCACCTCTTTTTCTTTCACATTCTCCAGATCATACCTACCCAAGTACCTAAGTAGGCAGTCGGGGTGCGGGTCTTCAAGCGGCATGGGAATGCCGCAAGAGGAGTCCTGACTCGTGACGATATTGGGCGATCGCACAGATAAGACTGGAGCCAGAGGCCACTGTTCCCACTTGCTATATCCATTTTCTTTGATTTTCACCAACAACACTCTGCTAGGCGCCCGATGGCGGTCTAGAGTTACATGGCCATTTGAACTGTCCCCATCGCAGCGGCAGAACGTTCAAGTCCCGTAGAATTGGGGTGCACGCGTACTCATCGCGTCCCTGTCGCTTCAAAGCACTGAGAACACCTGTTTGGCTGACTTTGAGCCGCAAAACCTCCGACACCATTCGTTCATGCCTGCCAGGCAAGTGCGACCTCGCAACCTCTTTGCAGAGTAATGTCTCCTCCAGTTCCTCGAATATTAATTGTGGATTCGTTTACCCTAGGTACCATTTAGTATATACTACCAACAGAGTGCCCAACGTGTAACATGTGGGCCTAAGTTTGCACATGTGAACCAACTTTTGGGATCCACAAGATTATATATAGCCAGGTCTTTGAATGAAGACTTGATGGCCAGCGCCCATGTCCTTCGACCCTTCAAAACGACCAGGCATGGTCATATTGCTGCTGCATCGCAGAACATCGACAGAAGTTGGCCTCGCCTTCCAAGGTTCTTACACACACATTCTTCTTCCAGGCCACCTTTTCTCATAGCGCTTCAGCATTCATTCCTCCTGCCAACAGAATGGCTGATTATACCAAGAAAATTTCTCTCAGTCCCGCCATTGTCACCGGCGGATGTGGATTTCTTGGGTCCCATCTAGTCGAGCAACTGCTCAAAGACCCCGAATGTCAAGTGCACATTCTTGACATCGAAACTGACCGCAATCGATTGCCTGGGGCTACTTATCACATTTGCGACATCACGTCCGTTGACGATGTGAAGTCTGCTTTTCTCGAGATAAAGCCCAAAGTCGTCTTCCACGTTGTGTCTCCCGATCCCCTGTCGCACGATCATGTGCGCTTCCAGCGCGTCAACGTCGATGGAACGCACAACCTTCTCCTGGCTGCCAGAGCCGCCCACACTCAAGCTTTTGTGTACACCTCTACTTCATCAGTCGTACATAACCACGTGGACAACATGCTGGATGCTGATGAAACATTACCTGTACTTCGATACCCGGCCCAGACGAACGTCTACACCTTGACCAAGGTCGCAGCAGAAGACAAAGTCCGGGAGGCTAACCGGGAAAATGGCGACGAATCTTTGTTGACGGCAATACTTCGGCCTGCTTCTACTTTCGGCGAACGAGATTACCTCAACTTCTGGTCTATCGTTACAAAGGCCAGGGCTGGACGAGCCAATGTCCAGATTGGTGATGGCAAAAACTTGTTTTCGTACACGTATGTGGGTAACCTCGTTGACGCGCACATCTTGGCAGCTGAAGCCCTCGTGCGTGCCTATGCGAAACCGCCACCGTCCCCCGAGTGGCGCGTTGATGGCGAGGCTTTCTTCATTACGAATGACGAGGATCACGACTGGCATTTCTGGGATTACCAGCGGGCTGCAGCTGCGGCTGTAGGGTACCCCGTGAAGAAGGAGGATATCAAAGTCATTCCTCTTACATTGGCTCTAGTCATGGGGTTTGTTGCTGAATGGTGGGTGTGGGCTATGTCTCTTGGGAGGAAGGAATCAGTGCTAAGTAGGCAGACTGTGCGCTACGCCTGCATTCATCGGACTCTAAGCTGCGGCAAGGCTAAAAGGGTTTTAGGATATAGCCCAAAGGTTTCCATGTCTGAAGCCATCAAGAGGACGGGAGAGTGGTTCATTGAAGAGGCAAAGAGGTCTGAAGAGACAAAGAAGCATGCTTGAAGCTGTGGTGCGTAGATCTCTTCGTGGCCGGATTGCAGAGACCATACCACACCTTAGACTAGATATCATATAATCTGAGGTTTCGTGTTCCGCTGTACAACAAGAGGCATGGCCACGAATGACGCAGTCTTGATCAGCTAGTCGAGGTTTGGTTCAAATAGAATTCACAGTGGTGACATTGATTCCACCGCGACTAAATGCTCAAGTGGGACATACAGTGGCTTAAAGCAGCTTGCTTGCCAGAATTTGTACAAATACACAGGGAACACCAATTCAGCTCGCATGAAGCCGACGTAACCTGACTGCACCTGTCTGCTGGGGAGGGATCTTTCCGCGTCGACAATTCTAGCAGGAGATCCCCACTTTAGCCCACTGAAGGATGCCCATCCGGGTCAAGCAATGATGGGTTGCGTTTCCCGAAATTCCACGATTTTTCAGCCGTTTAGGACCACTTCAGTTCGGCTGGTCTGGTAGGTCTACAACGTGAAATATTAGTAGGTCATTTGGGTCCTCTAGACATGTCGTTAGCTTTCTAGCCTCTTGTCTGTTATTTTACCTAACCCTAATCTGTAAGTACCTAATATAGCTAAAATGACCCAATGTATTACCTATTTAGGATTAGATTCATTTCTAATTGCCTTTGAGCTGCACCCCTGGAACTGCGGGATTCTCTCAGAATGGTGGCCAGACCCCACTATTTCACCGTCACTGCTCGCAACTGGTACGCGTTCGTTTATTATAGCTCCTATAGGCTGATACCCGGTGAGCCTGTCACACCTGGCATATACTTCAGTGACTCCCTGCAGGGCTGATCTGCAAAACTACAGTAGCCCTACCCCTAGAACGCACTGGCCACCGCTTAACTGCAGGCTCTCTAGGACCATCTGCATCTCAGGTCAACCCGACAACACGGTCGAGGGAGAGACCCTGGGCAAGCAGCATACAGTCTAATGCTTTGGCTCCTCACGAAACGACAAGCTCGCGGTGGATTATCGGACGGGGCATAACGTGGTCCCTTGAAAGGACTCAGGCATAGCAACTACACCATGGACCACTCCTTTTCAATACAGCCCATCGGCCGATTCGCAGGTCAGAGTGAGCCCGTCAAGAGACCAAAGGCAGGCGCACCGCATCTATCGCGTGATTCGCGTCTCAAAATGACCCGAGTTGCTAACACGACCCCAGGAATTCGCATGCTTCTCCTACGACGATCAGCATCAGTACCACTATGGAGACCGGTCGTTGAGATGGTATTACACACCACAGCTGGGAGCAGACCTGTCTCAGGGGTTCGACAAGTTCGTCAAGCACGATGACAGTGTTGCAGAACACCTGGATAGCCTGCTCAAGACCATCATGCACCACGAGAAGGAGACCAAGAAGAAGATCGACGCCAACGTCGTGACCTGGCGTGGAGTTCTCACCAAGGTCTGCCGGTCCTTGCTACTCTCGCCCAACATATACTATCACCACCCTGGATTACTGGCTAACAAGGCTACAGATAATGTCAAGTCCATTCGACGACCGTGATGGGTATGTACATGGTAGCTGACCATGGGATCCAGCCGGGCATGCCCTCCGCTGACAAGCTGGCAGGTTCGAGCTAAACGCTACACTTTATCAAGTGCGCCCACCTCTCACACACCTGCCCTTCAGGAGATAGACCACTATGCTAACCGGCTGTACGCAAAGGACTGCATGTACGCACACACAGCCCCAACGGGAAAGACGCGGCATGGCCTGACAAAGCTGACATGAAATCCAGCTTCATCGAGGAGAACCATGCTTATCGGATGCGCTCGCAGGCCGAGCAGGCGGCCCAGCCCTGGCACGGGCCCATACCCCAGGAGGTCATGCAGTTCTGGGGCTACAAGTTCGAGACCCTGGCGACGCTGCCCGCCCCATGGGGCGAGACCAGCCGTGACTATATCGAGGGCCGCGAACACGAGGTTGTCAACAACAAAGCGCAGTACTGCTCGGTTGTACGGACCGGCCTGGGCAAGACAGTGTTGTGTCTGGGCGGCGAGGTTGATGCTGGTGAGTTGCGTCTCGTCCCGTAAATCACCGAAACATGAAGACAAGAAGTCCTTCCCAAACCAGGTACCCGCGAGACCAAAGCTAATATATCCCCCTTATTCCCACCCGCATGCAGTCTGGGACTCCAAGCCTCCAAAGCCCGGCGACCCAATAAACTGGGTCGAGCTCAAGACATCTGCCGAGATGCGCGGCGCCCGCGACCACGACAACTTCGAGCGCAAGCTGCTGAAATTTTGGATCCAGTCATTTCTGCTGGGGGTCCCGCGCATCATCGTCGGGTTCCGTTCGCGCGACGGTATCCTGCAGCGCGTCGAGGATATGGATGTCGCTTCGATCCCGGACACTGTCGCGCGGCGGGGGCGGCAGTGGGACGGCAACATTTGCACCAACTTTGCGGCGTCATTCCTTGAGTGTGAGTATCCCTTGTGCTGGCAGGTAGACAGACGAAGTGCAAGTGAGAGCTGACCCGTGGCGCTTGTTTGTCTCTGCAGGGCTCCGGGCCAGGATCGACGACGAGGGCGTTTGGAGAATCCGTCGGCGTGCGAGGGACACTCACATTGAGGTGTACAAAACCACCGAGACTACGGGTCACGGGCGGCTTTTAACCGACGAGTTCATCAACCACCGCATCAAGCTCGCCCTACCACCTGCCCCGGATGATGACGATCCCGGCGCTGGGCCATCTTGAGGAGACGTGATTAGCACATTTGCCATGAGGGCTTGAAAGGGCCACAGCAAGGGAGGAGAGGACACGGCATCGGATTCAATGCAAGGTTACCATATTGATCTTGTTATTTGACCAGGTCGAACTATCTACCTAACCTAGGACGCCAGGCTACAACAAAAACGTGCGGAATGCCAGAAAGCTTGAACCTCGCGGGAGGGCCCACTGAGAGAAACCTGGCTTCTTGAGAAACTGGGAGCAGCGCAGACCAGACTTGAAGAAGCTGCGAAAGAAACCTTTGAACTTCGCGAAGGATGGCCGGCCTCTCAAATATAAAGAACCCCTCTCTCCCCTCTTCCCCTTTTCTTTTGCGTTCAATCCAAGAGCCCGCTGCTTTTGGTAACCCCTTGTAAATGCCAAAATGGTGGTACAGAACCGTACAATACAATTCCACGAGATCCCTCCCCCTCAACCCTCTTTACTGCTCATATGCTTGCGCGTCTCATCAACGAAACCAGAGAAAACGAAAACCAGGAACTCGAAATGCGTTTGCTGATGCGTTGCCAAATGCGTACACCTCCCAATCGATCCAAACGTCTAAAATGCACATCGGCATTCTCCGAGCAACCGGGCGCATGCGCACCACCGAACCCTCCCTGCGCTATGTGAGGGGAGAAGAAGAAAGTAGGAAAGAATGAACAAGAAACAAAATTGAACCGTCGTGCTCGAGGTTCCGACGTCCCTGACGCGCCCGCATCACGGCTCAGCAGCGATGCCGGGCCACCGGCCCTGGAGGTTCCGCACCCACCGGCCGTACAGCAGCTCCGACAGCTGCCTGCAGTGCTCCATGCCGGGCTGCGCCTCCCTACCGGGGAACCGGGCCTCGAGCGCCGCCTTCTCCAGGTCCTGCTGCCTCTCCTCGGACCTGGTGTTGTCGCCGTTGGCACCGTTCCTGGATGGGGTGGACGGCGGCTCGGACGAGTTGGAGGACGGCACCGCGCTGCCACGCCGCTTGCGGTTGGCCTTGGCCTGGAAATTGTCACCCTTGCCGTTGGCCCCGTTGGCGGCGCTGAAGAGCACCTTGGCGGGGCTCCCCGGCGCAGCGGCCTTGTTCATGTTGATGACCGTCCCGTGCGTGTACCCTTCGGGAACCTTGGCCGGGTCAACCACGGGGCTGCCGCCGCTGCTCCCCGGGCCCTTGGGGAGGAAGGCGTGGCTCAGCTTCTTGTCGTGCGCGACGGCCGACACCAGCCCCTGCATCAGGTGGTACCCGCCCTCCGGGTCGACCGAGTCGAGCAGCGCGAGGGCCTCAGACAGCTTGGCGAGGGCCTCGCGCTTCTGGAGCGCCGACGTCTGCGCGTGCAGCTCCGCCAGCGCGGGCTCCATGGCTTTCGTATAGAGACGGTGGCCCAGGATTGCCTCCTTGCTGGACAGGTCGCGGCTGTTGTTCGCCTTGGCCTCTGGATCGCGGTTCTCGGCGTTGGAGCCGTCTGACGTTCGGGAGGAGGCGCTGGGGTGGCTTGAGTCTGAGTCGTCCGAGGCTACGCGGCGGAATAGGCGCTGCGTCGAGCCTGTGTTGCCGAAGGACATGTCTGGCTGGAGAGGTCGTCGGCCGGCCACTGACGACCGCGGCGAGCCGTCCGGGTCGACGTGGAAGACTGAGTCCTGGTGTCGCCGGCGCCCGGTAGCGTTGTGCCTCACTGTGCCTCTCCGGACGGTGCTTGGTGCTGGGGAAGCCATTTGAAGAGGTCCTTCGTTAAGCTCCAATTTCCGCATCGCCTCGTCTGCGGAGAAGATGGACGAGTCCCGGTTCTTCGAGGTGGCCTTCTTTGGTGGTGGTGTTGGTGGTGGTTGAGCAACGGACCTGACGGTGTCGAAGGTCCATTCTTCGGTGTTGTCATTGGTGGACAGGCTCTGGAGGGTCTCCTGGTAGTAGACCGGGTGCAGCTTCCTGGTCTGGTTGGCATCGTAGATCCGCTTGCGCTCTACCAGCTCCTGCAGCGCTTCTACCTTGCCAGCCCCCGAGATGAATTTGTGCCTCAGCAGCTCCTTGGCAGTAGGTCGCTGCTCTGGCTCCTTGTTTAGACACCGTGCGACAAAGTCTTTGAAATATTTGCTGAAGTTGCCCTCCAGCCGTGGCGGTGTGTTCTTTGGAATGTGGAATAGAACCTTCATCGGGTGGATGTTGGCAAGAGGCGGCTCGCCATTGGCCATTTCCATTGCTGTGATGGCCAAGGACCAGATGTCTGCCTTGAAGTCATAGCCAGCCTGCTGGATCACCTCGGGCGCCATCCAGAAAGGGGTTCCGACGAAGGTGTTGCGTTGTGACTTTATGTTTGTGAGCTGGGCGGCAACACCAAAGTCTGCGAGCTTGACCTTGCCCGACTCGGCCAGCAACACATTGGCAGCCTTGATATCACGATGGATCTTGCCCTCGGCATGGAGGTACTCCAGGCCCAGCAGCAGCTCCCTGCAGATGATGGCAATGAGTGGTTCTGAGAAATTGCCGGGTTTGAGCTAGAAAAATGAATAAGTAAGTGGCGTTACATGTGATCGAAATGAGCGCGCCCAGTACTGACCAGATCAAGACAAGAGCCACCGCCCAGATACTCCATCACAATCCATAGTTTATGGCCCCTCAGGAAGCTTGCCTTGTACTGCGTGACGAAAGGGCTTGCACAGGTGCTAAGCACCGATATCTCCTGTTGGATCTCCTGTATGTCATCCTCGCTGGACTCGAGGTCGATCTGCATCCAAGTCTCAGTATTCGGGCTGGCTCGGCAAATTGGTGAATTGGCGAATTGACAAGGCTGTCTGTCTCGTCACTAAACGACTTACGTGCTTAATGGCCACTGTCTCGCCCGTGGCTCGCTCAATTCCCTTGTACACAACGCCAAAACTACCACGGCCAAGCTCCTCCAAGACCTGATAATGGCTGGCAATGTCGTCGCCGGCCATTTTGGCGAAATGAAGTCGAATGCACACGCGGGTGCTACCAGACTGTGTGGATTGTCTGGGGGAGGCGGTCAGAGAGCCGGATCAAGTGGAGTGGGTGGATGGGCCCTTTTGGGTGACGCTCGGCGGCAGCAACGTCGAAGCGCGCGGTTACAGCGGGCCACCACCAGGCGAGATGGTCTGGCGATGCAGTTGGAGAACTCCTTGGGGGGGAGGGAAAGGATATCTTGGACGACGGCGAGTGAGAGAGGACCGCAACAAATCAGCAACAGATAATAAGGATGCCTGAAAAGCAGAATGTAAAAAAAGGCTCCAGGTATGGCCGTCCCAATGGCTGTGGATTGTTCGTTATAGTAGCCAGTATGGGCAGTGCGGGTGGATTTCACAGGCTGGGGTTGGCCAGGCGACCCTCTGGGGTGGAGCTTGGGCCAGCTGGCCCAGCAGGCCTGGGACCAGGAGCCCTGCACACCGTACACCGTACAGTACTAGCGAACCAAATGAGCGCAGAGCGGAGGACCCTTGCCCTGGACCTGGGTGTCTGGAGATGAGAACGGAGACGTGCAAGCCCTGGATTCCTTCTGGGTTATAATTATCCTCATGGTGGACCTTTGGGCAACACGGAGAGGTGTTACTCTAGTGCAGGAGGGGGGAGAGGGAGGAAGAGGAGAAGGAGAAGCAAGATTGAGGCAACAGGCAGGACGGCAACGACGGCGACATATATATGCAGGCCTCTTGTTGCATAGATCGATCTATTAGGATGCGACCGTCCAAGTGCTAGCTGCATTCCAGCACAACATTTGAAGAGAGAGGATATGTCGCGGCCGCAGGTCGTGTGACCACCTTTGTTCCTGTCAGTCGGTCAGCCTGCCAGTCTATCTGTCAGATGTTTCCCTATTAGTGCGTACATAGGTACATATGTACTCAAGGGGACACAAGGCTAACGATCCGAGGACCCGGCAACCGTCCTCGTCCCTCGGCACGACAACTGGCCCATTGACAATGGCTACTGTGTAATCAGAGGTTGCCGGTCAGACCAGACCCAGGCAAGACAAGACAGTATGTCGGTGGATGGGAGAAGCTGACAGGGACTGTGTTTGGGAGTCAAACCATGTCAGATTGCAAATTGCAGAGTCAGGATGGCGTGGACAGCAAGTGGACACTGGACACACAGACCAGCACATCTCGGAAACGGTGAGAGGCGATCTAGATACGGATTCAAACTATAATGTCAGATCTCAGAATGCCATTACCACAAATAGAATCGAGCCAACAGCACAGCACAGGCAGAGTGCAGTCTACATCGGCTCATTTTTACAATCCCAATTGTCTTGACAAAGAGGCCCGAGCAAGCAAGTAAGCAAGCAGGCCGCATTGATGGGTGGCTGGACTCGATTAAGCTTGACTCTTAACCTTGACCTCGGAGAAATCCCTGCCCGGCAACAAAACGAGAGGGGCAGGAAAAGAAGGACAGAAAAGGAAAGAAGAAAGAAAAAGAAAAAGAGACCTGCAAGGGGAACCTTGGTCACGGTATCCAGTTACCGTGCAGCAACGGCAAACACCAGCAGCAACAGCCTGAACAGCTGATATCAACACCATCAACAACCCAAAACACGGTCCTGGAAGTGCACAAAGCCAATTGAAGCTTGACCCGATCAAGCTTGGTGCTCCTCCGTCACCGTAGCTCCAGGGGGGGTGACATCACGGCCGGGCTGCAGCCCCTCTATTTACCTGGGTCGGGCCTGTTTTGGAAATAAGCTGGCTGGGGCTCGGCTGGCAGGCAGGGGAATCCTCTTTTGCGTCGCGCCCAAACGTGTTGCCCAGACGACGCCTGATGGTCTGCTACGGGTACTCTTATATCCTCTACCACTAGTATCCCCTAGTGTAGCTAGGACCTTTTTATTTCTAAATAACTACTTATACTAAATAGGTATAATAAGAACTTAAAGGTAAGGTTAAAGGTTTTAATACTTAATTAATTAAAAATAAAGTTTCTAATATTATTATTTTAAATATTATTATTAACTTTTAAGTATTTATTTATTTATTAATTTAACTTATTAATATATTAAGTTTAAAAAAGTAATTAAAAGTATATTTATATAGTAAAATAAAAAAATTCCTTTTAAGCTCTTTCTTCTCTCTTAAATAATATTCCTATTTACTCTTTTATTTTTAAAATTTATAAAAAACTTACTAATATAGTAATTTTATTACTTAATTTATCTTAATTAATTTAATTATTTAACTTTAAGTTATAATAATATAAATTCTATACTCTATATAACTCTAACTTAATCTTTAATATTAAGGAATATTATTATTATTTTAATAGATTTAATAATTTATATAATTTTATTTTCTTAAATATAAAATATAAGTTTTTATTTTTATATATTAATAATATTTAGTATATTAATAAATATAAAAGGCTCTAATAATAGAAAGTCCTTTTATACTTTTTAATTTAAATATTACTTTTATACTTATTATAAAATAAAAGAATTAATAATTATAATTAATATATTATAAATATTAATTTATATACTATATAGTTTTAATATAAAAAATTATATTATAAAGGAGTTAAAAATAAAAATAATATTTATTATTAATAAATTATTAAAAATTAATTTAATTAATTAAAATTTTTAATAAAGCTAATTTAATAAAGTTAATAAAAAGTTAATTAATTAGTTAACTTAATAAATCTCTTTTAATTTTATAAGTTTTATAATAATAATTATAATATTAACTTTTATAACTTTTAAGTTTTAATAATAATATATAAAAATTAGCTTTTATTATTTTAAGTTAGTTTATAATTTAAATAAAAAAGTTAATAAAACTTTAAAGTAAATAAGGAATTAAAATACTTCCTTTAATAGTTTAATATTTTTAATAGTTATATTATTAATAATTAGAATTAAAGTAATTAAAAGATTATATTATATAAATAATAAAAGAATATAAATTATATAATAGAAGTTCTTATTATATAATAAGCTTATTAAAAGGATTAATAAGTCTTTTACCTATTAAAAGTCTAATATCTAATTAAATATTAAAGTCTAAAATACTTAAAAGCTTTTAATAAACCTTAATTTATTTAATAAGTTTATCTCTTTAAATAATAAAGGCCCTATAAGTTAGTTACTTATCTTCCTTTTAATAAAAATATAAACCTATTTAAATATACTTTAAAGTAATATAGTAACCTTATAATTATAAATATAATCTATTAAATTAATAAACTATTTTAATATTTATTTACTTTTTAATAATTAATAATAATAATAAATAATACTTTAAAGTATTTTTTAATTTAAAATTAATAAATATATTTAATTAAAACCTTATTAAATATTATATATAAGTTAATATTTAATTAGTAATTATATTAGATAATAATAGATAATTTAATAATTAAATAAAAGTAATTTATTAATTTTATTATTTAAAAGTTTTTATTTATTAATATATTTTTTATTAAAAGTATTAAAAGTTATTAATTTATTACTATCTTACTTTATTAAAGCTATTAAAAGCTATTAATACTTTAAAAAGTATTATATATTATAATTAATAAAGAAGAGTATTTAAAAGAGTATTAAAAATAGTTAAAGTAATTTTAAGTAAAATAAAGTTTAACTATATATATAAATAGTTAAAAATAAATTATTAAGTAACTATAATTAATAGGCTTTATAAATAAAGTTAGTTTACTTTTAATTAATAAAATAAAGGCTAACTTACTTTAAATTTACTATTTCTTTTCTTATTTATATACTTATGACTTCTTTTAGGGCTTTTATAAATACTTAAAGAGTTAAAACTTTAAGGTAATATTTTATTACTTAATCTTTATAAAAGTAATTTAATAATATCTTTATATAATATATTATTAATAAAAAAGATTAAATAGTATTAAAAGCTTAAATATTACTTAAAACTATATATTATTATTTTTACTTTAAAGCTTTAAAGTATTTATTATTAAACCTTTAATAGTAAATTATTAAATAAATTAATAAAATAAAATAATAAAAGGATTATAATAAACCTACTTTTATAAGGTTAATATTTAAACCTTTAAATACCTTTATAAAAATAATACTCTATAAGGACTATTTATATAAACCTTTAATAGAAGTATAACTTTAAAGGTAAATTAATTTCTTTATAAATTATATAATTATTTATTAAAATCTTTAAAAGAGAAATTAAATAGCTTTATAATAACTTTAAAAAGACCCTTTAATTAATAAAAGTTTTATTATTAAAGATTTCCTTTAATAAGAGTAATAATAAATAAATTATTAACTATTAACTTTAATAGTTAACATTAAATTAGGTAGGTTCTTTAAAAATACTTTCTTATTAACTTCTATTAAACTAATTTATAGAATAATTAATTTAACTACTTTAAATAGTTATAAAAGTACTTTTATAATACCTTATAAATATTAGAAGCTTATAATAATAGGGTTTATTTATAAAAACTCTTTTAGTAAAATTAATAAAAATAAAGATTTATAAGATTATTATAATTAATATATTAATTATTATATTTATTATTAAATTAAATATAATTATATATATATAACTAATTAATTTATAATTTTATATTTTAAAATTCTTACTATTAATACCTTATAATTAATTAGCTATAATACTCTTTATATTTATATTTTATAAGTAATTAATAACTTAATAAATTACTTATTAATCTTTAAAAGTAAGTAATATAGGTAATACCTATAATACCCTTTTAAAGGTAAATTAACCTTTAATACTCTTTTAATAATTAATTAATTAATAATAATTTAAATATATAAATTAAGTATATCCTTAATATAATAACTATATCTTTATTTTTTATATTATAAACTATTAATTATCTATAAGTTAACTTAATAATAATAATATTAATTTACTTTTTTTTATTAATAAATAAAAAGACTATATATAAACTTAATAATATACTTAAAGTTATATTTAATATAACCTTTTTTTAGCTATAATTAATCCTTAATAATAGTTATTAGGGAGAATATTAAGATAGACTTAATATTATAATAAGTATTATATATTTTATTTAGGGGGGTATGGCTAACTAGGGGCCCCTTATTGGGGTTATAGGAAAAGTGGGTAGTAGAGGATATAAGAAAGGTTGCCTACTATACCTCCTCTGTACCTCTCTACACCTCTCTGCACCTTTGAAGTTCTGGGGTTGATCTGTGACCCCGACCCACTGAGGCTGAACATCCACCCCAGACTGAAGGGAGCCACCAAGAGTGGGGCGCTAGACCGGGTAGTCACTTCCAAGGTTCCCAGGTTGTTTACTGGACCACCGCATCGCACCGCTCGCCGGCCAGCCAGCCAGTCTCTCAATCTGAATCTGTCGTGAGTCGTACAACACACGCCCACGACCACGCCCACACACCCACACCCACCCACACCCTCGCCCACCCTTTCTCTCACCCCTCCCTCCGGGACCCATGATATTCAATCTGCCACCCTCGTCCTTGATCCTGCCGCACCACCCGCCGTCTGCGAGCATCGCACAGGCGCAAGGTCGGCCATAGCTCCCAACAGTCCGTCCGCCTCACCACACACACACAACACCGGCGGCCACACCGCAACATGCCCATGAGTCCATGATAGCTATATCTCTATTATTCTGCTGAGCAGCCCACTGGCATTTGACCAAATACTCTTTTGCAAAACACGCCTGGCCGTTCGCTTTGCAGGCCATACACTCGCTCAACAACAACTCAGCTTAACTCAACCCAACCACACAGCGCAGCAGCGCAGCAGCGCAGCAGCGCGTATTGTACGCACCAGCACCAGCACCAGCACCGAACCGGGACCCAGACCAAGACCTGCGACCTCGACCTCGATCCGTCTCCAACCCGCGAACTAAGATGCTGCTGAGTCGGTTGAGTTCCTGTCACTAAACAGCTCGCTTCATTGCCCCACCGTCGAAATGGCGACTGCGCCTCCGGGCCTACCTCAGCGGTTTCCTTGCTGGTGCAGGGCGGTGTATTCTTACGGAGGAGAGGTGCGTTGAATACTGGCCCTGCAACATGTCCACCCTCCGGCTGCTTGGGACAGGACCGGTCTTGTTCCCGGGGGGATCCTCTGCTTCGTGCTGACGCACCATGTCTGTAGTCAAAACGAGATCTTGGTTTCATAGAGGGCGACCTGATCGAATGTCTCAATGCCGGCGACGGATCGTGGTGGACGGGCAGACTGCGCCGAGACAGGAGAATGGTCGGCCTCTTCCCGTCAAACTTCGTCGAGGTTCTCCCAGATGACTTCAGACCTGTCAGCAGGTCGACAAGCCCCATGCCCGTGCCCCAGAGCACTCCAAGTCCCAAGAACACCCCGCAGAAACAAAAGACCTTCCGAAAACCATTCGAGGCATATTCCAAAGCGCCACACTATACCGCCGCAAAGCAGCCCGAGACCTACAGACAGAGCCCCGTGAGGCCATCGCAGGACCTCTCCTCGGCACCACCGCCAGCAAGATCACCATTCAGGCAGTCCAATCGCAGTGTGCAGTCAGACATAGACAGGATACAGACACCGCCTCGAATCCGTGGCTATGGGTCTAGGCAGCCCTCACCAGCCCTCCTCGGACCTGCATTCGCGCCTGCACCCTCGCCTGTGCCTTCGTTCAATGGGCGTTTCCAACAACCACAGTTCACTAACCCCTTTGACGGCCAGGATGATGCCCCACCCCCGCCGCCTCCTCATCGACATGTCGGTGTCCAAAAGCACGGTCCCAGCCTTTCATATGACAGCCATATACAGCCAAGGCTTTCGGGAGAAGTTAGCAGGCATGGCTCAACCCTCTCGTACGACGCAAGGATACCAGCCGAGCTCAGAAGACATGGCTCCCGCGCCTCATATGACAGCCGAATGCAGCCCGAACTGAATCGGCATGGTTCTCACGCGTCTTACGATGACCGCGCCCATCAAGATATCAGCAGGCATAGTTCGCTTGCTTCTTATGACGACCGGGTCGGGTTTGAGCGGCGTGGGTCACATCTCTCGATGCACCAGCCAGCCCCGATGCAGCAGCCAATGTCAGGTTATCATACGCCCCGGGCGGCTTCTCCTTGCCCCCCCTCTCCTGGAGGATCCGGCGTTAACATGACCCCTTCCCCACTCAGAGAGGCCATGGACGGCGTGATGGAGCAACTGGACGCCCTTGGAACGCACGAGGCGGAGTCGCCCGAGGAACCAGCATTCGACCCGTGGTCCCCCGAGTCCTTCGACATGGTCAACCAGCAGTCACGACGGAAGCGGAGGGAGGCCACAAGACCCCAGACCTCCATCGGCATGGCCTTACATCCCGATTCCGGCTATGGTACTGGAAGCGGCGGTTCCTCCCGGGAGCCCACCTATCATGGCGGTTACCACCAAGATGGACACCTGCCCCAGCTGAGCAGCTACGTGGAGCGGATGGACGCACAGCTGCGCAACATGCACGCACGCAACCCGGAGACGGCCGATGAAGCTGATTTAGAGCCTCCTCCCCCACCTCCTAAGAGCCGGTTGGTCGAGAGACCCAAATCTTCCATGGACACTCGTGCTGACGGCCCGGAACGCAAGCTACGACACAAGAGATCAGCCAAGGAGGTCGGCAAGATGATCGGCCGGACATTTACCACCAAGACGAACTCGTCCTCAAGCACCCGCGCAACCGATAGCAGTACAGGCACACAGAGCACTAACAGGAGTCTGATGAGCGGGATCTCGGCTGGCGGTATCAGTGCTACCAGCGCTGGCAGTCTGGCGCGCAAGACTAGGGGTCGCGCCCAGAGTGCGTTAGGAATGCATGACCTGGGACTGGACCGACCAGAAACCCCATTCAGTGGGGTCACTTACCACAGTAGCCATGCCTCCGATGCTCAACGACCGAAATCCCAAGCGGCCTTCCTGGACGATCCGATGGGCAATGTCGGCGGCCTTGCTCCTCCAACCCCAAAGAAGAAGAACTTCCTGAAGAAGCTCATGGACTCGGCCAAGACGGGGGTGGCAAGCGGGCGGTCCAGTATCATGACAGGCGGTAGCAGCGCCGGCTCTTTACAATCGTCGCCAATGCCCCCAACAATGGCAGCATCATCAGCGGGGATCTCCTCGGTTGGCTTTTCTAGCCCCGCCGTCGCCAAGGATGCTTCCCGTGACATGGGACTGGCTTCTGGTACGGACTGGGTCCAGGTCCGGCGGGATGTCAACCGATCAAATACTCTGAGCCGAAATGAAAGAAACGAGCGCAAAGATAGGTGCATGATGCTTGACTTCCCGGCTCTCGACCCAGTGGACGAGCTGTACGGAAGTATAGAGGGTGATGAAGATGCGGATGGTCTACCTGTCCAGAGACCCATGGACTACTCGAGCATTAACTTCACGAACGTGGACAAGAACTCGCGTTTCATTAAGAGCCTGCCACCCATGACAACTGCGATCACGCTGTCTACGACCTATGTCTGCAGACCATACAGAAGCGACGTGCAGCGATTACGAGCCATCTTCACCTGGGTTGCCGAATTAGTTACCTGGGAGGAGGACTATGAGGGGGATGTTGACACACGTCGGGTCATTCAGACAAAGCGGGGGTGTGCAGAAGAATACGCGGTCCTAGTGATGGAGATGTGCGGTGCTGTTGGCCTGCACTGTGAGGTAGTGCGCGGTTACCTCAAGACGCCTGGCGAGATTCCAGAGACCAACATGCTACCCCGTCCGAACCACTGGTGGAACGCTGTGCTGCTCGATGGACACTGGCGCATCATGGACTGCTGCCTCGCGAGCCCTTCCAACCCGAAACGTGCTCTCTTCTCCAGCGTTGGTAGTGGCTCTGCCGACTTTTGGTACTTTCTGGCCCGGCCGTCGGAGATATGCTGGACCCATATGCCCGAACATCACGAGCAGCAGCACGTCTGTCCTCCCGTGGCCAATGAGGTTCTGCTCAATCTGCCGTGCGCCTGCCCGCCGTACTTTACCAACAGCTTGCAGATGTTCGACTACAACACGTCCCTCACCCGTATCGAGGACCTGGAAATGGTGCACATCAAGTTCAACGTTCCCGCCGATGTTGAGGTTGCTGCGGAGGTCGAGGTCCGCGCCCTTAGTAGGGACGAGGATGGAGACTTCTTCGAAAGCGGTGACTTGGTCAAGAAGCGTGCCCTGGCTCAGTGCGAATGGTTCAGCGGCTCGAAGCGCTACACCGTCAAGGCTCTGCTACCTGGCGACGAGGGCCATGGAACTCTCAAGATCTACGCGGGCAAGCGTGGTCTGATGCATAGCATCAAAGACATTCCGCACCCCATGGCATTTGCAATCCCCATCATCCACACCGGCGAGAACCCAGCCTATGAGTTTGTGCTGCGACATCCCACACCTCACGCACAGCGACACGATATCTACGTTGTCCAGCCCCAGTGTCAGCGCCTCGCGCTTAATAACACCTTTGTGTTTGCCATCCGGCAGCACCCCAGCTCGGCACCCGACACCCCGTCCTCCAACCTGGGCGGTGCTAGCCCCATCCCATTCGTGCGGCCGGGTTCAGCCATGAGCATCAGCGCGACGTCGAACCCGAGCAGTTACAGCGGCAGCGGGTCGGGCAGCAGCAAGCCGGCGAAACTGGCGATCCAGACGCCCGGCGGCAAGATCCTGCGGCTTATGAGGAAGGAGGAGCGCCGCCACGGCGGCGCCGGCATGGGATCCTCGGCACGCGGCCTGACCAGCGAGGAGGAGGTCGGCGACGGGGGTACGTGGGAGACTATCATCAAGTGTTCTGAGCGCGGCGTCTGGAGGGGTCTCGTCCTTGCAGACCGGATTGCGAAATGGTGCGTCTTTGCGGAGTGGCATTGCGTTGGATGATCTCGGTAATGAACTTGTGGGCGAATTTTCCACCCCATCTTGCTTGGTGTTTGGGAGGCAAGGAGTTTCAAAAACTCATAATATCTGGTATCTCTGTGGACTCGCACTCAATCGGCATGTCTCAAACGGAGTCTCTGGCTGGTACTATTTTCGGCTTGCATGTCAAAACGGCGTTTGTTCTTGTCGACATCATCAATCTTTGGAACATGGAGACGAGGCCTGGATGGTCTTGGTCATCGGAGAAGAGAGAGAAGCGCGCTTGGTCGCGTGTGTACGTGAAAGGAAAGGGAAGGAGTTCCAAGGATATTCTGATGCTGGAATTTGTGGTCCATCGGCCAGCCTGGTATAAGCGAAGTTTTGGCGTCTTTTTTTTTCAATAGGCCTCGAAAAAAAGGCAGCCTCTGGAAAACCAAGTGTACGAGATAGCGCCCGTTCTGTATGAGTATGGATAATGGCACAGTATCTGTTAAAACCATTCAATCACTTCATCGTGCCATTGCTGTCCGTGATATGTTGCCTGCCCAGGTGGTCAAATGAACATTCGGCTTCCGAGTTTCCTCGCCATTTCGCGGCCCGAGAAGGACCACAGCAGGACCAACTTAGAAGACATAGAAACAAGGGGTCACGAGTTGGCGGCCCTAACCCTTGGCTTACAACCTCACGCCATGGTGGATTTTGGGCACGATACCGGCAGAGGTGCAAGCTTCGGAGAATCGAAGTGTGCAAGTGATTTGTCATCGATCTTGACTTCTTCCTCTGGCGTTACTTTTCTCCTGTATGTGTGTACGGCCTCACCTGTACGGTAGATTCGTGCAGTTGATTCAATTGGTGAGCTCACACTGTTGATATTATTTTTTCAAGGGGACAACACCGTACCTATCTCCCGGTTTGTTCGCGCTCAGCCTTGACCAGTTTCGACTTCTCCATCGTCATAGACTGACTGACTCATTGGGAACTCGTACAGCCTCGGCATCATTGGAGCACATTCTCTTGGAGAGGAAGCATCACACAGCCCTGTTCCGTAGCACATCGGATCTGAACTCTTGGGAGACTTTGAGATCAACATCACTTTTGCCCTCACACAACCATCCCAACCCTTCCTTCCTTTGCACGCACAAGAAGAAACCATGGCCAAAGCCCCCTCCATCGAGGTAAACAACCTCACCTACTCCTTCGCCGACTCCTCCCTAGGCGTCCACGACATCACACTCTCCCTACCCCCACGGTCCCGCACGCTGCTGATCGGCGCCAACGGCGCGGGGAAAACGACCCTCCTCCGCCTCCTCGCGGGCAAGCGCCTCGCCCCCTCTGGCGCCATCTCGGTGTCGGGCGTGGACCCGTTCAAGGACGGGCTGGAGGGCGTGACGTACCTGGGGCTGGAGTGGGTGCTGAACCCAATCGTGCGCACCGACATCGGGGTGGTCGAGCTGCTGCGGTCCGTGGGCGGCGACCACTACCCGGAGCGGCGCGACGAGCTGGTGCGGGTGCTGGACATTGACGAGGCGTGGCGGATGAGCGCCGTGTCCGACGGCGAGAGGCGCAGGGTGCAGCTGGCCATGGGCCTGGTGCGGCCGTGGACCGTGCTGCTGCTCGACGAGATCACGGTCGACCTCGACGTCCTGTCGCGCGCCGAGTTCCTGGCGTGGCTCAAGGGGGAGACGGAGAGCCGCGAGTGCACCATCGTCTACGCGACGCACATCCTCGACAACCTCGCCGGCTGGCCGACGCACCTCGTCCACATGCACATGGGCGGCGTGAGGGAGTGGGACACCACCGACAAGTTCCTCAGCAGGCTCGAGGGGGACACGGGCAACTCGCGGCTCGGGGAGCTGGTCCTGGGCTGGCTGAGGGACGACCTCAAGGACAGGGGCCCGCGCAGCCAGAACCGGAGGGCGCCGGAGGGCAAGACTTATGGTATGGGGGGTGCCGAGCTGGGCGGATATGGGCTGGAGGCCAGGAAGTAGGAGAGAGGTGTGAGGAAGGGTGTGTGGACGTCACATTTCAACACAGCATGTTGCGCGGAGTTTGAAGACTCGTTTGGCACTTTGGCAATGGCGTGTTTAAAAGGGGGGTGGGGTTACCACGAAGCGCATTTAACATGGCGTTGGCAGACAGAGGGCAGGAATATGCCTTTCAACATGTGCTCGCGGAAGAGAGGGGGCTTCAACAGGTGGGCGGTCTTTGGTAAACGGGAGGTATGGTGAAATAGGCGTTGCGGCTGTTTCCATCGGATTATACCCCTCATCGGGTGGGTCAGAGAGACGGTGTACTTTAACATTACACGTTGGAATTGTAGATCAGACAGACTCGATTACAGATGAATAGACTCATCGCATGACATGGGAAGATAGTCTCGAACCACCAATCTACGTTGTCGTCTTATGTGGATATCCGAGCTCTCTCAAGTCGAGTGAATTGCATCTCATGTCAGCCCTTGGCCTTTGCGTCCAACAGGTTCCGCATGGTGCTGTACATCAGCTCCGAGATGCCCCCGAACCCCTCCGCCTCCAGGTGCCTCAGCACACCCAGTCGATAGTCCTGCCATGTAAGCTCGAGCCCACCCCTACGCGCGAGCTGACCGAGGCTCTTGGCCGTCACAGGCCCGGCGTGGCGGACGCGCAGCACAACGTCCTCGTCCTCTTTCTCCTCGAGCCGGCGCAGGTGGTCTGCGGCCTGCATGCACAGCAGCGGGCTGTAGCTCATGGTGAAGAGCGTAAGGAGGGCCATGTCGCCCGCGCCGGAGCCGGACGAGAGCCCTGCGACGTGGGCGGTCAGCGCGGACGCGGGCGAAGCGGACAACATGCAGCCCCTGGCATGGGCGTCACGCGTAGCAAACGCCTTGCCCCGCCACAGGCAGTTGCAGATGTCCATCAGGAAGCCGTTGAAGGTGTTGACCTGGGCCTTGTCGTACTGGGGGCCCAGCGCCTTGGCCGCGTTGGCCATGTACGTGGCAAAGGCCTGCTTGTAGGCGGCCAACACAGAGCAGAGCCGCGACTCGACCGCGAGCGACGTGGTGAACTGCAGCGTGTACACGAGCGGCACGGGCGGGATGGTGATCTGCAGGGACCGCAGGAGCGTGCCGTTGGAGTAGACGTGCGCGGCGCGCTCGTAGAAGTCAAGGACACTGAGGGCCGTGTGCGCCGTGGGCGAGGTCTGCAGGGCGGTTAGGGCGAGCTGGTTTGCGTGCGAGATGAGCCTGTCTATGGACTCGGATGCGTGTTTGGGGATGGAAGCCTCGGAGGCCAACAGGATGACGTTCCAGTGGCGGAGCATATTGGTGTATAGTGCCAGGAGGTCCAGTTGTGACGCAGCGGAGCCGTCTAGTATCGCCGTCTGTAGCGTGGACGCCATGAAGGAGAAGTCTGTGATGAGTTTTAGTACCGCTCACATGCTGGACCAGCAGGTTCCCATGTCAATTACCTTCAGGGCCCATCAGCGGCGCGTAGGCGAGAAGATCGTGTACTCGAACATCAGCCTTCAGGTGCAGGCGCAGTCCTATCATCTTGATGATGCCGGCGAAAAAGGGTGATATATCCTATGCGACTATCAGCTTCGGCTCAACCGGGACGCTGGAACAGTGCCGACCTTGGTCGCCCGTGCATATTCGAGAATAACTCTGAGCGTGTCCCCGACAGTTCGATCGTCCGCGTCACCGTTCAGAATCTCGGCGAGTTGCACGTCCATCCAAGCCGACGCCCTCCTGAGGTTCAAGTCCGGGCGGAGAATCATAAACTTCTGGAGGAGCGGGTCAACCAGGACAGCAACAAGGTGATCCGGCAGCTCAATCTTGTCGAGATTCGCGGCCAGGCTTTCTGCGCTGTCGATCTCCTCCAAGGTGACCGATTTCTCATGTGAATTAGATGTTTGCACGGGCGGAAGACCACCCAACCCGTTGCCCTTGGAGCCAGTCAGGAGTTGCTGGTTGATCTTGAAGCCATCTTTAGGGCCTTGGAGGTTACTCTGCTCTAGGTCGCGATGCATTTTCTGGATGACGGACAGCCTATCCCGCCACTCTGGGTCGGGGACTTTGAAAGGGGTCCCCTTTGCGGTATTGCCGACTATAATCTCGGGGTAGTAATTCCTGAAGACCCGCAGCAAGCCTTGCAAGTGCCGGTCGTTGCCAGCCTGCCTCGACAGGTTCAGCAGAGCTTGTATGCGGTAATGCTGGACATGCTTGCGCCTTGTGATAATTGCCAGGATGTGGAACAGCTGAGGCCTGGTGGCAGAAACATCCAGGAGGTTGAACAATACGCCGTATGCCCTGGACAGCACGGCCTGCGCCTTGAGGTCGAGAACATGGTAGACCTGGATGACCCAATTGAGCAGAGCACTCTGCAGGGTGAGAGATGGTCTGATCTCGCCAAGGCCTAGGCACCCGACTGTCCTGATGATAACATCTTCGGAGACTTTGCCGGTGGGGTAGAGATTCTTGATGATGGAGTTGAGGCTGGCCTGGTCCAGGTGGGAGGGCGAGACGACCAAGTCGATGAGGTCAAGGAGCTCATCTGGAAGCAAGCCTTGGCTGTACGCGACGGAAGCCAACTCTGCAACTTTTGGCTTGACGTCGACGACACGCCTCTTTGCAGGCACTTTAGAAGCTGGGCAGGGTTGTCAGCAATAGTCCGTATGCGCCGGCTGCTCCGAGCACATACCTTGGACGACATCATCAATAAGTGACCGTGTCCTGGTCTTGTATTCAGCATCCATGCTGGCTGGTGTTGGCGGAGCTCAGCCCCACTCAGAAGGCATGGGTGGTATTTGTGCTAATAATTGTCATGTTCTCATGTTCTCATGCTTGGTCGTGATTGCTTCCTGAGCGGGAGGCGCGACGAGACGCGCTGCGGCTTAGGGTCGCTTGACGCGTTTCGGCCGGCAGCACGGAGTAGGCGGACAAGGCGGAGGACAGGCGGGAGCTAGGCCGTGCACGGTTGCCAGAGGCCCCTAGTGCTCCGGCTGGGCGGCGCCTGCCAGATAAGGCAGGCAATGAAGTTGCCCGCATTATTCTTGTCTGGCTCACATCAACACCAACAACCAACCCATCATCACTGTCGACACAACTCAGCAGACTGCGGTCTGCCTGATCTCGACGTCTCCAAAGATGCAGACACACTGCCAAGGCCAGAAAGTGTTGATGGCCGTCGAAAGAAAGAGCCCGATCGAGGCACGGCAGAGGCGATCCCCCATCCCCCCATCCCCCCCCTGGCCAGCTCTGCCAGTGTCGCTTGTCCGGCGTTGCTGCCGTGTAACCCTCATCACTGCATCAGCATCCCCACTCCCTTGACTTCTTGACGACAGCCTGCCAGCCTGCCAGCCTGCCCGACCCTGTCTTCTTCTTGACGTGCCTGACGTCTGCTCTCCCACCCAAGCAGCAGCCGACGCACCCGCTTTCTTGCGTCTGACAAGTCGCGTGCGTCTCGTGCGTCTCGTGCGTGCGAGCCAACGCCGTTCGCCGTTCCACAGGATGGCTTGGATGGATATTACATTACAACTTGACTCTCACCGCGCACGTCCAGCGAGCAGGCTCGATAGCAAAAACTCGCTTATGCCGGCTGACCGTCTCACGGCGTCTCTTGTCTTGCTCTCCTCTCTTTGCCGGTCCCTGCTCGACTCGCTCTGACGGGACGCCCTGCTCGGAGCGAGGGCGAGTGCGACTGCTGTGCCTTGCCCTCCTCTGGGGGCGCCCGTGGGCCACTGTCGTGTGCAACCAGACCTCGCGGATTGAGTCAAGTCGCTGCGTTCGTCGGCTCCTCTCCGAACGCGCCCATGTCACGCATGCTATGAATAGACGACTCCCTTGGTCAGCGGCCCGCCCGCCTTGCACCATAGTTCGGTAGCTGGTTACACAGGCCGGGTTTCTGTGCGACCTCCTGCGCCAGTTGCCTCGTCGAGTCCACAGTCCAGATGCACTCAGCCCTCGGGTCATCTATTATCTATGTGCACAGCCGCCCCGACGACCTATGGTCTACTGTGCCATATTCCGTACGGGCAGACGGGCAGACAGGGCACTCGACGGCCGGCTGTGCAGGGCCATGCGGAATGTCTGGCAGGACCCGTCCGCCCGTCTCCTCTCCTACCCTGGACGACAAGGGCGCCGCCATTTCCGGTGCACAGGTCATGCAACCTCTCCAAGATGCAGCATCTGCACTGACATATCATCGAATCCTTCAGTGTAACTTGAGATGCTTTCAGGACGCCCAACTCGCTGAGCCGAGAACACACGCGCCAATGGGCTGCCCACACAGATGTGACCATCCTGCAGCCTCGCTGAGCACAGTCAGAACGGGAAGCTCACCCCTGGAGCCGAGACCTTCATTCCACAAGCTCCAGGCCTTGCTACAAGGGCGGCCTTCCAGCCAGCCATCAACTACGCAGCTTGGGGGCCTTTTTGCTGCAGGTCGGTCGACACAGATGCCCTTCAAGTGTGCCAGTGTCGTATGGGCATAACCCGGGGCCGCCCTACCTCGGATTTGTGCAGGCCGGCCGTTGGAACTGCCCGCCCTTGCAGGGCCGCTCTTCTCACCAAAGAAAGGCACCGCCCCGCCCTGCCATCCGTCATAACTCCGAGCTTACAGCGCGTACATTGGCCGTTTCCGTGCAGCGGTATATTCAGTGGCTCGTACGGGCAAGGTATCAGCAGGGCGGAGCCCTGGGTTGCACAATATTGTCCCAAACAGGATCTTGACACCTGCAGTTCTCCCAGGGTTGCAGTACTGACGCAGCCACCGAACCTGTTGGTCCGGGTGCGTCAACAGGCTTCCCTCGGCGCCTGTTGCCGCATATTCAACCGCACAACAGCCGTTTTTATACACCCATCAGCAGCACCCGTGGCGTGACGAGCAGCAGAGCAGTGCAACACACTTTATTTCGTCCCGTGTCATCTTTGCCAACTGTCGATTCGCCAGCCTCCGCCGCTCTGCTTCACAAGGAGCAGCCCCACAAACCGAGTGAGCCCGCGGCTGCACCGCCGGCCATCTCCTGAGCCTGCTGCGAATTTGGACCCTGAACATTCCAGAATTCCTCCATCCGCGGATCTGCGGCGACCAGTCTCACTCGGAACCCTTCTACGTGAGAGCGTGCGTGCATTAATTTCAATTCTCAACAATACGGGCCCAATTATCACAAGGTCTCGCTGACGTCGTGGTAACCAAGCCACCAGTCTCTGATAACCCTGAACTCATGGTCAGTTCCCACAACCGGGGGCTGTGGGCTGTCCAGGGCGCGCACTGCCGACTAACACGCCCGCTAGCATATATAACCAACCCCAAGTATCCGCTGCATCCCGCGGAACAATGACTACGGGTCTTGGAAATGATAACAGGATATGTCGCCGACACGCTTCCAGGCACGGATCAAATCAAAAGGCCTGGAGCGATGCTCATACAGGATGCTCCGTCCCCCCATATTCCTTTTTCAAACATTCTTGAGCATGGAGATATCGTCCTCCTGCTGACACCGGTCGTCCGCCCTGTCGATCAAGGCTCTACCGAGGACCCTTTCGAGCCTCTGGGAAGAGGATTGGCAAGGTACCACCCATGGATTCGACACGTCCCGTATACAGCAGCGGCTGGCATCACCAGCACCCATGTCGCCTTCATCAAGAGGGCCAAGATCGTGGTGTTTGTCATCACAGGACCCCCGGTCCCAGGGCAACCGTCGCAGGTGGCACTGTCTAGCATTGCGCAGGCGGCCGGAGATCGTCGTCCGCATGTGGTCGTCGCCTGTTGCGATGTACAGCAACTCGAATCCGCCACGACAATTTTCCCGACTATCGTGCAGCTGCCCGGCTACTCGCGACACGACCTGGATACTGGGGCAGACATTCTGTACCATGGACAGCCCAGGCACTCCGCCCCGCCGCCAGAAATTCCAAGCGTGCAGCCCAAGGATTTCACGCAGAGATGGGTCGTTAAGCCTTTCAACGTGGCGACGGATACGCAGGCGGTCTATGATCTTTGGTGCCAGAACATGCCGAAACAATTCGGCCTCGATCGGTATCGTCTCATGAACCTGTTGCAGCGTGATGGCTATGCAAAGCATTTGGTCGCACGTGGCTCGGAGACTGGGCCGGTTCTGGGGTTCTGCGCCACCTACATTACCTATTTGGATAGCAAAGGAGAAGCCCTGGTAGGGTCAATCGCTGCCATCGTCGTTGATTCTTCGCACCGCGGCCGGGGTATCGGCCGGATCCTACATGACACGGGTGTCAAGGAATTCTCGAGGACACGAGGCGTCAGCCGGCACCAGTTGGGAAGCACGTTCCCTCGGCTTCTGTACGGCCTGCCGGTCGATGACCCCTCTGAGGTGTGGTTTAGACGGCGCGGGTGGAACATGGATTGCACCGCGCCTGGCACTGGGCAGGAAGTCGCGGACTGGGTGCTCACGTTCAATGAGTGGCCAACTGGTGGGTTTCCACCCATTGGTGTCACTTTTCGGCCCTGCGGATTCATGGACTTCGACAGGGTTCTAGAGATCGTGGAGCAAGACTCGGATCGAAAAGGCAACATGGCCTGGTACGACCAGTATGCGAAGCTTGCTGAATCCATGTCTATGAGCGATATCATGGTAGGCTTCCGTGGCGATGAAATTGTCGCGACGGCCATAACATATGTTATGCGTTCTGAGAACCCGTCGGCGGACGACATACCTTGGGCTGGTACGATTTCAGAGGACACAGGGGGTGTTACGTGCATTTGTATTACTGGTACGTATCTTAACTTACTGACTAGGTCAGGGCGGCGGAAGACTGACATTCCTTAATCTACTTAGACAACGATGCATCGAGGAGCGACGCGATCATGGTCAGGCTCCTAGACGCGTGTGTTCAAGGGCTGCGGGAGAGGGGCATGGGGAGGATGTACATTGACGCAGCAAAGACAAAGAACGCCGGCTTTCAGTCAATAGGTACGCGACGCATGAGCTTCAACTGTCTATGCTTAGTCTTTGCACAATTGCTGACATTTCCCTAGGCTTCCAAAAGTGGGCCAGATACAGGGACATTTGGCGGGATGTATAATTCGCATTCACTTTGAATCCGCTAGATTGCGAAGTTGGGAAGTTAGGCATCATCTAAAACGACATCATATCAGCCAGTCATGGCAAGCACACAAGCTCATTGATTACGCAAACAGCCACGACAAGCTCCCAGCATTTACCCAGGCACCTGTCTGACCGTATCCCAAGAATGCAAGCACTCGAAAAGCGTGAGAGGACGAACCTGCGTGCACTGCTTCGCGCTCGCATATTGCAGCCTGGAACCGGCGCCTAGGCTTTCTCGCACACCGCAGTTTCTGATCTTGTGCCTAGATGATGGCGATGCCGACGGTGAACCCACGGAATGATACCCACATGAAGGACAACTCACACATAGATTGCAGCCTGACCACCCAAACGAGTCGCACAAGTGGTATTCAGTCCGACCCATCGTGGAGCTCTTGTGTGACGGTAACCCCAGGTCTCCCGGCGGATAGGCGGGCGAACAGGTTCAAGCTGCACGACCATGAGACCCATAGTAAGGATTCCAGACTGCAGGTGTTGGGCTCCCGCCCCCTATCCCGCCGCCAAAGCATGTTGAATCCTTCGTATGGCAGGATGAGCTCTTTTCCTTTGCCTTGACTTTCCTTATTCCTCTAGCAATGTGTCACCTGTCCTACTCGCATGCTGCCCGGGGTTCAAAGCCTACGCGACTCCTCATCTGGTCTGCCCTCCCCCGGCTGGTCCAACCCCCAATCAGGCCACGGGCCATTCCGGCTTGAAGGATCCGTCGTACATCGGGGCCGAATGCCGGGGTGTTGTTTTTCTGTACCATACGGCTGGTAGCTGGATTCATAAACAATGGTGTGCAAAAAGACCCGCCCCAATTGGCTTAATGTGTTGTTCTCAGCTCCCCCTGTCGTCGTCCCCTCCTCCGCCCTTTCCACCGTTCAAACTGCTGCCGCGAAGGCCCCTAGTGTGAGAGGATTGGCGGTGCATATCCATGCATGCATGGCGCTTTTGTGCCCGCGTGTGTCGCTTATATAATGAGGCTGGCAACTTACACATCACCGCGGGCCTCAGCGAGATGCCTAAAAATAAAAGCCAGCACACTCAAAGAGACACAAACGTACATGCCATAAAATGGCTTCTCCGTCCGTTCCCAGCCGCTCACTGACTGCCGCCGCGTGGGGGTATACTTTCACAATCTCCCCAGCTAGTGCCTTGTCTCAGACCGTGTACCGCGCGCCGCAAAAGTGCCCCAGGCGCGTCAGGAGGGCCGGTGCCGTATGTCCATGGAATAGACAAGAACCGTTAGTAAATCCTGTGCGACAGGCGCCAAGGGGGGCCGTCCCACCCAGACGGCGCCCGAAGAATCCTTCCCTTTTTGAGTCTGCATTGTCCGGCGGTCGGCACTGCCATGTGAGTGAGCATGGTCACACGATGGGGTGAACTAGTTTGGTTGACTACTTGACCCCCCCCCTCCCACCGAACTCGTGCATGGTAAGGAATGAGATGGGTTTATGGGGCAGGACGTCTATACAGTATACAGTCACGAGGAATGGGAGGAGAAAATAAAACAGAAAAGGATTCCAAAGACGGCCAGCCCTCTGTCACCACTGTGCTACGTCACACGATGCACCCGATTTGCCAAGGGATGGCCATACCGCCTTCGCAGCCCTTATGATAGCATGTGTTGCGTCGTACGGACCCCCGTCTCCCGCGCCTGTCGCGTCGATGCTTTACTTTTTCCTTTGCCATTTCCTTGTTCCTTTTGTTCCTGTCTGACCTCGCGTCCCCCGGAGGGGGGCTGTGTGACAAACGATAGATTGGGAACACCCATATCCACACGAAGGGGCGGGGAGGATCCAGCCCATACGACGAAGGAATGGCGGTATGCACCTGGGCAGGCGGTGGGAGACAGATGTGAGGCCACGCGGGTATGAGACGGGCAACGAAGGGAAAATACTGTTGAGGCCTGTCAGCACAGCAAGCAGCACGCACATGGAGATACCTAGGTAGATAGATGGATGGATGGATGGATTGTCTCTACCGGACACCTGCACAAATATGAATCCTCCGAACGGAGAAAGGCTTTTTGTACAACACCATTCAAGATCGTCAGTTTAGTGTGACCGCAAAGGAATCAATACGGTGGTGGGCTAGACCAATCCGTTCCCTTGGGGTGAGTGAGTGTGGGTGTAAGTCGTGTCATTGTCCGGGGTGTTCAGTGGGATCCCTCCGCACCACCACCACAGCTTACAATCGTCCGCATCCGACACGTGTTTGTTGTGCGATAATGGGCACGTACGCTTGGGTCTGTATCACACACAGACAAGAATACTTTTGGCACGAGCAAGGAGGAATAGCCGTTTGGGTCGGAGCGAAGTGATTCACATTGGCCCGTCTTTTCACCTTCTCCCGTCATGGCGCGACGAACTGACTGACTGCTCGCTCGCTCTGCCATTCCGGGCTGGTTACATCTCATACATGCTCTTCCACCACTCGCCCTGTCAAAGAACCATACACGAGGATATTGTAGAAGTGGTATGGTGGCCGTTGGGGGAAAATGATACTTGAGAAGTGAAAAGGAAAGCAACAACTTTTGTGGTATAGTGATCAAAAACAATTCCCTCACAATTCCCGAGACTCCTGCCTTCCAATTTCTGCGACGGCCGTTCCATCACGGCCGAAAGTGCCCTTCGTCATGCCCTCCGTCATGATCATCAAGATTCATCTCCGTTATTCCGTCCCAACCATACGCACCGATTGTCTCTTTTCTCATTGCCCCTTTCCGTAGACAGGTCAGACGCTGCTGTCCTTGATAGATAAAATCCACGAACTCGAGGCAGACCTTAAGCCCACTTCGAAAAGTCCAGACTCTCGACCAATGAGTCCAGGTTGAAAGCCTGCATCATCATCTCCGTGTCTGCCGTCGAGTTGCTCATGACCGAGCTGCGATGCGACTGCGAGTTCTGCTCGCTAGTGCTCGTCAGGAACGTCGCCACACTGGCCCGGCGTAGGTCACGCATGCTCAGTCCAGACATGCTGTCTCTGGCGACGCCGCTTGAGGGCCGGCTGTCAGTATTTGCCTGTCCCAGCTGCTGCTGCTGTTGTGCAGAGGCAAGCGCACTACTGAGCGACATTGGTGCCGGCGTGCTGACAGCCGATGCCTGAGGACTCGTGAGAGTCGACGGCGATGTTGCAGCTGAGGGCGCAAGTTTGGGTCCATACCGCTCACGCAAGCGACTTATCTCCCTCAGACGACTGCGCCAGGCGGATGGATAATCACCCTGATCGCGGTGGGCCCAGACGACAGAAAACACCGACGCATTGAGGGCGAGCAGGCGGACAAAATCTGGAAGTGCCTTCAGGCTGACCATCTTGGTTGCGGCACAAGGCGAGATTTCAGGGAACCCTTCCTTGCTCATGACTTGGACCTTAAAGAAAGGCGTGTAGCCTCCCGTGTTGAGTGCCTCTGCATTGTCTCCATCCTCTTGCTTCTGGGCGCTGTGCTCGCGAGTAGCGACAAATGATGCCCTTGACTCCGGTGTGATGACAATGTTGACATAGTTGAACTCGGACGGGAACGTGTCGAACTTGAAGGGCAGGCCAGAGTCGTTGAATATGATATTCACGAAGTCGTTGCCTATGTGCCTCTTCTTGCTGATGCATTGAGGGTCATGGTCCAAATTTGTAGGCATCTGCGTCGTGACATGGAAGATGATCTCTGTCACTCTGTCGCGCCAACAGAACGTGTATTGGCCGTCCGTGTCGTATTCGCGGTCGAGGCCTTGAGTATTGAAATCTGCGCCCTTCAACTTGGTGAGCGACCCGATTCCGTTCAAGAACTCCATGTAGTCTGCACTGCCTGACACGTTGGAGAGAATCTCAGTCTCCTTGGTTTGGTTCTCTCCTATGTAGATCACGCCCACCTTGTGGCCATCCACAGTGGAGAGACGGTCAAAGGTTCTGACGCTTCGGCCAATAGCCTCTTCATCTGGAAGGGGGAGTGGGCGCAGTGCCGGTTCATGACTTTGCGGCGTGGACGAGAGAAGATGAACAAGCAGATGGCTAGGGATAGTGCTATTCGTGGTTAGTGGGCCCGTATCTCTGCTGTCCCCGAACGTATTCGCTTGATGGGGAGGTGGAGGTTTGAAGTTCTCGCGGACAGTGAAGAAAGACGTGCCTGTCGGCTGCCTCTTAGTGACCTGTGCCCACGGGGTCGCCTTCGACTGTTTGATGGACACAAGACTGTTGGCGATGATCCACCGTCTCTCAGTGTACTCTGAGGCTTTCCTGTCAGAGAACCGGGGGTTTTCCGCTGACTCGTCTGCTTCTGCATATGCAACTCTCTGAACAAAGTCCATGGTTGTGAGCGCCTGCTCGTCGGAGACCGGATTGCCATCTGGGCCCTGAAACAGCCTTTTCGCTATCCACCCTACATGTTTCGCTCGATCACCCAGGCGCAGGGCTAGGAACCAGAAGACGATGACATGATACGCAAGTGCGTGCACATACTGCGGCAGCTCCTCGTTGTTGGTGGGCTGCCCTAGGATGTCGTACTCGTGAGTCGTGTTGATGGTAGCAGGCGCATTGTCACTTGCGGTGCTCGTTCGCACATACCGCTTCTTGTCGCGTACAGTGTCGAGATACCTGAAACACATACCAAAAACGACGCGAAACTCATCTTCAATGAAGTTGCTGTAGAGTGCTGGCATACGTGCGAGCCCAGCCAGAAACTCCAAAATGTGCATGGCCACATTGGCCTGCGTGATAACCGTTGACATCTTCTGCAGGATCGTCACGAGAGCTTTGGAAGTAGCAAGCGGGAGCTCGTGGCAGCAGATGGTCAGCGCATGGATACAGGTCTTGGCTGTAGAGTGCCCAATGCCCTGCATAAACGTTCTGACAAGATCGTCTTCGTCGCTTTTCTGAAAGTACTGGTGGTAACTCATAATAGTCGTGAGAATTTGGAAGATGCAGATGTTGACTTCGGGCCGGCGCAGCCCGGTCAGAGGCGGTGGATCCTGAAATAGGTTGTGCTTGCTCTGCTCGCACAACACTCGACGCGCCTCGCGTATTTGCGGGATGGCGCCTCTGAAGAACGCGTGGTTGCTCAGCTGAGACGGAAGGTGAACCAGGTTGAAGCTGTAAACTTCCCAATCACTCCCGTGAGTCAGATTATGGATGATGGCCTCTAGCCATGAGGCAACATCGATCGCACAAGATTCCTGTGCCGCTGTTTGCATTTCTTCCTCGCCTTCAACGCCGGACTCTGTCGTCTTCTCCATGTATGAAAAGAGAACAGGGCTGGCTATGGGAGAAGGTATTTCTGGTAGCACAGTAGAATCCGGTAGAGACCAAAGCTGCTGGTACTTTTGGCCATTTGGCTTGGTACCACTAGCTGACCGACTTGGGACCATCCTATCTTGAGCTGTAGAGCCAAACGAAACTCCTCGTGACGACCGCGATAAGCTTCCATGATCGCTCCTCAACCTGTGCGATGTGGCTGCGTCCTCTGCGACCTTTCTTGCTAGTGAGGCTTCCGTCCTGTGGAGAACACCAGCAAGACTTTCCGATTCAGTGAAGCATGTCAGGTATATACGATTTGCCCAGTCCGCTCTCAGTCGAAATAGCATCTTCATGGCCGTAATCCGAGCATCGGTCGACTGACCGAACTTTGCAATGTATACGAGGAGTTGAAAGGTCCTTGTTGCTTTTTGGCTATCCGTGTTCATGGTCTTCATAAACAGTAGAACATAACCTCGCGTAACCACATTAGCTGGGCTCTGGTCGGCAGCGCTTGCAACCTGGTCCGTTGTTGGAGGTTTCTCTTCCACAAATACCACCGGCGAGTTTATGCGATCGCTCGTGACGACTCCTTTGAGTGTCTCTACGATGTATTCGAAGAGAGATAAGTCGGCGGCCATTGCGACAGAAATCATGAACGAGACCGTCTCTTGAAGAACAACGGTATTTGCCTCGTCAGAAATGCCTGAGAGGATGCTCTTGACAATGTCGGGCACTGTATCCTCGTCAAGTTCATCCTCAACCAACTCCAGCATGTCGTAGACCTCGGTGATCCCCTGGAGAGCTGCGATACGGATTGCCGTGGAGCGATCGCGCTTTAGGTAGAACCACTCCAGAACCAAGTTGAGGTTCTGCTCCCAGTCCAGATCAGACGGATAACAGCATCGGAACTCTTTGAAATGTTCCAAGACGAGCTCTGCTGTGGAATCCGGGAGGACGTGAGGGATCCTCGCCATGAATGATATACACTCGTGCCTCTGTATGAAGTCTGAACCTCGCTGTCTGGAAAGCCCTTCCAGTCTCCGCAAGAGGGTCTCGAGCTCCTCCAGTATGGGGCCTCCTTTCTTCAAGTCCTGTACAGTGAGGCTGCTTGCAAGACTCGTTCTGGAGCTGTTTGGGGTGAGGCCGAAATTGACCCGACCGGCACACTTTTCAGCAACTTCCAGGACAGATGTCCAGTCCTCACCTTCGAGGAGCGGATTCAGTCTTTGTTCTCCGTCGTCGAACAGAGTGTTGATCAGCTTCAATACAGAGCCGGCTATCCGTGTGGAGGGTGACTTCTCGACAACATTGCTGCATCCGTCAATGAGTATGGCCAGTGGGATCGACGGGTAACCTTTCTCCGAAGACTTCCAGATCAACTTCTGGAGAACGGTCAGAGAGCCCCTGACTGCCCTACTCGTCTCTGACGTCTCCTGCCCGTTTCGGAGATATTCTCTGAGAATGTTGAGCAAGATCCGGACAGCCGCCTGGCCATTGTGCGACTTCAGCAGGTTGGACAGTGTGTGCCAGGAGGTCTTGGACAGCTTGTCGACGAGGCAGAAGATGGAGCTGAGGACTTCCACGCAACGACTCAAGCTCCGCTTGGGAACCGAGGCATACGTTATGATGGCATCAATCACCTCAATGCAAGATGTCAAATCGTCTTCCGTGCTCGTCTTCATGCAGATCTCGAGAAGTTTGTCGATCAAGCGTCCCAGAGTTTCGTCATCGGCGACCCTGAAGTTGAATTTGAGGACCTCGAGGATAAACGCGAACAACATGGAGAAACTCTTGTCCTCGCCCAAAGCAGCAACTGCTGGCGCAACGCCTTTCCCCTTGGCGCCCTTTCTCTCGCGCACTGCCTGCTGCCTCCGTGCCACCCTAACGGCATTGTAAGAGTCCTGCAGCCACGTTGTCAACAATGGGATGACGTCGTAATCGAAGCCGGAGAGATTGCGGCCATGGTTGGTCAGGTCGACCAGGGCGGCCAGCTGAAGATAGAAGTCGTCGGGGTTGGCGTGGAAAGACAGTGTCTGGAAGTATTCTTTTCGCTCGAGATCGGTCGAAGAGGGGTTGCGGACGCACTCGGTCAGGAGCTCCCAACCGGCTATCCTCGCGTGGCCGGGTTTCGATGGCTCTATCAAGTCTTTGCCAGCATCCCATATCTGTAGTACCGGGGCCAGGGGGTAGTCGGCAACGGACAGTCGCAGGGACTCGGCGGCCGCGATACGTTCGCTGAGAGAGCCATTCTTGAGCTTCTCCAGCGCCTCGCCGTGGTGGGGAGGCAGGCCGGTGGCAGCTAGCGAAACAGTATCGACTCGCTCGGAAGATAAATGGGCAGAAACGGTATCGGTGGACGAAGAGGGCACAGGCGGGACCTTGGAAAGCTTGGAGCCCCCAGTCAGGCCCTTGAAGACGCTGGCCAGGCCTCCGGCGCTCTTGTGCTCTGACGGCGGAGCCTGGTCATCGGCGGATGGAGGCATGGGGTCGCCAGGAGGGGCGTCAGGGGCATCAAAGCCCAAGGAGGCTGAGGCTATGCGTCGAAGCATGATATCAGTGTTGGGTCCATGGAAACAAGGCGCCGGTGGGGCGGGGAGATGGGCGAGCAAAACTGCAGAAACTGGAGGTTAAAAACATTCTGGACTGGGCAGCACGAGAACAGCCAAAGGAAGAGACTAGCAGTCGTCGGCGCCAGAGCATACATGCATGCAATCAGTCGTATACCACGACGTCGAGGTACTATCCCCAGCCAGGGTTCCGGCGCGAGGGCGGAAACAGGCAAAGGAGGCCCCACACAGATTTGATAGGAACAGGAACAGGAACAGGAACAGAACGGAACGGAACTGAAAAGAACAGGGCCAGGAGGGGAGTCGACAGTTGGTGATGGCACTCACAGACAAGCCCCTAGTCTATTCGCATCTACCGCTGTGATAAAGAGGGGCTTATGAAGTCAGGATCGTCATAGTGGCCATCAAGATATGTTTTGTCCGGTCAGGCTGGCCGCTGGACAGCCCGTCGAGTCGAGGCCGTCGAAAGTGCAGAGTTATGCACGTCGAGGGTCCAGCAAGGTTGAATCCAGGCAGGGCTCTGGCGCGGCGCGTTGTAAAATGGATGGGGAAAGAGAGCTAGGAACTAAGAGATAGACAATAGGGCCACCCGAAACCGAGATGCAGATGGAGATAGAGCTAGGAGCTATCGGATAGAAAGGGCGAAATGACTGCAACCATGTAGCTTCCACCACCACGCACGCACACTCTCCAGTCGCTCGCACTCCTCTCTCAGCCTGGGAGGACGGGGTCTGCCAGAGATATCTAGCGGCGACCGTGCCTGGGTCAGATGCTGTTGAGGTTGGCAGGATGTATGTAGACTTTTTTTTTTCTGACAAGGGTAATAAACTGGACGGCAACTGGCAGATGTCTGAGGGAGGTTGATTGGTATGCGCATGTCTCGAACTGCGGCCAGCTGGGTCTGGGTCTGGGTCTCGGGAACGGGGGACGCGAGGAAAAGGTACGCCGGCTGCACCGTGCACGGATCATGACCGTCAATCATGAGGTCGGCGGGGACCCACTCTGGCGCCGTTTTCGACGGGGCTTACTGGTTGCTTTCGCCGTCTGCCTGCCCGCCTCTGAGATTTATTGCGCGTCGGCACCGAAGATTTCGTCACATCATGCCATGCACTGTAGTAGATACACTACACTATATGCGCAATAAAAAGCCTGTTCCGCACCCAGCCAGGCGCTCCGTACTTTACGTACTGCATGTACTCCGTTCCTGAAAAGTTCATCGCAACCTCGAACCAGACCGGAGAAGGCTGTTTTGCTGCCGTCACTGTGAATTGCATTTGGAATCCGGTCAACTCCTGGCAAGACACAACACCAAGCACGGCAACACGGGCTCTGTGTCGATTCAGGGATGTTGAAGGGGAAAATCTGATCTGTATTGTGTAGCTAGCTGCTTAAGCAGCTATATAGGCATTTATTGTGCTATTATAGTATACAGCAGTCTCGCAGACCTGCTGTTCAGGGCACGTACTTGGGTACCTAGGTAGACTACTAAGTGCCTAGGTACTCTGGTACTTCAGGCACGGGATGTGGTGCGTGTAACAGGGTCAGGGATGCTCCAACGCCGCCCCTCGTCACTTGCCCCACTTCTGCTCGAACAAAGCTCGCCTGCCATTCAGCGCCACCAGGCGCCTAGCAACGGAACCACACCCCGGGAGCCCGTTTACTTTCGAGCTGCTGTACCGAGTTGCAAGGTTGCCTGCAACCAGACCTAGACCTGCAAAACTTCTTGTATGGACTGAACAGCAACAGCCCAACCAGCTGTCTCCCACATAGTTGATCTTAGTACAACAGGCTATTAATCAACATGGCGGCGGACATCGCAAGCATTGCTCAGTTGCTGGACGCAACTCTCGACTACAAGCAGCAACGCAAAGGTAGATCACCCCTCCAATCCGCTGCCGTGTGTTGATGTTTTGTTTGCACCATCTTGGGAAGGACGCCTGCCACACGCACGCACGCACGCACCCAAGACTCTACACGATGAGCTAACGTTTCTCTCTACCACCAGCCGAGTCCCTCCTCAAACAGGAAGAGAGCAAGCCGCAGTACTCGCTCCAGCTCCTCAAGATCGTTGCCGGCCCCAACTTCGCAACCACAACCCGCCTGGCCGCCGCCCTCGCCTTCAAGAACTACGTTCGCCTCAACTATGTGGTACGGCCCAGCCCCCGGCCCCCAAACCCCTTCAAAGAGACGCTGGGACACTTCTGACAGGTACGGGAATGCAGGACGAAGATGGACACCACAAGTTGCCCGCGGAGGAGGTCGCCACCATCAAGCAGGAGCTCGTCGGTCTCATGATCCTGTCGCCCCCGAACATCCAGACCCAGCTTGGCGAAGCCATCAGCGTTATAGCCGACTCCGACTTCTGGAAGAGGTGGGACACGCTTATACAGGTTCGTGAGGTTCTGGGTCGGCAAGTGAGCTGGACATCCCGAAACTAAGTTCGTGTCTTGTAGGACCTTGTCAGCCGAATCTCGCCAGACAACTTCAAGGTGACAAATGGAGTTTTGGAGGTTGCACATTCCATCTTCGTGAGGTGGCGGCCTTTGTTCCAGTCCAACGAACTTTACGAAGAGATCAACCATGTCGTCGAGCACTTTGGGGAGGCCTTTGTACGGCTTCTGGCGGTGAGTCCACCAGTGGCCCGGAGCTTGAAGTCGGGGTGCTGACAAGATCTTAAGATTGCCGACCAAAAGATTGAGGCCAACACAAACAACGCCGCGGAGCTCAAGGGTTGGTTCGAGACCCTGAGTCTGTTGGTCAAGATTCTCTACGACCTGACCTGTCACGATCTCGCTCCCGTCATCGAGCAAAACCTGGCGTCCATCTTTTCCCTGCTCGAAAAGTACCTGGCATACAAGAACCCCTTGTTCGACGGCGATGATGACGAGGCCACAGCCCTGGAAAATGCCAAGGCCGATATCTGCGAGGCTCTGACTCTATTCACGACCAAGTACGACGAGGACTTCAGTGGCTACTGCGAGCGATTCATCACATCAGTCTGGAACCTGTTGTCCAATCTTGGACCCGAGAAGAGATATGATCTCGTCGTCAGTAGAGCTCTCCAGTTCCTCACTGCTGTGGCATCAGGGTCCAAGCACGCTCAAGCCTTCAACGATGAGAACACCCTGGGTCAGATTGTGGAGAAGGTCATCCTCCCCAACGTCACGCTCCGCGAGTCGGATCTTGAGATGTTCGAGGACGAGCCGATCGAGTTCATTCGAAGGGACCTGGAGGGATCTGACACGGACTCGAGGAGGCGGGCGGCCACAGACTTCTTGAGGAAGCTGTTGGAGAAGTTCGAGGCCCTCGTGACGCAGGTTGTTTTCAGGTACATCGACCACTACCTAAAACAGGGCCAGACAGACTGGAAAGCCAAGGACACCGCAGTATACCTGTACCTGGCCATTGCCGCCAAGGGTGCTGTCACGGCTGCGCAAGGTGTCAAGACAGTCAACAGCCACGTCAACGTCGTTGAATTCTTCCAGAACCACATTGCTGCTGATCTTTTGAACGTGGATGGAGTTGCAGCAATCTCCAAGGTTGACGCCATCAAGTACCTACACAACTTCCGAAGTCAGTTGACAAAGGATCAGTGGCTGGCTGCGTTCCAGCCCTTGATCAAGAACCTGGCGTCCGAAGAGTACGTCGTCTACACTTACGCCGCTATTGCCGTCGAACGTGTCCTTTATCTCTCAAACGACGCTGGCGAGCACTTGTTCTCTAGGGCGGACATCGAACCAGTTGCAAAGGATCTACTTGACCATCTGTTCAACCTGGTCGAAAAGGACAAGACCCCGCCAAAGATGCAAGAGAACGAGTACCTCATGCAATGCATCATGAGGGTTCTGATCGTGATCAATACGGGTGTGCGGCCTATCATTGATGGTGTATTGGACCACCTCATCGCCATCATCAGCGTGATCAAGGCCAACCCTAGCAACCCGCGATTCTACTACTACCTCTTCGAGGCCATCGGAGCCCTGGTCAGGTGAGTGACGTGCAGGGGGCGAGAATCACTCCCGGAAGCAGCCAGACTGACATAACATGATAGGTTCTCCGACCCGAGTCAAGAGGCGAAGCTGCACGCACGTCTATGGGAACCTTTCTCCTTCATTCTAAATGAGGATGTGTCAGGTAAGCTGCGTGATTGAGATGCATCGCACCGATCTGTCTAACCACATCCTAGAATTTGTTCCCTACGTCTTCCAGATCTTTGCTGCCCTGCTCGAAGCCGCCCCGACGAGTCCACTGCCTGCGGATTTCAGCTCACTGCTCGGGCCTATTCTTGCGCCAACAGTGTGGGAGACTCGAGGCAATGTGCCTGGGTGCGCGCGTTTCCTATCGGCCATGGTCCCCAAGGCGAAACAAGCCATAGTGGAGTCCCAGCAGCTGGTGCAGATCCTGGGAGTATTCCAGCGCCTTTTGGCCAGCAAGAAGACCGAGGGCAATGCCTTTGACATCCTGGAGTCGGTTGTTGCCACCTTTGATGGGTAAGTCTTTTCAGGCGTGAACAGTGTGAGCCTTTCCTTTTGCCCTTCCATTTCACTAATTAATTATCTAGAGCTACACTGGATGCATACTTCCCTGACATCCTCACTCTCACTTTTACCAAGCTGCAGTCCAACCCCTCAGATTCATACAAACAACGGTTTGTCCGTTTCTACCACTTGGTGTCGGCGAACACAGCAGCCGGTATGGGTACCGACTACTTCATCAACCATTCCGAGAAGCTGCAGCCTGGGGTGTTTGCACAGCTTTACCCACCGGTCATCCTGCCAACCACAAAGCAATTTGCTCGTCCAGTCGACCGGAAGCTTGGTGTGATTTCGTACACGAAGACGCTGTGCGACTCGCAAGCATTCGCACAGAAATATATGAAGGGCTGGGCCAATACTGCGAACCACCTCCTGGAGCTCTTGCAGAACCCACCCAAGGTGGCCGGTGGCTTCGGAGATGAGATCATCACCGAGGCGGATGTAGACGACATTGGATTCGGAGTGGGATTCACGCCTCTCAACACGTGCAAGCGCGGCCCGCGCGATGACTTTCCGGAGATCGACAACGTCCAGGCCTGGGTCAGTGAGTATCTCAAGGCAGGCAACGCGCGCCAGGGTGGTGCTGTCCTCAAGTTCGTGCAGGAGCGCATGCAGCCGGACGCCCAGCAGGCAATTGCGCCGTACCTGCAGTAGGACAAGCAGGGTTACCAGGTGAAGCAGGTGCTCACAGCCATGCTGGACACCACGAGCAACCATTACTACTATGAAGATGACAAAATGGCGTTGGAGGAAATGTAATAAAAGACGTGGAACCGCGGACGAGGCGAGCGACTGCGCAGGTAGATTCCCCGTGGCAGCATTGGTGAGGGCCACACAGTCAAAACATTCACATTCGTCTAGAACTTGAACTGCTCCCCGTGGTGTGCTTCGCCCGAAGTAACGATACATATCCACGGTCTTAGGCTGTGCCGTGCTTCCTTTGGTGTCAGAAACCTGCGGCTTGGATGAAGATGAGATGTGATCACCGTATCAGTAAATGCGTACGAATCAGTCTGCGTCATAAGGCACTCGGCCCCCTGGTTGGGAGCTTGGAGTTACTTGTGTGATAAATGGGTCGGGTCAGTCGAGCTATGGTAGGCCGAGATGCCAGATATAGAGCCTGCCCGTCACAAACAGTCCCTTCCGCGCGGGAATGTTTGTGGCGTTAAAGAAAAGCCCATCCCTCACATTATAGGGATTCGAGCATTCAGTAAGGGGTTGTGCGGTAGGTATCTCATAGATGCTACAGCTAATGCAAACAAAAACATATGGACCGGATAGTCAAGCCGGAAAGCTGTCTTGTCTTTGTAGTGGCGGGTAGATGTAGTTTCAGCAGGGCAAGGGCCACCACCCACTTACACGTGTCGGAGCCAGGGCCTAAGCTTCTCGGATCAGGTTCTGGACCGATTCGGGGCCAGGAGGGAGCAGGACAGCAGGGTGTCTAGCTTGAGCTTCGCCCTCAAGGTTTCGGGGGCCAAGTCGAGAGAGCTAATGATGCCTGTGAGTGCATCACCTTTCCCTTGCCTCACACCGCAACGGCTGCCGGGAACCACTCATCCCTTCACGGATACACCTCCCCTACGCCCCTCCAAGCCAAGTCCCTGCCGCTATCGATCGGGTGGGGGATCGGGGGATCTCCGCGTACGGAGCATTTCACTCGTGCCCCATATGGTTGGTTCTTCTTCACATGTCTCGGAATCTACCATCTCACCTTGAGCAGCCCCCCAGCCTTGTCGCGAACACACTCTCATTCATGCTCACGCATTGCGGATAGACGGTGAAGGGGGGGGTGTGTCGAGGCACCTCTATGGCACCATGCAGCAGAGTCCCAGTCTGATTTGCCCCAATGCGCGCATGCGCATGGATGCGCTTCTGCATTGTACATGCAGGCATCGGAAGGCTCTGCGCTCGACTCTTGCTGCCCGTGCAGGGAAGCCTTGGTGACAACGGGAAGGCAAGTTGACCAGAAGTGGGCTGACGAGAGTGCAGGTCTTGCTGCTCGGCTGGTTTGAGCTCTGTAGCTTGTTTACGTCAAGAACCTAGGACCCGGGAGCCGGGTCCTAGGAAGGTTTTGGGACTATCTATTGTCCATCCGTATCCTCCTATAGCTTGCCCGTGCTTGCTGTCCCCTACCTAGTGGGATGTCCTGGACGGGCTGGATCTTTTCTTGTCTCACATCTGCCTGAGTGGTTCTCCCAGGACGGGTTTCCCTTTGATCACCCATCCCGTGCTTTCTCCTCTCTCGAACCACAGCTCCATCCTCAACACCTCTCACAACCATGGCCTCCTGTGCCTCATCTCGAGAGTCCGCCGTGTGCCAGTCCCGAGACCGACCTCCCTCGCCACGGCCGCCGAAACCTCCTCCACCTAGCCCGGCCCGGCGATTACAGTGGGTGGACTGGCCGACAATTGATGAACAAGGCTGAACAAGAATATACTCAAACATGCAAGCACTCCATGGCACGGGGTGAGCACCACCTCGTTCCATCTTCAAAATACGCCGCTGAGACCGACCACAGCAGCCCTTTTATTACCCATGGGCGATACAGCTAAGCGGCGAATGCCTCAATCACATTGTGTCACGGCGGATAGCGAGGGATATAGACTGCACTGGGGAGCCACATGAGAGTAAAGGCCCAGAAGATACAGTATAAAGGGTCAGGGATAGATGGGTCTTTCAAGGATACAGGCTGGCGTTTGTTTTCTGTCTATTCACAATTTAGAGCTTGTCGTCAGAACTAGACCGCCGTTCTGAACATCATACTGCCTCCCCTTCTCCCACCCAAGCCAGGCCCTGAGTGCCTCCTCTCCGCCGTCCCCCGGCGCCAGTGGCGTGCCCTCATACCCATCGCCAGGGACACCGGGGCCCTGTCCACGGCTAGCCGGGTCCGACGAGGATGGCCTCGCCCCGGAGTCGACAGCCAGGCACGGCGTGTCCCGCAGCGTGACGGCCGGCCTCTGGTCGCCCTCGCGCCCGTCCCCAGCCGTGGCGCCCTCGAGCTCGGCATAGTCCAGCACGGGCGTGCAGCACGCATCGGTGCCATCAAACACGGCCTCCCACTCGGACCTCGTCCGGCTCCCAAACGACCTCCCAAACACGGCCTTCATCTCGGGCCAGCAGTCCCTGTCGAGCCTCCTGTCCTCCCACCCTTGGCCCTCCAGGCCCAGGCCCTTGATCAGCTCGGCGTAGAACTGCGGCTCCAGCGCGCCGACGGCCATGTACCCCCCGTCGCGCGTCTGGTACGTGTCGTAGTAAGGACAGCCGCCGTCAAGGACGTTGGATCCCCGCGGGCCGTCGCCCATGGGCGTCCTGCGCGAGAGCCGCGGGAACGTGGCCAGGTAGCCGGCGCCGTCGACCATGTTGGCCTCGACGACCTGGCCGCGGCCGCCGTTGCGCGCCCTCGCCAGCAGCGCCATCAGGACCCCCTGGAAGAGCACCGCGCCGCCGCCGGCAAAGTCCCCCAGGATGTTGGTGGGCGGGGCCGGCCTCCTCGCCTGGTCCCCCGCGGGCGACGAGCCGTCGCCGCGGCCCCACCCCAGCATCCCCAGCACCCCGCTGACGGCGAGGTAGTTGATGTCGTGGCCCGCCATGGCCGCGTACCGCCCGTCGCGCCGGAACCCCGTCATGCGCGCGTACACCAGCCCCGGGTTCGCCGCGCACAGCTCCGCCGGGCCCAGGCCCAGCCGCTCCATGACCCCCGGCCGGAACGGCTCGATCACCACGTCGGCGGCGAGCGCGAGGCGCCGCGCCGCGGCCTTGCCCTCGCCGGTCCGCAGGTCTACTGCTACCGAGGCCTTGTGGCGCGTGAGGAGGTCTGCCGTGGGGCTGGACGACGCGGAGGGCCGGTCGACGCGGATGACGGACGCGCCTGCGTCAGCCAAAAGGAGGCCTGCGAAGGGTCCCGGCGCCAGGCCGGCGAACTCGAGGACCTTGATCCCCTGTAGGGGGGGTGGGCTGGCCATTTGTGGTTTGTGGGTGCTGAGAAGATGGTGGTGAATGGAGTTGTCACGTTGGTGGCATTGTCACCTGTGCAGTAAGTGTTTCTCTGTATAAGCCACGAGGAAGGTGATGGGGAGCATCCGGAAGGCCGGAACTCCATCTCAACCCCGCATGGAAGCTCCGAGGTGCCGAGGCTCCTTGGACCCGGGCGGGGCGCACGTGGCGGGGCCGGGGGGCCGTAGCGGGCCGTCCGACGGGGCCCGTCATTGTGGGCCGGTTGTCTTCACCACGGCACACTCATTCTCAAATCCTCTCACAGCCTTCACCCGACATCCCCTTCAGCCTCCAGTACAGGTCTCTATTCTTTTCGTCCCTCAAGTCCAAAAACAACCCCATTTAACAGATGACACACTACCGCGTACAAATAAGTACATCTATCTGTCCGATAGTCATTCTACTATCTCTTAATCCATAGCATTGTATTTACGTCTAATCAGCATGATTCTGCTATTTAAGGCAGCGTAATAATTGCTCGTGTAGCATAATTTCTTCTATGCACAAGAGTTATTCAGACACTCTACCTCTTGGATCTAATTTGAACATTGAGATCAGAGATTCGCACACCCATTTCTAAGTAAGCATACCACCCTAGCTTATCAGAGCCTGGAGAGGTACTAACTTATTCGTAGAACGCAAAGGAGGCAGTCCTCAAGCACATGTCATGCCTACCAGCCCTACTCACGGCCTTTCACTTTACTTTCAACCTCACCCCTTTCACCCTACTAACCCTTTCACCCTTTTTTCACTTTTGAAAAATATTACAAAAATAGAAAGTACTTAACTTTTAGGTACAAGACATCACGGGTGTGCAGGCTCTAAAACTAGGTCTGTAAATCTCTACTATCTAGAACTAGAAAAGTATAAATGATTTTAGTGTGGCAGTCCCTTTGTTGGCTTAGTCAGCAGGAAAGCACCCTCCTACATAGGCCGTTCAGCTCTCATAATCACAAAGAATCAACCACATTCAGCTTCACTTCTTCCAACTCTTATATATATAAACCTAGCTATTATTAACTATAAAAAATGTAAAAAAATCAACTTTTAACACAGATTTGAGGATGACCCGATTTGAACGGATAACCTTCTGGATACTCCAGAACTGGAATCAGATGCGCTAGCCGTTGCGCCACACCCCCATTTGACTGAAATATTTGCTCATTTTGCTCCACTATCAAGGAAGTAAGCTCTACTTCTCGTAAAATAAAGTAGTAAGTAGTTAGTCTCTCTAACTATCTAATATACTAGTTTTACTTAAAATTAATAAATATTTAAAAATATTTAAAATATTATTATATAAATTTAAAGTTTTTATTTTTATTTTTAAAAATTTTAAAAATAATATTTTAAAAATATATTAATAATAAAAATATAATATTATTATTAAATTTATATATTTAATATATTAAATTAAAGTTTTACTATATTTATTAAATTAATAAATTAAATTTTAAAATTAATAATTTAAATTTTAAGTTTTTTAAATATTAAATATATAAAATACTTTAATATATAGTTTTTAAAACTAATAGTCTTTAAAGGAATAATACTTCCTTTTTTAAATATAAGCTTCTAATTAATTAAGCTATTATAAAAGAAAGATAAGGTAAAAAGTAGGAGGGGGGAGGAGGGAAGATAGTATATCGGTAGGCGTAACTGCTAGCTACACGCTCTCTCATCCTACTAAAAGACTATATTAACCAATCTACCTAATTCGCTATTCCTAGCAGTATATAAGTACCATACCATCATTGATAGAGGAGGTGGGAGGTGGTGGGAGGTGGTAGGTGGTGGGAGGTGGTAGGTGGTGGGAGGTGGGAGGTGGGAGGTGGGAGGTGGGAGGTGGGAGGTGGGAGGTAGGAGGTGGGAGGTGGGAAGAGGGTGGTGGGAGGTGGGAGGTGGGAAGAGGGTGGTGGGAAGAGGGAGGAGGGAAGTGGGAGGAGGTAGGAGGATGTAGGAGGAGATAGGAGGTGGGAAGTGGGAGGAGGTAGGAGGATGTAGGAGGAGATAGGAGGTGGGAGGTGGGAGGAGGTGGGAAGACGGAGGAGGAGGGAAGAGGAAGGTATGTGGTTTCGCTTCTATTCCGTATACATCCGAGGACATACATGGCGCCTTCATATGGTGGTAAGCGCTCAAGATCCAGCGCTTGAAAGGACCCGATGTCGATGATGATAGTTATAATACGATAGGCGGACACCTAGTAAGCTGGAACAGATTCTAGGAGTGATCCGCTTCTAAACTCATGCTCAACTAGACAAAATTATAACCCGGGTATTGTCAATTCTATGGATGCACTTTCTCGAGATTCACTGCCAAGGTTCCCACAAACTTTGCTCTTGTGACTGCTCCACTGCTACATCATTGTTTCAAAAGGCTAGCATCCATTTCCTTATACCTTAACTTATAATAGTATAGGCTTATATAGTTTTACTTCTATTCTATATATATCTAAGAATATATATAATACTTTTATATAATAGTAAGTACTTAAAATTTAATATTTAAAAAGAATATAATATTAATAATAATAATTATAATATAATAAATATTTATAACTTTAACTTTATAATATATAAATAAAATCACAAAATATTATTTTAATAATAATATTAATTAAAATTATAAATAAAAATAATTTATAATTTAATTATTATAAAAGTTATATAATAAAATTAAGTTTTAAAATAATTATTATATAAATAAATTATATTAAAAAAGTTAAATTAAAAATTATTTCTTTATATATATATATATATATTATAATAAAACCTTTATTAAATAAATAAATATTATAATCTTTATTTAAATATATAATTATTAATTTTAAAAACTTAAAATAAAAAATAATTTATAATATATTATTTTAAAACTTTTATAATAAAATATTAAAACTTTTAAAAAAGTTTTAAAATAATTTATAAAAAATAAAGAAAAAATATAATAAATTTATTCTCTTTTAAGTTTATACTTTTATTACTAATAATTATTAACTTTTTAATAATATAAAAAATATAAAAAAAATAAAAGAAAAAGAATTAAATATTTTTCATAAAAAAACTATAAAAATATATATAAAACTATTAAAGACTTTATATATAAACTTTAAAGGGAAAAAATAAATAGCTAAATTAAAAGATAATTATATAGTATAAAGGAAAAATATAGTGTAGCTAAAGCTGTACGGGCTTATAACTATTGAATTCTAAGCCTGGGCAACTTGGCATTATAGTCTTTTGGCCGGGGTGTCTGAGCGGGCAGTGTGTAGATCCGTCTCAGAACCCAGCCGTAGATAGCTGAGTAGGGAGGTTAAAGCGATGTAATGTGAGCCCTCGAACGGCTTCATGAGAGGACATCCAAGGCAAAGAGTAGAACGGTGAAACCTCAGGCTACCAAGGTCTCAAAGCCTCAAGAGCTACGAATAAGGGTGGCTAGTGGCAGTGTATGTTATCACGACGACCCAATCTACTTGAGATGACGTTTCTGGGAATCTGAACATTTGAATTGTTGATCCCAAAGCATGATGCGCACGATTTAATGAGTAACGGCTGTGTAAGACGCTGTGTAGCTGGAGTCTACTTAAGTAGTGGCCTTTCCATACCTAGTGTTGTGCTCTTGGTAGATGGCTCTAGATGCCCTTGTAGCACATATCCCTCTAGACTACCGAGGAGGATGGTAGAGGAGTGTGACTTATCTAGAGCTTCTACACGACCATTCACAATGGTGCTCGGTCACAGGTATGCGAAGCGAGCTAACTTCAGATCTTCTGCCTTCCACTGATCTAAGTGGTAATATAGGTTCTGGCATGGAACTGATGACATGCATGTCAGTCCACAAGACCCCCGGAGACCACAGGACAATGGCCGCCAACAAGATCGTGCCAGAAATCCTGGCTTTCATATCGTGAGCAACCATAGAAACAAGACGAACAGCGGCCAAATGTTCGGGGCACCTCCCATGGACAACCCCGTCTCAGATATGCTCCTCTAGGGTGGCATAATAAGGGATACACCTCGCTACAGCAAAGCTCATAGGATGGTCTTACTACCCAAGTGGTATATCAAATATCTCCATATCCTGTGACCGAGTAGCAGTTGTCCGATTGAAGCTTCTCAAATCGTAGAAGCAGTTAGGCATGATGGATGAGCTTAAGACGTAGTGCATGGATATAAGTCTGTTTGAATGGACGAGTGATTTGATGTGGCTCTAATTTCATGCCCATGGCCTATGTGGTTACCTACGAAGTGAACCAGACATCCGCCCCTACGGCCGGCACAATTCAATACTATCCTAGCCGCCCATATTTCACTTGTCGCATCTGTGTGTGTGGTTTCGCTTCTATTCCGTATACATCTGAGGACATACATAGCGCCTTCATACGGTGGTAAGCACTCAAGACCCAGCGCTTGGAAAGAATGCGATGTCGATAACAATAGTTATAATACGATAGGTGCTTGTGGCCTCAGCCTTGCGACACACCAAGGGACTCTATACCCGGTACTACTGATGTGAATATTTCCATTCTCAGATCGATTTTGGACCTTGGAGTTTAGGAAAGCACGCGTGCACGAGCGCCTCGACGGCTAGGACCAGCGCTAAAGGGGACGAATACGTAATACAGGGCAAACGTAGGACTCCAGAGGTTTAATGAATCATTCTTGATGTCTTCATGGCTCACGGGGACCGGACAGGTCTAGTTGTTCTCAGAATTGCTTCCGTCTTGTAGTTCGTCACAAGTAAACCCCGAGCATCCAGAGCTGCTTTTTGAAACCCGAACGTTTGCTGCGATATCATCGTTTAAGTGTCCCCATGCTTGCATTCCCATGTCCTTTTCTTTTGTTGCCTGACATCAATGGCAGTGAAATAACCACCACGGCCCTAATAGGATTGATTGCCTTCTAGTGGTGATGTTTTGCGATGCGATCTTGAAGCTGTGGCTATAGCACAAAAAAGTGACCTCGAGCTCACACAATTAATTTCACCACGCCAGATCTTTGTCTACTGATCAAACATGAAGGGGAACAAGACGCATTGAGCAAACTGAGCCCACCTGTGACAAAAACTTAATCGTGTTGCCCCGGCTCACGACTCAAGGAAAGAGGCAGTGCATTGCGTCTACCCGCAACCGCACACCGCGGCAACACCGGGTGGTGAGTGAGCATTTTCCCACCCAACAGGCTCGGATACAACCAGCCGGCTTAGCACCAACAGACAAGCCTGCGCGGCCGGGAGATCCGAGCATGGGGCACCATCACAGGACACAGAAGGCACACATCAAGCCTCGGGTGAGGACGATGCCATCCGTGAAGCCCATCTCTCGCGTAGGGCACTTGACGAGTGCGAGATAATTATCCCGCCGGGGCGCGTGACTCGTGGCGAGCCATGGGGGCCAACAGACAACGCCAAGCTTTCCTGCCAGTCGAGCCAGCCTGCCAGCACGGGCAAAAGGAATGGCCGGCGATCTCAGCACTGGCGACGCCGAGTCCGGAACGGGGGCTGGCCTGGGCACCTGGGGGGGAGGGGGGAATAGGGCGGGCAGAGGCAGCCTTGCGCCCCGTGCTGTCGGCCCAGCCAGATGGGCGCTAACAATAAGACCGGACGAAGCAGATGCGGTCAATGTCGGCTGTGATCCTACGGGCGGTCTCAGCCGAGGGAGAAAGGGGGCAGACACTTTTAGATAGCAACCTTGGGAAGTAATTGTGTTATCGTTGGCCCTCGTTAGGGTGGCCGGGACATACATGGTGGGCGCGGTCATGTGTTGGGCGGGCTGCGCAAGCTACGGGATGCTCATTTCGGTGCAATATGAGGGCTCCTGGGCTTGGTGCGGTAAATGGGCGCATACGTACCCACCATTGTTCATCCCGAGGAGGGCATGCCATGCCGGGGCCCGCAGGCGGCTGCCGTCCACTTGTTGCATGATTTAGTCGGACGTGTGCCGGACCTCGGGAGAGTCAGCTGGCCATTATTAGCCTGGGAGGCATAGCATGACATATGGAAGTGGAATGGGGTGTTGGGAAAGAGAGAGAGAGAGAGAGAGACTAGAAAGATAGGCCTCCGTAAGACCAAAAGAAAAGTGGTCCGTCGAGTCAGGGGCCAAAGTGAGGGCTGTGTAGCGACATTGGCTGCCATCTTTAACCGGCTAGCTCCATTCTGGGAATGAGAATAGCATCAACTGAGTGCCGTAAATAGGTCGTGTTCGTTCTTGGGCGGCAAAACGGTCAATCATTCGGTGTTCCGTGTTGCCAAGAGGAGGAGAGGAAAGTGTGTGGTTGGACGGGCGATGATGAAAGGGGGCTCTCGGGAAGTCCCTCCCCTCCCAGACGTCGATAGTCCGTCAAACAATCAGTCATTCACTCAGCCTGACGATAAGAATGATGATGGCCAAAAGTACGGTACGGAGGAGAACGGAGTAGTACGGAGTACACTAATACATAGTAACGTGGGGCGTGCAGCGCACACGACGGCTGGACGGACGCACAGAGATGCTGAAGATCGGTCGTGAGCCGAGGAGGCAACTTTTAGGGTCCCTCGTCAGCCAGCAGGGGACACCCCACAGCCATCCCGGGCTCTGGGCAGGGGATCAAAAAGGGGAGCAGGCGTGGTGATTGGCCGTGTTGGCCCTATGAAACGCGTTCGCAAAGCTTGGCACAGCCTTCTGCCCATCCCACCTGGCCCGGGCTGGCTGGCTGGCTGTGCCGAGCTTGACAGTTGCCCCTTTCTCATCTTGGAGCCACCCCAAGGGTACGGTGTACCGTGGCCAGCCAACCAGCGTACGAGCTGACGCACATCATCCGAACTTGGGCCTGTCGCCCGCAATGCTATTGTCGAGCCTGTTTGCCTGTCAGGCCTGTCCTGTGCGCCTATCTCTGGCAGTCTGACTGTGCCCGACGGGATTGATATCACAGGTTCGTCTCGTGCTGGCCTGTCGGAGTCAACCATTCGTCGACATGGGTCTCAGCCTCTGGGGCACAGACAGCCCGCCCTCTGGCCTGTGTTTGCTAGGCGCCCGTCCATGTCTCTGAGACAAGACTACGGCATGTCTCCAGGAGATGCGGCGGGGTAAGAGGAGGTGAGCGAACATGAGATTGTGGTCAGACAGGCCGGGCACAGGCGTGCGGAATAGATGGAGGATGCGGCAGATGCGGCAGATTCGGTCCAAGATTGGGTACAGATTACCTCGAAAAATGATGGTCGTCGTCGCAAAATCCAGTCTTGCGATCCACCTCATCTGGTGATGAAGCACTGTGAACCGTAATAATAAACCGACCGGCGGATGCACCTCTGATTGTGCTCATCACTCTGCTGATCAGCGATTGTCAGCCGCCCAGTGCTGATGAGCGCCCAGGTCATTGCTCCCTTTGGCGGTGGGAATTTAGATCTTCGCGGCCGACCCCGCCAGCCCCCCCTTGACGAGACCTTTCCTCTCAGCCCAGGCACTGCCAGACTGCCGGAGCGTGCACATCATCCCTTTTCCTGCGGCACATCTGAGTCGCCGCACGCCCAATGGGAGCCCACGACGTCGCTGCTGCGCACCTCTGTACCTTTTCATGTGTGACAGCTGCTGTGCCGTACGGAGGGCAGGGAAGAGCAGGCTGGCAGGGCAGACCAAGGTGAGGAGATGAAGATCGTAGAAGCGTGCGTGGTTGGTCCTGCCTCGTTGCCTCGTCCTGTCAGGCATGTGCGACCGACCATGACTGCTACGTTTCGACTGCCCATCTGTTCGCTGCCCCTCAGCCCCTCAGCCCTTGTACAACTACAACATGTCCCTCCGCGCGCTTGTGTCGCAGCTGTGATACTTGCCAGGCAGGGTACAAGTCCATTGGCCCGTACTCAGTACTCCGTACTCCGTACCCCGTGGGCAGGACCAATTATTAACTCTATCTACCAAACCAAGCGGCTCAGGATCTTGCCCGACGAGCCTACCAGCCTGCCAGCCCGCCCGCCAGCCCAGCCCTGCCACTCTGCCCTGTCCCTGTCAATCAAGGGGTCTTTCCTACCACACTTCAGCCACACCTGCTTTAATGGTGCTTTAGCCCGCTACCCGCCCGACCTTCAAACACAACCACAGACTTCCTGACTTCTGAGCCACCCTGGAAGGGTACATCCCCAATCCCTGGGCAGGCCTTTAATTTACTTGGTGTAAACCAGTCGTCTAGTCTGCGATGCGTGGCATCACCACTCGATGCTATGCGATGCGATACGATGCGATGCGATACGATGTGATGCCCGATGGCAGATGGGCCACGACAGAAGCAGCAGCAACCCTCAACTCGAGATCTGTCCGGTCGTGTCCCCTTCGTGTGTCCCGCCCATCGTGTGTCAATCGTATTTGTCCAGTTTGACTGTACAACAACAACAACAACAACAACTAGCGGAATTGCTCCTTCCTCAGATCCTCAGCAAATGCCACGCCGTGAGTGGATGTGAGGGATGTGGGAGTGCAATGCCGTTTGAATGAATGCCCAGCAGAACTCGAAGCGGCAAACTGCCCGTCCCGGGATGGTCTACCGTGCTGATGGGTCCCGCTTGCTGCCCGGCCCTCCCATGCATCACCCACTCTGCCACTGCGGATCCCAGGTGCAACGTCCAGGTGCCAGGCCACCCAGGCCAGGGTGCGCTGTCCTCCTGTGAGGTGTGAATGGCAGGTGTTCGTCTCGTCTCCTTTACTCCCCACTGCACTACGCGAAACGGAATGAAAATCGCCCCATCCTGCGCCCCGTTGTTTCTGTTCCTGGGCCCTGCTAAAGTGTGTCTCTCCTGCCCTCCTTCCCTGACTTACACCCTTTACCTTCCTCCGTTTCCTGCCCTCACTTCCTCCCTTTTGGCATCTCCCTCTTGCCAAACTTTCTGGTTCAGTGGCAGCCCCCACCCCGACGGTCTCTACCTCTCCCATTCATTCCCTGCCCTGTCCCTACTCCACCCATCCACTCATTCAGTCTTGAATAAGTCGTGCCGCCCCCCTTTTCCTCCGAGACGCAGATTTGTTCTTCTCACCCACAACGCTCTCTACAACCGACCGGACGGACAACCGTGACACTCCTTTTTGTAAATTCAACCACTCTCCTTACTTGGCCCTTCCGAGCATCGTTCGTTTCTAAGTGTTGATCGCATCACTCAGTTGGGGGAAAGTTGAGGATCCTGCTCGAAACCAGTGTTTTGGTGGAAATCGCACATCGGACAAGAACTAGGACTTTGAACTTCGGAATTTCTGGAGGAACAAGGAATCTGCGACGACGCTTCAGCATCCTTACGACAACTGCCCATCGACGTGGTGTTGACGACATACAAGTGTTGGCGCAAAACGAGTTGATATCTACCTTACCCGCTCGCCACCCCTGACTTCCACTTTGGGAAGCAACAACCTACCCACCAGTCAGCTTTCGAAAAGGTACCGATCGAGCAATTCCCGACCGATTCTCGGATCGCATTCTTCAAAGGACCCCGTGGTTAACTTTTTTGGGTGGGATCTCAAGTATCGACAAGACATTCTATCATCGCGCTTTGGGGAGGCTGGACTACAACGGCTTTGTCTCAGACTCAGCCACCACCGCACAAGCGCCCGTCCTTGACAATCAGCACCATCGAGGTCAGTACTTGGCTTTATTGACGACTGCTGGACTGTTTCCAACCCCTGCTGTATTGTGGTCTGAGCTCCCATTTGAGTTTTGTACATTCGTGTTTGTGGTTGAAGGACAATTGTGAGCCATCGTGGTCTGGTGATCATGATGATCTGTGCCCCATGGGGCCACCAGGCTAGAAAGAATGCTTCAGGATGGAAAGGGAAGGAGGCTCTGGCTTGACAAACTTCTTATGCCCAAGTGGACTGGAGGAATATCGGGGAGCCCATTGTTCTCAAGCTATCAAGTGTTAGCCTTCCTGCTGTTGAGCTCTGCCCAGCTGGCAGCCTGGTTGTCGCACCCCGGGCAATGGCCCACCGAGCTTTCATCCACAAGCTTGGGAATCAAAACATCTGCAGCAACCGCTCCCCAGCAACACCCCATACCCTCGAGGATCAGCCCCGTCTTGTTGTTCACGATACACTTGGTTCTCGGGCCTGCGCCCCCGTCACATCTCCTAACACCAGTCAGGGCGCACTTGTCAAGTCGCCCCCAGGACTTTTGAGTCCAAACTACACCTTTCCATCCTCTTGGATCGCAGGTTCGTCAGCCATCTTGACGCAACAAGAGTCCCAGCAACCTTTTTGGAACACCATCACTATCCCCTTACTTGTTATGACTTGATTATCTTGGATCCTGTTTGAAAGCGAATTGTTAAAACTGTCATCGCAATACTGACCACGAGCAAGCGTTTGCAGGCTCACTCTCAAAACATCACACTCGAGTTCATCATCGCAAAGCCACCATGAACTCCAAGCAGGTCCTTGCACTTGTCGCCCTTATGGGCGGCGAGGCCCTTGCCTTTTGGCGCATGGAGTGCCGTGGCACCACTGCTCAGGCTCGTATCGATCCTCTGGTCAATCCAGGAACGATCGGCCACCACTCCCACCAGATCTTTGGCTCTGGCGGTGAGTTTCCATCTCCCATACTCCCCATGTGGCAACACGAATGACGGAGCTGACGAACCATGGCACAGGTTTTGGCGAAAGCGCCGATTACGCGGCTCTCTCTTCATCCAACTGCACCTCGTGCATTGCCACCCAGGACAAGTCTGCCTACTGGACCCCGATTCCCTACTTCAAGGACGAGGCTACTGGCGAGTATGAGGCCGTCGGTAATGTCGGCGGTATGCTTGCGTAAGTTGGACTCCTTACCTGCACCGTTTGTGCTGTCCGTCTGGCCCAGGCCGCAGCACTTCCGTCCACTGCTCGTCCTGCCTCGCAGGTTCTCTGATCTCGTGGCTGACCAAGACCTTGTAGGTACTACTTCTTGAACGGAGAGGACATCAAGGCTTTCCCCAAGGATTTCCGAATGATCGCTGGTGACACTGATCGCCGCAACTACTCGGTCGGCACTGGTGACTACGAGCAGCCCGACCCTGACAAGTCTCTTTGGCGTGCCCTGAACCAGGTCACCCAGACTGACCTGAGCCAACGTGCGCTTGGTTTCAACTGCCTCGACTACACCAAGGCTGCCGAAGGCTCTCTGTACCGTCACTTCCTGCCCTCCAAGGACTACATTGATGCCAACTGCCCCGATGGAATCCGCTTCGAGCTCATGTTCCCATCCTGCTGGGACGGTAAGAACATCGACTCTGACGACCACATGAGCCACGTGGCCTACCCGGACCTCGTTATGAACGGTGACTGTCCGGCGGGCTTCCCTGTGCGTTTGCCTGGTCTGTTCTACGAGACCATTTGGGACATGGCCAGCTTCAAGAACAGGAAGGGAAGTTTCATCATGTCCAACGGTGACCCTTACGGTACGTCCTAATCTCACAGCCGCCAAGGAGTTTAATAAAAACTGACCAACAAATGCAGGATTCGGCTACCACGGTGACTTCATCATGGGTTGGGAGGAGAACGACAGCTTCAAGCTTCAGGACGCAGTCGATCAGTGCACCTCAACTAGCGGTAGGGTGCAGGATTGCGCTCCTTTCAACCTGCAGGAGCTGGACCAGATGCAGTCTTGCAAGCTCGACCTCCTTGGCCAGCTGCTGAAGGAGGACGTTGTTGGACCGATCTCGGGCCTCCCCGGAGGCGTCAAGGTCTCCTGGGGCCCAGGTCCCGCAACCAGCGATGACGGTGACGACGACAGCGCTCCCAGCTCCGTTGCCCTCCCGACCCTCACCTACTCGGCTGGCTCCACCGCGTCGGTCAACGGCAGCTTTGTTCCAGGTAATGCCTTCAAAGCCCAGGCGACCCCCGCCAGCGCCCCTGCCCCCGTGGACGAGCCCGTCAAGGGAGCCGCCGTTGTCACCCCTGCGCCCCCTATGCCGTCCGACCCCACCGAGATCGTCCTGTCCACGGCCTACGAGACCACCACGCTTGCCGATGGGACCGTTTTGGTCAACGAGGTGGTCTACGAGGAGGTGATCGACTACGTCACCGTCGAGACGACCACCACCGTCTACGTGGAGCCCACCAACGTGCCTGAGGCCCGCCGCCGAAGTGCTCACGCTCACGCCCGCCGCCACGTTCACGGTCGCGTCCACTAAGCTTGGGCGAGCCGTCACTGGTCTGATGGACAACTGACCGTTTTGCAATCTTCCTGCATACTGCATACGAAGGAGCGTTTGTTTGGCCTTATTCTGTACACAAATCTGCCGTCGAGATGAACTCCCGATTTGAAATTCGATTCTTTTCCCCACTTCGTGATCTTTCCATACCAGTTCTTGTCTTTTTTTCCACAGGCCATTGACCGTGCCCTCGGCCGGATAGGCTTGGAGGCTCAGGCAGTTGCAGGCACTCATGCCAAGGTTCAACGGCAGGTGGATTTGTTCATCTCGTGGGGGGATCGATCAATGGAGGCTCTCAGAAAATCCATTTGGCAGAGTTCGCAAATTTTAACAACCAGTACCCACAGAGTAAGAAAAGCGGCCAGATGCCCCTTTGGTGCAAGTAGCATTGACTGCGAACCCAATGATGGTGGCAAACAGCGACAAAAAAAGACAATCTGCGAGGGGAGGTTCGTTCTGCTTTTTCCACAACTGGCGTTTCACGTTCAAAAGGCCTCAAGGCAAAGGGCGAGCATCCGTGGTCTGGTAGCATTTCTTGCATTGCACGACGACTTGATGAGATACCTCTGATACCTTTGATTCATAAAACGAGTCTGGCATTGCACTTCACATTCCTTCCTTATCAGTAGGTAGATCAATTGAAGCTGCATCCACACACAACTGGAAGAAGATAATTGCCATTTGTTTTAAAAGCAAGCAACTTAGCATAGGCTCGCTCCCTGAGGTGGTTCTGGCCTTGGTGCTCCGCCCTGAACCCTCGCCAGGGTCGACATGGGTTGGGGGGGGGGGCGGGTTGGTGGAGGAATTGGTGTTACACGGCCCAGGCTGAAAAGAGGCTGAAAGACTGACCAAGGCTCCAGATTGATCTACCGCATAGTGCTGACTTAAACGACCTTCATGGCCGGCCCAGTCCACCTGACAAACAGGGCAATCAGCCCAGCTTTCTCCCAGCACACATGGACAAATTGGACATGTGCGTGGCGGCGGCGGCGGGTGGGCGGTGGGCGGTGGGCGGCGACCGGTTTCTGGAACCGCAGCTACCTGGAGTGAGTGTCTGTCGGCCGCCCCAACGGGCCTGCGAGAGTGTCTCACCTTTGCTTGGAATGCGATCACCTCTGGCAACGGCTCCAAGCAACTCATTCCAGGCAGTCGTGGGAAGGCATGACGAATAGACAGGCGGAGAGATGTTGATCTTGTTGTCGCCCTCTATTTTGTTCCCGGCCACCCAAGGCGTGCATGTGCGCCTCTTCTGTCATCCATCCATCTCTCTTCCCTTCCTCTGCCTCTTGATTTTTGTGTTTCCCATCCACCTAATATACTATTGTTTCCTCTTATATTTCCCCCCTAATTACTATTGCTCACTTGACACCCTCTCTACTACCATCTATACCTTTACAAAAATAATAAGGGCCATCTTACTATATACCACGTTCATTTGTCTTGGTGGGGTAATCCGGCTTGTTCAGCTTTCAGCTTGGGATACTACTCTGCGGAATAGCCTCGCCTTGCTTACACCGGGAATGGCCTCGTGACTGGCCCACGCCGTCACGGCCACCTGCAACCAACCACAGCAGGGAGAATTAATCGCAACACACATAATTAACTTACCGTGGGCAGGATAATAGCCCATATGGGCGCCGGGCAAAACAAAAAGATCATTTAAACATAATTTGAAATGGCGGACATATCCGCCGCGGTGGAAGATATCAAGGACGGCATCACGGACGCGAGCAAGCGAGTGGCAGCGGCGCTCCCGCTGTGGGTCATCATCGTCATCGTCGTCGTCGGGACGGGGCTCCTCGCGCTGCTGGTTGGCCTGTGCTGCCTGTGCCTATGCCGGCGGCGCCGTCGGAGGAGGGTGGTGGCCGGAGGGGACACCACCGTCCACGGGTACTCGGACATGACTGCCGCGGCGCCGCCGTCCGAGGCCGGGGGCAGCCGCAGCAGCGAGGAAGGGGGAGGGCCGGGCGGCCGACACAAGCTTCGCAAGAGGCCGCCGTCCTCGGCCTCGTCGTCTTCCTCCTTTGGGAACGACCGCGACGGTGTTACGGTCACGGTTGACGACAGGGGCGTCGAGGTCGAGGAGGTCGAGGTGGGCCGCGGCGAGCCCGAGTTCCGCAACATGGCGATGGCGCCCGCGCGCAAGGCGGGCCTGCTGGCCATGCCGCCGCTCCTGACGGGGCTGAGGGCGAGCATCGTGTCGATGGGCGGCGGGGGCCGGAGGTCGGCCGGGCGGGGTGAAAGTGGCGGGCTGAATATCAGCCACGACGGCGCGACCAACAGCAACAACTGGCACCGCAGGCGGACATCCGAGGCGTGGATCGACGATGATGCGCTGCACGGGCCCGAGGTGAGCCCGACGAAGCGGTCATCGGCGGCGGCGAGGAGGAGCAGGACCAGGAGGAGGAGCAGGATCAAGTCGTGGGGTGCGTCGATCCGTGAGAGCTGGCCGCTCAAGACGCCGAGCCCTACCCTGCCGTTACTGCCGCACTTTGGCAGCTTCACCGGGGGCCAGGGGGCCGACGCCGGGCACGAGAGCTTTGCAATGTTCCAGTATGGCAAGGACTGCGACGCCGACGACGCCGCAGGCGACAGTTTCGTGCCCAACCTCCCGCCGCCGCTGGGTGCCGCCGCCAGGCAGCGCAACGGCCAGCTCTCGCCGCCCAGGCAGCTGCCCAAGCCGCCGAGCCAGGCCCTGCTGGCCGCCAACGCGAGCACCGCGGGCCTGAGGCCGGTGAGCAACCTGCCGGGCGTGGCAACGGCGAGCAACTCTCCCCGGGGCAGGGGCCTGAGCTACTACAAGTACGAGGACACCGACCAGCCGGTCAAGCATTCCGGGTCGCCGTCGCCGCGCTCGAGGGTGCAGCGAGGGGCCGGGGTGGGCACGGGCGTCGTCGGGCCCAGGGGCAGGGCAGCGCCGTCGGCCGACTCGACAATGACGCAGATCCTGAAGGACACGGAGAAGAGGCTCCAGGATGGGGTGGCAACGGGCGTTGCGATGCGCAACAGGCCCAGCAGCAGCCCGCCAAAGCGCCCGCCGCCTCCTCCGCTCGGGCTCGGGCCGGGCGCCGTGACCGTGGCCTTGGTCCGGTCCCGGTCCCGGTCGCGCACGCCGAGCCCTGCCAAGGCATCCGGCCGGGCGCACGGCGTGGCGCCCTCACACGCCCGGCAGGGCTCGCAGGCGTCGTTTGCGTCTGAGCCCGACAGCCTGTTCGGCGACCCGTCGCCGCCCTCGTCGCTGCCGTACCACGGCCTGACCAGCCCGAGCCGGTCGAAGCCCTCGCAGCAGTCGTCGCCGCACAGGAGACGGCCGTCCCTGGTCCCGTCCTTCACGAGCAGCGCCTCGTCGCTGTCGACGATCCACAGCGAGACGGAGGAGGCCATCACCCCGAACACCACGGCCCCGAACAGCAGCATACCTTTTGGGATGAACCAGATCGATGGCCTGGGCGACCCGTTCATGCCGTCCAAGAACTCGACGCCAGCCAGCAAGAAAGCCCCGGGCTCGGTGGGCAGGGACCCTGGGGAGAGGTCAGACAGCCCACTGTCGCCGGTGACTGGGAACATGCGGTCGCCCGACGCCACGCCGACTCGAGGGGGGAACCGCAACGTGGCGGCCACTCCGATATCAGGCCTGTCCCCGACCAAGGTCAGCGACAAGGGCACCCCCGTGCCGCTCTTCAAGCGCCTGAGCGACCTGGCACCGCCGTTCCGCAGCAGGGACGAGACGCCCGGCGTGGTGCGCCCCAGCCCCGCGCTGCGAAATGCCAATGCCAGGCTGTCGAGCGTGTATGACTTCTACGCCGACATGCCCGAGTCCTCGGGCCAGCAGAAGAACAGCCACAACCTCAACACGGACCCCACCAACAACCGGAGGAGGGCCGGCGGCGGCCAGGCGAGGATGGTCTCGTCGTCCGCGGCGTCCGTCTCATCATCGCTGTACTCGGACACGAGCGCCGCGGAGCGAGAGCGCGAGCGGCAGAACGCGGCCCTCAGCCGCATCAGCATGCTCCTGAACCAGGAGATCGGCCAGCAGCGGGACCCCAGCGGCGGCCAGCCCAAGCCCACGATGCGCGTCCCCTCCCAGAACTACCACGGAGGAGACGCCCGCGTGTCGGCGACGGTGGCGGCGGTGGCGGAGCTGCGGCGCATGAACAGCCAGGTCAGCGCGTACAGCACGGCGGCGGCGAGCGCATACAGCGACACGTCCTCGCTGGCGGCGGCGGCCAACATCCGGCCCGAGAGCGTGGTGCCGCCGCGGGGAGGGGCGGCGGCGGCGAGGAACTACCTCGCGCTGGGCAGCCCGGTCAAGAGCAGCCCGGACCGCGAGGTCAGGGGGAGGTATGAGCTGGGTTATGGGGAGGAGGAGGGGGATGATGCAGTCACGCCGACGAGGAATAACAACAGACGGGTCCTGGGGGTGAGTAGCGAGAGTGGCAGTGAGGACGGGGTGAGTCTGTATGATCAGGACGGGTTTTATATCACGCCCGCGCGGAGGCACGGGCTGAGGTCTTGACTTGTTTTCCATGACTTGGATAGCTATGAATAAAATAATACTAAATAATAAGTAGTTGAGTCCCTGTCACTGGCTTTGGCAGTTCGTGGATCATTGAGCTTGGGGTGAGCGTGAAGAGGCTGAGGAGACATGAGTTGAGGTCCGTTTTAGTCTTCCAGACGCCCAGGGTCTCAGGGTCCACTGTCCCCTGCAGGAAAAGGCTAGCGGGACGTGCGTGGGGAGCGGCAGGGGTTGGTTGCCACACCCCAGGTCGGGAGCATCCCAGCTAACAGTGCGTACAGTACGTGTGTACTTGTGTTGCTAAAGAACAGCTGGAGCTTCACGACTGGTTTGACAACAAGATGCTCGCTCACTCTTCTCACTCCACTCACTCACAACTCATCTAAACCTCTCACTCCTACACGACCTCATTTCCAACATTGCATGTCAAGGTCAAGACCATATGGCAAGTGAGAATTGAGCACCAATTACTGAAAGGAACCCCTCACAAAAGACCATGGCGAGCTTCCGCCCGCTGGCCGTCCTGGTCGGCGTGCTGCTGTCTCAGCTGCTATTTGCCTGTGTGGCTGCCAAGGATGAAGCTGTCCTCAGCGCCGAGATTGGCAGGCTGAACAACCAGAGCCTCCTCTGGGGGCCATACCGTTCAAATCTCTACTTTGGTGTCCGACCTCGCCTTCCTCACAGCCTGATGACCGCGCTCATGTGGTCCAACCTCGACACATTCAACGGGCCAAAGGACAGTCAGTCTCACCCCTCCTCCTGCCCCTTCACCCGCCACGAGTTGCAACACATATACTGAGTATTCCCACCGCCAGATCTCCGTTTCACATGTGAGCAGCACCAGGGCATGGACGGCTATGGCTGGGATGAGTATGACACTCGTCGCGGAGGTGTGCAGACCATCCACGATGCCGGGAATGGGATCGATATCACCACCTCTTTCGTCAAGGTCCCGGGCGGCGGAAACGGCGGGAGCTGGGCTGCGAGGGTCAAGGGTGTACCCCGACCTGGTGTGCCCGACAGCATCAGGACCCAGGTCCTCCTCTTTGTCTCCCAGGAAGGCCTGGGCAGTGAGTTGGAAATCGCAGCCGATGGTGATTCCAACGGTTTCGCCGGGCATGTCACCCTCAACGGTCGCTCCGACCCTCTTGGCGAATTCAAGCTCGTCATCACCCAAGGCACTGGCGAGCACCCTCAAGGAGGCTCCGACATCGATGATGAGACCGACTTCGACAAGACGGTTGTGCAATCTTTTACCCTCCCGCCAGAGTATCTGTGGCAGGGCAAGGGCGTTGCCCTACGTCAGTTTGGCGAGCGCATCCAGAGTGTCGTGGACAGCATCGATAGGGACGCCCCGCCCCCGCCGCACCACATGTACGCCCTGCAGAACAAGCCCGACGCCGGCAATGGCCACCTTGTCCAGAAGATCTTCGAGGGCCCCTTCGAGTTCGATATCCTCTTCTCCAGCAAGTCCGCAGGCAAGGACCTGACCAGCGAGGACCTGACCAGGGAGATCAAGGAGACCACCGAGTCTTTTGGACACCGCTTCACCAGCGTCTTCAAGCCGCAGGCCCCGTTCACCGCCGACAAGTACGCGAAATTTAGTAGGAGCATGTTCTCGAACCTGATCGGCGGCATCGGCTACTTCTACGGACAGCAGGTGACGGACCGCTCCTACGCGCCCGAGTACGAGGAGGACGATGAGGGCTTCTGGGAGGCCGCCGCAGAGGCGAGGGCACGCAAGGAGCAGAAGCTCGAGGGCCCGTACGAGCTGTTTACGAGCGTCCCCTCGCGCCCCTTCTTCCCGCGCGGCTTCCTGTGGGACGAGGGCTTCCACCTGCTGCAGATCGCGGACTGGGACATGGACCTGACCCTCGAGATCATCAAGAGCTGGTACAACCTCATCGATGACGATGGCTGGATCGGCCGCGAGATGATCCTCGGCGAGGAGGCCAGGAGCAAAGTGCCCGAGGAGTTCCAGGTGCAGTACCCGCACTATGCCAACCCGCCCACGCTCTTCTTCGTCATCGACGAGTTCATCTCCAAGCTGAAAAAGGTCGCCAACGGTAGCGCCACCTCTGAGAAGGAAACCCTCTCCCAGGACCAGACCCTCGGCACCGCCTACCTGGAGAACCAGAGCCTCGCCCTGGACTACCTCCGCCAGCTCTACCCTCTCCTGCGCCGCCAGTTCTTCTGGTTCAGGAAGACCCAGTACGGCGACATCAAGTCCTACGACCGCGAGGCCTACTCGTCCAAGGAGGCGTACCGGTGGAGGGGCAGGACCCCCCAACACATCCTCACGAGCGGCCTGGACGACTACCCCCGCCCGCAGCCACCCCACCCCGCCGAGCTGCACGTCGACCTGATGAGCTGGGTGGGCCTGATGAGCAAGTCGCTCATCAACGTCGCCGAGACGATCGGCATCGCCGAGGACGCCGACGAGTACAGGAAGATCCTCGACGCGATCGAGCACAACCTGGACGACCTGCACTGGTCCGAGGAGGAGGGCTGCTACTGCGACGCCACCATCAACGACTACGAGGAGAACGAGCTGGTCTGCCACAAGGGCTACGTCTCGCTCTTCCCGTTCCTGACCGGCATGCTGCCCGCCGACAGCCCCAAGGTCGGCAAGACCCTGGACCTCATCGGCGACGAGGAGGAGCTCTGGAGCCCCCACGGCATCCGCAGCCTGAGCAAGAAGTCCGAGTTCTACGGCACCGACGAGAACTACTGGCGCAGCCCTGTGTGGATGCCCATCAACTACCTGGTCGTCAAACAGCTCTACGTGAGTCCGCCAAAAAGGACCCTTTCCCCTTCATTTCCTGCACACGCCCCCCCCCCCCGACCCCCCCTCGGTTCTTTCTTACTAACATGGCATCGCACACCCGCAGGACGTGGCAAAGCAGGACGGCCCGCACCAGGCCAGGGCCGCGGACCTCTACAGCCGCCTGCGCAAGAACCTCGTCGAGACCGTCTACCAGAGCTGGCTCGACACCGGGTTCGCCTGGGAGCAGTACAACCCGGAGACGGGCGCGGGCCAGCGCACGCAGCACTTTACGGGCTGGACCAGCCTGGTCGTCAAGATCATGGCCATGGAGGACCTCTCGGGCTCCGGCCACGTGCGCGATGAGCTTTGAGGAGGGCGGCGGGGGGGGGGATGAGAAAGGCAACGCTTGTGCCTAGTATGTGTCGGGGTAGGGTATGGACCTGCCGGCAGGATATCAATCAGGGTTGGTTTGGAGGGTGGATCTCGCGCCCGCTCGGGAGACAGTCGATCGCTGTTGGACGACACGGTGCAGAGGGGAGAACAGGACAGGCGCATCTGCAGCGGGCGAGATGCCAGCGTGACATGTGACCCGAAAATAAAGGCTTCTGGGGCGTGGTTGTTGCCGCGCTTGACTGGAGGCAGACTTACAGAGCGCTATAGAGAAGAGGAAATGGTCATGATCTATCTCGAGTCTGACCGATTGCGGGACCGTGTTGCTGCTGGCAATTGCATATTCCCTATGATATCGTAGTCGCATCCCAAGACTGGAACCTATGAGCCACTGATCACTCGGTCTCCGTACCGATCACCCAGGGTCTCAAGCGGCATTCGGTAAAGCACGGAGCAACTGTTTACACAAAACCTTCATAGTCAGTCCAACTGACGCGACACCTCACCTCACCTCCTTAAAACCATATAAATACCGATGTTTCCCACTACCTATCTTATTTTCCTTGTCCATTCACGCCCTACCTTCGTCCATATATACATATATATATATATATATATATCCACCACCGGACTGGGGGGGGGGGGGGTTCATGCTCTCCACTCCGGCCGCACAGGCATTATTCAAAGGGTGTTGTTGCTGTGTTGAAAAAAAAGGTGAAGATATCTTTGTGATAGAAAATCCCAACGACCTACACAAAGGCATTGGGGCGAAATACTAGTTCTTGGAACCTCATCTCTCAAGGCGTTTCCCCTACGCATGAATAGAGAGAGGTGTGACACAGTAGATATCAACGTCGTTTCAATGTTTTCTATGGTGACGATAAAGAGAGACATCGGAGGCAGAAGGGCACACGGCTTTGGTGCCCACCAAACTCCACCAGTTTCCGCGATTGACCACGCCGATTCAGCCCTACAGATACTCCGAAGCGCCTAGCCGCAAAGGTCTTGGGATTGATGAGTGGGTAGGAGACAGAAAGGATACATGCATTTATTGTTCAGCAAGTGAATGGCCGGTACCTCCGCCATGATGCTCCGGTAACACCATCCCAGCCCAACGCCGACGCGACTTACTTGCTGCAGCATCCCCAAGTATGTATGTGTACACGTCAGAGACCAAATGCGCTCGTTTCTACTAATCCCAAAAAAAAAGCCAGGTAAAGAAGGCTGGCACATCCTTAACGCCCTGCAGGCTTCGACAGGATACCGTCGCCCTTCTGCGCGACCTCCTTCCTCGGGAGCACCACCACCTCCCTGCTCAGTAGCTTCCTCAGCTCTGGGGTGATGACCTTTTGGCGGCCGCCAGGGCTCTTTGGCGGCTCGGCCTGCTTGCCCTTGTTCCCTTGATCCTGCTGGTTACTACCGTTGCTGCCGGAGGGCGTGGTGGGTCGGTCGTTGGTATTGTTGCTGCTGTTGGTAGTCGAAGGTGATGGCCGGGGTGGGAATAATGATGGCGCAGCCGTGCTGAGGGTGAAGCGAGGGGCCGGGAAGTTGTTCTTCTTGTCAATGGCTTCGATGAGCCGCTTGAACTTCCTGAAGAGCGCTTCTGCGCGGATGAGTGTTGATTCGAGGTCGATGGTACCGGATAACTCGTTGACTACGGTGGTCAGGTTAGCAAGCAAATTTTCCTGGAACACCAAAAAAGGGCTAGATTTTGGAACATACCGTATTTCAACACCTCATCAAAGTGTTGGAGGTGCGTCAGGATCACGTCCCGATGTTTCTCCAGAATGGCCAGTGCCACGAACAAGTGGAAGCTGCTGGTCAGGTAGTCCGTCCACTGGGATTCCCACAGACGCAATATGTCCATCCAGGGGAACTCGCGCTTGTACCACACCAGTAGCATCCTGAAAAAGAAAAAGAAGTTGGTGCTGTCGGCCTTCTCGAGATGCTCCCACAGCTTGGGATCCATAAAGTGAACAAGCTGGTCGAGCGTGGTCAGCTGCGTGCGCATGCCGGACTGGTCGCGCAGGAAATTGCGTTCCATGCGGTCCATGAAGTGCTGAAAGGCCCAGAAGGCTATGGCATCGTCCTGGATTACGGCATAGATGGGCGCCAGCAGATCTGACATGCCCTGGACATAGCCGAGCTCCTTGTTGTACTCGTTGTAGGTGAGGAGGAGATCCTTCATCTGCTCCATGTGTACGTTGGTGCCGACTTCTGCAAAGGGGGAGTCAGGATCCGGGTGAGGAATGTTCTCGCCCGCAAAGATTGGGACATTACGGTCGGTGCGGTGGACATCCTTTTCTATCCACATGGTCAGCCAAGTCGATCAGAATGTGGACAGAATCTCCAGGGATGACCTTACCGATTCTCGCACGTTGTTCCCTCCACCATTCGCCTTCCTCTCCCTGGCCGCCGAGATCGACAAGTCTCTCCCACCACGAACCTTTGAGCTTCACATACGCATCCCTCAACGAGGCGATCTGGGCCTTGCGCTCGGCTGCAGTGCTATGCCAGTCGTGAACACCCAGGAGGAACAGCCATGCTTCCTTCCGTACGCCGTCCTCTGCATCCAGCCCGCCGTGAAACACCCGCTCCTTGACCTCATCCACTGTCACGGACAGCCTGCCCGTCCTCTCGTCGAAGAATGTTGCCCATTCCTTGGATGTGACAGGCTTCCTCCTCTCCTCCAACGAGAAGGAGCTCGTGCCCTCCAAAAGCTCGAACTCACCCACATCGGTGTCCTCCATTTCCATGACATCCTGTGCAGTCCATATCCTCTGGCGGCGATCCCGTTCGCTCTGTTCCGCTATGCCCATCGCCCATCGCGCCAGGTATATCCTCGCACTGTCAAATTCATCCTGCAGTGTCTTGACCTCGGGGTTGCGCAGCAGGCTCCTCACCTGCGGTGGAACCCGGGGATTGTCGAGTACGTCGTTGGCAGCATTCCGGGTGAAGGTGGTTACCTTGCTGAACTTTTCCATGATGTTCCATCCGGTTTCCTTGACAAATTTGGTGAAGGGGTCCATCTGCGCATCCCTGCTTGAGCCAGCAGCAGAGCCTGGCTTTGCCCCAGCAGCACCGCCCACTGTGATGCCACGGCTGCTATCACGGCGCCCGATAGAGGATGGCGTGCTGGCTGTGGGCTTGCCTCCAAAACCCTCGCTGTCTTCTGTTGAGGGTTCGACAAGGTAGATGTTGGGCTCGGCCTCGCTCCTTTCAATTTTGACATATCTCCTCAGCCACCTCAGGACCTCGTCACCACCCCAAAACATCTGACCGCTCTCCCCGAATGGATCAAACTTGTCCTTCATATGCTTCTTCTTCTGCAGTATCGTCGACTCACACTCGCTGTCGTGAAAGAACAGGGCCGGGAAACTGTCCCCAGCCCTGCTGTTGATTATGACTGACCCGAACCACCATCCTAGGCTTGGTGGGCGCACAAGCAAGCTGTAGATGGCGCTGACCGGGATAGCAAAGGAATAATGGCCGATGGAGCCACGGTGGGTGGTGACTGTCGGAGGGGGCGGGACGAGGTAGGACTGTTTAGGCGGGGAGTCGCCATCGGAGAGGTCGACCTTGACATAGGTGCTGGCAGCCTCGCCCAGCTGGGACTCGGGTAGCCATGCTAGCAAGAGGTCGGAAGAGGCTACTGTCTGGGAGTTTCGGGAGTCGGAAGAGGTGGGCCTGGCGCCGCGACCCGGCTTCTGCTGAAGGAGGGCTATGAAGCCGGGGATATTGTCCTTGGAGGAAGGAGTCGGGTGGATATAAACCTGCGTTGGGTGGTGAGCTCGACTGGTGCTGAGACACGATATACATGTGACAGATATGATAATGGCATGATGGGTTGTGTAGCATCAAGGAGCGAGGACTGACCTTGCTCTTGGAATAGAGGAGTTTCACGCCCCTCCCCGTCTCGGTATGTGTAATGGTATTGTATTCGCCCTCCTCATCATCGCTCATGGCGTAGAGGCTCCCCGGCGGTGAGACCTGCTGTGCCTGTGCTGGGTGTGTATCTCGAGCTTCTTGTGAGCGTGACAGCTCATCCGACGTCATCGTCCCGGATCCGACCTGAGAGGCCCGAGCAGGGGTGACGGATATTCAAGATCCGTGTGCTGAGGTTGTGGTCGGAGGAATCAGGCCTGGCAGTTGCAAATTTCCCCAGGTATCGACGTGTGAAATAGGATATCTTCGTAGGAGAATGACTTGTTAGGAAAGAAGGAAGGCGGATTAGAGACTACCTTTTCAATCATGTGGTGTCAGTCGGCGGGCGACAAAGCTGACGGAGGCCTGATGGATGCAAGAACCCCGCGACTTGCTCCACCCCGGTCGGTTTGGAGGGGCGAAGTGCTGCAAGCGGAACGCTAATCGCCCCGACCCCAGCTGTGCGCTTGCTTGTGATAGAGGCTACCTCTCCGTTCTTACCACAGCAGCCCCTGTTACCTGGGGGTACGGACGGGTCGTCGTCATCTGCCCTCTCTAGACTCTCCCAACTGGGCGTGATTAGGTTTCAGTGCCACGCTCTTGTTGTACGCAGCTCGTGCACGCCAGGATCATCCAGACCAGAAAATGGCTTCACTCGTCTTGCCGTCGGGCCAACACATCAGTGGGTCCGGGTAAGACCACGCGTACTCACTCGCACGAGAGAGAGATGTCTATTTTGTACTATAGAAACGCCTGGTTAATTATAATAACTGTCTGGATTTAGCACAACTAACTACACACAAGAAGGATGCACGTGTATCCCAAACTCCGGCCGCCTTCTCTATGTCTACCACAATTCGCAGATCCCAAAACTCCATGCATGCTGTTTCTGGAGGACCCAAGACGTGATTGATTATGTCTGTCCCATTCGTACGCAGACTCTCGGAGACGTCAAGACTGCCAGAGTGATGATGTCCGCGGGCCGCACTGTATAATTAATCGTCCGACATGCCCACCATCTATCTCATCCGTGGACCGCTGGGGAGCCCACCCATCCTTCTCGGCCCAGACGGCAGGCCACCGCCGCCAAACCTGTTGCCTCCTCCTCCGCCACTGCCACTGCCACTGCCAGAGTCAAACTGGCCGCCCGGTCCGTAGGGGTCATAATCGCCACTGCCCGAGTTCGCTGCAGACCCCCCTCTGCTTCGTGATAAGCCACCTCCCCCTTGCTGCGGCGGCGGCGCGAAGGGGCCCGTAGAGGACGAAGGCGACGTCGTCCTGGCACCACCCCCATACAGCCGCTGCCGCAGCCTGTCCTGCGCGCTCGACGCACCGCCTCCTCCCCCGCCGGCGCCCATGTCCACGCTGTTGCTCTGAACGCTGCCCGCCCTCTGGCTCGGCAACGGCCGTGCCTGGACTGGCGCGGGATCCGGCGTGGCGGCGTTTCGTGCGAAGGGGTTCCTGCTGCCCGCCGCACCGCCGGCGGCGCCCCTGCCCGCGCCGCGGTTCTGGTCCCACAGGCTGCTCAGCCCGCCCTGGGCGCCCCCTTGCTGTGGTGCGGCGCCATACCGGGACGCCGCTGGCCCGGAGTTCTGCTGGACGATGGGCGCGGGCGGGGGCGCCTTTGGGTCTGGTGGGAGCCAGTTGGGCAGCGGGCGGCCGTTCTCGGTGTAGTACTGCCGCAGGACGCGGCAGACGTGTGTGTCGTCGTCGGTGTCGCCGTCGGCCTCGGAGGCGAAGACTGAGCGCTGGAGGTTTGTGATGCGGGAGGTGGTGTTTGTGAGGATGTTGGAGTACCAGGACGCCATGTTTGCGGCTGGTTGCCCTCTTGTGTTTGTGTGCTGCTTCGGGAGGAGGCTCAGCTGGACTGCAGCAGGGGCTGCCTTGCGGTTGCTCGTCGACGACGACAGAGGGTGCGTGTGCTCCGTGCTTCTTTTCGCAGGTCGAGTCGGTGTGGAAGGAGGGTACAGGGCCCAAGTGGGATAACGATCGGCGCCGCCGTGAGCTGATGCGAGTTCGAGGGACTGTCTTTCGCCGTTGTGTTTGTTGCGGGGGATGTTTCTGCCAAGCAGACTGTTCGCTGAGACTTTTAGCTTTTGCACGTTGAACTGACAGTGCAGGGTAGCCTGATCCGTGGTCAGAAGTGGCCCGTGGATGTGCGAGTTGTGAGATTGGGTTTCGGGGGTTTGGGGTTTGAGGTTGGGCCTAAGTGCGGGCGGCGTTGTTCCTCTCAAGTTGTCCTGTCTCAGGTTGCGCTTTACACCGAACGGCTGGCCCCTCCAACGACTGGAGCTGGATGGACCAAGCTGAGCCCCTGTAATACAGAACCTGGGTTACCTAGGTAGCTTCGGCCCACCACAACACTCTCTATGCAACAACGCCCAATTTGACTTACGAAAACCCAATTGTGCCGCTGAACAGCCGGACTCACGATGTCCTTCGGAATAATACCTGAATATTACTTGCATCACACGCGTGCGCAGACTTTCTCAAAAAGGCTGGGAAAATGCGGACCTGAGATTCCAGCAGCGGGTTCAAAATGAAATGCCTCGCGTGCTCCCTCACGTGGCAAAACTTCTGCCAAACCACTGGCAGATTGAATCGGCAAAAGTTACTGTGCCACTACGTCCTTTGGGGGGATTGCCTACTGACCGCTCGCGGCAATCTCGAGCTGCGAATGGGTGGGATGAACGGGGGGATGTCCGGTCGAGGCACACAGCACGGGCGGAGTGATTTCAGTTGATACGTTCCAATGCACGACAGGCCTCGGATTCAAACACTCCGGTTGCGCAGATATTGTCTCTCGGTGGAACAAGCACGTGTGATACTTTCGATCTAGCTTGGAATCCCGTAGCCCGTGGGGCAGTGTCGTCGACGACACTTGTTGAAGGCAAGCGCGCGCCTGCCGAGATAAATCGTAAAGCGTCTTCGCGCGCAAGGCCGGGCGTGCAAGATAATCCAAGGCAGCTCGTTGTCGCCGGATCATGGTTCGGTGGGTGGTCGTCGTTCGGCCGCCGTTGTCAATCAGTTTTGTTCTCTGGGTATCATTGGTGCGATGGTCCCACAGAAATCTCTCAAGGCAGGGCGTGTAGGCTTGTGCGAATCGACGTTTACTCCATTTTCTTGTGTTGCCTGACCGTCAGGCCCATTCTGCTGGTTGAACCAAGATACGAAGCCATGCCAAAGCCAAGCCTATCAACGCCCAGTCATCATGCCCCCATGTTCGTGACCCGTTTATTTGTCCTTCTTCGCCTTCGCGCCCTTGACCTTCGCGGTGCCGCGCAGGGTCTTCATACGGTTCTTGCGCTGCTTGCCTGTGGTCATAGTCAATATCGGGTTCGGGGTGTTGTGACTCCATCGGCTGGTACGTACGCTGCTGGCGGGAAGCTCTCTCGGGCTTGACAGCGAGGCCGACACGGACCTGTGGGGATCGTTAGCATGGCTGCGGACAAGTGTACGGTCGGGATTGTCGTTGAACATACGAGACGGTGTCGTGGCTCGAACTTCTTCAGGGCCTCAACCGAGTCGTAGACGAGCGCAAAGCCGCTGGTCTTGCCACCACCGAAATGGGTCCTCAGGCCGAAGACGCTGACCTGCTCCTTGGAAGCCTTGTACAGCTGGGCAAGTCGCTCGCTGAGGTCGGACTTTGCGATGCCGGCGTGGCCAGGGTGAAGGATGTCACTGGATCGGTATGTTAGCATCGCTCACGGGCAAACAGGTCGCGCGAGGGTACTTGCACCACCATCTGCTTCTGTTTGGGCTGTTAGCATTTTTGCAACTCAATTCCAGACAAACGCGGGGGAAATACATACGCGGCCAAGCAGGGGGTTACGGATGAACCGCCGCGTACGGATCGTGATGGACGAGTCGGACATGTTGGCTGTGGTGTTGAGTGCTTTGGTTGAAGGGTGCAAGACTGGTTGGCTGGCACAATTGCGAAGGCACTCAAATCTTTTCGAACGCTCGCTCTGGTGGGGGCACGTGCTGCCGGCTGGGCACAGCTGGGGCCAGCTGGCGGAACGGCCCCTGCGGCGCTAGTCCGGCCTGCAGGTATCCAGGTATCTGTACGTACTAAACGTCAAGAGGTCTCTGTATAATACGTACCTAGGTATCTTACACCGGCCATTTAAAATCACTGTGCATGCATCAGAAGGACAATTAATTGATGGATCAGTCTGGACGCATTCTACCGCCTCTACATCCCTAGGGTAAGCAAGAATGACTTTTCAGAGACTCCACCTTCAAGAGGGCTATGAGATGTAGACAATTGTGATATCATGGAGATCATTAAATATTGAAATTGTACGCTGCATGCTGAGGGTATCTCACATGGCTTCCTCGCATCCATCCAGACCAGTTCAGCAGCCTCTCTGTTGCCACCCGATACTGACAATGACAGTGAAAAGCTTGAGGGGTCACCTCAAGGACATCGCGGGGAAATGACTCCATGGCTCTCCTCCCTCCGTCGTCTCAGCCCCGGGGAAATGACCAATGCAATGAACCGCCCCCCCTCCTCCGCCGTTCAAGGGGCCCGGGCCAAAAGAAGATCGAACACCAACCAGTTCAATTTCCCCAACTGCAAGACACGCCGATTTTCCTGTTCCTTTAACGCCTTGCCGGACTGTGCCACTAGAAAGCGAGCAACTTCTCTCTGCTCGTCTCCTCCTCCAGCTCCTGCTCCTTGGTCTTCTTCCTGCCCTTCAGGACCTTCTTGGCGGCCTTCTTGCGCTTGTCACCAGCCTTGGCCTTGCCTGCCTTGCCCGCTTCTTCCTCGCTGTCCTCCTCAGAGTCGTCCTCCTCGGAATCATCGTCGTCTTCGCTGGCCATCCAGTCTTCAAGATCGGCCAGGTCCTCGTCGCTCTCTTCGACATCACTGACATACTCGACGTTGCCCTCGAGCTCGTCATCCTCCTCCTCGACCTCCTTCTCGAAGTCTTCCTCCTCGTCATCCTCGACACCCTCGTCCAGGTCCTCGTCGCGGACGCCCTGGCCCTCCTTCTCGAGACCCTTGAGGACCTTCTCCCAAATCTTTTGTGACACATTCAAAGGTTGGTCGCCGTAGGCTCCCTGTCGTAGTCTCTCCAGAAGTTCCCTCTCGATGGTCTTCTCCAGCCTGGCAGCCGCCTCTGCTTTGCGCTCACGAGCGGTTTCACGGTGCTTAACCTTGGGTGCAAGCTTGGGCACAAGCTTCTCTCCAAGACGCTCTTCCTCGGCGGCCAGTTTTCGCATACGGGTCGCCACACGGTTGAGACGCCACACTCGTTGTTTGGCTTTTAGTCTGAGAAAATCCGGCCAGTACCTGCAGAGGGTGCAGAGTCAGTAACTGCACGACTTATTGCCTGCATCAAAGAGTCTTTGGAGGACTTCTTACATCAATTTCTCGTCAACCATCGCCAGCGCTTCCTGTGGGTTGGCCGGCAACCGTATCTTCTCCCACAAGCGGTTCGGCATGTGCGCACGTTCGACGGTCTTCATGTAAAGGTAGAGAACGTTGGGCTTGTCCGGGTGGGGCCTGACAGAGGCATATCGACTGTTCGCCAGAGGGCAGGATTGTCGGTTGCAGAGTCCGGTGACATTGTACTCGTTGCGGCAAAAGTTGGTCTGCTTCTGGTTGTTGGGCGTCCGTATCTTGAATGCGCAGAAATTTTGGTCTGCAAGCCAGTCAGCCGTCCGCTCTTGGTTCAATTCTATAGATGATCCATTTGTTCATACTGATGTATTGCCAAACAATCTCATCGGAAGCCATGGTGGGCGGCGATCACGGTGTCGTGACGTTTCTGTCCTTGAAGGGGCGGAGGGGGTGGGATGGATGCTCAAGAGAACGGAGGCGCTTCCCTGAGGAAAAAAAATGGTATCGATAAAGTCCCTTGCTATCGAATCCTACCTGCGGATTTGCAATTGTCGACCAATCAACTGCTGCGTGGTGGTGGTCTGTGGGCCCGTTACGGACCCCAGCTCCTGCACCTTTCAGTCCCTAGCTTCACTGTAAACTACACCCTATGCTTGCTTATTAGGCCCAACTGCACGTACTGTACCTTTCTCAGACCCTTTGGCTAAATCAGCTCAACGTCCAACCAACATTGTCTCGCGCCATCGACCAATCCACCCGTCTCCATTGCTCTGTTGACAGAGACGATAATCAGAAATCAATTCTCTCCCAACAGGAATTGGTCAATGTACCGGTATGGCCGCATAGCCACTATAATTCGGGCCTCTGCGAGGGGTCTCGAAGCGTCACATTTCACCACACCCGTGCGGCGTGCTGTCTTTGCTCGTCGACATGTACACATAAGCGTCCCACGGCGCTATCAAATTAAAGCCAATCGGCAGGAACATTCAAAGTGTGGCATCGATGTCATAGTGGGCTCTTCAAAGAATGACACTATCTACGCCCTGTCCTCGGCCCAGGGCAGGGCTGGCATAGCTGTCATCCGAGTCTCTGGACCCGCATGTCTGGACATTTACCAGAAACTATGCCCACGCATGCGGCTACCAAAGCCTCGGTATGCCACCGTCAGAACGCTCCATGATCCAGACCATCAAAACGCGACGAATGTCCTTGACTCAGGAGCCCTGGTCCTCTACTTCCCAGCCCCCAACACCGTCACTGGTGAGGATGTCCTCGAGCTTCACACCCATGGTGGGCCTGCCACCGTGAAAGCCGTGCTGGGTGCTATTCCACGATGTCAGTCGGTGTCAGACCCTATGACCAGCATCCGCTACGCCGAGCCTGGCGAGTTCACAAAGCGTGCCTTCCTTCACAATCGCCTGGACCTGTCGCAGGTTGAGTCTCTCAGTGATGTGCTGGATGCCGAAACAGAGCAGCAGCGCCGGGCTGCAGTGCGCGGGAATTCTGGTTCTCGCGGGAAAACCTACGACTCCTGGCGCGAGGAGCTTCTGCTCGCCAGGGGCGAGATCGAGGCGCTGATCGACTTCTCGGAAGACCAGCACTTTGACGAGTCGCCTCGGGAGCTGTTGCGGAACGTGACCGGGATGGTTCGGAGAATCCTTCGATCGATCGACATCCACGAGATGGCCGGGCAGAGGACGGAGCTTCTCAGGAAAGGAATCCGAATTGCGCTCCTGGGCCCGCCGAATGTGGGAAAGAGTTCGCTCATGAACCTGATTGTTGGGAGGGAGGCCTCGATCGTATCCCGCGAGGCAGGCACCACGCGAGACATCGTAGAAGCTAGCCTCGATATCGGCGGCTATCTCTGCACCTTTGCCGATACGGCGGGCATCAGGACTTCTGCGCTGTCGACCGACGGTGCCATCGGGCCAGTGGAAGAGGAGGGCATCCGCAGGGCGCGCGTCAAGGCCCTCGGCTCCGATGTCATCATTGTTCTCGCTTCGATTGAGAGACACATGGACGGCACGCATTACATCAACTACGATGCGGAGACATTGCAGCTGGCAGCCAAAGCTGAACAGCATATCATTGTGGTCAATAAAAGCGACTCGGTCAACAAGTCGATCTTAGACTCGCTTCTGAAGGACTTTGCCTCATCTATCCACACGCATGCTGGGACCCTAGCTGAGCCTCGCATTATCTCCTGCGCAAAGGCAAACGATCAGACCGAGTACCTGGACAAGAATGACCCTAGTGGCATTCACGCCCTCACTCAAACCCTCGTCCATCGGTTTGAGGACCTGACATCTCTGCCTGAAGATATGCAGGACCTACTGGGCGGGACAGAGCGGCAGCGACAACTCCTGGCGCAGTGCAGGCTACATTTGGAAGACTTCATGCTTCAAGCTGAGGCCGGAGGCCTGGAGTCGGATGACCTGGGTGACGAGCCTGATATCGTCCTTGCTGCTGAGCACTTACGTTACGCGGGAGATTTTCTGGCCAGGATCACCGGTCGTGGGGATGCCGGCGATGTGGAGGAGGTATTGGGGGTCATTTTTGAAAAGTACTTTATCCTTCTTCGTCTTTCGTTGACCTAACACTTGCGCGGTGACATTCTTTGCTGACTCGTCTGCCAGATTCTGTGTAGGAAAGTGAATTATGATTAAGACGCATGTCTTAACTATTCTAGTCTTGTCTAGAAGCCCCAACGCCGACCCAAGATATGAAACGATTGTGGTGCTCAGTGCATCCGACTCTATTCAACCAATCTCATGGGATGGTTTACATGACCAAGAAGTCCGGTTTTCTAGCCCTTCCGATTCTAATCGCCCGCCCAAAATCAAGGTGTAGTGAAGGGGTAGGGAACAGGTGTGTGTGTGTGTGTGTGTGTGTGCCGAGGGGATAGTATACAAGGGGAGAACCATAATTGGTTGCGAATGTGACAGGGATAGTGAAGTGACAACCGCAACGCCGATCTCAGTCTGAGCCTCTATATTCTACGGGGTGTTGGTATACAACAGCCAGTGCCGGATATCTGGGCCGATCCCGATCTGGGGATGCCCGTTCAGGGACAGAGCCGGCACTGGTCATGGTGACTCGTGAGGAGTCGCCAGTGAGGTGTGGGACTCGAGCCGGCAGAAGACATGCCAATTACTCGAAGTTGAGCGACCTCTTGTTGTCCTTGTCGTCATCGTCGGGCTTTGAGTTGTAGCCGGAGCGACCTTGGTTCTTGTCGTCATCATCGCCACCGTTGGGCTTGGAGTTGTAGCCGGAGCGGCCGTAGAGCATGGGGCGCTCGTTGGAGATCATGGAGAAGACAGCCATTGTATTGGTGGTGGGGTTTTGTATGAAGAGTATAAAGGTGGTGGTGATGGTGATGGTGGTTGGTTGAGAGTTGTTGGTGTGTTGTGTGTTTTGAATGGTTTGCTAGTGGGTGTGGTTGTGAGTGATGATGATGATGAGTTTGTTGACTGGATTTCAAGGCCAGGCGATGGGATCTTATATAGACGAGGGATATGGGATATGATGCTGCTGAGGTTGTATGCTCGCCTCACGGCATGGTAGGCCACACCAGACTGCGTTCTCAGTCAGATCCGAGCAGACTACATTCTCAGTCAGACCCTAACCGCCCGTCCCGTCTTCAGCCTCTTCCATCGATGGACCGGCACCACCATCATTCGCAGTAGGCGCATTCTCACAGCCTCTCACCCTTGCGAAGGATGACCTAAGGATTCAGGGTTTCTCGGATGCACAGGATGCGCCTCCCACGCCAGGGAATGACACCCACGGCGACGCTCTGGGCACACCCACTCGGGCCCCCTGCTGCCATGTGGTAGCTGACGGGCTCAGGCAGCGAAATTGGAGATGACAGATGCAACCTCAGGCCCCAGCCAATCCGGCTGAGACATTCGCCAAATGCCTGGCATGGAAGCCATGGAACACCCTACAATAATACATGGGGTCTATTTTGGGGGCCAAGGAAGGGGGCAGAACGGCGGGGCGACTTGGCTGCTTGGTCGTCTAGTCTATTCGTACCGTTGCAGTGGTACAGCAGCCACGATGATCGACACACGTAGGGCTGAGGACCTACAGCAGAGGCGCCCGCGCTGTCCGCTGTCCGCTGTTTCTGTTTCTGTTTCTGAGCTCCCCATCCCAGACCATCCCAGCACATAGGACTTTGCCCTCGGGATCTGACTTATCACCTCCCAGGCACACACATCACAGGACGAGACACTGGAAGACTTCCCTGCTCAACGCAGCAGCAGCCTGCATCAAGGTGGCTGACAAAGTGGACACGCGCCCAGTGTGAAGCGGAAATGAGGGTGTCGTTCCCAGGTCCTTTTGTCGCTATCACAACACGTCTATTGATGGGCCGGGTCGTTGTTTAGTCTCACACCGACACTGCCCTCCTATTTCCACCTACACCTTTGGAATTACCTAAGCCCTTCTTCCAGGGTCCAAGACTGGTTTCGAGCCGTTTTGTCATCATCACCATCACCGATGCGGAAGTTCGTCTCACCCAAACATGCAGGTCAGCAGAGTCACCGGTCCCAAAGGAGTCATTCCAAGGTTGCTACCGTGGCGTCGGTGTGAAACTGCTGCCAGATTGTCGGCCAATCCGCCGGTCAACAACAGCCACGGCGGATGGATCCGAACACAACGATGCCAGTATCAGAATGATTCACGACTCCCCAAGGGTTATCTCCCGGCCAGCTGGTTCCGTTGCTTACGCAGCACCTGCATCGGAGGCGGCGCATCGGGAGCGACCTCCACCTGGGCACCCCACGGCTCCGGACTCCTGGGCCCTGGCCTTGACCTCGACATCTTCACCGCAACGTGAGTTGAGAGACAACGGCCTTGGGAACAGGCACCCTTCGGCAACCGAAAGTGCAACGTTGACGATGAGGCTCTTTCGCACACCACATCTGCCTCATTGCAGCGTCCTGCCTCCATCCTACTGCTGTCTCTCGGACGAGTCTCGCATGCCAAAATGCAGCCCTACAGCCTTATCGTCATCAAAGGATCTCTCGCGCCGTAGATCCCCCAAGCTCTTGTCTCGGCCAGAACTGGAGCATGGCGCAGGGGCGGTGCGCTCATCTCAGCCTGCAGTGGCGTGGCTGCATCTCGAACGAGCACCACAACGTCCAGGCACGCACTATGGATTGCGCCCCCAGGTGGCCGTGGATGTCCCCCATCAACCTGCACGGCGGGTCATACTGCCGTCGTCACCCGCTGAAACCTTGAGGCTCTGCGAGCCGTATGCCGACAAATGATGAATCCCGTTGCAGTGTCAAATGTCACGATCCTGCAGCCCCGGACGTCAGGCTCCCACAGACAGCCCATGGGGTATGGTATGGGAGACACAACATGTCTTCTAATATGGCCTTTTGGTACCTCCGTCTAGGTCTCAGATTTTGAGGCAGAGTCCTCGGGGGGGGGGGGTCAACATAGCCGGTCCCACGGCGGCGGCTCTATCTACTGGATAGCCTCGCCCGAGGCTCGGTCGGACGAGGGCTTGTACACCGGGCCATGAGCTCATGTCTCACCCTCGCGTAGATTGCGGGTCCGCGATGCCGCGAACGACAGTTCGCCGACTCCTTGGCGACCCTGGAAGGCGGCCAGCGTCGCAGAGACACGCTAGCTGCCCTATGAGCATGCAGGCACACTGCGACGACGGTCAGAGTCCACACCGGTAGTTGAGGAAACAGTAATCACCACCACCCCAGGCTGCCAAAAACCACCCCGGTCCCAGGCTAAGTTAAGGATGTTAGTCATTCCGCGTCGGTGAACGTGGCACAGCCCCTCGAGGACCCCCGAAGGATATTTCCACCGTCTTACCTCGTCGGTGACGCGACGCCGGGACACCTCGAGGGAGACAGGCACACGAGCCAATTATATCCGATGCGCCGGGCGGCCTGGACACTGAGACCCCCCACGCGACAGCACTCCTTGCAGAATCTCCTATGCCTCATCTGCTCGCTGCATCTCACACCGCCGGTCAGATCCTGGGAGGACGTGTCGTTTCTCAGGTTTCCCAGGCCCTTTGTCACCACCACCATTACCACACATCACTACCATGGGCCATGCTTATTACAAACGGTGGTTCCCACCTGTGCCTGCGTCCCCCCCCCCCAACCCCCGCCTGCGATCAGGCAGCAAAGTTTGGAGTGGTTTGCGACCGGGGTGGGGGTTTGCGCGCATCTCCTGTTGCTAATTCGGTACCCTTCTCTCGAGGTGACCCCCTGTCGCAATGTGCGCCCTGCCAAGTATTTGTGGGACCGTGGGATACGCTTGTACGCCCATCAAGCCTGCGGTATCGAGCACACAACAGCAGCCGTGTGTCTGTGTCTGGGTCTGGGTCTGGGTCTGGGTCTGGGTCTGGGAAAGGGACCGTCGCGCCATCAATTTGACAAAGTCCCCATGACGAGACAACGACCTCTGTCGGCCGAAACCCACAGCCGCCTTCTCTTCGAGGCGTCACCTGGGGCTATTGAGTGGTAGCTCCCCTCTAACCTCCGCCCATGTGGCAGTGCCCCCGTCACCGGTTACGCATCGCGCTTACCTCATCTTTTTCTCGTTCATACGGTTCTTAGTGGCTTGCTCCCATGCCGAGACAGGCGTTGTTATGGCTGGGGCTGCGCCCCCTCTGGTCGTATTCGTCCTCTTTTTCTTAATTTACAATTGTCGCCTAAGTGGGCGTGCAGACACGCAGAGAAGGACGCTACTCGTTCGTCTTTGCTCGTAATGTGTGTACAGAGGGTACAGGGTACAGAGAAAGTTGAACCGACCCACAATGCCCCGTCGGTCACACTGCCCGTCCTTCCGCTGAGGAATTGGTGAAACCGCACTTGAGCACTTTCGTTCCGCTTTACTAGTACAGTAGATGCCCCAGTCAGTGTATTTGCCCATTGGAGTGGAGTCGGCGTGCCACGTGACGCCACTGTCGGTGGTCCTGAGGCCGGAGGAGGAGCCGCCGTGGTAGGAGATGAGGGTGCCGAGGTTATTCTTGGCCTCGCTCAGTGTGATGGTGACATTGTCCCAGCTGAAGGCGAGCAGCGTGCCGCGTGGAGCACTCTTTGGCACTGTAGATGATCTGTGGCTTTATTCCCTGGGCTGAGTAGACGGCGCATCGAGGCGCAACCGATCCGCCTCATGCATGGCTTTTTTTTGTCGGTTTGTCCGTGACCATAGACAGAGACAGCCTTGGTGTGTCAAATGGTACCTGTAGACCTTGGGGTCTTGGAGAGGAGAGAACTCACAGTCGGACAGCTCTGAGACCACCCTTGCCGTTCGAGGATACTTTCTGGTCGATCCTCTTGGTTTCCGCGTTGACGGCAACTGGACAGGATTAGCCGAGTTAGTAACAACAGCGGAACCTCCTAGAGCCCTCCCGGAGCCGCAGCCGGGCGGTGTCAGTGGCGAATTCACTCTCAAAGTCGAGCCTCGCATCCTTGGGCACGGCGACACAAGCGTCCTCTCGGGCGTATAGGTACTGGCGGTGACATACCACTCGGCGGCGGCGTCACACCCGCAAGACTTCCAGTCGGCTCACCACCTGGGCAGTTGAGCAAAGTCTGGACGAGATTCGCCTAGGACATATCTAGCACGATCCAAATAGCGACCCAGAGAGACTTGTCGAACGTGTCGTGGTCCTGGATGACGGCCGGCGCGGGGCTCAGCGAATATGTCGCTTTGGTGATGTAGGCGTTGCCGACCTAGGACCCCAGGTAGAATCTGTTGCCGAACCTGGCGGGTGTGGTGGGTAGCAGGCAGGCTGCAGCTTTGGAATAGAGCGCCGTCTAGGTGAAGGGGCTGCGTGATGGTGACATGGTAGTCATTGGATTGGAGCTTACGAGTCCCACGGGGTGTGAAGCGTGAAGCAATATGGAACAGGTAGTCACTGATGATTGATGAGAACCAGGAGGATAGTACTCAGGACGAGAACATACTCGTCAGAGAAGTATCATAATGCATGAGAGCCCTATAGTTCACCGGTATAGAAACCACACGATGGCAGCATAGACAGTGGGGCGGATGGGAACAGACAGACTGTAGAATACTATGAGGCCCGTACAAATACATCGTACTGAATCTCTCATATTCACAAAATAAAGCCATCGGCCCTCATGATGTGAAGGACTCTTTCCCTTCCGAATAACGAAGAGGGATGGAAGGATGCGACCTGTGGACTGAACATTATCATCATGAACACCCTGACTATGCACATGTGAGATCTCTGGGCCGACTTCAGGCCTCCCAAACCAACCAGCTTATACGGTTCTCTATTCTGACTAGAAAAAAAGTCATTGGGAACGCGGTAAGATGAAGTAATAGTGCGGCTAACGGGACCTGTCGCGGTGTGTGGGCTGGCGCCAGGGTCAAAAGCACTTGCGCAAGACCGTGGGCCCACAATTCGTGGCTCTTCAGCACTGTGCAAAGCAATGAGGAGATCTATGAATGCTGCCTGTCATTCTCACTATGTGAGGCCGTGTGGGTATCGCATGGCAAGGTTGAGCCTGCGTGCTCGGCACTTGCTGGGTTCAGGCTCTTCGGGGCGGTCGCCCTGCGGACCCAGAAGCGGGCGGCTACTTCCGTCTCATCGTCAGATGGTTGCCCGGTGGGTCTGGATTCTTACGACTTGTCGTCCTCGAGAAGTCCATGGGATGGATGTTGCGCGTGAAGGTCTGGATTATCATGGGATATGTGGCTCTTGGTATGGTTCTCGCTTCGTGGATTCCGGCGAGGGTCGTCTCTCTCTATATATGTACTGCATGCATGTATATCTATCTCCTCGAGTCCGCTGTTGAACTCGACCGATACAACTGTCTTTCACAGTGTCCAGTCGTCTATATCAACGATGACAGCATCAGCGCGCGGGTAATCAAGCGAGCAACTCCAAATCTCACATCTGAGGTGCTGACTCGTCACTCCTCGTCCTTCGTACGTCTACTCCGTGTGGCAACAGAGTGAGCGCGCTGGATGCCCTATGTGATGAATCTCATGTTGTTCTCGCGTAGACGGGCTATCCAGCGTCGCTCGGGATTCCGGCCCAGGATTCTCCATTAAACTTCTCCAGGCATCCGGGCTGCTAGGACACCGCCGGTGACAGGCCAGGTCGTCATGTCGTCAATCTCATGTCGCAGATGTTCCGTCATCTCACTCATCCAGCGCCCCGTCCGAGTAATACTCAAACGCAGCAGGGACCGGTGCCTCCTTGCCTTTACCATCGTCAGGATCCGCGACCTCATCCCCGCCACCAGGTGCCTCTCCGACGGGTGGTGGCGCGTCGATCTTGCCCACGGGCATGACAACCTCGGGGGCCATGGCACGGTCGCCCCTCAGAACGCGGGTCATCCATTGTGCCCACTCCCACGGCCTGTCACGGCCGCCAGGCAGGCTGTTGAAGTACTCCCAGCCCATGACGCCGCCGAAGCGGGCGTGCTGGCCGACCATGAGGGGGATGACGGAGGCGAGGATGTCAAAGGGGATGAAACCGCCGCCGTTATCGGGGTTAGTCACCAGGCCCACGACGACCTTTTCTGGTGCCCAGCCTTTCATGAGGAGCATCTCGTACATGATGGGATTGGAACAGTCGCCCCACCCACAGTCTGGTCATGGTCAGTGCTGTAAGGTAAGACAAGAGACGGACTGGGCCCAACTCACAAAACTGGCAATTATACCAGGCAATCTCGCGGCCCCTCATGACCTCCAGGGCCTCGTAGTCAAACCCACTGAGGTTGTTCCTGCTGTTCAACAGGGCCGCCGCAACAGGCGCGAAGGTGATGATGAAATCGGGCCCAAAATCCGCCCTGAGCCGATCGACCAGCCTGACCGCGGCGCCAAGGCCCATCTCCTCCTCGACGTCCAGGTCCAGCCCATCGAGGGCCCGCGCGCGCACGAGGTCCCGCAGCGGAGCATAATAGCGCTCGAAGACGGCGTCGTCGTCGCTGCCGAGGCGGTCGACTGCAAAGGTCCCCTTGGCGGCGCCGCCCAGCATGCCGAGGACGCGCACGCCGCTGGCCTGGAGGACGCGCATCTCAGCCCATAGCGTGTGGAAGCGCGGGTGCGAGGGCGGGTGGTCGTTCAGGGTGATGGCGTGCGGGTCGCCGTTGATGTGGATGGCGGCGAGGATGAGGTGGGTCAGGCGGATGCCCGGCTGGGTCAGGAGGGGGAGGGCCGAGATGGGCTTGCCATCGTGGGTGTGGTGGGTTTGATAGTAGGTTATGATGCGGGGCAGGGCTGGGGGTGGGGGCACGGGAGGCATGGTGGGATGGTGGCAGTCGAGATGACGAGGGTGAGGGTGAGGTTGGTGTTGAGAGTCGTGAGTGTGTCGTTGGTCATCTGCCAGTGCTTGGAGGTGGGGCGTCGGCGGCGCTGCGTGGGGAAAGAGCAGCCTCTTGAGGACGAAATACGGGTCGAGTGTGACAAGTGTCTTATAAACCACCAAAAGCCTCCATCTCTGCCTGGCCGCGATGAGAACGGATCTGAGGCTGGGCATCAAACGTGAAGAAGTGAGCTTGAAGGTGAGGCCCGCGGGTGAGATGCCAGGGACTCGCACCGCTGGCATACAAGTCGGCAGAGTGGGTCCATCTTACTGGAGTAGCTCGGCGCCCGGCGCAGCACCACTGCCTTCATCTAGGCAGTTTGATAGCTTGGTAAGGAGGATGCTGCGGAGGCTAATCATGTCCCTAATTGGAACCAGTTGCAATCGAATACATCTTTGATCAGTAGAGAGGGGTGATGGCTCTCCATATTAGAAATTCAGGACATGTCTCGATGACACGGCCGAGTGCGGTGGTTTCCGGCCAAGAGCACCGCAACACACAGTCCACATAACAACTAGAACAAGTCTAATTAAGAACATTACTATCAGTTAGTTTAGAGTTAAATTAATATTTATTAAAATATCTTTCTTTAAAAATTATAAGGAATCTAATATTCATTCCTAGTTATAATATAAAATTAAAGTAAGTTACTTAGATTTATTAAATCTTTTAAGGTATGAGTTAGCTATGTTGCTGTGCTTTAATACATTGTGGCTATCAACATGACTCTATAATAGAGCTGCACGACTGACTCTTCATGAAACAACTTGGTTGTATAGTGTAGTTGGTTATCACATCGGATTCTGATTCATTAGTCAGTATCCTTCCGGTGACCGCGGTTCGAATCCGCGTACGACCTCATCTTTTTGGGACCCTTTCAAGAGTTTTGACAGCTCTTTTGAGAGTGGAATGAACGTGAACAGAGCTGGTTTGACTTGGGGAAACCATTTTGTTTTTAAAACATTTTTTAGATTAGAGCCATGCTTATAGAACATTTCTAGATGTTATATGTCTCCTTTCCTCAATTCCTAGGTGGGCACAGTAAGGTGAGTTTAAGTGTGGGTGTGTGGGTAATTGGGGCTCTGCTGCACCTGTCGTGCGTAGCGCAGCCTGTGCACAACGCACGCCGGACCTGCCCCTCATAGTTCTGCCAAACGAACCTCAATTGCAATACTAGAACAGCTGTTGCGACGGCTCGGAGCTTCTAGACTGCTGGGAAATTTTCTGAGGGATTGGAGATTGGGTCTTTTGGCCCGGACGTATATGAGTGCGCAGTCCGTTTCAACTGCCTTGTGTTTACATCTCCCCTCGTAACACCTAGGACAATATCCCCTCTGAGGTTTGGACGTTCCGAGAGGCCATCCTACAGGAGGGTGGCCTATACAAAGCTACTTGGCTACCAGTATACATGCAAGGTTGTCTTTCCTATTGCAGAGTGTCTTGTGCAGGATTGTCCCGCCCGGGTATTGTGATATATTTTATGAAGTAGTCCCGTGCGAGTTCAGCAGATAGACGCCACGGCGTGGCCTCCATCCGGGCAGAGCTCGTCGGAATGACCAATGCAGTATGCAACGATGCATCACCTTCGGTCACAGTCTCAAGATCTCCAGATGATCGGCTTGTCTCCTCTCAAGCTTTGCCGTGGACGGAAGGACGCACACATGCAAGGTGACGAACTGACTGATGGCCAAGCACACGTTCCCGACGCAGGAAGGCGCGGCTAGGGTCCGCGGTCCCGATGTGCCCATGCGACGCAACAGTGTTGTGTGCATGCATGCAAACCTGATGCCTACTACTGTATATCTCCAGAGTCGTAGGCTGGTGGACCCTACTAGTACCTAGTTGCCTACCTAGGTAGGTAGGCCCGCTCAGGCCCTCGGCGCCCCCCGCGGCAGTCAGATTCCACGGGGACGGTGTGGCGCGTGGTGGCGTACCATCCATCCAACCATCCTTATTACCACGCTGCATGCATACACACTACCTGACTACACGCCCGCAATGCGCGTGCACGATGGATGGAACGGGCTTCTCGAGATCTGATCTCAGCGCATACTTTGGTACGGGGCCAAAGGGCCGCGCATCCAGTGGGATGTGTTTCATCTACATGTGTGAATTCTCGCAGTGGCGACCTGAGCGCTCCCATCTAGGTATTTTCCGGCGCCCTCCGCGCTGGGATCGGGATCTAGGATCTGGATTACACGTGCAGCAGCTAACATATAGTTTGGTCCTAGTATATGTGACGTGCACGTCTATGCGTGCGAGTTGGGAGTGGATGGGGTTTTGAGTTTGGGTGATTGGAGAAAGACATGTACAGTGCATTGTTTTGTACATACGATGTGGTTCATGCGAATGGAACCTGTTCGTCGCTGAGACAGCCTGCTCATCTGCAGCCCGTCTCGGCCTCACGAGGGTGAAACGGGTGGAAGGGAGGGGTTTAAGGCTCACGATGGATGACTGCGTGAGCACAGAGTCATAAACCAGCAACGCCCTGGAAGGCGAAGGAAAAGATGAAGATTATAGCTACAAAGAAGGTAAACCATGATATATACTCAGATATATAGGTGTGTATACAAGTGTATAGATGCAAACGTGCCCGCCTATACTCGCCATACAAAGGCTTTTTGGTTTTGTGTCGTTTTTCTTCCTATCTTGCAAGACGTCCCGGCCCCTGGTGCCTTTCCTGCGTCTCTGTCTCCCAGCCCCAGAACTCTTCAATGCAGAATAAGAAAATGTGTATATTTGATGCCTCTCTGTCTTCCCCACGTCTTGCCCATGGAGTAGGGGTGCGGGGAAGGTTATTTTTGTGGTTTTGAAATGACAGTTGCAGGCCGGCTCGGGATATCGGTGTGGGAAAGCATTTCGAACGCCATGGCTTATAATGTTTTGAATGTGATTGTGTGTTCTTGCACCACAAAGCTCCGGCCGTGACGAGAAAGATGATTGGATATGGGGTCATGACAGTCATGAATGAGTCTCTGATTGGAAAACAAAAGGTGAAGACAAGCATTACAATGATTGGTAAGTTCCGCGTGAAAGAAATGAAGCACGACCTGGAGTCGAGCAGTCAGCCGGGATGCGTCATGTCCCCTGGTGGTGGCGCAGGCCATATGCTGGCACGTTGTATGCCTGGCCTTAGGTGGTCGGATCGGGAGCCCCCCGGGCGATGATTCACTTGACGGAGCCTTGAACGTTTCGGCTCTGGCAACGCAACGGATATCGAGCCCACGGCGACATCGATACCCGTCGTTTTGGGCGTGATGTCATCACAGGAAGCCACCCTCGCCGCTGAGCACACCAACGCCGTTTCGCCAGCTGCTACAGGCCTGATCATGGGTAATGCGGTCCGCAGCACGATCCCTCTCGAACTCGGGTGATTTGAAGAGGGACGGCGGCCCACGAGGCTGCATTGGCGAACGAGTCGCACCAGCGGGCTGGGTGTCCGTCTCGCCACTGGGGTTGCCGTTGAGTAGTAGGCTACCGGTGCTGCTCAGCCTTCTGGTGAACTCGGTGAAGCTGAGCCTCTTGTTGCCGTTGCTCGCAGCCGATTGTCGCTTCTGCCCTTCGGCTGCCGGGGTCGTCCGGTACACAGCCGCTGCCGGGTTAAGTCCGCCTACGCTCTCCTGGACCGAGGTCCTGCGTGAGGTGACACTGCTCCTGCCGGGCGACACGTCGAGGGGTTGTTGGCTGACGCCTAGGCTCAAGCCGTCGAGGCCGCCTATCTGGGTTTGACTGTATGATCTCTGAGCAAAAACCGGTCTGTTGGAAGAGCCTCGACCAAGGTTGGACCCACTGTTCAAAGCCATCAACGCCTCGTTGTTGAAGGCGATGGGAGACCGAGGTCCCGTTGTGCCACGAGGGGACTGAGATTGAGGCGTTCGTCGCCCCGACACGTAGCCGAGTGTCCTTCGTGACTCCGCACGCTTTCTTGGTCGATCCTGCTCCACATCTTCCTCTCTCCCGTATCCAGAGTCACCATGAGTCGAGTCCGAGTCCGAGGCTTCCGAGTCGTCGTCTGACGAATCGTCCAGGTCCCAAGCACTTCGTAGATGAGACTGTTGCAAAGAGTGCGGTGGGGAATCCGGCGGTGAGGCCGGCCGCCTCATCATTGTCTGTGGCCTCTGTTCCCTATCCTTCCTCTGCTCGTCGGCCTGTTGCATCAACGCTTCAAAACGGGCAAGCGAACTCAGCTTCTCTTCGCCTGGGATCTGCTGGTCAGACCCCGGAATGCAGTGCAGTTGGAAAGCCCTGTCCAGGATCGTCTCTCGCGGGGCTGGCGGTGAACCAGATTCTATGGTGGCTGGTGGGGAAAAGGGAGGCATGGACCCCATGCTGTCGCGTACGTTTCGCACCGGGGAGCTCAGGGTCGAAGATCGCCCCTGCGCTGTTGTCCACCCCTCTATAAAGCCGCCATAATGCCCACCAGATGTCGCAGGTGAGGGCAAGTCTGATGGCATCACTGAAGCATAGGTGTGCGGCGCTAGCGGTGGCACGTTGATGCCCGCCAGTGACGAGATGTCACTGCGCCGGGATCGCAAACTCGGCGTGTCGGAGAAAGTAAGTGGTCTTTCCCGGCTCGATCCCGTTGTCGTAGACGACTTGTGCTGCAGCGATGACTTCGGGGCGCTGGGGGGCCTGTTTTGGTGATACTCGGACGCGTCGCGAGGCTGTCGTTGTGCGAATGGGCTGTTGAAGCTGTTGGAAGCCGGAGACATCGGGCTCATCGGGGTTATTTCAGGCATATTCGGTTGGATCATGGCTTGTATAGCCCTTGCCCAGTCGTGAAGGGTCTGTCCATCGCGGTTAACCTCTTCGGCTCGAAACCACAGCTGCATCGGGCCGGACTCTCGGCTCGCGGCAACGAGACCTGCTGCCCGGCTCGACCGACGCTTGCGAAGCTTGTCTGTTGCTGGATCAGGGACAATCGTGATGATGAGGGTCGGCAACACTGGGCCTTGCTTGCGATGCGCGGCCATCTGAACCTGGCATTGGGCGATGGTGCTGACGGCATATTGTTGCATAGGCTCTCGGTCATCCTAGGCCAGGAATCTGATCAGTCAAGCTTTCTCACGGTTGCAGGCGATTACACAAGTGTGGATGCTCTTACCGACGCCTTGTATATAGAAAGGTAGGTGTTGCCATCAAACGAAATATTACTCTGGCTCCGTGAAGATCCCCGGCCCTCCCTGCCGCGCGCGCTCGATTGGGATTGTGAGGGCGAGTCCTCTGGCTTGACCTCCCGCTGAGCGCCCCCAAGAACTATATAACGGGCCTGTTCTCTCGGTCAGATTAACAACAACGACAGCAGGGCTGAAGAGGGCGGAGGGGTGATGCACACCTTCCACAGCGCCCGTCCCAGGATTGTTCCCCTGTCGGGCGGGACAGTGAGATAACCTTCCATATTGTCTTGTTGTACAGACCGGTCGGATGTTGGTGTGGGTGAGCAACCTTGGCGGGTTCACCTTGAGAATCCTCAGATCCTCTGTGCAAGAGAGCTGCACAGTCCAAGGCAGGTTTGAGAAAAGGTTGCGGAGTAATGATCAGGCATTAACCGACACACATGATGAAGAAGAAATGCAGAGCAACTCAGGTAGGTACACGGGGCCAGGCCGGGATAAGGGTTGTAAGGTATGTGTTTCTCGCTCTTACTCGTCCTTGATTTTCTTCACATCCAGCAGAAGACAAGCACACCCTGCCCTTCACCGAGGAGCCGGTCAAGGCAGCGGAGGGGAGGGGAGTAAAATGGGTACGAACGGACGGATTCTTGGGAAGGTGAAGGGGTCACTGCCTGCCAGCAATGCAGCAGGGAAGAAGGATTACAGTCTTCTTCATCTGGATGCGGGAAGGGACAGGGACAAGCCTGGAAGAAATAACCCATGGGACGCAATCTAGACGAGACAATTGGCCGATGTGGTCATAAAAGGTGGCCTCCATGCATGTCGTCCGTTCATTGATCAAAGGGGCGGCTTGCAACCAGATCGTGCATGTGGGTACGATACAGATTAAACGAAGAAGTGGAAAGAAAAGGGACCGGGATGTTTGTAATAAAACAAGATGGATATTGACAGGCCTGAAACTGACCAGGGCAAGAACTCTCTGGCCAAGGGGCTGCAGTGTACTACTACGGAGTACCAGCGCGGTAGATTCCTCCTAGCGCACGGCTAGGACTTTTCTCTTCTGTGGCAGTCGCCGCGTGTCCGGTTTACTTTTGAGGCACACGCACATCATACATGGGTCAGATCCGGTTCTGGGTTGGGGGCGATGCCAATAACCCAGCGCAGGCCCGGAGCGAGCTCCCTCCTCAGATGCAGGTGGGTCCGCTCGATCAAGCGAATTGAATTCTGCAGTCGGCAGGGAGAAGTCGCCATCCAGGAACCATGGGATGCAGGGTCTGCCAATTTCCAGTTTTCCACTGGGCGGGAGAAGACCCCACAAGCTTCCATTGCCGATCAAAGACGCCTTTTGGCATTCTGCGGGAGGTCTAGGGAGTGAGAGCCATGTGCGCACCCGTCGTGGGCGTAAACGCATTGTTTCTGATTGTGCGCACACGGCTTGAAAAAAGCCGGACCGACGCCGCCTGTTGGAAAAGAAAAACCTCAGCGAGCATGCCTGAAAGGACGTTGCGGCCACAACATCCGACCCAGCGATCAAGTAAGGTCTGGATCACACCAGGCACGCTGGCACGCTAGGCTTGCGCCCTTGCAGGTGTGCTGGCGTTGTTGGGGGGTCAAAAGTGTGGACCAAGAAGGAGTCTCAAGGTCAGGTGAAGGTGAAGGTGACCAACCCCCCGCGGCCGGCTGCATGTGTGGCTTGACATGTTCTGACCGTCCCAGCCGTCGGGCTTCGCAGTTGCAATATGACCGGCCGGCTCGCTCTGTCATAGGGCTCGGATTGGTCAGATTTATCTGCTCTGCGGTTGCGTTGGAGCCCTTTGATGTAGGTACCAACGATTGCAATGCAACATGATCCCCTGCTCGCAAATGCAGTGTAACAGGAGGACGCAGGAGCTTGGATTTACTAGTCTGTCGGTGCGAGAGACGAGAGAGATCTACCACAGCATCCCGGGGAAGCTTGGAAACGCTTCCGCATTACTCCCGAAGCTGCTGCAAATTGTCAATGCAATCAGCGACAGAGCTCTCTTTCGAGCAACAATTATCTGTCACTGTTCCTGGGGGGAGGGGGGTTTGGAGGAGGAGGAGGAGGAGGAGGAACGCAGTCGACAGGGGTCAGCGGGCCTTGGCTGCTTTCTTTTCCCTTGTCCGTGTTGTTTCTTTTCGACTGCAAGCCCGAGGTCGCCTGGTCGCCTCGTCACGCTATGACTCTGGGGTCTCCGTCCTGCTTGCTGCATTCGTGAGACCCGATGGGTGGATTCCAGAGGCCCTTGTGCTCGGGCGTACTGTACTGGACTGTGATGTACTGTACTGCGCTTTGCTGCGCCGTGCTATGCCTCGATGGGCATTTATCGCGCGCATTGCGGCACGGATCGTCGTGAGTGAGTTGCAGTCGTGGGTTTGGACCATGTTACCCTGTTTGGGTGAAGAGTGGCGGATGTGGCTGAAAGTGCAGAGTCTGAGAGCATGTACTGTGCAACTGTGGTAGACTACCTACTTAGTCCCTGGGCATGGTGCGTGCCTGTCGTTTTACACGGCAACGTCCTGCGTGTATGGATGAAACGGAGATGCTGCGCATGCAGTTCGCAGCTCGACTGCATCCGCTGCAACGCGCGCCCGTTGCACTGCACGACACCAGCAGGGGGCACGCACAGGTTGTGGTTGCGATGCCGTGCAATTGCGCACCAGAGACTGGGTCTATGTAGAGTATACGGGTAAAATCCAGTGATGCTTGCTGTTGTTGCCGCCCGTCGGGTCGGCCACCGCGGCTAGTGCCGCCAACCGGCCCCATCGTCATTTGTCGGAAGATGATCGAGGATGTCGAGGTGTGGATTTGGAGACTGCTTGTCGTGTCGCATCGTAGAGTGATTGCGAGCGGGGAGGGTAAGGGTGGAAGAGGGTTAAGGTGAAGAGAGGGAGGGCAGGAGGGGGGAGTTTGCCTGCCGCCTGCCGCCTGCCCTGGTGTCTTCACGTCGGGCCTTGCCTCTTGCACCAGGTCTGCAAAGTGCGAAGGAGCAAGTCGCACCCTTGTGGCATTCCCGCACATGCCCCTTCCCGTCTGATGTCTTGACGCCTGGACGCCTGCTGCTCACTGTCAGGCAGTCCTGACTGTGTGGAGTCTGTGGACCCCTGCAGAATCATCGACGGGTCTACCCGAATCAGGCTAATAACACAATGCCAACTTCAATAACTTCAATAACGAGCACGTCGTCGATTCGTCAACTCGGCAAGCCGTCGAGTGGACCCAGAAGCAGCCGTCCTCTCTTACAATCTCCAGCCATTACCACCTCACCGCTTGACTGCAATCTTACTACAGACCATGGCCCAGCTGCTGCGTACTCTGCTTGTCTGCGTACTCGTAAATGCCCGAATCAGAAGCCCAGAGAAGATTCTATTCACGGACGGAGCTACGGGGCATACGGGGCACTATGGACGGCAGCTGGGCATCGCAAGCGTAGCCCCGAGCGATCTCAGCTGCCTGGCTGCAAGGTTCAAGCTGTCAACGCTGTCAACAACATGAGCTTTTCTCGCTTATCATCTACTGTGTGACAGGTTGTGTGTGTGACTGGCTGATCTGGGCTGGGCGTGCAGGCGTGCAGGCGTGCAGGCGTGCAGGCGTGGTGGCTTCAGCGATCGGTCCAGCTGTCAAACCGTCCGAACCCTTGCTCCCACTTGCTTTTTCTTCGGCACTTGACGGTTTTCAGCGTCTGACGGCCTCGACACTTGCTTTTGCATCATGCCGACTTTCAATATTTCAATTTTGGCCGCCTTTGCACCGACCGGCCCGATCGTTCGAGACCTGGCCCATCACAACGCCAGCACGCCGCCGAACCCAGCTTCCACCGTCACAGTACTTTTAGCATCCGGCAGCCATTCGGCCTGCGGAATTGACTGTGACCCTCCGGTGTGAGCATCGTTCCGCATCCGAGATGCGTGCACCTCCCAACTAAAATTAGGTGTAGACCAGATCCATTTGGGGTGTCCAGCCCGGCCGCGTCTTGCTCCATTTGATCAACACTCGAAGACTAGAGAACTCTGCTCGAGGCTCGCCTAACCCAAAACGCGCCCACCTACGAGCTGCAGGCAGCCACAAGACACCAGTGTCGATGCTAATGTCAGACATTCCTGACAGTCCCGTCCACCCAGTGCAGGCCAGGCCCCCAGGCCCAAGGCCCCATCTCGCAGCCTTGCAGCTCTCTGTCCCCATCCATCAGCCCCTGCATTAGGGACTGCTTCTGGGGACTGCTTCTGCGACGGGAGGGGAGGGCAGTGGACAGGGTGGGGAGGGTTCCTGACTCGAGTCACACCCACCCACCACTCCTTCACATAACAGCTCCCTGCCACCAGCCCAGCCGACCATGCTCGCCCATCTTCCGAGCGTTGGTTCCGACCGCGCCACGTGGTGTTTACCCGCCAGAATCACCCCCAACCTCGGGGTTCTGAATTGGCTTCGCTGAGCTCGCCGGTCTCGCGACTTCAGGCCTGAGGCTGCCTCGGTCCACGAGCCCCTGCGTCCTGGACGCTCAAGAGCCTGGAGGATTATGACAGCCCGGGCCGCATGCATTGATAGCCTCACACGTGCCTAGCCAGTGCCGTCGTGGCTCTGCTGGTTGGTGATCCTGTCTTGCCGTGCTATCCGACGACAAGTCGTGGCTGGCACACGTTAAGCCAGCAATACCGTCGTTGACTTGCAAATTCTTTTCCCCCTCCAAGACCTGACCCCTTGGTCCCTGGGCGATCGGCACGTCAACAGCATGTTTGGGATACTGGCGACACCCCGGTGCCTCCGAGGCCCTCTCCCCTCGGCCCGTTCGGACACTTTTCTACGGAGTTTACGACTCGCAGTGCCCCTACCTGCCAGGGCTTCCATACTACGGCTCTCGCTTTACGGAGTACTGCTCTATCGATGCGGGATCAAGCCGGAGCGATAGCTTCAAATCCCAGTGTCATTCCAATGGGGTTGAGCCCGCGATGTCCTCGACATCCGTCCGGCTCCGCCACTCAGGCTGCCACATGGACACACAGTACAGAAAGATATTTTCGAGTCCCAGGAGCAACCGGGGTCCTTGGCGATGGTCCCAGAGTGCTGGGATGCTGCCGAGGTCCCTTCAAGACAAAAAAAAAATTCCCGTCAGCTGTGCGCGCCTATGCAGCTGCACACATAGCGCAGGGGCTAAACACACAACTAGAACGGGTCCGTCAGAAGTGGGTTCGTCTCAAGAGAAACCTGCTTGCATGCGCCGCAAGCCCAATGTCGTCGTGTCTTACCCCGGATCGTACCAGCCATGTGGTTCAACGGGCGGGTTTTGCCTCGTATAGGTGAGACGGCCGGATTCGGAAGGCCTACCTACCAACGACATGATTTCTGTGGAAGCGAGGCGCGTGCACGCTGTGACAGTTGCGGAGAGCCAACAACCGAAAAACTTATCTCTAACCATGCGGACGTCATGTCCATACTCATGGTGACTCGTATCACGTCGGTACGCTTGTCTGCCCAAGGGCCCATCTTCACTCTCGGTGAGATCATCTCACTCTGCCACAAGCATCTCTTTTACGCACTTTCATCCACTTTTGCACTGTCCTCTCATCAGACCCTTGGAAGATCCCCAGTTTTATTTGCTCTTGGTGGCTCTAGCGTGTAGGCTTGCGCTGGGCATCTCTACCCAAAGGCTGAACCCGAGTCTCTGGGAAGCACGCACGGCAAGCAAGGGGACCCGCATGTCGCAAGGCAAGCTACAAAAGGACCACGATCGACAGGGTGAGGCAATCCGGGTTGTCGGTAATGTGAAATGACATGATCCACACCAACGGGTCCCGTGAGGTCCATTCTGCATTCGGCTCAGCGACACCCGGCTGGTCCAGGCAAGGATGGTCACGATCATGGAGGGCTTGACAGCTTGCTCTACGGCAGCACAGTATACGCGGAACTGGCCGTGCCACTCATCTCCTCGTCCAAGTCTGATGTGACCCATCCAGCGATGATCACCACCACGGGCTGACCTGCCTGCGCTGCCTGCGCGCCAGCTGAGACGAGATCACTACGAGATCACTACCTCCCTGTTCGCAGTGACGCATTTCCAACTTACAGATCAGACCCCTCGATCAATATCACATCGTACGCTGTCCAAAGGGGGCCCACCCGAAGAGAACGCCCCGGGCGCTCGAGCCCTTCGCATCCCAGGCAGCACTTTACGGTACCCGCCAGTCAGTCTCCTTCTTTCTGAGACGGGCCTTTGCTTGCTCAGCAACTCATTCAACCTGGCATGGCCACGAGTAATGGCAATAGCAGGGTGAAAAGCACTGCCTTCTCGGGAATAAGGGAGGGGCATGCCGTCAACTAGGCAGCAACACCAGCAAGGAGTGTCCATGACGTCTGCGTTTGCTGTTAATAGGATTTGTTCGAGCAGGGGGAGGGGAACAGGTCAAGTGACGAGAAGAAGCTGCTGGGATCCCGTCTGCCCCAGCTTTTTTGGGTCTCCTGTCTTACCGATTTTGCAAGGGTTGCATCCTTACAGCTGACCTGGATGAGATTCTTATATTCCTTCCAGCCCAGGTTTGCGCACCCCTGGTTCTCTGACGGGTCACACCTGTGGTTGTTATAAATGATATCTTATCGGGGTTATTGAGACCGACCACTCTCGGCTATGCACTAGAACGGGGTGTTGAGTGCTATCTGCTACCTCTATAAGGTAACTGTTGGTAGATAACGGCATTTTTTGTTATATGGTAGATTTTGGCGAGCTGTACCTAAGGCATATGGGCCAGAACAAGTGTCGGCGCCCCTGCGCAGATCATCAGAGTTGTTTCAGCCTGGAGTTCTGCTATCAGTTTCAGATGGACCATGTCTTTGTGATAACCACGAGGCTATCGTCTGTGGCGCATAGTGTTTACAATGGTTCATGGTAAGAGAGATGCGCTTTCGGGAATTATTCCGACAGAGCTGTTTGGGTCATGTCGCCGTCCCAAGGGTGTGGGTGGTGCTCCCCATGATACCTCCTGATCAACTTGTAATTTCAACCCGCCGTCCTGGTCGTGGTTCCACGAGTAGTCGATACTGTTTCATACTTCTGAAACATTTTCGGATAATTCCTCGTGTAGTGATGCCCTGGTGGTAGCATTCTCCCTCGGGATACCAGCTACCAGCAAGCAATGCTGGCTTCAACACCATGACGCTTGACTCCCTGTTGAAGCCAATCCATCGACTTTGCCAAATTACTTCCAGCGATCGATCCACTGAAGCCCGGATGTTCGTAACGAGATAAATGCCCTACTCACGTGCACCTGCATGTGTGAGAGGGTGAGATCTCAAATATGCGGTGTGACCGTATTGAACGTCGGCAGCGTGGTGGGCCTTTGAGAAAGCGAGAACTGAGCAAGGACGGGTTGCACTCAGGCATGCTTGTTTCGTCACGACGTCTTTGGGGGGGGGGGCAGAGGGGGGATGGAGGCATATGTGTCAAGGGGGCAATGTTGCTGCAGGATTGTGGTGATCCTTGCTAACCTTGACAGAGGTACCGGTAGCGCAGGGGGGAGGACGGAAGGAACACATATCTTATGGAAGGCTGAAGTCGTTTGCGAGGTTGATGCCGGTTTTGAGAGGTTTTGTTTCTGGCAACGCAGGATCTCCAGCCTGATGGTTGGATGGTCGAAAGAGCTAGACTTATGACTGCGTTGTAATCTCTGAAGGACACGCGAGGTCGACGGCCTTCGACAACTGTTTCAGGGGCATTTAGCGCGTGTAAAACTTGACAAACTAATCCAACAGGAAGCCTAGTTGCTGGAGTACTTCGTACGTTACACGATGCTAAATATCGCTCTGAGTCAACTTGCGCAGCGTCCATAGGGTTATTTGCATGCTGTAGCTAGGTATATATGTATATACCCATGATGATGCGTTGCATGGACGGGTCCGATGGCAAGGACAGCTTCAGAATGTTCTTCATCTATCGTGAGGATAGTTCAACATGTCTAGATGAGAATTGAAGTAGATCTAGTGTGCTTTTGGACGACAATAAGTATCGTAAATGATTGACGAGCTTAAAAAGATGCTTTCTAACCACGAGACGAAGTATGAGCTGTTCCATGTATCGAAAGTCAGATTGGGCGATACGTAGTCAAGATTGTCCTTTGTAAAATACAGAGAATGAGTCAAGTTTGGGAGAAGTAGGGGGACTAATAAGTAGATATCATCCCAGCCCTAATACCCACGGTGCCACCGGTCTGAAAAGTGCAAGCTCCATTGCTTTTGGCTACCGGTAAAAGAAGCACGAACTCGAGGACGAGGATGAATGGGAAAAGTTATGTACAAGATGGACCGCCGCGGATTGCCCAATATCCATCCCAAGGTTCTCAAGTCTCGAGAGGAGCGCCAGCATGAATGCCAGCTGTCTACTTCATCAGACCACAAGGGACAAGCAAGCCTAGCAACACCAGCAAAGCACACCCGCTCACACCTCCACGCCCTAACGAAAGTTATTCTCAAACCTCTTAAAGGTATACCCAATAAAAGGCAGCGTCATCTCGGGCGTCTCGTGCTGGTCGGGGGCCGCGGCGGCCTCGAGGCCCCCGCCGTCAATCTCCATCGCGTTGGCGGCCTGCTGCTCTAGGTCCTCGGTGGGGAAGTAGGCGGTGTCGATCTCGGACGACAGGCGCGGCTCGAACGGGGCGCGGAAGCGGCGGAGGTTGTCAAAGTCCACGCCGGCGAAGAAAGGGTGGCCCTTGAGCTCGTGGGCGCCGGCGCGGCCGAGGCGATTCTCGCTGTTGCAGACCAGGCTGTGTTTGAGGTTGCTTAGATAAATGCGCCTTTTCTCTTGTCCCTTCCATGCCGTGTCTTTTTTTTTCAAGACATGGATCGGGGTTTCGATTTGCAAATCAAATCTCGATGAAGAAAAGAAAAATGTCAAAAATGTATGGATGGATGCTATGTGCTGCGCATGTATGGGGACGTACCTCCGAATTAGATGCTCGGCGTAGTGGCCAACCCGAACGTCATCGGGGAAGTAGAGGCAGTGTTGCCAATTTACTATCTTGCGATAGACGTCACGTCGGTCCTCCGCACAGAATGGGGGCCATCCAACGAGACATTCGAACATGATTGTGCCGAGCGACCACTGCATTCAGGCCAGTTAGATTTGGTGCTGAGGCGGAGGGAAAGTGGACATATCCGCGTACCCAGTCACAGTCAAACGAGTACCCATTGCCTGTCAGGATCTCGGGCGCGATGTCTGCAACAAGATCAGTGATCCGTCAGCGGCGTTGGAATACGGACTCAGGGGCTATCTCTGTCTTACAGTCCGGCGTGCCAACAGCAGAGTAGGCCATCAGCCGGCGCGACTTGCGCCACTCGTTGATTTGTGCGCGGTTGCTAACGGTCAGGCTGATCTGATCGATGTTCACGGAGTATCGGTTGAAGTTCTGGGAATTCCGTGATGGACCATCTGCACCGCCGTTCAAGAGCTGATGATAGTAGTTGTTGTCATGTAGCTTCCGGAAGCCGGTGGAGAGGCCGAAGTCTGTGAGTTTGACGTGACCGCCCCGATCCAGCAGGATGTTGTCTGGCTTGATATCTCTGTCTCTAAAGTTAGCTGGTGAGAAGTATGACGTTCTGGCGGCTGGTGGATTTACCTATGGATAAATTCGAGTTTGTGAACAGCCTCGATAGCCATTATCATCTCAGCCACGTAAAATCGTGTGATATCCTCGCTGAAGATGTCATACTTTATCAACATAGTCATCAGGTCCCCTCCCTGGAGGAATTCCATCAACATGTACAGAAACCTGGTGTCCTGAAATGTCGTGTACAGCTTGACGACCCATGGACTGTCAGACTCTGCGAGTATGTCCCTCTCGGCACGCACCCGGGCGACCTGGTCTCCAGCAACCATCTGGGTTTTGACCAAGGACTTGAGGGCATAGATCTTGCCGTCCGTCTTCTTGCGGACCAGCTTGACCTCACCAAAGGCGCCCTTCCCAATGAGCTTGATGGTCTCATAGTCGTCAGCCTTATTGCGGGTCCTGAGAAACCGCAGGTACCTGGCCTCCTGCCTCCCTGCATTGATCCACGAGGTCTCGTGATTGCATCTCGGGTCTCTCAAGCGTTGCTCCAACTCATTCTGCCTGGGGGTGGCTTCAGCACGCCGATCGACCCAACAGCGCGGCTGGGGCTTGTGGGCACTTACCTTAGATTCCGCTCGCGAGCCCTCTTGACACTGTCCCTGAAGAAATCAGCGGCCAGCTGTGAGCATTTTGCCCTGTTCTGTCTCGCCCTCGGTCCGTAGAGGTGAGGGTTGCGCTCAGGCGCCGGGGCAAAACCCTCGGATAACATGGGTTCCGCGGCCCGCTGGGCCAAGGTGTAAGCCGGGTGCTACTATCAATGGTGTATTGTGTATTACATGTACACAGTGAAGAGGAATGGAGAGACTTGATCAATTACTGAAGTACTTAGGTGGGGCACCAGAGTAATGGGGGAAACAGCTGGTGAGATGGGCAAAACAGGCTGGCCTCGAACGAACAAGAGGCAATGCATAGCCGCCGGTTGCTATTGTCTCAGGTGCGCTGGCCCCTATCATTGGGCTTTCTTTAAGCCTCCAAGTCCGAGGGCGAGGACGGGCTGGAGAGGAGGAGGGGGTTCCCAACCTTTTCGCAACCCAACCTTGGAACCTTACGGGTGCTACGCGAGCAGCCGAGAGAGGCGAATCATGCGTCCAGCATCGCAGGCGCGCCACAGAGCGATGAGACAGGCAGCAGGCAGGCTTTCATGCCGCCCACGCCCAGCTGAGGTTGGATCCAATCGCCTGGGGCACGCCAGCTGGCTGTAACTCTAGCGTGCCTGGCCCGTCGCCAGCGCCCGGGTCGAGGGTGTTGAAACATTTGGAGACACGGACGAGGCCCGCAGCTGAGTACGGAGTTTGAGAAGAGACAAAGGATTATTACCTGGTGGGGGGCTGCAAAAGGCTGCCATATTAATGAGACTGAATGAACAAATACAACAGCTGGGGGGCGTTGGAATATACTCTCTCGGCTCTGCAACTCGGCACCTCACCCGATCCAAATTTATTGTGAGCCTGGTGAATTGGAAGACTCGACGGGATTGCCTCCAACACAACGGGAGCAGAAACGGTCCAGCAAGGCAAGTGAGAGTGTGTTACCCCTCCTCAGCCGCCGTTGGCGCCGGGCAACGCATTCATTATCTTAGTGAACGGTCCTGACGAGATATGAGCCGTCTTTTAGCTAGCTCGCACCGTTGGTGCTGCTCACATGTGACGCCATTGAGTAGATGGACTACCTAGTCCTGCTAGTAGGCACTCTGTGTAAGGCCAGGGGGAATCATTGCGGTCACACACAACGAACCCAACCTTTGAGAATATGCTTCGGGATCTTTTGAGGGACAGGTCTCGGTACTGTTGTTGTTGTACACGAATTCGACTAAGGGCCGGGCTGCTATGCTTCGTACGGAGTACTTACCTACAAGTACCTACCTACCTAGGTAGGTAGGTAGGTAGGTACCGTACCGCGCCCCTAGGGGTTTTTGAAAATCGTCCCCACCCTATTACGGTCTGGCGACGGCTATAACTCCCAACGGTCCTTCCTTCCCCAGTACCCTCTCTGAGTAAGAAGGAGGTCTTCGGGAAGAAGACCAGGTCTTCAGGAAGAAAACCAGGTCTTGAGAAGCCTGGTCTTTAGAATTCCCTAATGTTACCCTTTTGCTTCGGCGTAAAGACTGGCCGAGAGAGAATTCCTCTCCCATTCCTCTAGTAGTCTTCCCCTCTGGAATAGACCTCTGGCTGGCCCTCTGCTTGCTTGCTTGCCTGTCTGGCCGTCTGGTTGGGTTCCTTCCCCTTCTTTTCTAGGGCTCTGGGTGAAGGTCTTGAGGGGAAAGGGAAGGTCTTAAGAGGAAAGGGAGGGTTTTGAAGAATCCTTTGGTTTTGAAGAATTTCTAGTCTTAAAGAAAGATACTGATGTACCTTATAGCCGTCGCCGGAGAGTATTAGTAAGGAAACAGTTCTAAGGTACCAGGGACTGCCTAGGGTGCCGTTTTGAAGCGGAAGGGACGGTCTAGTAACCGTTTTCAAAAAACCCCTAGTGAGCGCTATGGTAGGTAGGTAGGGAATAATAAGGTGTCTTTCCCCACCACCGTCCCCAGTCCCAGCAGACAGGCCGCCTACCCCCAATCTTCTCCAAGCCCAACGAATCCCTGTCCAGAAGGTACTTGCCGGGTGGGTGCTCAGGTGTGTATCCCACCTTGTACAAGTTGCTTCTTTGACCACATGTGTCGGTCCCCCTCAACCAGACCATCACCTCTCCCGCAGCTGGCAGTGCTCCTGTGGTTGGACAACACCACACCACTACCAGTACCACCGCCACCACCACCACCACTACATGCATCAGCAGCAGCATAATCTGTTTTCCTCTTTCTGACGCTGTCGATAACAGGGAGCAAGCCAGGCCAGGGCAGGCCAAGCTAGGGACGATCAGCGGGAACGGGAGCAGCAACAAGCATCAGCCATGATAAGCAACCTCTGCTAGCAGCCTGCCGCACGTCCAGATGACCCACGCCCTGCGGTGCCGTCATCCAGGCCCTCCTGACCCTTCCTTCACTTAGACTCCGCCTGCACCATAAACCATCCAGACACGCAAACAACCACACGCCTAGCACCATCTTTCCCAGGACGACTTTCCCAGACACTCCCCCAAAGCCGGACGGAGAGACGGACGGAGAGAGACGGACGGACGGACGGACGGGCAGGCAGACCAACTGAGGAACAGCTCCGGAGACCCTGTTCTAGCAGCCAAACGACGCTCACCTGAACCAACACCCACCACCTACCTGCTTTAGGCCCCGACATCCCATCACCCACCTCCTTCGTTTCCGCCCCGTCAGCGGACGTACGCAGCGGGAGATAGAGACTCCTGCAGAAGACGCCGTGGCGGAACGAAGCCCTCGTTCAACCGCCCCCATATCCACCCCATCCAGCGCCGAAACCCCATCAACCACGACCCGCCCTCCATCTCCTCACAGCACTGACATCTCTACCTCACCCTCGACCCGAGCTGCGGCCTCCCAGCGCCACACCACCGACCCAGCCGTGAACACCCCCAGCCCAGACCCGACGAGGCACAGAGCTCGTGGCTCGACCGCAGACACCGCCGCCCGCCAGGTGCTCGGCCGGAGACGACGGGCCGAAGCCGACGACGGCTCCGCCCAGCCCCCCGAAGGGGCCTCGAGCTCCCCCGCCACGCACACCACCTCGAGCGACTCGCGGGCGTCCAAGCGTACGCGCACAGGCAGCATGTCAGCCGACGGCGATGGAGAGGCAAGTTCAAACGGGACAACCAGGGCGGTCACCACCGAACCTCGGGCACCACAACGATCCTTCCCTGTGCCCTCGACTAATGGAACACACAAGGCTGCTAGTTCTTCGGTAAATGGTTCTTCGGTGCAAAATGGGAAGGCCGCGGCCCGGGACCCCCCTCGCGACTACATCGGCCATGACCGGGAGGAGGTCACGCGCCTCATGATCCAGGCCCTCTCCGAGATGGGCTACCAGTCCGCTGCCGAGAATCTCAGCAGGGAGAGCGGCTACGAGCTCGAGAGCCCGACGGTCGCCGCCTTCAGGGCGTCGGTGCTGAGCGGGAAGTGGACCGAGGCAGAGCAGCTGCTGTTTGGCGCCGCGGCTGCTGGCGACGGTGCGAACCGGGCCGGGAACGGCCTGGTATTAGCAGAGGGGGTTGACCGTGACGATATGAGGTTCCGCATACGCCAACAAAAGTTCCTCGAGCTACTCGAGCAAGGGGACTACAGGCCCGCCCTGACGGTACTACGCAATGAACTGACACCTCTGAATCGCAACGGCGCCGAGTCGCTTTCGCCTCTTATCATGTGCAGAACACCAGAAGACGTCAAAACCAAGGCGGCTTGGGACGGAGCGCATGGTGAATCCAGGCACAACCTGCTGTCCCAACTATCCAGTATGAGCCAGACCCCTGGCCCGCTGTCATTCGGCTCCGGGGACTCCAGCTAACGCCTTCTACAGGATGCATATCACCATCAGTCATGTTACCAGAACACCGGTTGGCAGTGCTGTTGCAGCAATTCAAGGACCAACAAGCCGAAAGCTGTATATGGCACACAAGCTCATCCTCGCCATCTCTGTACTCGGACCATACGTGCGACCCCAGCCGCTTTCCCACCGAAGTCCTCATCGAACTCGTCGAGGCTCACGTGCAGAAGAAAGAGATCTGGCAGGTGCGCTTTTCCCACAATGGCAAGTTCCTGGCAGGTTGTGGCAGTGCTGGCACGGTTTATATCTGGAACACGGAAACACTTCAACTGGCTCTCGCCTTGACCGACCTGGGTGGTGCTGGCGTCGGCAACATAGCGTGGAGCCCGGACGACACCAAGATTGTGACATGTGGCCGGGACGGTTATGCTCGGATATGGGACATGACCGTGAGTGGATCCAACCCCGGCACTCAACCAACATTGTTACTGACATGTACGTCTATAGAATGGACAGGAGCTACAGCGACTCGAGCGATTCTCAGAGCCTATCAGCAGCTGCGTTTGGGCCCCTGATGGCCGCTCCTTTGTACTTGGTGCGTTCGACAGAGAGCGGTCCCTATGCACGTGGAACCTCAGAGGTGAAAAGCTGTATACTTGGAGCAAGAAGAACCGCACTGAGGACCTGGCCCTCTCGTCCGACGGCCGCTACCTCGTGGCTATGGACGACGAGGTCCACGTCCACGTGTACGACTTCCCCGCGAAGACCCTGAAATACGACATGCCGCTGCCTTGTAGGCCTACGTCAGTGAGCATTACCAAGGATTCCAAGTATCTTCTGGTCAACCTCCAGGACGGGGAGGCTAGGGTGTATGATATTGCCAGCAGGACGTGCGTGCAGAAGTACAAAGGCCACAGTGGTGGCGAATTCCTCATTAGAAGCAATCTGGGCGGCGCAAACGAGAATTTTGTCGTTAGTGGTTCTGAAGGTAAGGGTTTATCCGCCTCGTCCTGAAGGCGCCTCCTGGCTAACGGGCACAAAACAGATGGAAACGTGTACATCTGGCACAAGAACAGCGGACACGTAGTCGCAAAGCTGGATGGTCACCGACCTAGATGCAATGCCGTGGCGTGGAGCCCTACTAACACGTGCCTCCTCGCATCCTGTGGCGACGATGGTATTGTTAAATTGTAAGTCCTTGGTCCATGAGATTTACCCATGCATAGTGTCTGACATTTTTCAGATGGTCGAACAAGGCTCGAGTTCTTGAGCAGAGCGAGAAGCATGCCGAGTGAGAGCGAATGAACGAGGTAGAGGGCAGCTGTCGCCAGAAGTAGGATTTTGGCTGGCCCGCCCACCCCAGCCCATCCAGGGGGTCTCGAGGCCTCTACCCGGCCAGCGAATGGTACCGCTTCATGTCTAAGGACGGTGCATGGGTGGGATCCAGGCTGTCGTGATACCAGGCGCCCAACCCTGAGCTGGCATTCAGGCTCACAGATGAAGGCAGGCGCTGATTGCATTGGTCATTGGCCTTGTACATACAAGTGTCTAATCACATTAGTTAGGAGTTTATCTTTACCGGCGATCCCTTTCCGCCCGTGGCGTTCAGGAGGGCTGCACAGGGGGTTAATTAGGAACACGCGGGAACTAAGCGGCCACAGGAGTATAAGAGCCCCTGCTCCTTGGACAGATGGAAAGCCGTTGGCGAAAGTGGAATACAACCGGGCCAGGAGGATGAATTACCGCGGAGTCTCGGATCACAGAAGCTGGGTGGAGCAGCTAGAGTTCATCATTGTGATGGGAATGGAATGGAGGGAGGTCCACGTGGGATGGAAGGGGCTTCTATACCCATCGTGACTCACCGTCCCAAAGCCTGGGTGATCGAGGGGTTAAGGACCTCGATTGGGAAGTGGTCAAGTATAGACACATCGCAGCGTAGCCAGTTGTTTCACTGGTGAATCCCCAATCATAGAAGCATCGTGCATCAGATAACGAAATCTATTTACATGGACTGCAATGTTTACCCTGGCTGTAGACTCGACTGCGATCCAGGCATGTGACGAGTGGCAGCACGCAGTACGGTGTTTGTCGCACAGCGCATTACTATTACGGCGAGGAAGCAAACCCAAGTCAATAGGAGTACTATTACATACTTACACTTCACCCAGACGAACAAGTTACACAGTAGAGATGGACTGGGACAAATATTGGTCCATCTGACCCGAGACGGCCCTGGCCGCGTTACCCCTGGCAAGCAACAGGAGAAGCATGTGCCTGCTGCTGGCTGACTTTGGGGCCCCAGTTCGTTTTGTTGGAGACAGGCTGCCTCGACGCTTCAGCCACAGCACCTACCTGCCCGCCGTCTGCCCCCCCCTCAATTGTGGCCCCCAAGGGCCCGCCCAAGGTGGCTTTTCCTTCCTCACAACCCACGCTAACCCTGCAAGGTTGGCTCGGAAAGCCAGCAAAGCACCTGGGCAGGCCCGATACGCTACCTACGTACGTACAGCACCCTAGTACGTCAACATAGATCGCCTTGTGACTGACTGCCGGCCTGCTTGTGCTGCACCCTGGAAATCAAGACCAGCTTCCTTCATCAGCAAAATCCCCTCCTTGATGCGATCCCCTCTGCGACGGGCTCGTCTGTTGCTCTATTGCCGACTCGCACCTTTCTGAAACCCATCAGAGCTCTTGATAGTAGACGAGAAGATCTGCAAAGGAGAGCAAGGCCCCTCCTCCCTTGCGACGCCCACCGCCCCTTTGTGACGATACCCAACCGTCTTTGCGAAACCCAGCCCAGCCCAGCCCAACAACCACAACACACACATACAGCCTGTTCGATTCTGGCATCCCACCACCGCCGCCGGCTCGACATCGCCAACACCCGCCTCACCACCCAACATGTCTGGCAACTTCTCCCAGCCGGGCGGTATCTCTGACCCTGCGCTTATCACGTACGTGCCATCACCGCTATTACCCCCACCATCGTGGCAATCAGTGCGCCTCCTTTCCGGAGGGGTCTCAGCCTGAGTCACCCAGCGGACAAGCTTTCGCAGCAATGGGTTGGAATATAGATGCTGACAACCAGCCTCAGACTCGTCAACAAGCTTCAGGATGTTTTCACAACCGTCGGTGTCAACAACCCCATCGACCTCCCCCAAATAGTCGTCGTTGGCAGTCAGTCCAGCGGAAAGAGTTCCGTACTGGAGAACATCGTGGGAAGAGACTTGTAAGTCGGGCTCCCATATCACACACACAGCGTTGAGGCAAGGATGTCCCAGGAGACGCAGCTGACCCTCTGTCGCGCAGTCTGCCTCGAGGTTCAGGAATCGTGACGCGCCGACCTCTCGTCCTGCAACTCATCAACCGTCCTGCTACTGCCCAGACCAACGGCGAGAGTGAAGGCGTTGAGGGAACTACCGACAAGGCCGCCAACGTGGACGAATGGGGCGAGTTCCTGCACATACCAGGGCAGAAGTTCTACGATTTCAACAAGATACGAGATGAGATCAGCAAGGAGACCGAGGCAAAGGTCGGCCGCAACGCCGGCATCTCGCCAGCCCCTATCAACCTGCGCATCTACTCCCCCAACGTCCTGACCTTGACCCTCGTCGATCTGCCCGGTCTCACCCGGGTACCTGTTGGTGACCAGCCGCGCGACATCGAGAGACAGATCCGCGACATGATCGTCAAGTATATTGCCAAGTCGAACGCCATCATCCTGGCCGTCACGGCGGCAAACATCGATCTGGCCAACTCGGATGGCTTGAAGCTGGCACGTGAGGTCGACCCTGAGGGTCAGAGGACAATCGGTGTCTTGACCAAGGTTGATCTTATGGACGAGGGTACGGACGTGGTCGACATCCTGGCAGGGCGCATCATCCCGCTGCGCATGGGATACGTCCCGGTTGTGAACCGTGGCCAGAGGGATATCGACAACAAGAAGCCCATCCAGGCCGCGCTTGAGGCCGAGCGGGCATTCTTCGAGAACCACAAGGCCTATCGTAACAAGAGTTCTTACTGCGGCACACCATACCTGGCGCGGAAGCTGAACCTGATCCTGATGATGCACATCAAGCAGACGCTGCCAGACATCAAGGCCAGGATCTCGAGTTCCCTGCAGAAGTATACGTCCGAGCTGGAGAGCCTCGGGCCCTCGATGCTGGGAAACAGCGCCAACATCGTGCTCAACATCATCACCGAGTTCACAAACGAGTGGCGGACGGTGCTGGACGGAAACAACACCGAACTCTCCAGTACCGAGCTGTCGGGCGGTGCGAGAATTAGTTTTGTCTTCCACGAGCTGTACGCGAACGGTGTCAAGGCGGTGGACCCCTTTGACATGGTCAAGGACGTCGACATCCGCACCATCCTCTACAACTCGTCTGGATCATCCCCTGCCCTGTTTGTCGGCACCACCGCTTTTGAGCTCATCGTGAAGCAGCAGATCAAGCGCCTGGAGGAGCCCAGCCTGAAGTGCGTGTCGCTTGTCTACGACGAGCTGGTCCGCATCCTCACGCAACTGCTCAGCAAGGCGCTCTACCGCCGTTACCCATCGCTCAAGGAGAAGATGCACAACGTTGTGATTGGGTTCTTCAAGAAGGCAATGGAGCCGACCAACAAGCTGGTCAAGGACCTCGTGGCCATGGAGTCTATCTACGTCAACACCGGGCATCCAGATTTCCTCAACGGCCACCGCGCCATGGCCATCGTGAATGAGCGCCACAACCCCAAGCCTGTGCAGGTGGACCCAAAGACCGGCAAGGCCCTGTCGAGCACCCCTGTCCGGGCTGCCAGCCCGACCCTGGCAGAGTCCAACCTAGGCGGCGACGGCAACAGCGGCTTCTTTGGCAGCTTCTTCGCCGCCAAGAACAAGAAGAAGGCCGCCGCCATGGAGGCCCCACCACCGACACTCAAGGCCTCGGGCACGTTGAGCGAGCGCGAGAACATCGAGGTCGAGGTCATCAAGCTGCTTATCTCGTCGTACTACAACATCGTCAAGAGGACCATGATCGACATGGTTCCAAAGGCTATCATGCTCAACCTCGTAGCGTATGTATCTCTGAAATGTGCCCTGAGACAAAATGGACAACCAGCAATCTATTGGTTAGAAACGTGCTAACACCCACCTACAGGTTCACCAAGGATGAGATGCAGCGCGAGCTCCTCGAGAACATGTACCGGGCGGCGGAACTGGACGACCTCCTCAAGGAGAGCGACTACACGATCAGGCGGCGGAAGGAGTGCCAGCAAATGGTAGAGTCCCTGGCGCGCGCTAGTGAGATTGTCAGCCAAGTGCAGTAGACGAACACTCTCCATCTACCGTGTATGATGTGGTGGGCGTGCATCGGCTTCTCAAGAGTAGGCACGCACCGAGGGCGTTTAAATCCCCCCCTTGAAAATGTTCCTCTGAGCACGGGGCTGGTGGAGGCTTGGCTGTACTTCGTTGGCGGAGCCGAGTTTGGATGAACGATGCAACACGTAACATAAAAGAGAGAAACACCTTTGCACGGCGCAGCGGGCGGTTTGGTTCTCTGTGTTTTCCCAAAACAAGATTGGGCAACCGGGCTTGTCGCGTTCTTCATGGTTTCTCCCTCTTGTTCCGTGAAATTTAGACTGGGTCGGTGGGGTTTGGCTGCTGCTGCTGTTCACACACATGGAATATATGCGTTCACGAACGGAAATGCATGCATGATACGGCGGGGGTTCTTGGTCTGCTGCCCTTACATGTTATGATGGTTGACGCTGGGACGTGGTGTGGCGAGATTGGCGGTCGAAGAGGGCCGGCCGGTGAAGGTTTGAAGGAAGACTGGGACTTGGGACTTGGTGGTGCTTCGTTGAAGGTGTGCACATTTTTTTTTTAATAGACCAGGGCGTGTGCGGTGTGTGTCTGGGAGAGAAGAATCCACAAAGTACAATGAGGAGACGAAGGAGGCACGACGCAATGGAACACGAAGCGGATGCTATACCGAGCTGGCTCACACACTGGAGATGGGTGGATTGGGCAGACAGACATACAGAAGTTGTTCGACGGGAGGACTTCTGTTTGGTGTTGCTGGGTTTTGGCATCTCCAACAGAATGTACAGTGTTGTTATGTGTAGATAGACTGGATGACTGACTGGCTGACTCCGGTTTGATTCTCTTTCCTTCTTCGCCATGGCTCTCTGTGCGTGTGGTCGGTCCTTTGCCCGTGGATGCGAATCCGGGTCGCCATCTCCAAGCACCGTGTTGTGCCGTGCGGGTGTGCGAGACGGAGACAGTCGTGGCCCTGGGCCGTTCCTGCACCGCGTTCAAGCAGCAACAGGTCTTTCTTTCGTTGTAAGATGAGAAGGGATGGACCAGGTCAGCAACGGCCTAGAATGTACATCGGGGAGGACCATCGTTCGGAAGAAAGAGGGTGGCAGGCCCTGACTGGCGCTGTTGGTTTGCTTTTCTTTAGGCAGCGGATCCCGACCACATGCAGCTTTCTCTTCTCTCCTCCGTAGGTAGCATCGAGACATCCCCTAGCCTCGAGACATACTTCAATCTGGAAATTGGACACCCACGAATATGGCCTTGGTATTTGAAAGAAAAGAAATACTGCCACAGCCGCCGTAGCTGCTGCGGCTGTTCTGAGAACCTTGGGATTTAGTAGGAAGACATATAAGAAGTATTACCTACTTCTAGTAAGGCTAAGGAAGTCCTATGAAACTTTCTATTTCTTACTTAAACTTATTACTTTTAATTATATATATTTATATTTAAAAATAAGTTTTATTACTTATATTAAAACTAATATTAAAAAATATATTAAATTTTTAAATAATAAATAATATATAAATTATTTATTTAATTATTAATTAATTAAATATTTATTTTATTTAAAACTATAAATTTTAGCTACCTTTAGGTGCTGGTTTGTGTGTGATAAGATGAGAGCTGGCTTCTTCGGACTTAGTGACTAAGCTTTATAAAGTATTAATTCGGGCTCCGAAACAAGTCGAAAACGGCTACGGCCCCGAATCACGCTGTGATAGCTCAGTGGGCAAGTGATTTCGTTCCCTAACCACCAATTGGACCTTCAATTCTAACTAAATTAACAGTAGAGCATAAGATTGCAAATCTTGGGGTCCCGTGTTCGAACCACGGTCGCAGCTCACATTTTTCCTTTTTTACTCTATTTAATTAACCTTAGAAAGGTTATAATTATAAAATATATATAACTTAAACTTTTATTAACTTTTTATTTAAATTATTTATATTAAATATTTTAATATTTTTTTAATATTATATAAAATAAATATATATAAAAATATTATTATATTAAAATATTTTAAAATATATAATTAATCTTTAATTATTATTTATAGAATTACTTTTATTATATATTAAAAAATTCTTTTTAATTATTTATAACTTAAGTTAAATAATAAGTAAAGTATAAGAGTTAGAAGAAGCTTAACTATTATTTTATAAAGTATTCTAGATAGAAGCTTAAGTATAAGCTATAGTTAGGATAAGTAAGCATCTTAGCTAGATTAAACAGTGGACTTAATTTATACGGCCTGTCAGTGATAGATAGTAGGGTTAATATAAGAGCTAGGAGCCAATACCTAGACGCTAAGAAAGAGGGAGAGATGACCATAGTTGAGATACGGGGCCTTAAGATTCACAATGTTCTACTCTAAATCCTATGGTGAGAAAGGTGATGACAACAGCGACGCCGACCAGGAACATGCCCATTTGGACGAAGTCGAATAGCGTTGGATTTGAATGTGCGGCTAAAAGGGTTGCATGTAATGCAAGGCTGCTTGCTTGCATTGACGCGCGAGTTTCCTGGCAATTTGGCATGGCCGTTAGTCTCTCAAGACGCATACCACTGTCCTTACGTCCAACTGTGCAAAGCGACATCAAGGTGAGATATAAACATCGTGATTTTGCAAGTCAGTAAGAAGGGTCTCATCACTTCTTGTGGGGTAGGCAGTGCATGTGCAGTAGAACAAGTTGACGGTGAATAGCTGTGTTACCGGAAAAGGGAAATGGGGGTGCAATGCAGCGACGACACGACGGTGGGGTAATAAACAAGAGGCCAAGCTGTAGTGTACCTACTACTGTGTACCAAGCAGGTATTATGCGCCAGGTAGCTCCACACGCCACCCACCTGTGACCGCATTTGCTTGCACCCGATCATGCAACAACTTTACAACTCGGCAGACACGCATGCCATCCCTATTCCTCCAGACGAACCGAGTTGACAAGCCCACCCAAACTTCCGACGTACCCAGCTTTTTATGCCATCCCCAACCTCACTGCGATCACCTCAACCGCCACCGCCATGAGTGGACGGCTCCTGGCAGCGGGGATACTGCCCCTTGCCACGCGCCGCGCCGCGGCCTCCCTCCCTGAAGCCGCCGTTCGACACTACCACCGCTTCCGACTCCCTACCGGCGGCCTTCAACGCGCAGACAGAGCCATTCACGCCACCAGGCACCGCGTCTGGCCCCCTAGCAGTGCCTTCCACAATGCCGTCATCGTGCGGAACGCCTCCTTTGCGAGGCTCCTGCCCAGGCTGCTGGTCAAGTTCGTCAGGATACCGGCCATGTTTGGCGGTTTGATGATAGGCGGAGTCGCATGGGTGCAATACCAGGCCATACGTAAGATTCGACATCAGACCCGAGACTGGACGGTCTCGCTGCTAACGTGGCTACAGAGGTCAGCAACTCGGCATCGGAAATGTACAAGAACATGAAGGCGACAGCCGTCGATACCGCGTCGGACATATTTGGCGGCGCAAAGGACATCGCTAGCCAGATAGGAAGAGGCTGGGACAGCACAAAAGAGTCGGTGGAAATGCCAGAGTGGATGCAGAAGGTGCTTCGGCTGCAAGAGGATATCGGCACTGGCAAGGGGGGCCCAGACCCGGGAGAGGAGCCGCCAAAACAGAGCAGGTCTGGCAAGGTCATGACCGGTGCGGCGGCAGCAGGCGCATGGACCCAGATCGTCGACGACGACAGGGAAGCAGAAGAGATCGCCAACGACGACCAGATGATGGTCCTCACCAAGAAGATGATCGAGATCCGGAATATTCTCTCCAAAGTCGGCCAGTCCAGCGCCCTCACGCTGCCGTCTATCGTTGTCATCGGGTCACAATCCTCGGGGAAGAGCTCGGTCTTGGAGGCCATCGTGGGGCATGAGTTCCTGCCCAAGGGCTCAAATATGGTCACGAGGCGGCCGATCGAGCTGACCCTCATCAACACCCCCGATTCCAAATCCGAGTACGGCGAGTTCCCAGACCTCGGCCTGAAGACATCCGACTTTTCCTCCGTGCAACGCACTCTCACCGACCTCAACCTGGCTGTTCCAGACAGCGAATGTGTCTCGGACGACCCCATCAGGTTGAGCATCTACTCCCCCAGCGTGCCAGACCTGTCTCTGATCGACTTGCCCGGCTACATCCAGGTCGTCGGCCAGAACCAACCACTGGAACTCAAGTCCAAGATCGCAGAATTATGCGACAAGTACATCCAAGCACCCAATGTCATTCTCGCAATATCCGCCGCGGATGTCGACCTGGCCAACTCCACAGCATTGAGGGCAAGCAGGAGGGTAGACCCCAGGGGCGAGCGAACCATAGGCGTTGTCACCAAGATGGACCTGGTGGACCCTGTACGGGGCGCGGCCATACTGTCAGACAAGCAGTATCCCCTCAGGCTCGGGTATGTTGGCGTTGTCTCCCGAGCACCAGGCGTGAAGGCGCTGTTCAACAAGGGGTTCGGGAGCAACCTCACTACTACGATCGCCAAAAACGAGAATGCCTTCTTCTCGTCACATCCCCTGGAATTCGGCCCCGACAATGACCTCAGCCTGGGCACGCTGACGTTACGAAAAAAGCTGATGCACGTGCTTGAGCAAACCATGTCTGCTAGCCTGCAGAGCACGCACGATGCGATAAAACAGGAACTCGAGGAGGCTACCTACGAGTTCAAAGTCCAGTACAACGATCGGCCGCTTTCGGCAGAATCGTACCTGGCCGAAAGCCTGGATGCTTTCAAGCACTCTTTCAAGCAGTTCACAGAGGAATTTGGCCGGCCGCAAATGAAGGAGATCCTGAAGAAGGAGCTTGACCAGCGCGTCCTAGACCTGCTCGCTCTTCGCTACTGGAATAAGCCCATCACTGACCTATCACAACCGCCCCCCGAGGTTGACACTCTCGCGGACCTGCCCAAGGCCGATCCCAACAGCCCTTACTGGCACCGCCAGCTCGACGCCTCCACAGCCTCGCTGACGAAGCTCGGCGTAGGCCGTCTGGCTACCAGTGCCGTGGCCGCGACGATCCAGCAGCACATCGAGCAGCTGATTGCACAGTCGACATTCGCCAACCACCCTTTTGCGCGCGAGGCGATCACCAACGCCGCGTCGAGCATCCTGAATGAGAGGTTCTACAGCACGAGTGACCAGGTGGAGAACTGTATTAAGCCATACAAGTTCGAGATCGATGTCGAGGATAGAGAATGGACTGCTGGTCGGGAACACGTCAGCGGTGTGCTCAAGGGCGAGCTTGATGCGTGCCAGAACGCCCTGACGAACCTGGAGAAGGCGGTTGGCGGGCGGAGGAAGATGAAGGAGGTCATGGGCTTTGTAGACAAGTGCCGAAAAGGAGACATCATTGTCGAGGGCGATGGAAGGATCGGCGCAGGCGGGTTTAGCGCCGCATTGCTGGACAAGGGTAAGTCAACAAGCCCACCCTGGAGTAACGCTGAATTTCAGAGAAGCGATACAGGCTAACATACCTCACACACAGGCCGCGAGGCAGTCTTCCTGCGCGACCGCGCAGACATCATCAACATGCGGCTGCTGGCTGTCAAGTCGCGGCAGTGCAAGGATCTCAAGAACAAGTACTACTGCCCGGAGGTGTTCCTGGATGCGGCGGCGACCAAGCTGGCGCAGACGGCGGTGCTCTTCCTGAACGTGGAGCTGCTGTCCGAGTTCTACTACAACTTCCCGCGCGAGCTCGACGCCCGCCTCGGCCGCCACCTCTCGGACGACCAGATCGAGCGCTTCGCGAAGGAGGACCCCAAGATCAAGCGCCACCTCGAGGTCATCCGCCGCAAGGAGCTGCTGGAGCTCGTCCTCGACAAGATGGAGAGCCTCAGGCAGCTCGAGGGCCCCCGTGGGGCTGCTGGTGGGTTCGTTGGGTCCAAGGACAGGGAAGCGAGGAAGGAGAAGGGCGGCCGGTGGGGGTTGTTCTGATTGACCGACTCGTGACTAAATGATCGATTAGGACTCGGAACCCCGAGCGAGTACTGACCGGTCTCTCCGGGGTAGAAAGGATATGCCTGGTGTTGGGTCGTTGGGCGCCATGACTTATGATATATTCATCTCATCACATCAGTGGGGGGCTTTTGCGGGCAGGAGTTTCTGTGGCCGGTGGTCGTCGTTCATTGAAATTTGAATTGTTTAGGCTCCTCCTACCCAGCTTACTTTTACTTACATCACATGTATACACTTAAGCTATGAGCAAGTAGAAAGATAGCCAACCTCAAGGTCGTACATTCTGTCGCGTGGTCATCCATGCTTACGAATCTGTGGACTACAAGTACACGACTGTACTCTGGCAGGTCATGTCAAACATCAGATGTTTCCTTTCCGCTTCCGGGGGCACACTCGCTCGCTCGCTCGCTCGCGTTTCCTAGAAGCTGGACCAAGTTTGTCCATAAAGTCTATTCGGCCCATGGAGGGCAGCTTGTCATTCATGATGAGTCTCGTACAAATCTACCGCTTGCTACCGGAAAGTGTAGGTGAGAAAACAGAAAAACAAGAATAAGACTCGCTGCGCCTATCATGTCATTCACGTTGCATCCGTACTGGTCTGCAGCGTAACCTCCCACCGGAGCGCCCCTCCCTTGCCATACCCCTCGCCCAGCCTGTTCTGCACGATCCGGGCGACGCGCTGGCGCAGCTGGCTCAGGGCGGCATCGTCACAGCCGCGGTTCACGCACAGCTTGAGCGTGGCCATGCACAGGCCATAGTGGACCTGCCAGAACTGGGCCTCATCGACACGCGCCACGTTGGGCTCGGACTCGATCTCGCGCACGACGGCGTCCGCGTCGCTGCTGCTACCGCCAAGGGCCGAAGCCGTCGCCCCCACTGCCGCGGAAGAAGAAGAAGAAGAAGAAGAGGTGCTGGGCCGGTGCTGGCGGCCGTTGTACGACATGAGCAGCATGAAGCCCTGGGCCACGGCGAGGCGCATGCCCAGGACGAACATGGACACGGCGATTGCGACGCAGATGAGCTTGTCCAGCCAGGCGAAAGACCCCACCGGCAGCGCAGGGAGGAGCAGCATCAGGAAGCTGAAGAACAGGGTGAGGGAGTGGAAGGGGTTGGCGAGGATCTCGGGCAGGAAGGAGGAGAAGTAGCTGGGCCGCATGACGCGGCGGATGCGCGCGTGGTTCTTGAGCCCGTACGCCGACACGAGGGTGCTGAGCACGGCGGCCAGGGTGGCCAGGTCGACGGTGCCGGCGCTCACGGCGGCGTCGCCGTCGGCCCCGCCGTGGCCGTGGCCGTGGCCGTGGCTGTGGCCGTGGGGGTGGTGCGGCGCGTGCGACCCCATGCTCTCGAGGACGTGCTTGAAGTTGTGGCTCAGCAGGTCGAAGCCGCCGAAGACCAGGAAGACGCTCATGGCGAAGCCGGCCAGCACTTCGACGCGCTGCAGGCCGAAGGGGTGCCGTATGGAGCTGCGCCGCCACACCTCGAAGTTGCCCAGCACGTCGACGCACACGCAGATGGCGGCGGAGCCGACGTCGAAGAAGACCAGGTGCGACAGGGCCGTCATGGCGAGGGAGCCGCCCGCGCTGAAGAAGACATAGCCGGCCACGCAGGCGTGGCACATGCTCCAGTACAGCCGGGCCCGCTGGTCCTTGTGCATCGACCCCCAGGCCTCCTTGAGCGTGGGAACGGGGAGGGAGGCTGGGAGGACGGGCGGCGCCCGCGGCGGTGGTTCCTGGAAGATCTGGTGTTGGGCGCTTATGGAGGAGTGTTTGTAACGGTGACCACGACGCTGGCCAATATTCTGAGCGGCGCCATCAGGGTCAGCCGAGCTTGGCCTACACATTGGGCACATTTCCATGGGCCAATTAATATGGGGGGCAACATACCGACCTCACGGGCGAGGTGGACATGGACTGGGTCTGGAAGTTGAAGGGCCCCGGGGCCGTCGCCGCTGGGACGAGGCCATTCTCGGAGAGGGCCGACTCTGTGGACATGGTGCTGGCTGGTCGGCGAATGCTCCGTGGCGTGTCGGGGCTGAGGAAGGCGGCGCTGTTCCTGGGGGAGGGCAGCAGGCCGCCTATGTCATTCCAGTTGGCGGTGCTGCTGGTGGCGCTGGATCGCGAGAGGGGGCGGTCGAGGTCGGCGTCCAGGTCGATTTCGATATCGGCGTCGGGGTCGTCGTCGTCAGGGGGTGGCTCGACGAGAAGGGGAGGGGTTGGGGAGGGCGGCTGGGGGAGGGCTGACGACAGGCCAGGAGCCATGTGCCTGTCGAGGGGCGGCGAGGACGGCAGGGTGAAGGAGGAGAGGCACAGGCGGGATCTATTATCGCTTTGAGGGCGGTTGCGGTCGCGATCGGTCTGGGGATAGTGGGCCTTGGAAGAAGCAGCCCAACTGCTGGATCCAGCTTAGCGCATTGCAACCACACGGGCGGCGATCTGCAGGTCTGGTTGTTGGACGGCGGGAGGCTTTCAAGTTTCTGTGTTCTGGCTGTTGAAGATCTGGGTATATACGTGAATAGAAAAGAATGTCTGACGGGGCCTGGGGCGGCCTTGTCGTGAGGCTGGAAGGAGAGGCCATGTTAAACTCCCGTCTGCGCCCACCCATTCCACCCCGCGAACAGTGGGAATGCACTGGCATCATGATTGCCTCCCTCCCTGCACGCATTGACTTCACTTTCATTGCTGCTGGGCCAGCAGCCAGGTGCAAGGATTCAGGGGAAGTGGTCGCTAAGTCAGGGGTCCTGACAGGTCCTCTCGGCAGGCCTTATTGGTTCTGGACCAGCACGGAGTTCTAGTGCAGCTAGCCCTGCTAGCTGGGCTTACCGAAAGAGCACTTATCTAGGTATCTACGGAACGGTATTTTGGAACAGGTACGTACCTGGGTAGTCTACCTACCGAGTACCGCGCACTGCAAGCTAACAGTAGGTAGTCAAGTAGTCTACAATAAGTGCAGCACAGAGTCGCATCGACTTGCTGGTGTCCCTGGTCGCGGGTTTTCATCCAGGTCACACCCCATCAGGCACTCGAGATTAACCACCATGCTGCCAATTGCTCTGGCCGCAGATGCCCCTGGCATTTCCAACATCCTCCTCCAGAATTGACCACCTCCTGGATCTTCACATGTCCCCCATTCCAGACCAACAATGTGGGGCGGGAGCTGCCTACCCTTCTTACCCCATCTGAGTTCTGACATCTGACATCAGTGGTCGGCCTGTGGTCTGTGGCCTGTGGTCTGTGGCCTGTGGTCTCGAAGCTGTCTGCCAGTCCGGCCCGGGCGGACCATCTGCGCCGCCACCGAGCCATCATGGAACCGTTACCCTCCACCCAAGACACCCACCAAGGTGCTTCTGGTGCCACAGATCCGAGTCGCCCTGTCCACAGGCGCATGTCCTCTGGCGGCGGCCTCCTCTCCAAACTCTCCTTCATGCGAGCCCATTCCTCTTCTTCATCCGCCGCCGACACCCCAACCGAGCACGACGGCTCCCGCCCTGCCCAACCGCGCGACAAGGAGAACCGGACCCCTCCCGACCCCTCCGACTCCTCCAACATCTACATGCCCGTTCCGCGGCCGTCCTCCTCAATCGCGACCGCGTTGCAGCAGCAGAAGACAAGGCGACGCCGCGGCTCCCTCCGAAAGGTCGCCCTCCTCGGCCGCGGCGCCCAGCGCGAGCGGCGCGAGGCCCACCGCGCAAGCCTGAGCATCGATGTGAAGCAGGCCGAGACGTACAGCATGAGCACACCCACCGAAGAGGGCGGCGCCTTCGGGCTGGGGATATCCGACATAACGCCCCGGCCCTCCATGGACGGCTACGCCAGCCGCAACGCGCCCGCGCCCGCGCCCGCGCCCACGCCCACGCCCGCCGTGGAGGCCGCGACCAACCTGCTGCGCGGCGGCGCGGCGGCAGCATCCTCGGCCCTGCCAAAACCCAAGGTCGAGGTCGACGAGCCGACGCCCACGAGCCCCACCATGAGCTACACCACCACAGACGACGAGGACATGTTGCACATTGGGAGGAACGCGGGGGGTAGGAAGGGCCCCGAGCTGGCTAGCCTGAGCTCCGGGTCAGACGGTTATTTTGGCTCTCTGCCTCGCCGGCGGACAATCAGCCGCGCTCGGTCACCGCTGAGTCTGTCCGGGCTGGCATCTACACCACTTCTCCCTACGGATGACGACTGGGACTATTCGGAAACGGAGTGGTGGGGGTGGGTGATCCTCATCGTCACATGGGTGGTTTTTGTCATCGGCATGGGCTCATGCTTCAGTGTCTGGAGCTGGGCCTGGGATGTCGGCACGACGCCGTACGCGCCCCCCGAGCTCGAGGACGATCCCACGCTGCCGATTACGGGGTATTATCCTGCTTTGATCATCTTGACATGCGTGATGGCCTGGGTCTGGGTAGTGAGTGCGTGGGTCGGCATGAAATATTTTAGGCACGCAAAGATAAGTGGCGATTAGAGCCCTGTAGATACAAATCCTAATTTTTGTTATCCTTGAACTACGACAAGTGTCACCCTCTCCGGTTGCTTCGTGTGTGGGTACCCGCGATATTCCAAATTCTTTGCCCGTGAGGAATGTTGCTGAAAACGGCCCCGAAAGAAGCATGCCGCACCTGTAGCCGTCAAATGAAGACTTCGTAGGAGTGCATGCGTCTGCTGGTGACCCTCCGTATGGAAGTTTCGCAAAACACTTGATGAACTTCTACAATCCGCAGCTTGGATTTGAAACACATAGAAAGCAACGATGGTAGAGACGGCCTGTTACCGGAGGTATTGGTCGCCATGTGTGACGATCGGTCAGTATTCGAAGGAGTGGTTGGTTGCCTGAGCTGTGAGCGCCTTGTCCCCACACTCCCCCATGGCAATTCCCCCCCGAGAAGCTCCTCGAAGGAAATGAAATGTCATATTTGATCACTCCCTTGGTCTGACGGGTGCACAAGGCGAAGCTGAAGCCACTGCGTATCCTATGAGAAACACTCGGGCGCGGGAGAGACTTGTAAGATGATCCTGGGTCGTGCTGTCTATACTCTTTGTGGTTAGGCCGCGGTGCTACCCGCGCCATATGGAATATTCTGGATGGGCGGGCAATACCACAGGCAGTCTGCGCTGGGTAGACAAAGAAGACGTGGGCAATGAGCGGGTGGGGCCTGTGGTTGCTGTTGACCTTTGTGCCTACAGCCAACACAGAATCGAGGCCCTTTTGGCCCGTCGAATGAGGGGCAAGGGCTGCGCCGAGAAGCTTCTCCGTGGGGCGGCTGGGCGGCGTGCTGGTCCCTGCGCAAGGCTCACGAAGTTTCTGGCATACCTACGAGGCAGACAGACAGACGGACATGGAAACTACTGTGGATGCCTGGACCCCGTCACTACGAGCTAGCGGGAGTAGGGTGCACTCACAGCCATGAGCTCCGATAATGCCCATCAATCAGCCTGGCTGGCTTGGGTGTATGTGTGTGTGTGCGTGCAAATCCGAGATCAGTTCTTCGATGCGGGCGACCAATGACCGTCGTCTACGATTATTAGATGAAATGTGAGATAGACCAGACTCGGCAATGATGCATGGCTGTGGCTGCCATGGTCTTGTCAAAGAGCTGCTCAGCGATTACAACCGGCACTTGATGAGATGCATTGATGAAAGGTTCTGCCTGCCTGCCTGCCTCCTGCCTGCCCTGGTGACGAACAGGAGCTCTTCAGCCTCACTTCCCCAGATGGGCGGTTGCTAGGCAGAGGGGAGGTGGCACGGACCGGGCTGCGGCCCCTGACCCCGAGGTACCTAGCTACTGTGGGTTGCAGGTGAGGCTGGCCGCAGAGCTGCGAACGCAAACGGGCAGCTTCTGGCGCATTCTGAGCTCGTCGAGCAAGCCCCAGATCATTCCACATTGCCCATGGACAGTTGAAGGACCAATGAATCAGGAATAGACCCTCTTCCAGATCCGATCTGCCCCTCTTTTCGGATTTCAGGTCATTGCAGGACGAACGGCTGCGGCGAGCAAGGTGCATCGATATTTTGCATTTGCAGGGTCCCTCAAGTGCTCCAGAGCCTAGTGGGTCCACCGCCCCCCTGTCCAGCCAATCAAAAGGGGAAAGGCGCCATAGAAACTCGAAGAATTTCCATGGGCGAGGCGTCCATGTACGTATTTGTAGCTCCCCTCTGCCTGCGACTTCCGCAACAGCAACCTTTTCTTCCCAACCTCACAGATTCCACCACTTCCCATCTTCATCAACTGCCAAAAAACCTCTTCTCTCTTCCCTCTCAGACACCGCATCGTAAGATTCGCTCTGTCAAGATTTTCTTTCCCCTTCGCTTTCAGTGATACCCAAAGGTACGCAGACCAAATCCAAGACCCCACCACCACCCACCACCACCTGAATCAGCTCTACAATTCCCATCCCCCTCCTCAACCTGGCCTGCGCCTGTGCGACATCTCTCCAGCCTCCTATGCTGCGCAGAGAGTTGCAAGTGGTTATGGCGACAGGGCATCCGTGATTGGAAACGCATGTGCTCTTGTGTTCAATCGCAGGCAGCCAGCTAGGAGCGGCTTAGCAACTCAGCAAGGCTTCCGTTTGCTCTCGTTTCCATAGTGACCCACCAAATTCTACACCCTGCCACTGCCCCGGTCAATACCTACCTCTCACCTTGCACTTTTTCCTCGTCCGTCTTTGATTTGCAACAATCTTCAGCGAATGCTGACTTTGCGGCCTACAGTAATTGACGACGTTACGAAACCTTCAAGATGTCTGGCGAAACCTTCGAGTTCCAGGCTGAGATTTCTCAGCTGCTCTCGCTGATCATCAACACTGTCTACTCAAACAAGGAGATCTTCCTGCGAGAGCTTGTCTCCAACGCATCAGATGCCCTTGACAAGATCCGATACGAGGCCTTGTCCGACCCCAGCAAGCTGGACTCGGGCAAGGACCTCCGTGTCGACATCATTCCCGACAAGGAGAACAAGACCCTGACCATCCGTGACACTGGTATCGGCATGACCAAGGCTGTAAGTCATAGCCCCACCCGCTTAGACTGCCCCACCATCACAGGTGACTAACTGTTGCGCGCAGGACCTCGTCAACAACCTCGGCACAATCGCCCGCTCCGGCACAAAGCAGTTCATGGAGGCCCTCACCGCGGGTGCTGACATTTCCATGATTGGTCAGTTTGGTGTTGGTTTCTACTCCGCCTACCTGGTGGCCGACCGTGTCACGGTCGTCTCCAAGAACAACGACGACGAGCAGTACATCTGGGAGTCCAGCGCCGGTGGTACCTTCACCATCACCACCGACACCGAGGGTGAGCAGATTGGCCGCGGTACCAAGATCATCCTCCACCTGAAGGATGAGCAGGTCGACTACCTCAACGAGGCCAAGATCAAGGAGGTCATCAAGAAGCACTCCGAGTTCATCTCATACCCCATCTACCTCCACGTCACCAAGGAGGAGGAGAAGGAGGTCCCTGATGAGGAGGCCACTGAGACCACCGAGGAGGGTGACGACAAGAAGCCCAAGATCGAGGAGGTCGACGACGAGGAGGAGGACAAGGAGAAGAAGCCGAAGACCAAGAAGATCAAGGAGACCAAGATCGAGGAGGAGGAGCTGAACAAGCAGAAGCCCATCTGGACTCGCAACCCCTCTGACATCACCCAGGAGGAGTACGCCGCGTTCTACAAGTCCCTGTCCAACGACTGGGAGGACCACCTGGCTGTCAAGCACTTCTCCGTCGAGGGTCAGCTCGAGTTCCGCGCCATCCTGTTTGTGCCCAAGCGCGCCCCCTTCGACCTGTTCGAGACCAAGAAGACCAAGAACAACATCAAGCTCTACGTCCGCCGTGTCTTCATCACCGACGACGCCACCGAGCTCATTCCCGAGTGGCTGAGCTTCGTCAAGGGTGTTGTCGACTCTGAGGACCTGCCTCTCAACCTGTCTCGTGAGACCCTGCAGCAGAACAAGATCATGAAGGTCATCAAGAAGAACATTGTCAAGAAGGCCCTCGAGCTCTTCCAGGAGATCGCCGAGGACAAGGAGCAGTTCGACAAGTTCTACACTGCGTTCTCCAAGAACCTGAAGCTCGGAATCCACGAGGACTCCCAGAACCGCCAGATCCTGGCCAAGCTGCTCCGCTTCAACTCCACCAAGTCTGGTGACGAGCAGACCTCTCTGGCCGACTACGTCACTCGCATGCCCGAGCACCAGAAGAACATGTACTACATCACCGGCGAGTCCCTCGCCGCTGTTGCCAAGTCCCCCTTCCTTGACGCCCTCAAGGCCAAGGAGTTCGAGGTCCTGTTCCTCGTCGACCCCATTGACGAGTACGCCATGACCCAGCTTAAGGAGTTCGAAGGCAAGAAGCTCGTGGACATCACCAAGGACTTCGAGCTTGAGGAGACCGAGGAGGAGAAGGCCCAGCGTGAGAAGGAAGAGAAGGAGTACGAGGACCTTACCAAGGCTCTCAAGAACGTCCTCGGCGACAAGGTCGAGAAGGTCGTTGTCTCCCACAAGCTTGTTGGCTCCCCTTGCGCCATCCGCACTGGCCAGTTCGGTTGGTCCGCCAACATGGAGCGTATCATGAAGGCCCAGGCTCTCCGTGACACCTCCATGTCCAGCTACATGTCTTCCAAGAAGACCTTCGAGATCTCCCCCAAGAGCCCCATCGTCAAGGAGCTCAAGAAGAAGGTTGAGGCCGACGGTGAGAACGACAAGACCGTCAAGTCCATCGTCCAGCTCCTGTTCGAGACCTCCCTGCTGGTCTCTGGCTTCACCATTGACGAGCCCGCTGGCTTCGCCGAGCGTATCCACAAGCTCGTGTCTCTGGGTCTGAACCTGGATGACGAGCCCGAGGCTGCTGCCGATGCTCCTGCCGCCTCTGACTCCACGCCTGCCGCCGAGACCGGTGACAGCGCCATGGAGGAGGTTGACTAAATCAATCGATTACAGAGGGGGCACTCGGGAATGGCAGGACAGGCGATCGCATAAAAAGTGGTTACAGGAGTTTGGCACGGGTTTTCTTCGGGTTTTGACGCCTCACACTGGCAGGTAGCTACATGAGCGGTAATATCGTCCTTCAGCCTGGATGTACTGTAGTAGTATTTCAGAGAGGATAGGATTGCCTCTTTCCACCACAATCCTAGTAGACGATAATGAATTTGACGCTTTGAAGACAAATACAAATGCCTGTTCCTGCTGCCTGAGTGAAACGAAATGATCATGCCTGGCCAGGTTTGCCAAGCGATTTGAACCTCCCTGGGCTCCACTGCTCCTGAAATCTTAGAAACGGCAGTCCAAACCACCTCCAGAGTGGCTCACTAACTGTTGACACTACCTGATAGCACCTCGAATCTCATGACCAGTCTAATTTTCTGAAACAAGTCAGAGGAGAGGTGGTGCTGCTCATGGCTTCTCCCACATTCCCTGTTGGTTCTAGAAATCTTCAGCACTCTACAGCTTGTTCGCTGGGGCTGGAGAATCACTGTCCTTGAAGACTGTCTGAGAAATCATTCCAGACGCTTCAGTCTTCACGTTGCTATATTTTGTGGGATATCGGTTGGAGGGGGGTTATGTTCTTGTTCTATTAGTATCTAAAATTTATCTAAAATTTTAACTTCCTACGTGAACCTTTGTCTGGAGACCCTATGTGATCTCATCGTGCCTCGCGGCAACCTTGCATCACCTCGGGAGCGTGGACGGGTGTACAGTAAACCCATCCAGATATTTGCACGCTCGGCAGGGCCTACTGCGGTCAACGTTTGAATTTGGTATAAACCTTGGAACAGTTCTCCCGCTCATTCCGAAAGTTTGATCAAGGTAAGAGGAGCCAGACTGATGACGAATTCATTGCTCAAATGTTGGGAAAATGCTGCCTCGTAACGATACAACAGTGACTCCACGCACCATCATCAATTATAGACAACCAGCAGGCTCTTGTTTTCCGTGAAGGCGAGTGGGAGCCGCAAGGTCTTGCACCAGCGGAATGGAAACCCTTCAATGTCCACTCACCACTTAGGCAAATCCTTGGAAATGGCTGGCCAGTCAAGAAAAATGGCTTGTTGAGGATGAGACGCAAATCGAGACCCTGACTGACCGATGAGAGCAATAATTCTACTTTGGCATTAAGCATTGTAGACTACATATGTACCTACTTAAGAGGGCACGGGTAGTTGGTCTCTGATCGGGTGGTATGGTTCTCACAGTAGCCAGCAAGCCTGTTGAGGCTGAAAGAGGCTGCTGGCTCCAATGAATGATCGATTTGCTCTAGCTGCAAGATCATCTGTGTAATTGATGAAGTTGTACACCTGGGTTGATAGAGCTGGCTCTGTAGGATGGAGTGTTTCCTGTCCTTGAATGTTCTGATTGTGGTTCCGGCTCAAGAGAGAAAATTGAGAATACAAATATTCTACAACACATATAACAGGTCCAATATATTAGCCAATACTTGCTTCCTTCTGGTTGTGATCACTCTAAACCAAAGATGAAACAAATTACTAGATAACTAGGTACATGGGTGTGTTAATGTGGAGGGAGTTTTGATGAGACGATGCTCTACGAATGGTGGACGCCCGGGCGCTCGTGTGAGTTTTCTTTTCTGTAATGCCCTTTTCAACCGCATTTCTGTCTTGTCTTTTCTGCGCATGATCTCTGATACCCCCCTTTCTTTTGTTGGACGAGTTTGGTACTGCCTTCAGCCTGTCCCCAGTGAAGTTGGCCAGCCCTCCCCTACCTAGGTAGGGTAGGTACGTGACCAACAACCTTGGAAGACGGAGGTAGGAGAAGGCATCAGGTCTTTAGAACAGCAGAGAGCGCACCACTAACGGCACAGAAGTGCGGCCGGGCATGTGAATGGGACTGCTTGGTGGTGGCTCGGCCCAAGGAACAGCGTCGACCATGACAAATCCGTCATCCTCATTGATAGGAGCAGATCCGACATCCTGGACCATGATGAAGTCTTCCTCATCGTGAAGGTCGTGGGGGAGGGTATTCAGAACGACGAACCCGTCCTCTTCGCGGGAACCCAGTTGCAGGGTGCTGGTAGAGAAGGTGTCCGTCACAGACGGTCGGTCCACGGCAGGTATAACATCCTTGTGGGGACTGGGAACGCCGTGAATAGTGTTGCCGGCATCATCAGCGCTGGAGCTCCTTGCATTGCACATCGCGCGGCCGGCTTTGATGACCTTTACAGCGACCTCGTGCATCATTCCAAAGATATGCGTCACAGCCTGACGGGTGAACAACTGGGTTAGGCGGTGGCGGATGCTGGTGAAAGCCATTTGGAGACACATTTGCTGAGGTCTTCCATGGTTGGTGTTGGCGACGGGCTTGGTCTGTTCGTTTGGCTTGTTGGCAGTTGGATTGGGCAGGATCTTGGGGGAAGGCGCAGGAGGTGTGGGACTGGATTTGACGGCGCTGGTCTTGATACCTGTAGCGAGGAAGTGTTACCTAGGCAGAGCAAAGCTGGTGGAGCCCGTTTGTGGCCGAGCTGTGTTCACACAAGAAGTAGGCTTACCAGTACCACTCTTCTTGGGCTTGTAGGGAACGCGCTCGAGGTAGATATAGCCATCTTCGATATCCTCGCGCTCACGCACCTTTTTCATATTGAGTTGATACCCCAGCATGGTGTTGAAAGCTGTGGGTGCAGTGGTGATCGGGGTTCGAGTTTCAGAATGAGTGGCCTGGTACAACCTTTGAAGGCGGAAGGAGTGAGGTTGACTCTACACGCAAACAGCAATGCTGACTCCTGAAGCTGGGCAGCAGTCAAGAGATGATTTCCTCAAATAAGAGAGCAAGACAGGCGAGTAAGAACAGATGCTGATTTGGCTTCGTACAGTATTGATGACTGAGATGATGGGCGCTGACAACGAAAAGAAGTAATCGAGTGTGTGAACTTGAGAAGAAGGACGAAAAAACGGAGGGAGACCACCTGGGTTTATATATTTGTGCAGAGGATATTTCTGCCGTAGCGCTCGTGCGGATGATCTGTGACCGCTCCCTCAGTGAATGTGAGGTGATTCACATGTTGTGTGTTGAGGATCGAGTGACAAACGGAGTGTGCGAGCTTGCACCCAAACGAGTGACCGCTACCTTTGAGTTGTTCGCTACCTTTGAGTTGTTCGCTGCGCATCGCCCTATGAATGTATCTCCATTCCAAAGCTCTCGGCCTCCACTTCTCGACAAAATCGGCATCCCGATTTGTTGGAGCGAGAAACTGGCTGCCACAGAGGCCATAGCTGAAGCCTCGAAAACGTCGTGGATACAAGCTGGCATAGCAAAGATAAGAGATCCAAGGAAAGTGTTCCCGGTGCCGGTTACATCGACGATAGTTGAGTCATCTTCGTAAAAGGCTGGGAGCCAGTTATGGCGCCCGGGCATTGAAGTTGATAAAATGACCCGGGGAGGCATCAATTTCTACCGGCGCAGATGATGACAGTGCCTCTACCGCCTAGCCCAACACCGGATTCAAGAAGCTTTTCCGTGCCATATTCTAGAAACGTGCGGTTGATTCGCCCGTCTCTAGATACGGGTTCTGAATTTTCGAACAGTTCTAGAAACTCGAGATGGTTCGGCGAGTAGATATTCACCAGCTTCGCTGTGGCGAAATGCTGATTCCTAGCCGGTTTCGCTTCTATTCCGTATACGCCCGAGGACATACATGGCGCCTTCATACGGTGGCTGATTCCTAAGGCCTGACTAACAGGACCCTAGTAAAGGTTCCCAGACAAGAAGCGGACGGCTTTCTATGCCATCGCTCTGCCTGAGGCCGAGGAGTTGTTGGATTTGTTCTCGGGCGAGATCCGGACTCGCAAGGTGGAAAGCTGAGGAGCCCAGTAGAGAGGACGTAAGATCACTTGGCATGGGTTGAAGCCGCTCAGTTGTGTATTGAAACGTCATTTCTTAGGCAAGTCAACATTGAACTCACAGAAACGGTGTCGTCACTCAGGCTTGGCTTACTCCCGAATACATTATCTTCGCAAATTAGCAAGCAGCGGGTAGATTGGCTCGCAGTTCTCCTCGATAACACTAGGTCCATGCCCCAACTCCTGAATCCAGACAGTGTCGACTCGGGGAAGTCGTCACCGGCCATAATAACACAGCCGACCTCGTGTGACCGCTCCTCACCAGCCACCAGGCGTACACCCAGAATGCTAAAAGCACCGGGGCTTCCCTTCATGTCACGTAGAGTTGGCGCATGTGGGAAGCGGAGCTCGTCGAGGACGACCATACCAAGGGAAACGAAGCGAGGGGCCATAGTCTGGCAGTTCGCCTGAGGGCCAACGATATTTGGTGTGGTGTGATGCCCGAGGCAGAATGAGATGCACACTTGTCGCTTTGTGAAAGTTACACAAACGTTTTATCGTAAACATGACTAGAAATGCCAATAGTTGGGCTTGGTTGATGAGCATAAACGTGACTGTTAGTGGCAAGACGACGCTGGCCTTGAATATAGTAGGTCGAATGGACACTATAGGCAAGCAATCTGACGCAGCAAGCGTGCTGACGAAAAGTGTTTACCACAGTACGACCTGACTCGATACGGAAACAAATCGTCGGTAGCCTACTGGCAACTGCTCTTCATCCCAGTCATATACCGGACGTTCTCGTTTGTCGGGATAGTCACCGCCTGGCGGGCCAGTCAATCTATGGAGCTTTGTGATGGGATCCAACCTCTATCATCGGCCTATGGACAAATCGTGCTGCCGCATTCGGCCTCGCGACATTGGGCACGAGTGTATCAACAAATTCCATCGCAACGAGCAATGACCTTAGGTTTCTCATCCCACGGTGGCTGAATATCCGGAGAGGAGCGGGCTTGACTGCTTTGGTTGGAGGCTGGGCGACATGTCCTTGGAAAATACAAGCTAGTGCCAAGAGTCTAACTGCGTTTCTCGACGGGCACATTATTGTACTAGCCCCGGTGGTACCTAGGTAGCTATCATGGTAAATTGGATTCATGGTCGGCAACAGGAAGCCCTTGGGTTTCTAGACAAAGCTAACGGACGATGAGCGGCAGATCTGTGACTACTGGCTCATCCGTCATCGCCGACTCCACGTCCCCATGTTGTACCAGAACAACTGAACGGCATTTACCATTGCTCATGCGGCATCAATGGGCGAGCCTCAGTCACTTTGTTGGTAGTGGTTCCCGTCAACATTCCAGGCTTTATTTATGTGGTTTTGCTTCTATTCCGTATACGTCCGAGGATATATATGTTGCCTTTATATTGTAGTAAGCACTTAAAACTTAGTACTTAAAAAGAATATAATGCTAATAATAATAGTTATAATATAATAGGTATTTATAGCCTTAGCCTTATAATGTATAGATAAGGCTAAGGGGTACTGTTTTAATGACGATATTAACTAGAATTGTAGATAGAAGTAGCTTATGGACTAGTTACTATAAGGGAGTTATACGGTGAGACTAGGTCTAAAGATGGTCGCTATATAAATAAATCGCACAGAGGGAATCCCAGCTAAAAGGCTTTATTTATGTCATCGACAATAGTATCAATATCGCAAACTACTTATATTTCTAAAAGCGTTTCTTCTACCACCGCCTCTATCATCTTCAACAAATTGACAGGCTGGACACAGACAGCGCATCGTGATCGACAGCAACGTTCATATCGGGGGCCATATATCTGATGTCATCTCTGATCATGCCTCCGTACAAGACGCTTGTTGCCGAAAATGATGCTGGTGAAATCGAGAACACGGGCACCAATGACAACCAAGTTGAGAACAGGTTGGCTGTGGGAGAAAAGAACTGAATGGAGGCCTCAAATGATGAAGAGGTTTGAAGACCCAATAAGACAAGAGAGCCATAAATTGATCCACACATGGATCGGTGGCTCTGCCTGTCCGATATAAACCATGAAAGAATGAGTTGCCGGCTTATGACACAGCTGCGTGCACAAATCGCCCCCCAAATTAGACAGCGAATTGCCGTGGATGAAACTTGACCAGCAGATCGGGCTTCCTCCATAGACCGAATGATAAGCACGCGTGGTTCCAGTCCTCGATCTCTCGAGATACCAGCTCCATATCATAAGCAAAGATCATCTTTGCCAGAGTTATCCGAAGCTCAACATAAGCCAGGTTTATTCCTATACAGGCGCGTGGGCCACTGTCATATATTGAATGAATAAGCCAAAGCCAAAGTACGGGGCCTCATTAAGGACCACTTACCTAGAAAATGGCTGGAATGCCCTCTTATCGTCCCCGAACCCTTCACCGATCCACCTCTCCGGTTGGAACAAATCCGGGTTGACCCAATAGCGAGGGTCTCTGGCCAAAGGATAGTTCTCACAAGCAACAATGCAACCAGCAGGGACATACTGGCCGTCGATCATGGCGCCTGGGCAGACGCGGGGCAGTCCGTGGGCCACTGGAGGGAACAGCCGGAGGCCCTCTTCGATGACTCCGTGGAGATATTCACATCTTGCGGTGGCATCGCCCGTGATTTCATCCATCGACTTGAAGGTGCCCCGAATCTCGTCCGTCAGCTTCCGCAGGCAATCCTGGTTCTGGAGTAGGTACCACGTCGTCCCCGCAAGGGAAGTGGCCGTCGTTTCTGAGCCCGCAGCGAGCAGCACCTGCGCGTTACCCATGAGGTAGTTTTGGCTAATCTCCTTCTTCTTGATCAGGTGGCCAAAAAAGTCTACCCGTTTCAGGGAATCTCCCATCTCTATGCGTTTTTGGGCCTTCTCTCTCGACAGCATCAAGTACGCAGCAGAATGGTTTTGCCATTCCTGCATTGTTTTGCGGCCCAAGGAGAGACTGATGACGGGTTTCAGCCAAGGCCGCTTCTTGATGGCGCTGTCGACGCCCTCGATTACCAACGAGTCCATTACCAGCTTTACCCAATGATTTGAGCCGGTCTCCAGAGCACCAAAGGGCTCCCCGAAAGACAAATCACCTGGAACAAATGACTTAGTAAGATCTTCAGCAAACAATAATGTCAGACTCACCAATGATATCAAAGGTCAACCAATTGTATGCATCCGTAACATTGATTGGCTTGAGCCCGCCCGCGCCAAAGTTACCAAGCTGTTTGATGAACAGGTCGACGTATCCATGGACCACATCTTCCTGGTCTCGCAGAGCCCTGGCACTGAAAGCATGCGATAGGGCCTTTCGCTGCTCCGCGTGAACGACAGGATCCCTCACGGAGGATATCCGAGGCTCGTCATTGTCGTAGGTGTCGGACTTGAGGAACCTCTCCTTTCCTGTCGTTTTGTGGCCGTAGATATCGCGGTAGGCTTGAAGCGACGCGTAAGACAACTCGTTAGGTGCAATCCGTATGACATCACCTGGAGATTGTGTCTGGTCAGACGTGCTCTGCTCTGCATCATGAAGTGGGCAGACCGAACAACGGCACTGGCAACGCACCGTATTTCTCGTGTAACTCTTGTAAATAGAAGACGTTTTTCCCCGACATGAGGGATCTCCATTTCCACATCTACAGCATCATAGTCAATGGAAGCTGCCACGGCTTGGCCGTCTGGTTGAAGGACTGACCTCCGTCAGGGAAGCTGCCACGGGCCCTGGAAATTTGGCCAGAGGATGGAAGAAGCGTAGGTAGATACATTGCGCAATCAAAAAGAGTAGAGACTGTAGATGAATTCAGCATTTTCACGAGTCGAGGTGCGGGTGCGTCGAGACATACAGAGCCTAGCGCGAGCCAGCCGATAGCCGCTGGACTTAGGAATTGGAGGTGCTGCAGTTGGATCATTTTGGGCACTTGTGATGAAGTAAACAACGGGTTAATGCCTTGGCTGGTCAACCGCGGACTTGAATGATTATTATATACAACCAAGTACAGACGTACTCGTACTCGTACCCCGGACTTTTGGGTTGCTCAAGACGGCACCTCAATGGTGCGACCTTGTGCAGCCATCCCCGCATGCTGTGCACGCTTTTTCTGAGTTTCCCGAGTTTCCGTCTTTGGTTCATACAGTGGCACGGGGTTTCCCGGCCCCAGCTTAATAAGGTTGCGGAAGGGGGTGGCCAAGGTTCCATACCAGTTTTGAGCTAGCTGTTTTCGCGTTCGTATTTCGTATAACCACGTCCGAAGCCATATACGGCGCCGTCATACAGTGATAAGTATTGTTGAGCTAGACTTGATAATTTCGCAGGCATGCCGGCGGAGTTGCATGTGAGTCGGGTCTCGGGTAAATTGTCTCCTTTTCGTTTGCTTGTTTAGTTTGTGTGTTGGTGTGGACTCATCCTCCCGCCTTACTACTACTCCAGCTCTGGGCTTGCGACCTCCCCGCCACCAGCGACCCAACTCACTACTAGTCACCCGTACTCGGATCAATTGGTCCCTCAAAGACTTTACGGGTCTCCATCGCGTCTGTGGCCTCTTTCTGTTCAAGCACTCTCTTATGCTCGAAGCTGGGCCGGCGGAGCCAAATGTGCCCGCTGATGACGTAAACTCTTCAAAAGAACGCTCAGTGCACTCAAGATATCAGCTTGGGGGCTTTTGACCATATATAAAAACACTAAGAAATTTGTCAGCTGGAGCACATGATTCAAGGGCAAGGGCGATATTGTCCACCCTACATTTCTGCGGAGCCATCGACGCTGTTGTCCCGGAGCTCTTGTCGCACCTGTGCCAACAGGACTTGGATCTCTTCCTGAGACCATCCAAGACGAGACAGAGGCCGGAGGGCAAGGGCCTCGACGACCATTATGAAGTTCTGCTTGAGCAAGATACCAAGGTTCCGGGAGTGGCGCCCATTTGCCCACGTCCCAAGCGGCCATATAAACCGCTTCTCCTCGACATTTACAAAACCCCTCTCCGTCATGTGTCTTTTCATATCCATAAAGCCAGTGACACTGATGCCCTGGCTCTGTGCGCCTTGGACAATCAGATCGCAATATTTCTTAATTGCGCTCCTATTTGCGGCCTCGCCGTGGAACAAAGGCCTGTGGTTGAACTCCTGCATCTCGAGCCACCCGCCAGGCTCCAATGCCTGGTAGGCCTCGTTGGCGAGCGCGGCGTAGTTGCGCCAGCAGAGGACTGATGCGCGGGCGTGGATGAGGTCGAACCTGGTCCGGAAGTTCCACTGATCCTCCGCGTCGTCCACCTCGAAACTTATGGCTCCCACCCGTCAGAAAGCTGTGCATTGATTCGCTTTTCGGCGCGTAATATTGTTTGACATACCGACAGTTGACAGGGACGTATTGCGGTTGTATGGGGCTGAGATCCGTGCCTAACACGTCGCACATCGGAAATGCATCGGCAAAGTCGATCGCCCAGTTCCCCGTTCCTGTCATCAGGTCCAGGCATCTCCTCGGGTTCTCCCGCACTGGGGCTAGGAACAGCTTCCCGTGCGTCGTTTCTAGGTACAAGAGATGCTGCAGGTCAAGCCTCTCTTGTTCCCTGGTATCATTTGGGAGCAAGTATTCTTGATGGAGGCTTTAGTCAGCAGTCCTATTCAATTTGGGGTAACATCATCTTACTTGAGGCTTTGTAGCTGTGGTATGTCCTGCCGTTCTCCTCGATAAATGTGAAGAACTCGTCCGGCGCTGTCATTGTCGATAAGATGTCAGTCTCACTGGCGATTGCCGAGTCCGCGATGCTGTCCGAGTCGGAGGCGGCATCTGGGCCATCATCATGCGTTTCCGGAGCCAGTGGGCCGTGAGCCAGAGCTTCTCGGCCGGGGTTTTCTGCGGCTTCTGAGTCTTCTGGTGACGGCGCCTCGGAATCTCCGGAAAGGGGGTCGCTCATCGTAAGCAAAGGGGGGATACGCCTGGACGGCTACATCGACGGGGAATTCGACGTTGCAGCATGCCTTTAAGCTCTAGCAAGCCTTTGAGGCTGGGAAGGTTGCGGCCCTGGTTGTAACGACTTGGCTGGCTGAGGTGATGCAGGTGAACCATTGACAACGTGGGAATCAAACGATACACATAGCAAGAAATGCTGATGTGGGCCCGGCCCCTCTCCTAGCTCTTATTGGGCCAGGACGCGGCCCGAGGGAATCTGTTGGTTCTCCGCTCTCCCAGTTGCCAATATATCGATGCATGCCAAAGGCTTATAAAGCTCCGATATCATGCGCGGTCGCGGCCACCTGCAAAACACGTGGTATTGAACAGGGTCAGTGGAGAACACTTGCATCTGCTTTCCAATGGAAATGTCAGGCAATTTTAGGCATGGCTTGACAGGTGTCGCTGCCAACAAAAATTATATCCGGAAGTGAAACCCGTTGACTCGTGGGCGCGGCCCACACATCCCGATACGACGACCCATCACGGCCTTGCCGAATCCGGTCGCGATTGCTGACGATGGCTGAAAGATACGCTGGTGTTGCACGGCTACACCTGGTCGAATCACCACAGAAGACGCCCTTCCAATAAACTTTGCGCGACTTCAACGGTCGACTCGCACTTGTTTGTTTCGGCTGGCGAGAATGGAGAGCAGTTTCTAGTGTTGGTAATTCATCATTGCTGGAGCTCACATATCCGCCCAGCAGTAAACTCTAAACTCTACCTCGAGGTCTTGGGTATAATACACGTGATAACCGACCAAGAAAGAAATTGAGCAACAATGCAACGATGAAGCAGCATCGGAGCAGCTCACCAATTACCAGGATGCCCCTTCCGGTACCCAGACGTGCGAGTCGTGCATGTCCAACCATCCATTTCGTTGGAGGGCAGCACCTCAAATAGACTCAAAATAAACTTCCGGCCATGCAAACCCCCAACATCGTCAAGATGACAGCCTGCAAAATGCCCATCCGACTGGCCAATGGCGCTGACTCAGAGCCCGGGGTGCTTGCCGAGCCGTTCGTCCCATCGGAAGGCGCCGAAGCATTGACAGCCGATAGCGTGGTCGCGATCTCGAGAAGAAAAAGGCGTAAGAATAAAAGGGCAACCTGCTTTATGCTCGGGTAATGCTGCGGAGCGTGTTACTCACCAGGGGCCTCAGGCCGCCGTTGATGAACTCTGGAGACCTCCAGTCGGACCAGTCGTGATTCAACAAGCCCCAAGTCTCGTTGTAGTCCTGCTTGCCTTGGCGGACGTAGTAGCTGCCTGATATCGCCCAGATCATCCAGCCCTGGTCCGGCACCTGATCCCTGAGGAACGCCTGCACGCACTGGGCATACGTGTCGTTCTTCCAGGTCGTGGCATCGTTGGGGAAGCCGAATTCTGTCATCATGACGGGGAACCTGTTGGTCGCGTTATCTCTTACCGCTGAGTATCCGGCGTCGAAGAGGTTCTCGTTGTAGAGCGGACAGTTGTCCACGCTAAAGACAATGTTGTAGCTGTGCAGCTCTAGGACCAGCTTGTCATCGTACCCGGCGAAATCGGACCTGCTGAACGTCCGGTTGCTTGGCTCGAGGACTTCGCCGTTCACGATAGTGGAGAGGTCGACGTCTCCATTGATTCCCGATAGGAAAATGAGCACATCTGGATTAGCAGAGTTGACGGTTTTTGAGCCCTTCTTTACCTGGTCATACCAGACTTCCCACGTGTAGTTGAGGAGAGTTGGTGGCTGGGGCATGGAGAATGGTGGGCGCAGCTCGTTGTAGAGAGACATGGACATCAGATTCGTCCAGTTCCTGCCCTGCGTATGACTTAGTACCGATCAACGTACCTCAAATTCAGGTGGCAAGTACACGGGAATATCGGAGGGTGGGCCTACGTGTTCAGCCATGAAGGCAAGACCTCGCGTCCAATTTGCAGGAGAGAAATGTGTATCGCCCCACCAAGCATTTCCATCCCATGGAGAACAGCACCAAGACGCTTGAGAGATGTGGTTGTCCAGATGGACGTAAATATTCTGACGAGCACATTCCTCTGCGATGGCGTCGTAGACCTGGAGCCTTGTCGTATTCGAGGTGAATGAGGGATTGTTGGCGACCACTTGGTTGAGTATATGAGTACCGTTGTCCTGACCCAACGCGCTGATGAATGACTGCGAGATCGGGACGTCGGTCATGTTGTTCATGTAGATCTGATCGACCAGCTCGGTAGCATAGGTCAGCCGTATCGAGTTCATGCCCAAGCTTTTGATCTTGGACACAATGGTCTCGATCGATTGGTACTGCAAGCCCTCTGGTACCACTAATTGCGGCATTGGGCGTCAGCGGTCAAAGAATTCAAAGAGTAAGCTATGAGGTGGCTATAGCCTGTCTTCAAACATGCAGGCCCTAAAGTCCTCCTTGTACAGACTGAGAATGGGGTATTCAATTCTTGAAGGGGTGGGGATATCCGGAAGCTGCTCACTGGTCTCCCCGGCTCCAGGCCACTGCATCAATGGGGTCAGTCAGCATCAGGCAGGGTCAAGATGCGAGTCAACTTACGTTCACACCTGCATACGTGACCCGATTACCGCTCGCATCGAGAATTGAGGAGCCCTCGGTGACAAAGGGTCCGTTGGGCCATGATTGAGCTGCTGATACGGCGCACAGGATGGCTGCCAGCAACGGCCTGAACGCTCGTGGTGACATGATCGATGATGGAGTGAAGACCAATGGTCGATATCAAGCTAGAAGTCTTGGCTTGCAGTGCGGCACTGGCTAACCTTAAATACTGGGGTGGTGGCCGTGGCTTGCGGGGAACTGGGGAACTGGGGAACTGCAGCCGTGCGATCGCTCCTCGCTATGACGTCCCCAAGCAGGTGCATGGGCCACGGAACCTTGGAGTTTTGTGTTGTTGTGAATGGCCAAAGTCCTTGGCAAAAATTATCTGTAACTGTGGTTTATGAGATCGGATGACGGCACGGTCTACGGTACTTAAGTAAGTACTACGAGGTTCAACATGAGATTTTTCGTCATGCAGACTCTAGGAATCCACTAACCCAAAAGCCCTGAAAATGTGTCAAGTGCTACCGACATAGAGCCTCGACGGAACTAGCGCGAATAGAGCAAGCAGGTGCGGCCCAGCCCAGCACCCAAGACCTATCTATAGTGCGAAATAGTGGCCTCTCAGAAGCCAGCGATTTGGGCAAGATTGCAAGCCATAATGTAAAGAATTAAACGGCACGATATCAGTATTCTATCTCTTTTGACGCTGGATCTTCCAGCGTTTCTCACCCATTGTATGAATGGACTGTACGCCTTCAGCATTCATATGGGTTCAGAACGAAACCAGTCCGTTCCATGTTATTATTTGCAAAAACACACGAGCCGCGTTAGGGCATCCGCCGAAGCAGCCACATCGTCTATCCCACCCGATCTCCTATAAGACAGTCTTCTATTAGAGCCTCCTATAGTAGAACCTCCTTGAGACAACCTCCTACATCCTTGAAAAAAAAACCTCCTCGGGGTAGGTATAGATAGACGGTTGACGGAATAAATCCCGTTAAGCCACCTGGGAGCGGCAGGCAATCCATCAGGGCTCTGGTCTGATATCATACAAGTGGTAGTGTCACGCTGACGTTGTATATGATCGATAAATGCGGTTCAATATCCACGTTCTCGAAAGACTAAGTCATGGTGGGGAAAGGGCTGTAGTCTACCAACCGTCTGCGTCCCGCACATGGAATTGACCGAGAAGCTGGTCTCGATACAATAAACTCCAGTCATTACCTGCGTAGATTTTATCGCCCTATCGATGTCCAAAGGTATAATAAAGATCTTGGTTCTTGGGGACCCTCGGAGAGAACAAAATGCACTCACTGTCCGTGAAGATCGCGCTGAGTTCCGCTGGAAGTCAGAGATTCAGGCGCGGGTTTCACTCGTAGAATACCAGACTTGAAGAACACACGAGTAAAATGTGGTTCTCAATTGTAAGTTGACTAGTATTTACAAATGGAATGATCACCAAGAAGAAACGGCGCTGTAGCGGTTGTTGGACAGGGACGTTTGGACAATGTCTTGAACAGGATTTTCCATTTCTTTGTTTGTAACAGGGCTAATACGATTCAAAACGATACACCTTCTGAACTCCAAATAAATTTCTCATTGCCCCGAGGCTTCGTGAGAAGAGGCTGTGCTGAACTGTTTGAACCTCGATTACTCGGGAATTCGTCGACTTTTACTGCTCGTCGTTTATTGGTGAATTAGGCGAAGAAGTAGACAGAGGAGCAGCTGATAATCGAAAGAAGAATATGTGATTTCGAACCAGAGATACCCTAGGGTACTTTCTCATGCGACATGTGACAAATGTTCCCAAGGATTCACAGTAGCTTCTCAGATATGATCACCGCTGGAGATGTCTGGCTGCCATGTGCCTACGGGAATATTCACCGGATCTAGTTCTCTATATTGAAAACGGATACAAGTTGACCGCTCTTATGAAGCGTAAAGAAGACACTTAAAACATGTCTCTACACCATAATTATGCTTGATGTTACCCCCTTGGCCTGCTCACTTGGACATTCTGCCAAAAAGCACAAGCGGTTTGTCCAGATACATATTGACATACGACAACTTCGTACAATCTTGTCCGCCAACAAGCTCGGGATACCTGATCGGGACTCTGATCACCTGTCTCAACACACTGCAACCTCACCGCGCAGTTGGGGAACCTTCTGTTGGGTAACACCAGGCGGGCCGTCGCGGCGCCACTCAGTAAGTTATACCCCATGCATTGCGTGGAATGGTGGGTAGGATCGAAGAACAGCTTGAGAACATGTGGAGGGAGAAGTTGGGGGTAAAGAGTCATTTATGGGCCATCTGGAAGCACAAAGCTCATTGGGGTTTGTTATTTACGTCTTGGGTGCCACGGCTCAGGCTCGACAGTATTTGGCCACATCATGCTAGAGGCAAGTTTTGAATGGCAGCAACTGACAGGAGAAATAGAGCCACGATGCGCTTATTGATGTTTCCGCTCGAACATGAAATACGGAGACAGAACTGCAGGATGCACGGGCGACGCGAATGATCTAGGGTGGCAAGAACTGATGGCATATAACATTACGAGTCGCGGTATTGGCGTATTCTCCGCCTCCGGAAACGCGTACAGCGTGACAGGTATGAATGACTGGCTCACTTGTGGGCACAGCGCCGCCCAGTTCCTGTGGCGATGTGGCGGTTACGCCGGATAATTTTCAAGACTTCCCCGAAACTGTGCCTACTGAACTAGTATGGCCGGGTTAGCCACCTCTAACTGGGTTTAGTGCAAGGCAATACCAAGAGTAAAGACCAATACCAAGATCGAAATGTAACAAAGGAAGCAGATCTGGCGGCAGGCTTGTTGAAATGTCCCCACAAAAGGTAAGCCGGGAAAAAGTTCCGCTTGGAATGGGCCAGAGGGCAAGACGGATTGCGGGCTGAAGGCAGTGCTTGAGCCGAGGGACGACATCGTGAGGCCCCCACGACTTGCGCCGTGGGAGGAGATGAGATTTTGATGGACCGGAAGGGGTTCCGGAGACCCACGCGGCTGGCCCTCGGTTAATATGAATAAATTGGGTTGTCCTTGGCGTAGGACGCACGATGGTGTGTGGTACCATTCGGTGTGCATGACTGTGAAGGAAGAAGTTGCGGTGATCCGGCAGCATCCGAAGATTGTCCAGCCGCAGGGTGTCATGCAATATCGTATCTTGCATCAAAAAGCATCATCCCACTTCGGTCGAAAGCATGTGTCTGGGCCACATTGTCCCAGCGGTTGCGTCACATAGACGGGGACAAACACAGCTACAGCGGAACAAGAGGTCTGTCTCATAGCTGCGCCACGTTCTGATCCGGACCTGAATGTAGGTTCCCGCCCGAGACCCGAGAAGTATAAATGGAGAGAAGGGCAGAAGGTTGTTACTGTTCGCACCGCCTTTCCGTAGCTAAGGCGCCAAGTGGCAGCAATATTGCCAAATCAGCGTCAAGCACTCTTGTGGAAGCTTATTCCAACTAAGCAGTCCTAGACGACCTTGCTGTCACGAGGACTCTGGCCGTGCAGCTTTCTTGCATCCAAAATGATGGACAGGGGCAATTGTGCAAGCCTGAATACGACCCTGACAGTGCTGGGCGGCTATTTGTAGCTTAGTCTCTGGACCTTGGGGGCGGCTACATGCATCTAGTTCCTATCTTCCTCGGCGAGGCATCTCCGTGTGTCTGGATGTGGCCATGACCCCGGCCAACTAGCCCGGTATCGCCCCAGACCTTGAGAGCCTCATCAGACTTGTTAAGCTTAATTCATCATCTGGTCCTACCCAGTCCACACTACCTCTGGTCTAGCGCCCGTTGGAGGGGTGGCATGGTCAGCTTCAACGAGCTGCCCAGATTCACTCCTGCATGGCTTATTGTGCAAGTCTACGAGGTATTTCCGGAACCTGCTGGTGATCACAACCCCGGCATTGCCCAGCGGTCTCGCCTCGACCAAGATCTTCGTCCCGAGGATCTAGACAGATTCCTCCACGGCGCATGTCATTCCTATCAACAACAATGATCAGACTACTTGCTGCAGTAAGAAGCAAGTCTGGGAGATGCGTGCCGAGAAGCAGTGGCCAGACTTTCCAGCAGAACCCAGGAACACTCCGTGTGACCCCTAGAAAACACTAGCTTCCCTTTCCAACCACACTCCACGGCCCGTGAACCGTCATTACTTGTCTCATTTCAGGAAAGACTAGGGATGAAGGGTCACGATGATCCCGCCCCCGTGGGGCCCCGCGCGAAGACCTTGATAGCGCCGCCCTGAGCTCCGGGCCGTGGCAAGTTCACGAAGGCATTGGCATCTTAGGCTATGTGAGTTCTCCGGAATATACCTCCGCCTCTCAACTCGACATGTGGTGTCTCGAGATTCTTATAAAAGAGTGTTTGTCCAGCTCCAAATGTCCCAAGGGTCTTGTCAGTCTGATCACCAAGTTCCAGCTTCTACTCCTTGACCATCCTCACCCCAGCACTTCACCATGTACCGCGAACTTGCCGGTATCTCGGCCCTCGTGGCCACTGTCTCGGCTCAGGCAGCCTGTAGCCTGACGGCGGAGACTCATCCTTCCCTGACCTGGGCCAAGTGTGCAGCGGGCGGTACCTGCACCAACGTTCAGGGTTCAGTTACAATTGATGCGAACTGGAGATGGGTTCACAGTACCTCTGGGTATACCAACTGCTACACTGGTGAGCCATGAACAGCGTCTACACACTGTGGACTTCCCTGAGCCCGGAGGATGGTCTGAAGATACACAGGACCGACTGACCATGAATAATGCAGGAAACCAATGGAATGCAACCGTTTGCTCAGACAACAAAGCTTGCGCGGCCAACTGCTGTGTGGATGGATCAGACTACAGCGGCACATACGGCATCACCACGACAGGAAACGCCTTGAATCTCAAGTTCGTCACCAAGGGTTCCTCTACAAACATTGGCTCTCGGACCTATCTCATGGAGTCAGACACCAAGTACCAGATGTTCACACTACTCGGCAATGAATTCACCTTCGATGTTGATGTGAGCAACCTGCCTTGTGGCTTGAACGGTGCTCTGTACTTCGTGTCCATGGACCAAGATGGCGGTGCTTCTAAGTACCCCACCAACAAAGCCGGTGCTAAATATGGTACTGGGTACTGTGACTCTCAGTGCCCTCGGGACCTGAAGTTCATCAACGGTGAAGTGAGCTTGCTCTCGAAGCACCCTAATTTCCACGGGGGATACATTTTCTGACTTGAATCTAGGCCAATGCTGAGGGCTGGAGCGCGTCAACCAACGACCCCAATGCGGGCCATGGTAACTATGGCTCATGCTGCTGTTCGTGCATCCCCGTCTGTTGTCTATCGCAGTGTGGGCGACTAACTCGTACTAGCCGAGATGGATATCTGGGAGGCCAACTCGATTAGCACGGCATATACGCCGCATCCATGCGGAACAGTCGGGCAGGACCGATGCGAGGGTGATAACTGTGGAGGCACATTCGCCACCGACAGATATGCCGGAACCTGTGATCCCGATGGATGTGACTTCAACTCCTACCGTCAGCAGAACACCACCTTCTATGTAAGCCGATGCCCTTCACTGTCAAAGAAAATCGTAGAGTTTGTCACTAATTCGGAATATTGCAGGGCCCCGGCTCCGGATTCACCCTCGACACAAAGCAGAAGCTCACCGTGGTCACGCAGTTCCTCAAGGGCAGCGACGGCAACCTGGGCGAGATCAAGCGGTTTTACGTCCAGAATGGCAAGGTCTTTGAGAACTCGCAGTCCAACGTCGCCGGCAACCCGGGCAACTCTATCACCGCCGACTACTGCACTGCACAGAAGAAGGCTTTCGGCGATACCGACATCTTCGCCCAGAAGGGAGGTCTCGCCCAGATGGGCAAGGCCGTCGCAGCCCCCATGGTGCTCGTGCTCTCGGTCTGGGACGACGTAAGTATCCCGTTCTGAACATCCACTCCATCTTGCGCGGCGAATCGTAAGCTGACCAAATATGCCTTTAGCACGCGGTCAACATGCTCTGGCTTGACTCCACCTTCCCAGTCGACAAGGCCGGCTCCCCGGGTGCCGCCCGCGGCTCCTGCCCGACCACCTCCGGTGTCCCGGCTGAGATCGAGGCCTCGGCCCCCAACTCCAACGTGATTTACTCAAACATCAAGTTCGGACCGATTGGCTCGACCTTCAACGCCCCGGGTGGCGGCAGCGGCGGCTCCTCGTCCAGCACGACCAGGTCGTCCACCACAATCACCACCTCCACCCGGACCACCTCGACCGCTGCCAACCCGACCACCTCGTCGCCAGGTACCAACTGCGCGGCCAAGTGGGGCCAGTGCGGTGGACAGGACTGGAAGGGTGCTACCTGCTGTGCCTCTGGCAGCACTTGCCAGGTCAGCAACCAGTACTACTCTCAGTGCCTGTAAGCTGCAGGCCGGACAAGTGGTCAAGGCAGGAAAAGGATTCCCAAATTTCCATTCACTCGCACATAGGGCCTTGATAGAGGAAGACCGTAACCTGTTCTCCTTTGAAAACATGATAGGCGGGTTTGAGCATTAGTTAAAGACGGAATTCGGTCATTTACAAATAGGCGCCAACGTATATACTTCGCCATTTAAATTCTGGTAGATATTACAATTCATCATTTATCCATTGCTCACAAGTATCCACCCCTGGCATCAGACATATTGAATCCCATGCCTCTTCGTTCTGCTACTGTGAAAGTGCATAACCTATCCTATCTGTCATGGAATTAACCTATGATGCTAGATATGTAGAAAAGGAGGTGTCTCAAATTGGAAGATGCGCCATCCGGCCCCGTGTAATATCACTGGCTTTGGTATTGACAGTGTCGGTACTGGTCATTGGTACTGCTCGCTGAATTTACTGCTCCCCACAAGCGGCTGTCCCAGCCGCCACGGGTCCTCGGTATCTTAGAATTTTCCAACTGCATATTTATTCCTCGTAATGTAACCGGGTTGCTCCAGACAGTCACTGCTCGGAGAGCCTCTGCTGCCACTACGCCCATCGGTTTCTGCGAGTCACCGCCACAACCATTACCGTTTCAGCCACGAATCCCACCAATAGCATAAGTCGTGGGTTCGTTTTGAATCGTATGAACTCGTATGGTCCCTTGCGGCCACAGCCTCGTGCCGCACATACAAGGCGAGGGAGCATCGCCCCTCACTAATAGCATAACCACTTCTTCTCATTGCCTAGGATATCGTAGCTTGTTGGTTGAATTTATGTATGTAAGAGTCATGTTTGTGTGTGTAGGTTACTTGATCAGTTGGCGTGACGAGCGGCGGCTTCTCGAATCTCGTTGATACCATCTACCGAATCACTCTGGTAGATTACTTTTTGCCCGAGTGTGTGACTGCCATCAAGCGAATTCGATCTCGTAGTTAGTTTCCGAACAGTAACTGGTCCGAGTCGCAAGATTGGAATCTCATTCACAAGGCATAGCCATTGCATGCGTGCTCATTTTTAGGACGCGCAAAGGCGCGACAGAGTGTTTTCCCAGAAAACAAAGCATGCAGCTCTCCGATAACTTACCATTAACTTGAATCCGAATCCGTTCCTTCCAATTATGATGCGTATCAAAGGATATGGAAATGAACTCCATTTCATCGCAACTGAAAGCACATCATACAACACTGCCTTCCAACACTCGACATCTGTGTTGATACAGAGGTCGTCGGTACCCTTCAAGCCATCTGTCTGAACAAAGAAAAGGAAATTGCTACCACGAGCGGCTCGACTCATCCATCACGTCGCTCTGCAAAATGGACCTACGGGGCATACGCAGAGGGACTGCATCGCAAGTCTGCCCTGCTTGCAGAGTCTCTCGACCCTTGCAAGCCTTCATGCATGGAGAGGAGCGAGTCTACAAGGTGTGCACAAACTGTTTCACTTCCGGTCAAGCGTCTTGGGTCATGCCCAAGTGTTCTGCTACCCCTTTGCTGGTTTACATTCTGGCAGCAATTAGCTTCCTCGTCGTCGCTGTTGCGGCTGTTACCGTCATTCCCTTCCTGCTCTTCGGCGACTTCGAGTTCGGCAACTTCAATGTCAACGCGACGGCAGCCTTCTGGTCTCTTTTTGTTTTTCGCTACTTTCGACTTGCTGTCAACATTTTCAGTTATCTCATACTGTACAAACCGAGTCTCATACCGGCCAATCCGTCGCACACCTCGAGAGACGTGTCTGTACTCATTCCGACCATCGAGAACAACGAAGCATTCATCAACTGCGCGCGGTCTATCTGTGCAAACGACCCTGCCTACTTATTCATAATCACTGTAGGCAACGAGATGCGTGCCAGCATTGAAAACTCGATGCAACAACTTCGCATTGCATTTCCCACGGTTAACATACAGGTTCACAACACCGATGTTGCGAACAAGCGCCGCCAGATTGATACCGTCATTCCGTTGATCCAAACGCGACTGACAAGCATGGTAGATGCCAACGTCATCTGGGGCCCCCGATTTCTCAGATCAGCCCTGGCCCCACTCGAGGACCGCAACATTTGTCTCGTCGGCACCAACAAGCGTGTACGACGGGTCCGCCACGCCGGCTGGTTTGCCTCATTCTGGAACTTCATCGGCTGCCTGTATCTTGAGCGCCACAACTTCGAATGTCGGGCCCAGAACGCAATCAGCGGCGAGGTGTTTGTCATCTCCGGCCGCACCAACGTGATCCGCACGGCCATTATCCAAGACCCGAAATTCAGAACCGGTTACCTGAACGAGCGGTTTTTCCTGGGGAGATTTGGTCCTCTGGCGGCGGACGACGACAATTTCATCGTGCGTTGGATTCTGAAGCAGGGCGGCGGCATCAAGTTCCAATACGATGACGATGCCCGCATCGATATCGCCCCCATCGGCGAGTTCCCGCGCTTCTTGGGCCAGTGCCTCCGCTGGTCAAGGACGACATGGAGATCCAGTCCGGCCGCTCTCAAAATCCCACACGTATGGATCAGCCAACCATACTCTGTGTACTCGATTTACCTGACGTCCTTCTTCAACTTCGCCCTTCTCATTGATCCGGTGTTGGTGTACCTTTTGGGTCATACCGAATACGTACATGAGTCAAACTGGACATCGATGTGGCTGTTGGTCATCTGGATCCTCTGTACCAAGATGGTGAAGCTGATCACGTACTTTTACCGTGAGCGACGGGATCTGCTGTTCTTCCCATTCTACATCCTGTTCGCCTACTACCATAGCTGGATCAAACTGCGCGCCCTTCTGACATTCTGGGACGTGGCATGGACTGGCCGTAACATTGTTGTTGATAAGCCACTAGGATGATGGAGTTGAATGGTAGCAGCAGTCGAAGTTGCTAGGCTAGACCTCTCGTCAAGGACGTCTTGGAGCCATGGGAGGTACGCACAGGCAGACCCTTTGCACATGATGAAGACATCTGGAGGGACAGAGCTACAGTCGGGGATAGCCAATCAATGGCCAAATGACGTGCAATGTTCTTGTCTGATCGACCCCGTCTGTGCTCAAGTTGATCTCATCTGGGAAGAAGGGTCTCAGAAAGCAAAAGATTCCACCCTTCATTTGTACATACGTCAATGGATATGCGGTGCCTCTGAACATGTGATAAACGTGACAAGTAACGCTTGTGCATTAAACAGTAGTGTCATATCTGACCGCCAAGGTTCGCCGCAGTCCAAAGCTTTTTCCCAGGTACAGTAAAGGTAGTTTCCGTGTTTGAGCGGAATAATAAGTAGGTGAAATCCTTAGGTACTAGAGCTCCAGGGCTCTTTTCCGGTTTGGTAGGCCCAGGGGGGCTTTGCTTCCCAGGAGGACAGAGAAATAAGCGAGTGAAACCCAGGGCTTTTCTTCAGAGATTTTCAAAGTTTTTGATTTCCCATCAGTTTTCAAGAACAATTGGTTTTCGGAATTCTTGGGACACGAGCTTAATTGGTCTTGGGTGCTGTTGGCAGAATCTTGTCCAACACAGCGAAGACGGCTTCCGGACCTTTGTGGAGAGCTTGGCCATCAACAACCCGGGCTGGGCCACCGCTCTTCGACATGACGACGAGTTGTGGAACTCCCTGGATGCCCAGCTTGTCAAGGTCGCGCTGTGTGTGCTCGATACGTTGCAGCGCTCGAGCTTTGAGCGCCTCATCATTCACCAGTCTCTTTTCAAATTCAGACTGGTCGAGGCCAAGCCCTGACGCAGCGGCGACCTTTGCGACCTCGGCCGGTTTTGAAGTATCCCGTCCCTCCACGTAGCGGGCAATCTGAAGCTGATGGAGAAGACGTGGTTCCAGAGCTCGGTCGATCTCTGAGACGGCGACCAGTGCCAGCGTCGCGGGCCAGGAGTCGAAGATGCCGTTCGGAGCGAGCAAGACGCTTTTGCGGTATTCCTGGGTGAAGCGCTGTCCGGTCAGTTGCTGTATGGTCTGGTCGTTGCGCCAGGCCATATCCGCCATGGACGAGACGGGAAATCCGCTCGTGAACAAGCCTGACGGCCGCATGCGGAGCAAGTCTCGATACCGCGCGGCAAGGCCCTCGAGGGCTGGAGCGCTCGCATAGCACCAGCCGCAGAGCGGGTCGAAGAAGTAGTGAAGCTCAACGGCGTCCGCCATGTCGGCTGCTGAAGAGTAGTGGCGATTGCGAGAAACAGAGACAAGATTTCCCCAGGTACCTGAAGAGCGCGGGATAGAGGTCACGGTGTTCCACAAACGCGCCCTTATATTCACGAATGTCGGCAAGCCGCACTGACTCATACGTGGCTGTAATAAATGAGGTGAGAGGTGATTACGCACGCCAGTGGGGCTGCAGACTGGACGTACGACTTCAGGAGTGATGGATCCAGCAACGGCAGGTCAGAAAAATTCGGACATGGCTCATGCGACGGCGTCTCGTAATGCACCAAAATATGTAGTCGGGGGCTTGATCATCGACCGACGCCAAGAATGGTCCGAGTCCGACTCATTGGCCGGCGAGTGACGGGCGAACGGCCGCAAAATACCCTAGGGTGCCGACACGACCCACCTGGTGGACGGCAGCGCGCGGAAGCCCCTGCAGACGCGCGCGCTGTGTAGGTCCTTTTCAGCCTTATGTACTCCAGGGAGCCAATCTGTCCACCTTGTGCACCACAGCATCAATCAGTGCTTGATCAAGGGGCGGATGCGATCTAGACCGGTTGGGAATTCAACGTAGTAATTACCAGGGTAGTGCCACACCTTGAATGGGCGTCACATCGCCAATTTATTGAAAAGCTGTGACATTTGCCTCAAGTGCTGTCCTATCGCTGACGACCAGGGCAACTCGTCGTCCTTGCCGCACCTCAGGCAAGAAACTCAGAATGCGCATTTCAAACATTGCCCATTATCAGCCACATGCAGAAAGATCGAGCATGTGAGTTTGGACCCACTCGGAGCGTTTTCGTGTAAGTGAATGGTAAGGGGACATCTGAGAGGACGAGTTGTAGGGTTGAACCCTTGCCGAGGTTTGGATTTCCCAGACTACCGCAGATATCTGTCCGTCTCACCAGCTCTCCGTCGAAAGCTGAATTGCCAAACCAACCACAAGCCGGGTTTGAAATGGCCATCGAGGTCACCTTGCCGTCCCCCCACGCGGCGCAGGACGGGGCAAAGACCCGCGAGTGCCTCATCTACTTCCTCACCGGCAACCCCGGGCTCATTGACTACTACGAGCCCTTCCTGCGGTTCCTGCGCAGCCACCTGGACGCAATAGAGGCCAAGCGCCAGTACAAGGTAGCCTTCCACATCCACGGCCGCAACCTCGCAGGCTTCGACGACAACGACCATGACACCCCCTTCAACACGGGCTCCAACCCGCCGCACAACGTGGAGCACCAGCTGCAGACCTGCGCCAAGCACCTGGCCGCCGCCAACGCCGTCCCCGCCGGGAGGCCCCGGGCAGGCCAGCCCTTCGACGACGTCGTGCTGATGGGCCACTCCCTGGGGACATACCTGGCCCTGGAGCTGTTCCACCGGCACATGCACGACCCGAGCCTCAACCCGGACCTGCACCTGCGGTCGGGCGTCCTGCTCTTCGCCACCGTCGCCCACCTCGCCCGGTCGCCCAAGGGCGTGCAGCTCAACCTGCTGCGGCGGATCCCCGTCGTGGGCACGTACGCGCCGCTCGTCGCCAACAGGGTGACGTCCCTGCTGCCGCACGCGCTGCTGCGCTTCGTCACGTCGCGCCTGCTGGGCATGGACCCGCACGCCGCCGCCACGACGGTGCGGTTCCTGGCCAGCCGCGACGGGGTGCACCAGGCGCTGTACCTGGGCATGGACGAGATGACCTGCATCGCCGAGGAGGCCTGGGCCGAGGAGCTGTGGGAGATCGCCGACGAGGCTGTTGCGCACGGGACTGATGTGCCCAAGTTCTACATCTTCTTTGGGAAGAATGACCACTGGGTTGCGAACAAGACCCGGGATGAGTTCATCGTCCGGAGGGAGGAGCATGCTACGCGCCAAGACGCGCCGAAGCATAAGAGGGCCCGGACGAGGATCGAGATTGACGAGGGGAATTTGCCTCATGACTTTTGTATTAGTAAGTACTATTTCCTTCGGGCCCCGGCAGCTTTAACGCGGGCTATCTCCCATGGAGCGTCCGACCATTGTGTGGCCATTCTGCTAACCTCCACCCTAGCAACAAAAGACAGCGAGACGGTTGCTGAGAAGGTTGGCGTCTGGTTTGACGAGATTGCTGAGCACTTGTGATCGGTCTGGGTGACTGATGAACGGAAGGGCTGGAGCCCACACCTTTGGTTGGCGTTATGGTAGGCTATAGAAAGATACAAGGATTCCCGTACACAACAACTGCAATGTCATTCACAACCGCGATAATCTTTATTTGGGAAAGGGTTCAAGGGTGAGGGAACGGTATAGAGCTTTATATAATATACTGCGGAAACAACTCAGGCTTGGGCTCGGGGACGCTCGCATCAATTGGGATACTTTTGCGTGGAAGCGCAATACACCTCTACGAGAAAGTCCGGTGACGGCATGTAAAAGAGGACTCCTCAGAAAATTCTCTTCAATTGGGTAGCTCTCGCCATCCTACGAGCCCTCGGCGTCGTTATTCTGGCCCTGGCCTCCATAGTACCGGCTGTGCACTTGACATCTGAAACTGTGAGACCGAGTCCTGCGTGCCATCATCTTCGCAAGCAGTGGAGCCCGGCACAAACCCGGCCCTTCGCTGTAGAACACACTACCTCTGCTCGAGTGCCCACAACGCCGCCACAGTGTCTATTCCCCTAACTCTTATAAAGAGCAGCACTTATGTATATGTGGGATACTCATCGGATAAAATCAGTGGGGTCAACATCCTATGAGAAATCCTACAGGACAGCCTCTTAGATGATAATCTATTAGAGGAGAGCCTCGCAAGCTCCCTCAGAGCCACCTGACACAAGGCAATACACCAGAGGGAAGCAAGATGGAAGCGCTCTATTATGACATTATATAACATTTTGAAGATGTTGCAGTGTTACGGTAATAGTGCACGTGACATGTCTGCCGCTGGAGACTCGTCACAGTCCGTTGCTGGCACAGCTAAAGACACCTCCCGACGAGGGATCAAAGTCCAGCAATATGCTCTCGACACTGGCGTAGGTGCCGGGCCCCAGGAACAAGATGCCCGTGAGGATGATGAGGATGTTCAGGCCCGCCTCCGCGTAGCCCCAGATGCCGCGCTGCTTCATGAGCGCCAGGCTGCCGTCGACCTTGCGCATGCGGAAGTAGGCGACGCCCCAGAAGATGAAGCCGAAGAAGCTGTCGAACAAGGCGGACATGAGGGAGAGGACTGGCGTTTGAATGTCAGTACTGGTTTTCTTCTTGCGTCTGGGGAATCAGGGAAGATCTTACGGTCTGAGAAGAAGGGGATTATCTGCGAGATGATGAATGCGACGACCCAGGTGGCCACTTAACGTCTTGTTAGCATCTGATCTTCCTTGGTTCAGCGACAAGCAACTCTGTAGACTTACAAAGAATGGCGGCCCAGGTGGCCCAGCCGATGACGGTGTGCTCGTTCTTGTGGCGAGAGTTTTGGAAGATGCGGAAGAAGACAAATCGGGCCGAGACGGACGCGTACAGGACGCCGAGGAAGATCAGGGTCGGGATCATGAAGGAGAAGGAGACCTTTTTGTAGACATTCTCGAGAGAGCCAAATGCTGGCGCGGTCATGTACTGGTTGCCGGTGTAAACATAGATGATGGAACCGACGAGGCCAAACACGACGATCTCGGCGATTGTGCAGGCCCAAAGTGCCTTGGGGAAGTCTCTGCGGCTTGATGTCAGCTGTTTAAAGTCAAAATGTTTGGGGTGGATTTCCCATACCTTGGCTCCTTCATCTCCGCGATGAAACTGGGCAGAGTGATCTGGCCGATGAAGGTGTAGCTGATATTCAGGAAGGCGCTCATGCCAGCGACGAAAGTGGTCCCAGCAACCGGCAAGGCAGTCCAGAGAGGATCGCCTCCGACAGCATCCTTACCGGCAGCGGTGGTGTAGGAGGGCCGGGGATCGTACCCGGCCGGGTGTGGCTCGACTCCTGCGAAGATGGTGGCCAGCAGCACTGAGACGAAGGTGAAGGCTGCGGAAGCGGCGCCAAGCTTGGAGAGGGCCTCGAATGTTCGGGGCAGGCTGCAGATCCAGCAGAGGATGAACATAATGACCGAATAACTGACAGTCCGGCAGGCAACATTGTCATCGGCGGCGGTCATGGTGTTGAGGTACTTTGCGCCGACAAGCACGTGCAGCCCTTGGATGAACTGAGTGGGGTTTAGTTTTGAAACAAGGAGAACTGGCTCGGAGAGCACCGGCGCGGAGTTGGAAGTGAAGAGCCTACAGTGTTGTTGAGCAGGAACATGACAGCAGTGAACCACCATGCCCATTTTTGGTTCCAGAAAATCATCTGGCCGATATCACAAACATCACGAACCTCGGGATGGCGCAGACAAAATTCCCAGAGGATCAGAGACCTGTAGCGCTTGTCAGAAACTGGGGTGAATTCGTGGACGCAGACGACTTACGTATAGAGCACAAGCATAGACACCACGACGGTCAGGAGCAGGCTGGATGTAAGTCAGTAAGGGAAAGGCCTCGGTGGCTGCAGAGATCAAGGCAACTCACCCGGGGAAAAGTCCCAGTATGCTATACGACCAAGGAAAGCTCATGATGGCCTGTTACATGAGTCAGCAGGTGCGCGCGTGGGTGGGCGTATATGTAGAGCAGCATACCAGACATATATACTCTGAGAAGAGTAGGGCAGCAGTCTACGGACACAATTAGCAAAAAAGACGGGCGGATGAGGGCGGCTCGAGATCTCGGGCATACCATCTGCCAACTACAGCTCCGGTACTGGATGTCAGCGCCCTGCTCGGCCTCCTTCTGGCGGTGCAGGATGGCGCTGGCGCTGTCGTCGGAGTCGTCGGCGGCGAGGGTGATGCTGTCGAGGACGGGCCCGATGCGAGGGCCGACGGTGGTCTTGGGCCCGCCGAACCACTGGGCGAGGCCTTTCGGGGCGGCGGCCTCGACGTCGACGTCGGTCGGGTCGCCATGACCCTTGCGCTCGGGAGACAGGCCGCGGGGGGAGTCTTTTTCTGATAGTTTCCCCGACATGTTGGCGGTTGTGGTGGTGGTATAGGATATGCGAGGAAGAAGGAGGAAGAAGAAGAATAGGGCTAATAAGCACGAGTGCAGTCGATAAGTTTTAGGCCCGAATGAGAGAGGAGAAGCGGCACGGGGATGAGATGAGCATGCATGGACATGGGTGGTGGGATGGCGGTGGCACCAAGGATCTGGTAACTGCAGGAGGCAATGTGACGCTGGCTGGGGGTGAAGGTCAAAAGTAGACTACCACAGCAGTGGTATTGTCGATGGGATAAAATACTTGGTACGTAGGTAGAAAAAGAATGTGGGGGGGGGGGGGCCAGAGGGCGGTCTGTTTGTACGCTTGACGCTTGTTCCACGCTTGTGCGAGGCCATCCCAAAGCATCCATTTTCTTGTTGGAATCCGGGGGGCAGTTGAGAGGTATTGCACGATGCTGACCGCGATTGACCAGTCTGTCTGCCTGCCTGCCTGCTAAGGCTGTTTGGCCGTCAGGCTGTCTGTGCTAGTAGGAGCAAGTAGCTACTCGAGGACCTAGGTAGATCTGCACCACATGTTGGTGGCGAGGTACATGGGCTGTTCCTGGTATCTGCTAACAAAGTTGGACTTGGACCCCACTCGCCACCGAGCAATGTTCCGTCGCACTGGTTCAGCAAGAAGCCGTCGTGCTGGACTGGAGACGGACGAGAACCGGCGCGAGGAGACCCTTGCCCTGGCTAGAACCAATGCATGTAATGTCCATCATCCATGAATGAAAGACTGACGGATTGATTGATTGATTGACGTTGTGCAGCAGCAACAGCAGCAGTCAATCGGTCACAACAAAAAAACCAAGACGGCAATTCGACAGCCAAGAATGGCCATCTCAGACCAAGCTCCGTCAAGCTTTTCATCAGCGCGGAAGCGAGGAACACAACGTGCAGCCATTCTCTTGGCCCTCGACGCCGCCTGGAATGTGATTGATGATGGGGCGAGTGTGGAGGGGCAAGAGGGGGGACCAGGGCCCGCGCCGCTTGCTGACCTTGCTCCACAGGCTCCACCACCGAACCAGCTCCACCACTCCACACTCGCACACGCGCCAAGCCACACCAAAGGAGCGCCACACCAGGCCCTGCAGGCCTACCGGGACACCAGCGACCACTTCAAGTTGAGCTGACAACAGCCTACGGATAATCCCCGTGACGTCAAGGCAGAAGCGCCATCCCTCCCGGCTGCCCCCGAGGACTTTATATTAGCGGACCGTCGCACGCTGCACAGCCTGCCAGCCTGCCAGTCCTGCTGCAGCTGGTCGGCGGCCCCGTGCGCGGGTGTCGGCCTTGCGTCGTCCAACTTGCAGATTGCGTGCTTGAAAGACCGGTTCGGGCGGCCATCAATGCTGGGGCTTCATTTTAACAACCGACTGTTTGGGCCTGACTTCAAGTCAGTCCTATCGTCCAAGACAGGGTAACCCTTCCCGAATGCTCACGCACTTTCAGATGTCGCACGTGGCCAGTGATGATGTCTGGGCTCGTGGCACACAAGGACGACCAAGACTGCCCCTCCAAAAAGCACTGACTGTATTCGAGAAACCATATGCAATGATCAGTATCATACCACAGTACTTCACAATGGCAGCACCACTTGGGGGTACGAGCCCCTATTTCCGTGACTTTACTATACTGTGCGGCTGGAATCATTTGTCAAAGAAAGGTGTGCCTTAGCTAGGGCGTGACCAGGTCGAGACTCAGTCGCCAAAAGGATCATTACCTGAGGCAAAAAGCCAACAATAAACCCGGCTAGGACGCGGGACAGGGTGACACGACCACCTACCCTCGTCCTCTCTGGCCAACTGTCCCAGCGCGGGGAATACGTCGTGTAAACACTTTGATGAGAAATTAAATTCGTCGTCCAGATTACTGAGGAACTTTATGGCCATGTGTGTATATGTGTAGTTACCTAGGTATTCATGTGGTACTTTCTTTTAAAAGATCCGTTCCGATGGACCGGAACCGGACAAGGCTGCGGAGCTCCCTCTGCGTCTTTGTCAATCTACCATACATACCTGGGTAGCACTTCTTCAACCACACAGCGCGAGGAACCTGTTGACTTGGACAATCGGCCGTCGGCTCCACCACATGTGCATGATCACAACATTTGTTCGGTATTACGTCTGAAATTTGTCAACAATGGCAGCACCACAGAACAACTTGAACCTGGCGGCAATAGGAACGAAGGCCCACTTGCTCTCAGAATCGCAAGCATATTCCGCGCAAAAGTTCCACTATTATAGGAATGGGATTCCTGGCTACGAATTGACCTATTGGGATATCCAGAACGGGTTTCTCAATGGAGATCCTGTGCTGACCCAACGATGGAATGACATTCAAGCTCGAAACGGTTTAAATCCACCACCAGTTCCGGCCTTGGCTCGATTCCAATTCACCGCGAACCACAGGGACCGGCTTCGTACGATTGCCGTCAACAATCGGCTCCCCCTCAGGGCAATGGTTGCTCCGCCGAATGCCCCGATCGATCGTCGAGCACGCCAGACGGTGGCGCAAGAGTACACCACTCTCTACCCGCGGATGCGTGCTACTTTTCGCTACTTCAAGTGTCTTGGATGGGGAGGCGAAGGTATCACTTCTCTCTGGAGGTATTCGCCGGGGCCAGGCCAAAACCACATGGTGGTGATGAAGATGTCGACATCGGAAAAGACTATTCAGGTGCCTAACGCGAGGCGACGTGTTATTGACACAGAACATATTGACAAGGAGAGGAAAATGATATCCGTGAGTCAGGATTGAGTAGCAGATTAGCCCCAAATGCTGAAACAGTTGTTGCCCTTCAGCAACTCGGACGTGCCCCACATATAGTCCAGCGCTTCTACACGGCACATCATCCTAGAAATATAAATCCCAACAATGCCAGGCGGTCTGCTCGTCGAGCCCAGGCCGTGGCAATGATGGCCCAAGCAGTTGATAGTCAATACGGGTCTAGCTACTTCTTCATGGAATATTGCAAACTCGGCGATTTGGAGGCTCAACTTCGGAGAGCAGCCAGAGATGGGCCGAACGGGAGGGAGAGATATTTGCCAGAACCTGTCCTCTGGCGCTTCTTCGACTGTCTGGTCAAGGGTGCCATGGCGATGGAAGAGCCCCCAATGCAGAATACAGTCTCGCAGACTTTACCAACAGACTCGCGAGGAGATTTCCTCCCTGAGCAGATTACTGCCAACAACCAGGGACGTGAAGGCATAGTGCATATGGACCTAGTAAGTTGGGATTTGCGTCGATGTTTGCTAAGCAACAAAGTCTTATTTTACTCGACACTATGGATCACTCCCTTTTCCACTTCTGCTCCTGAAACACCAGCGAGCGCTCGTCATGCCCCGGAAATTCCGAACAAGGCTAATATGACATTTTAGGACACATCAAATGGTATGGCTCCATAATTCCTCACCAAAACTATGATTTGTCCGAGTCCCATCAATGATAGACATGATTACACCGTTCCCTAACAAGCACCTAGTCTTCATCTATGGCTATGATCCGCTGACTCTACCCACACCTCTCGTTCCTGGGCATCAAAACCTCCCTCGCTTACAGGCAAGCAATCTTCTCGGCCTTCCCCCGTTAATCTGAAGGGAAGATTCTAACCAAAGGTCATCCAGATTGCGGACTTTGGACTGGCCATGGACGAAGCCACGGTGTTCGAGTACGCGCGCCACCCAGCATTAGGACATCCATTCGCGCCTAACCCTTTAACGACTGATGAATATGATCGCCGCATCGAGAGGTGGAGCGCGAGACACCTGGGCAAATGGTTCAGCACACTTCCGGTAAGACAAGTACCGAGCCCTCTTTTTTTCTTTCTTTTTTTTTTTTTTTTTTCAGGACTGGCCCACGCGCTAATGTGGAAATTGCGCCTCTAGGAACAATTTGCCAAAGATTGGGATCTGGTTCCTCGCTATGAAGACCCTTCTGATACCCATTCCGCTTCGAACTGGCCGCCCCCCTGGATGCCGCCGTGGGGACCACCGCCGCCGATCACATCTGGTCCTGCGAGGTACTCTGCCGCGTCAAATGTGTGGCACATAGGACTGGTCTGCCATTCCCCTCCCTGATCAATCTCCTTGTTCGCGGGACTTGTTTCGCAGGGCTGACGTCGCACGAACAAACTAGATCATAAAAACTGCCTTGACACTGTTGGACCCGGACATGCCGCCCTACGCAGGGAGGATGACAAGCGCAGAGCCCCCAAATGTAACGCCTACTCAAGAGCGCTGGACATACGGGTGGTCGCTCCTGGACCCCCTCGAGCCGTGGGCTACCAATAATATGTACTCGCAGGCGCTGCGGGACGTCGTGGCGGAGTGTCTCATGGCAAAACAGGAACACCGCCCTACCCTGAACAATTTACAACAAAGGATTACCCAGCAGCTGGCCATGGCGGCTAACCAAGTGATCCCACAATACTGGACAAATACGTTCTTTCGTGAACCACGACGACCGAGGCAGCCGCCCCCCGACACAGCGGACGTCGACACTATAGATCCATTCTGGGACTATGAGAATGCCGAAGCCCTGCAATGATATGTGCCTGGAGGCTGGGGCGGCGCATCGCCAAAAGCAGGCAAGCAAGATAGGGTAGTAAAGCCGGAGGCTGGAGCAAATGGTTTATCGGTTATATTCTACGCCTTTCATTTATTGGGCATAAATAAGACGCTATAACGAGCAGTGTGTATATATGTATTGGAACAATTGATGAGCCTTTTGCACAATTGAAGTGTCTCAGCAAATTATAAGCCCGTAATGGCTTTGTGCCAACTTCCAATTTTCACAGTAGCATTTTCACAGTGGCAAAATCATGTCTTCGCCTTGTAATCGTGTCCATTCAAGAGAGGATAAACTATCATATTACCTATCTAGGTAAGTATCCAGATAGGTAGGTTGATAACCCGTGTGAGAGATGCGTGGGCCGTCGTAGCCACTCAAGCTGTTTTGAGAAGTCGCAGTACATAAGTGCTACTATCTCCACATGCGCAGTATGGAAACATGGCCTATGGTGTCCTTGGCTGTATGCACTGAAAACTGATAACGGAATGGGGTGGTGTGGCGCCCGGTAATACGAACACTGCCAGTGTCTGTGGCCTCTGAGTGGTGCCCCTCCTTTCCGAGTCTTGTGAAATAAGCGACATCAGCTTACCCGAGTCTTTGCTCACTTCCGGACCATCGCAACCCAGGGTTTCAAGAAGCATTTTTCTTCCAGACAGAAACGCCATAAAAGACACGAAAAGGAAAGCAAAATGAATGATGTTCGTGATCTTCCAGTCGAGCCCACCTTTGCGAACAATCGGTCACGCGGATCCTCGAGAAGCACGTCAACTGCGCCTTCCACTCCTGGCCCCGCAGCGAGACACAGGGGACTCTCGATATCGCTTACACCATGGGGTTCCAGACTGCCTGCGTACGAGCAGCGTGTCCTCAACTCACCCTATCTTTGCGAAGCATGTTCATCTATTCTCACCATTGATGGCTTGGAGATTAATAGACCGTACGCTCATCATAGCACCCTTCAAAGTCTTTTGACTGCACATCAAATGGGTTGCAATCTGTGCAGACTCTCTCTTTTCGAAGGGACGCGTATCAAATACTGGGTGGGCCTGGATGAAGGGGCGCTACCAAAAACCATGCCTGTGGACCGAGACCGCGAGATAGTCGAGAACACCTCCTCTCCAGTCGAAAATAAAAGGCGTAAAATTGAAGAGTATTGGGAGTTTAGCGATGACCGGGAGCCCTTGGTATCTTTCACAGGACTTTGGGTTTCGTCAAACGACACGGACAGCATGGTGGTCCGCGTGCGTCTGAACCCAGCTTATGGAGCATTTGTCCCGGTCGGCATGAAGCCTTACGAGAGGACCTTATGGGAGAGATGGGAATCGCTTGCGTTCAAGCTGTTAAGAGAAGGAGAGTGCGAAATCATCACTGCTCAAAGCACGTCCAGCCCGGTCTAGATACATTGACGTGCCGCCTACGGTATAGCTAACGTACTTACAGGACTATCTCAGTTGGGGATTGAGACAAGTCTTTCTTCAAATACTGGATCGATGGAAACGTGGTCGACTATTGCCACGTGGTTTCAGGAATGTACTGCTCATCATCGCTGCCTAGATCACATCAGGACAAGCTGGTACCCAACCCGTCTCGTCGAGCGCGTTTCCGACACTACATTCAGAGTTATACGCTCTGAGACGGCTAAGCCTGGGCAAGGTTATGTGACCTTGAGCCATCAGTGGGGAGGCGACGACTTCATGAAACTTACGCAAGATCAGGTCCCGGCTTTCGAAGAAGGCCTGCCAATCAACAAGCTGCGAAGAACATTCCAAGAGGCTTTAGTGGTTGCTCACAGAATGAGGATTCCCTACATTTGGATTGATTCACTATGTATCATCCAGTCGGGGGATGATGGCATGGATTGGGAGCGTGAATGTGCCACTATGGCCGATGTCTATTCCAATTCCATTTGCAACATTTCTGCCGACTGGGGCACCGAAGAAAATGGGCTTTTCTTTCAGAGAGATGTCTGTGAGACTTGGTGCGGATTCGAAATGCGACTGAAAAAGGGAGCGTCAGAAAAGCGCTCATATTGGCAGGAATGGCAGTCCTGCTATTTGTTGCGCGGATACAAATGGATTGACGATTTCCTCAGATCACCGTTGAATCACCGGGGCTGGGTTACGCAGGAGAGGCTTCTAGCCCCAAGGGTTCTGCATTTCACACCCCAGCAGGTGTCTTGGGAATGCACGAGAATGCTCAGATCAGAGAAGTGGCCAGCGCAGAATTTTCGTTCATCATCTTTACGCCGCCTAGCCAGAGAGGTGGATGCCTGCTGGGAGGAGCGGGAGCTTATGGAACGCCTCAAGCTTCACGACCCCGGCAAATCATGGAACCACAATAATCTTGTGGACTGGTGGCATGATCGAGTCAGCCACTACACGGCTTGTTCTTTTACCAAGGAGTCGGACAAGCTCGTCGCAATTGCTGGTATTGCGAAGAAGTTACAGCCCTTGGTGAAGGACCAATACGTCGCGGGTCTGTGGGCGAAGTCTTTGCCTCGGGCGTTGGCATGGCGAAGACTCCGGGAGTTCGATCGTACAACTCGGATCGTTGATCAAAAGAGTGTTTACTGTGCACCAACCTTTTCCTGGGCAGCCGCTGATGGATACGTAGAAGTACCCAGCTCCGCGGTCGCTAGACGTTTCAACTCTCTGGTATCCACCGAGTTCATCAGTTACCGCGAGAGGAACTCCTCCACGGAAGCCGGAGAGCAGCCCACAATGGATGACGAAATTTTGACCAAAGACGTGCTCGGCCTACCGAAGAGCCTCGAGGTGGAAATTCGGGCGCGCGGAATCTTACGATCATGTCGTCTGATCGCACCCGAGGAAACAGAGAACGCCTGGGGTCAGCGCGAAATAAGCCTATCCATTGACCTACAGCGCGGTTCCATCTGCCACAGGATGGATCTAGATTGCGATCGGGCTGCTGAATGGGAAGGTGTAGTCAATCATTGCCTGTACTATTATGCACCCATATGCTGGGAGTGCAGTATCGACCACTTCCCAACTCTCATAATCGAGCGAGGACTGTTGATGCGGTCTGTTGATGCTAGCATGGGTCGCTTTGAACGTGTTGGATATGTGTCGACCATGGATGCAGGTAAGGACTTCCAGGGGATTAAACAACTCGGAAACGAGAAGTATTTGCCGGCTTGGAGCTACGATGAAGTCATGAAGGAGCACACCTTTTACATAGTCTAAGCCGCCGGTGGATATTTGCTTTCAATCAACATGGAGTTTAGTTCTCCAGATACACATGTGTGTTGAACGGCAATCACTGGCCCCGGTTGGAATATTGTCATTTTGCCTTCTGCACGGTATATCCCAGAGATATATGTTGTATTCAGTGTTTGGTCTATAAGCTACAGTTTCTCTTTCAGCTTGTTGTGAGAATCTAAAACAATTTAAGGACGCCACCGAAGTAGTTATACCTTGGTAACGTCCGGCACCAACCGAAAATATTGAACAGTTGTTGGTACAGTCTACACAGCTATGACATCTGGACATCCAACGCAATTGGTAGAGGCTGTGCATTCAACACAGCCATTTCAAGTTGAGAAATTTGTCTATATACAAGGTTTTCAGTGTTATTCACTTTGGGCGGCATTCAACCCATGAAAACCAAGCTCGATGATGATATATTGCAAGTGCTTAGACAAGTGTCAGAGATCCGATGATATAGTAGTCGCCCGGAGATACTTACTCAATTTGTGTAGTAATTGAAACCACTCCCATCTTTCTATGTGAAATTACTGTAGTGAGTCTTATTTTTCTCGAAGGGCTGAATGACACTGGAGTGTAAAGAGGCACTGGACCAGGGGCTGGAGTGGGACGGTGCTGTGTTGTTCACTCTGGCCTCCAGTTCATTGCGCTTCCTCTCAGACACTTCTCGTTGCTTGCGGGCGTTTCTTCTCAGTCTTTTCATGTACTTACTGCCCCAATGAAGCCCTCCAGTGGGCCTCAAAGGAGGCATCTCTCCTTCCTCATGCCGGCGCTGCTTCTCTTGTAATGATGGTTGAGGCGTAGTTCGCTGCTGCGCTGGAACGAACCTTCGATCGCGTCGGATTCGCTTGACATGCGCGTCATGCTCAGTTTGCTCGGAGGGTATGATCTCTTGCAGCACCCGCTTGTCGTTCTGATTAGGTCCGCGTCGTATCATTGCCAAAAATCCATCCAGCTTTTTTTCCAGTCGTACCGCCTCGCGTGACTGTTCTGTGGTAGCCTGCTGGGGCACCGTGGTCTGGTGGGATGCCATGCATTCGTCCCACCAATCTGTCCCGGGGAATACCACTGCGTTTCTTGACATATTTGGTTGGTGGAGGAGAGCGCTTTGGAGATAGGATGAGATGAATTTGTGCCTTTACAAGCTACCTAAATTAGTAGAGCAGGTGCTGCTGATCACGGCCGCCAAATAGTGATTGGAAAGACGAGTCCTTTCAGCGATTCGCGGCAACGAACGGACCGGGTTGTATTGACAAACAAAGAGATGTTTAACAACGCTGAGATATTTCTCAAAATGTCTTTGATCTAGCTGACCGGAAATGAACCCATAGAGGGATAAGGCTCTGGGAGAATCTGTCCCTTCTCATCTCAGTTTTCACCAATCAATTGATCTCTTTCAAAGAACTACTAAGATGACCCTACCAAACTAACCTTAATTCCTCCCCGTCATCGACGATGGAGCAATAGAGCTTTGCGCCCTACGAGAATCCAGTGATATGCAATTACTATGTAATTCCTATGCATAAAATCACATTTATACCCTTGCACCATCTCAGGCTGGATGGCCCCGTCATTCCAACAGCCCTAAAGCCTTCCAAGGTTTCTGCTGGCATGGACACGTCAAGATTCGCCCACATGGTCCTAGAACTTTGCCGTTTTTCAAGGCTGGTTCGAGTCTCTCCAACCTTGGAACGAAGTCATCAAACCGGCTGGCCAAAACCACAGTAAACCTATTGCACATCTTTGCTCTTTTCAAGGTTTCCCCTTTCTTGTTGGTAGGCAAGCAAATATACAGCTTGACTTTCAACCGCTTTCAGCCTGTCTTTTCGTTGCCATCAGATGTGGAGACTATGTAGAAGTCGGACCTCTTTTTATCTATCTTTTCTTATTCTTTTCCTTAGCAAAAAGAAGGATCACGATGCTAAAATGTAATTCTAGAGCTTTTTTAAATCAAGAATAATACTCTTAGCAAATGCAAAATGGAGAATATAACTTGAGTTAATATATTAATAAAGCTTAATGCTAGGCTTTTCAGCGTTTATGAATGCGTCAAGGCACTGTGTACGCCTCTAGATGTATAGGCATTTAACACTAAAATATGGTTATTTATCAAGTTAAACTGACACTACTTCGTTTATAAGAATGAAACTTGTGAAAATAACAACTTCAAGGAAATATTTTGAGCTCAAGTGCTCCCAGGAGAAGTCAAGACAGGAATTGAACACCAGACGGGACCTAATCCGCAGCATGGGTGGAGTGGCAACGGCGCCGAGAACACTGCTAAGCTTTTTGGCGACATCGTCTTGGGATATCCCGAGATTGTCAAGAAAGATGCCAACCTTTCAACGTATATATACGCACGCACATAATGATCTGATTATTCAGCCACCTCGAGAGCACAAATACTTACGCAACTGTCGTAGGAGCATTTCTGCCAGCCTCCCACTGAGGACCTGATGTTCCCAAACCTGTCGCCCAGCGGAAAGGAGATACTAGGACTCTAGTCTCTTCCTAGAACGCTTTGGAGGCTTGTCGGACGAGGTATCCTTGACGATCCTGATTTCCCTTTTGTGGAAACTTGCTGTCAATATTGAAGTCCTGGTAATCGATAACCTCATCCAGAGTAGCCATATCACGTACTTCCTCCCGAGAGAGGGATACGATGCCTCGAAGGAGGCTCTATCTTCAACACGGTACTTTCTAAGGTTTGCGAAAAGCTTTTCTTATCGTCTGCCACGTATTGAGTTTTAAATGTACACAGGTAAGGTTTAGTGAAGGAATTAGTCCTCGGCTCACAGCCCTGAAAGCTTCACGAGCGGGCATGGCAAGCAGGGCTAAGCCCCTGAAAAATGTCAGGTAGCCGTGTCTTTCTTGTCAAGTTCATCAACGGGCCACCCTACTCGGACCAGACATCCATCAGGCCCATTCACACTGAACTCAAGTAAGCCCCACTCTTTCACCTCGGGTTTCTTTCCCGCTTCAATGATTTCTTCAGCAAACTCCACACCCAAGGACTCCACATCCTCAGAATACACGTAAATTCCGAAGGAGTTCTTGTTCGGCACCAGCCACCCTTCCTCGTCTTTTCCAAGCTGGCGTAGATGAATATCAGACCCGTTGGGGTGAGACAGAAGAAGGTACTGATCCCACTCATTAAGCTCGTCGGTGGTAGGAGCGGTAAAACCCAGACGGATGAAGAACTTAATGGCAGAGGCCATATCGGAACACGGTAGGATGGTGGTAATTCGCGGACGCGTTTTCATATTGAGGGATTCTTAGGGGCAAGTAACAATGCTTGGACGGACTCAGTCGAGATAGTGAATATTCCTCAGCGTCAGTGAAAGAACCACCGACTGAGTAGATGAATATAGACTTTGTACAGTTCAAGTTGTGAACGGAGGGGCGGTGGCAAATGTTAGCCGGGAAACCGTCGTGAGCCAGTTAGGTCTACCCCGAGAACAGCATCTCACGTGACTTCCCTAAGTATACATTCCTCAAACAGATATGTACTGTCGGTTCCTAACGGCGACTTGAATCAAACCAAGAAAGAAAACCAAATTTATTAAGGATAGGGCATCCATAGTTCTGGTTCAGACCTCTCTATCCTCCTCCTGGCAGCTGCCTGGCAGCCCTGGGGGCCAAACTCCAGGCTCGCATGAATGCTGCGCCGCTTGATACAACCCTGTGCTTATCAACGATCTTCAACCTATAACGTCGCAATGACATTCAGCTCCGCGTGATTGTGGATGGTGCCCGACTGGATAACCGCGTAAAGACAATAACTCGGGAAACCTGGTGTTCCAGGACAAGTCCCGAGGTCCGAAAATCCCCACAAGGCTCAGTACGAGTCCACGCCGCCGCCGTCCTGATACCACCTGCGCCAGTCAATCGCAGCCCCTATTCCAACTGGATCACTCGCTGTGGACTGGACACGGCTCGGAAAGCTTGTCAAAAGGTTCTTGTCAAAAGCTTGAGTACTACACCCGACTTGGCACACCCGACATGATCGCCACCACAGCGCAAAGAACTATCCGCATCGCCATCTCAGGCGGTGGTCTCGCCGGCGCGACCCTGTTCCACGCACTCCTTAAACACCCCCACCTGGACGTCCAGATCTTCGAGTCGGCTGAAGCATTCAAGGAAGCTGGCGCTGCGGTGGGTATCGCCCGCAATGCCCTCGCAGCCTTAGACCTAATCGGTCCCTCGGCGACCGCAAGCCTCCAGCGCGCTGGTGCGGTGCCTCAGAAGGGCGTGCGCTTCATGTTGGCCCAGGGCCCTGATGCCGGGGATGAAGGCGTCATGATCGACGAGATCGACGCCGAGATCCACCAGAAACAGGTCGTGAGCATCGTGCACCGTGCCGCATTCCTCAGGGAACTTCTCGCCGAGGTGCCTCCCAGCAGGATGCACGCGTCCAAGAAGCTCACGAGGGTCGACCGCCACGATGGCGCCGGACCCGGGGCACCCATGACGCTGCACTTTGCTGACGGGTCCACGCACGAGTGTGACGTCCTCATCGGAGCGGACGGTATCCACAGCGTCGTCCGGGGGATCGTTCTCGGCGACGGTGACCCGGCCGCGAGTGCGCGAAATACGGGCTGGTGGGCCATCATGGCCCTGGAACCTTTTGCCGCGGCGCAGGCGTGTCTCGGGGAGAGCCTCGTGAACGCGGAGGATCCGCGGCAGTATGGCTGGACCGGTGACGGGGCGTATCTCCTGCATGACGTGCTGAGCGACGGACGGCTAGTACAGATCATCGCCTGCGGCATGGACGAGGATGCTCGCGGCTCGGACCGTTGGCAGACCACTCTGAGCGCAGATGAGATCCGCGAGCACTTCCGGGGTTGGCCAGCACACCTGACGAATGCTGTTGAAAAGGTATGCTTGCAATGACTCTAGCCAACCTTTCCCAAGTCCATGCCAATTTCAGGCACATTTTCTTCTTGGAGGCAGCTTACAAGTCGCGCAGCTACTCTGTGACGAGCCGGAACAGCAGGCGCGGTACCTGTGGGAGCATCCACCAGCCAGCACATATGTCTCCGATTGCATTGCTGTGATGGGCGACGCCGCCCACGCTACCACTCCCTGGCAAGGCTCTGGAGCGGGCATGGCGATAGAAGACAGCTTGATACTATCTACTCTTCTCGGCCACGCAGAGACGGTTGCTCAGGCATTATTGGCTCTCAGGGTGTACGATCAGGTCCGCCGGCCGCGCACGCAGCAGGTTGTTGAGTCGAGCAGGGGGACAGGCATGATGCGGACTGGACTAGACAATGAAGTGGGTCTGGATGTCATGAAGTTCAGGCAAAGATTGCTTTCCAGGTGGGATTTCATCATCGACTTTGACAGCAAACAACATTGTACCGATGCATTGGCTATTATGAACGACCTTTCCTGAGAGAGTCAAAATAATTCTTGTGCCGGTCGAGAGAGATGTACAAGATAGTTTGCGCACCATCATGTGGTCCGATCTTCAATGGTGTTCTACCTTCCACTAGAACCATTTTCTTCTACCTTTAATTCTCTTCGCCCACTTACGGACCTCGTATATTTCTCCTTCACTACTTGACTACCTGGGTATAGACTTCTACTCGTTCCTAAAGTTCCTTTAAGATGAATCGTACAATTGGATTGTAAAATATTAGGTAAAACCTAAGACTTAAGATTCTGTATCATCATTTTCAGTAGGTAAGTTCTATCATAGTTCTGCAATTTGTTGTATACCTAGGTATCTGATGATGGCTCAACGCAATATTCCAGGGCTAGTAGCCTTGGATTCGACCTCGAATTCTCTGGTAGTGGTTGACGTCTGATTGTGAACGGTACTCTTTGATTGCCATGCATCATGGACTGGCACATGGAGCAGTCATGGCAAAGAAGAGGCATTGGGATATTAGATTCATAATACAATTCGGAGAGTCTCTAATGTCTAGGTCAGGACCTCGGGACAGTGCTAGTTGATGTTGACCAGAGGATGATGACTGGTCCAGGACGGCACTAACAATTTCGGGCGTGGGTGTCACCTAGTTCTGTTGCACCACTGGGCGCAAACACGACTATACCTCAACTCCATCAATTGATCACGAAAGCCCACGGCCATCGTCAAGGTCGAGCATTTCTACCCGAGGCACTGTGTCTGCCTCGAGCTAACACCTGTGGCTGCCACTTCGCCCCGGAGGCAACTTGAACGCGATGGCTGTGGCTGTGGCTGTGGCGTTCCCAGCGAGCAACACTTGAGCCACGCCCCAGCCTCACGACATGCCGGCCACCCCCAGCCCCACCCTTTTCCTCGATACTCGGCCGACAATGGTGTCATGACAGCCAGTCGTTTCCAAGGTCTATTCCTGACAGCGCGTGCGTGCGCCCCCGGTGGCCCATGCCAGTTGCAGATGGGGCCGCACGGCTGCAGCCTGCAGCACATTTCAGGGGGCCAGCAAGAGGGTCGGCCAGATCAAGTGAAGACACGCCCAGCGCGACACGACTTCCAAGGCTGGTTTCTGACGTCGAGGCCCACGTCGACGGCCTCGCTTCGCTGGCCTTGGTCACCACCAACCGCCCTCTGACCCACTCGCTGCTCTGCCGTTCCTGCCGTTCACTTGCTTCTTCCTGCTTTGCTGATTTACTACTTCACTTTCATCTGCTCTGCTCTGCTCTGCTCTGCTCTATTCTATTACATCCTCCAGTGTGCATCCTTATCGAAGCAGCTGACGAGTTCAATTGACCTCCTGACTTGGTTGGTCCAACCGCCATGCCCTTCGTAGCCAACACGCCCGAGTCCCTCGTCAAGCGGACCGACTCCAAGGATCCTAGCACCACATGTCGGGGCATCACCTCCAGCGGGCGGCCATGCAGGAATGCCCTCGCTCCCTCTGACAATCCCGCGCCCAAGTCTCGGAAGAAGTCTCGCGCCCTCCCCGACCCTTCCAACCCAGACAATTACTGCTGGCGCCATAAAGACCAAGCGACTGCCAGTACACCACCGCAGGCCAATGGACCGATCCCCGAGGGCCGGACGAGCGTCGATACCCTGACTGGCCGTCTCGGCCTCCTGTCGACCAACACTGCCCGCCCCGAGAAGCCTTCCCGACCGCACAACGGCTCTGGCTCCTTTACGCGGCCCTCGAAGCCATCCAAGGAGCTCTCCTTCTGTTGCTTCAGCATTCCTCTCGACTTCATCGAGGAAGAGCCAACACCCCCGCCTCGACCTCACTCCTATCCCGTCCAGCCCTCCGGGTCTCCGAAGCCTTCCAAGCCCTCCTCGAACCAGTACCTCGGTCCTACTTCCTCCAGACCCAACAAATCGAGCCGGCCGAGTCTTGCAAGTCAGACCCCCTCCGGAGGCTCTCAGACATCGCAATACCTGTCACTTATCCCCCAAGATGCCCCGCCACAGACGGCGTCCCAGCTGATGGGCGAGCTGGCAAAGCCACTGTCGGAGAGGGATGAGGCAGGCTACATCTACATCTTCTGGCTGCAGCCCGAATCAGAGCTCTCCTCGGCCCCGACGCAAAGGGCCCGTTCCTTCCTCGACGAGACCGCCCGCGCGCTCCCGGACACCGAGACCAACACCCGCTCCATCCTGGACCCGTCCGCGCTGGCCCGCCCCACCGGCCACGAGCGCCGGCCTAGCGACATCCTGCGCTCGTTTGCCGACCAGGCCGACGCCATCGGCACCCGCAGCCCCACCACGACCCGCAGCCGCGGGCTCAGCAGCGGCGACGACAGGAAGACGCTGCTGCTCAAGATCGGGCGCGCCAACAACGTCCAGCGCCGCATGAACGAGTGGAAGCGCCAGTGCGGCTACGACCTCTCGCTCATCCGGTACTACCCGTATGTCCAGACCGGGTCCGTCGTCGAGCCGCGCAAGATGCCGCACAGCCACAAGGTCGAGAAGCTCATCCACATGGAGCTCGAGGGCCTGGGCCTGCGTGTCGCGTCCAGGGGCCCGTGTGAGGCCTGCGGGAGGGAGCACAAGGAGTGGTTCGAGGTGGAGGCTTCTAAGAGCGGCGTCATGCGGGTTGATGAGGCCATCAAGCGGTGGAGCGATTGGGACGAGGGGAGAACGTCCTGAGGCATTAAACTTATGTTGGCTTGGCTTTGTTCGGACTCCACAGAACCTGGTGCTTTTTCCTTTTACTCTAGACTCGGATTGCATGCAGCGAGAGACTGACGGCATGTCATTGGGACTGGGCACGGCGTTCTGCATTTTCTGTTTGGCATAGCAACAGGCGCAACTAGCATGGGCTATCTATTAATATGTTCACTTTACTAGCCAACTTGGCAACTTTTCGATCTCCTTTCGATCTGCTTACCATTCTTGCGTGTCGGTGTCAGTTTGCACTCAGCTTTGCAACTTTTGATCACAGGATAACCACGGTTGTCCTGACGGGGTCCGTAAGGCTGGCTGACGGCGAGTCGTCCGTCAACTGGTGTCTTTACTAACAAACTAGAAACTCCCAAACATCCGCAAGGTTACAAATGATCCGGACAACGTTAGGTATAGGAAGGGACGGTTAGTACAAGTCTTATACAAACTGCCTATGTACCCGGTAGACGCGCAGATGGTGAAGCGCACGAGCAAAAGTTGCGACTTCTTCAACGTTTCCGAGTTGTGCTAGATGCAGTAGACTGGCCACTATGTACAAGCGCTTCTGAGTTCAATTTTACATGTAACAAGACAATGTTACGACTAAGAAATGCTGTGGATGGCATTAGCCCCATTGCCAGTGCTCTTCAGCCAGGACGTACGATGTGCTCCGTCTGGGCCAGCGAACTTAAGACAGACAGCCTCGCTGTCACTACGGAGTACCAAGGTTCATGAGTCACCGACTAATACATTATGAGTCGAAATGATCACCATATGAAGTATCCATCCACGGGAATACACTCATCCGGCAGCCCGCTCGAGTAAACATGTCAGCTACAGATGGTAACGGACACGCTGACGCGGGGTACCAACCCCCTGGCGGTCCTTTTGAGCTGCACACTTCGTAGCCTTGTATACTAGATCTGGTCAAGCTTGGGGTACTTGGACGAAGGCCTTTTGGTCTGACTAAGAACTACATTACGTACAGCATGACTGAGAATGCCATTTCGGTCTACGCCATAGGTACGATCCTCATGGATATATAACTGCTGTCGCGGAAGTGAAATATAGTCGTGATCCAGACAGTCTGCCTTCTATCTCAATATGGCGTTCAAGACGGCTGAGTTCGACCAATTGGTCGAGAGACTGATGGAGGAGTGGCATGTCCCGGGCCTGTCGATTGCAGTCGTCCAGGGCGATCAGATCGACGCGAAGGTGAGTTGATATTATTATTCGGGACGTCTATAATATAAACACTGAACAAACCTCAGGCCTACGGCTATGCCAAGTTCCCCCACGAAGAATGCACCACAGAGACCATCTTCGACCTTGCCAGCGTGTCCAAGTGCACCACGGCAGCCGCGGCCGCCCTCCTCGTCGACGACGACAAATACCCAGACATGCAGTGGCAGACCCCAGTCTCAAAGCTCATCCCGGAAGACTTCGTGCTGCCCACGCAGTCTCTCACGGAGCAGGTCACCCTCGAGGACATCCTCAGCCACCGCTCGGGGATCCCGACCCACGACGAGTCCTACATGGGCGTGACGGCCGCCCGGCCGGACGACGCCCGGTCCCTGACCCGCAACCTGCGCAACCTCGCCTTCGCCGCGCCCCTGCGCACCAAGCTGCTGTACTCCAACATCATGTTCAGCGTCGCCACGCACGTCGTCGAGACCGTGTCCGGGGAGGACTACACGTCGTTCCTGCACTCGCGCCTCTGGGGCCCGCTGGGCATGCACAACACCTACCAGGACCGGCCCGACGTGCGCCCCTCCGCCCGCGCGGCCCAGGGCCACCGCTGGGACGACACGGCGCAGACATATGTGCCCGTGCCCATCCTCGCGTCGCCCGAGGGCCGCGGCGCCGGGTGCGTGCTCACCTCCGCCGGGGACTACGCCCGCTTCGTGCGGTGCCTGGTCAACAAGGCCGCGCCGCTGTCCGAGGCCGCGCACGGGGCGCTCGTGCAGCCGCGCACCATCGACATGGTCGACGCCGAGGACGTGCTGCCCGGCGGCGAGGACGTGGCGCTGTACGCGCTGGGCCTGTACCGGTACACGTACCGCGGCAACACGGTGATGAAGCATGCGGGCGCCGTGCCGGGGTTCCGGACCGCGATGGCGTTCCTGCCGGGGAAGAAGTGGGGGGTTGTCATCTGCACGAATTCGAACCCGGGGGAGCATGTGCATGCGATCCTGGAGAATGTGCTCGTGGATGAGGTGTTGGGGGTGAGGGAGGACGAGAGGACGGACTGGGAGAAGGTGTTCAAGGAGATTTCAGCGAGGTATGACGAGGAGGATAGGAAAGACAAGGAGAAACCTGAGTTCACCGTGCCTGAGGACCCGGAGCCGCTGGGGGTGGCGATTCAAGGGCTTGCCGGGAGGTACTACAACAAGGGGTACAAGGAGCTTAGGTTGGAGATGAAGGAGGGCAAGGTGGTGGCGGACTGTACAGATCGATGCTTTCCGTTTGTGGTCACATTTGAGCATCTCTCGGGGAAGAGGTTTGTTGCTGATATGCACGACCTATGGGATGACTTTCATTTCTTCAAGAAGGCCGCGGTGAAGGTGGATGGGGAGGGTAAAGTTGTGGCTGTTGGCGTTCATTTTGAGACCGACCTCGAGGAGTTGATTTGGTTCGACAGAATCGAGGACTAGAAGCATAACAAATTATGCATAGGCTTTGCATCTACAGCCCCAAAAGAAGCACATATCAACCTCCGTTGCTCAAAGATCTCCACGATTTGAGTGTGCCAGCACACCTGTAACTATCTGCGCCCCGTGAAATGTCAGCCACATCTGGCTTCCCCAATTCCTTTTATTTATGCGCAACTACATGATCCAGGCGAATACCCGAGATTGTTGCTCTACCAACTCGATCATACCCTCTGGTAACGGGGTGGGCATAACAAACCTTTTTGGCTGGGTGCAGTTCTGGCTTCGGGACCGGAAAGCTTCCAAGATTGTCTAAGACGAAGTGGCTACAATGTTGAAACGGAATCGATTACTGGCTGTGTTATTTTTCTTTCATTCTTCTCAGCTTGGTAGCCTTTCAAAGTGACACATTTTTGGATCTCTAGGTCTGTGCAATTTACAAGATTGTTAATTCCCAATAATCTGAATGCTCTGGCCGCCCAGTAAAGTCCGAGTCTTCCTCTCTGCTTACTGCTTGCAGGTCTGGTAAAGCTTACCTAGGTATGCTAACAAGTAACCTAGGCTACCTAGATAGGGCATTAGTACATTGGTACATAAGTGCTAGCGGGCCTGCACGCCTACATTTCGATTGATCAGCAGCCGCCGAGGCGAGTCACTTCCCGAGTCAATGATAAGCAGTAGGCAACGTTAATGGTACAATGGCTATATGTGCTGAGTCCTGATCGCGATACGAGAGAGGACAAGGTTGACATCTTTCTTATCTACATCCCGTTTCGGCACGCCGAGATCCTACCACTAGCTGCCGTTGGCTGCATCGGACTGAGACCTTCGCCGTGATGGATCGGGCTCACGGCGAGAGGATTCACATTTTTACCTCATTGCCCAGCTAGATTGAGGCATTATATATTTCCTGAAAATAGCCTCAGCCCAGTCTGCTCTCGCTCAGCCAACAACTGAAATATTTCCCATTCCTGCCTTCCACTTCCCCCTCTTTGCAGGAGAGCAGAGCAGCTCCTGATACCCATAATTCGCCCTCTTCAATCATGGCTGCCGATCTCGAAAGACGCCTCCAGGAGCTGGTCGACATCAAGAAAATCCCCAACGCCATCCTCTACGCATGTGACGCCACAGGCGACTTCTCATATTACAGTGTGTTTGGTTCCTCATCTCCCGTCCCTGGCTCGCCGCCCCTCACGGAAGATGTCTACCTGTGGGCTGCCTCATCCACAAAGCTCTACGTCAGCATCGCTGTCATGAAGCTAGTTGAGGAGGGCCGCCTCAACCTCGACGACACAGTCGACGCCGTACTCCCTGAGCTTGCGGGGCTCAAGATCCTCACCAACAAGCAGCCGCCCTGGGAGTACAAGGACCCGGAGACCAAGATCACGTACCGCTCGCTCCTCGCGCACACGTCCGGGCTCACGTATTTCTTTCACCACCCGCACATGATCGCCTGGAAGATGCAGCACCCTACCACCGGCGGTGATGTCCCGAGTCGGTTCGGGTACCCGCTCAACTACGAGCCAGGGACGGGGTGGGAGTACTCGTGCGGCATCGACTGGGCTGGTCTGGCAGTTGAAAGGATCGCCGGCACAACTCTCTGCGAGTATCTACACCAGATTCTCGGGCCTGCCGGTGTGGCGCCCGAGGACATCACCTTTTATCCTCGGGACCTGCCCGCCTCCGAGCCTGTGGCGACCATGGCGCAGCGCGCAGAGGACGGCAGCGTCACGGCTGGCGACCAGGGGATCCCACCCCTGCCGGCCAAAGGTGAGAACTTCTGCTACGGTGGCCACGGCGGATTCGTGCGCCGCGGCGCGCCGATGAAGGTGCTGCGAAGTCTGCTGGCCGACGACGGCAAGATCTTGGGGACCGCGGCCGCGGCGGAGATGCTGAGGCCGCAGCTCAGCCCCTCGCAGAAGGACTCGATCAACAACGGCCTCATGTACACTGTCCCGGCGTTCGTGCGAACCGCGGCCCGCGAGGTGAAGAGGGGCACGATGGATCACTCGCTTTGCGGGAACGTGGATGTTGAGGGCCAGGCCTGGGGAAGAGGGAAAGGCACTGTCATGTGGGGCGGTGCGCCGAATATCAAATGGTTTCTTGACCGAGAGAAAGGCCTCTGCGGGTTCTTTGGAGCGGCGCTGCTGCCCAGTGGTGATCCGACTTATGTTGACATCGAGCTCGAGTTCGAGAAGGCGGTTTACGAGTTGGCTGGCAAGGTTGCCCCGGCGAGCTGAGCCTTGAGTTCAGGCAATAGATGGTTCTTCTGTTAGGAGCGGGGGTTTGTAACGGTTGAAAATAGAATGCTGCTTAGCACTTGAATACTTACTGGGACGAGCTCTGTAATTGGTATTGTGTTCTTTAAACGGCCGGTCTTGAGCGTTTATCACTGTATGAAGGCGCCACATACAGTTTATACGTATGGGAATTAAAAACGAAACCACTCTCCCAATTCCAGGTCGCTGAGCTCAAGTTCATGTGACTATCTACTCCTAAAGTATTTCGGCCAACAATATGGACACGAATATGCAGAAAGTCAGCCTCTGAAGTGGATGATGCACAACAAACGAGCCCATACATCCCCAGCCACCTTTTACTTGATACATAAGTGCTGTGATAGAAAGGAATGTTTTCTGTGCTTAGGACAGGGGGGGCTGGAAACGGGCTTGCATTGACCGCGAGTGGCCGTGGTTCCAATGTGGAGTGACTGTGCTCACCCATGAAAGTATACACGCTTTTCTCATCATCCTCCAGGTTTCTAATGATAGAAGCGGTATAGATAAACAACACTATATTCACAAAGACCGGGGAGCGGGTGAGGTAAGCACCAAGCGGCTCGGGCGATGCGGCGTGTACACGTTGTTACTGGAGTATCTAGGTACCTAGGTACATTGTAAAGACGCACAAGTCAACGGTCACTGAGATTTTAATGCGTTCTTAGTCGTGGTCAACAACATAATGTCGTTAACACTCGGGCCGCTCACTTTGGGTACCGAGCTATTTTCAAGTTTTCAGGCAGGAACGGGCCCATGATCTGTGGAGGGATCCTCGTCACTTTGGAAGTTTGCATATTGAGACACTTCATGCAACGGATTGAAAGCAAGAACTATACATGTACCCGGGGGTCAGACCTTCGGTTGCCCCCTACCCGTGGGCCTTGGCTTCTATTTACCCACTCCTGGCGGAGTGGGTGCCAAAAACCCGCAACGGCCAAAACCTCACAACACCCATACCCTAGCTATTTCTACTATTTTTACCTATAAAAAGTTACTTTTTAATTATATATATCTTCTTAAATAAAGGTTATATAACTATAAAATAAATACTTTTAAAATCCTTATTTTATAAAAATTAATAATAAAATATTTTTAAATTTTTAAAGTTAAAGTTTAAGATTTTAGTTTTTTTAGTTAAAAGTTTTTTAAAATTAATATATCTACTTAAATAAATTATATTATTAGAAAATAAAAATAGTAGAATATTTATAGAATTATTTACTTTATATAAATAATATTTTAAAATTAAAATTTAATTATAAAAAATAAAAATTAAAGTTTTAAAAAAATTTATAATATTAAAAATATTATAAAGAAATAAATTATAATAACCTTAATTTTAAAATAGATTTTTTAAAAATAATATTTATATAAAATAAATAATTTTATAAATATTCTTATATTTTTACTTTTTAATAATATAATTTATTTAAGTAAATATACTAATTTTAAAAAACCTTTAATTAAAAAAGCTAAAATTTTAAACCTTAACTTTAAAAATTTAAAAATATTTTATTATTAATCTTTATAAAATAAAGATTTAAAAAATACTTAAACTTTTTTTATATAAAATTTAATAAAGAAAGTATATTTAATTAAAAAATAGGTTTTTATAGGTAAAAATAGTAGAAATAGGTAGGTGTGGGTGTTGCGAGGTTTTGGCCGTTGCGGGTTTTTGGTACCCACTCTGCCAGGAGTGGGTAAATAGAAGCCAAGGCCCACGGGTACACCTCCCGGCGTAGGGGGTGCCAAAACCCCCGCACAGCCAAAACCCCCACACACTTAAGAAGAATAAAACACTATACTTAAATTAATCTAACTTATTTAAATAAAAATAGTATAATATAAAAAAAATATTTTTATAAATCTTATTTTTTAAAGAATTTAAATAAAATAGATATAAAATTTTAAAGTTAAAGTTTAACTAAATTTTATTACTTTTTTATATTTATATTATTATAAATATTAACTTTAATTAATTTTATATAAATATAAAAAATATATTATTATAATTTTTATAGAATAAAGAATATTTATAAAATAAAAAATAAAATTTAAAATTATAGTTTTATAATAAACTTTTAAAAAAATATATTATATTATTTTATATTTTACATTTATATATTATTTAATATTAAATTAAAATAAATAATTTAATATTAATATAAAATTATTTTATTATAATTTTTATAATATAATAAATATTTATAAAATAATTAAAAGATTTAAAATTAAAGTTTTATAATAAATCTTTAAAAAATATATTATATTATTTTATATATTTTTCTTATTTATTATTTAATATTAAATTAAAATAAATACTTTTAAAAATTAAAGTAATTTAAAAATAAACTTTATTTAAATTTAATTTTATTATATAACTTATAATATAACTTTAATAAATAAATATATTAATTTTAAATATATTTATTAATTAATTTAATTTTAAAGATTAATTTATTATATTTTATAATTTTAATTAATAAAATAAATATAAAATAATTAATATAAATATAAAAGTAATATTATATATATAAAAATATATTATATATATATATATATATATATATATATAAATATATTATATATATATAATTAAATTTATAAAATAATTTATAAAATAAAGTTCTATTATATTTATTTAATAAATAAATTAATTAGTAAATAAATAAATAAAAATTTATTAATTTATAAAATAATAAAATAAAATATTAATATTTAAATTATTAAATAAAATTATTAAATAGAATTATTAAATAGAATTAATAAATAAAATTAATAAATAAAGTTAATAAATAAAGTTAATAAATAAAATTAATAAATAAAATTATTATTTTATTTATTTTATTTATTTTCTTTACTTTATATACTTTATATAAGTTATAAAACCTAACTTTAAAATTTATTTTTTATTTTATAAATACTTTTTAGTTTTTTAAGAATTATAATAATATATTTTTTATATTTATATAAAATTAATTAAAATTAATATTTATAATAATATAAATATAAAAAAGTAATAAAATTTAATTAAACCCTAACCCTAGAATTTTATATCTATTTTATTTAAATTCTTTAAAAAATAAGGTTTATAAAAGTACTTTTTTTATATTATATTATTTTTATTTAAATAAGTTAGACTAATTTTAGTATAGTGTTTTATTCTTCTTAAGTGTGTGGGGGTTTTGGCCGTACGGGGGTTTTGGCACCCACTGCGCCAGCAGTGGGTTCCTCGGAGTGAGAGCGAACCCACGGGTAGCTAGAATTGTTGCATCAATGCCGCTTCCGGTGAAATTCAATGTTCGCTTTGTTCCGCCTCAAAGCATCCCAAAAATTCCAAGCATGATTACTGCAGATGAGGAAACTCCCTTGATAGTTTTACTCTTGTCCCGAGCTACATGTAACTATCAGACATGCTGTTGTTATGCCCAGAGCAAATCCCTAGCTTTCTATTTCAAGCCCTCATCCAATTTCGTCAAATGGGCGGAAACATCAATGACGTTCTAGTGAAAATATCCTATCTGGAATCCCGAATTCAAAAAGCGGCAACTCAGTTCAAACCTCATTCATCCATAGAAATCCTGAAAGATGTCTGGGCCTGTCAATGATGCGGAGAACCGTATCGTGGGTGTGCTGGTCGGGTCGGCCATTGCCGACGCGATCGGAATATACACAGACCAGCTCACCAAGAAAGAAGCCACAGATGCGTACGGGCGGCATGCCAGGATTTTCGCAAGCTACAAGGCTAATGAGCTCACGATTCATTACCCTGATGAACACCGGGCCCAGTACGGGGTAAGTTGTTCTACACACAGTGGCAGGTTCCCAGCGAATCCTCCCCTACGATACCTAGTTATGCGTCTTCTACAGCTGATCCGAAAAATAGGATGGCAACTGGTCGGAAATTACCGAAATGGCGCTGTGCACTCTTTTCAGTGAGGTGCACGACCAGGATAAGAGCACTCTTCCCGTTCGGCTTCGATATCTGTCCCGAAACGGCAATAGAGCGTATGGTCTGAAGCCTCTGCCCTTGGGGCAACCGATCACTGAGATAGTAGAAGCGGACGGCTATTTGAACGACCCCCAAAGTACCGCGCTGCAACAATGGACGACCTCGGGTGATCGCGAGCAAGATTACCACACTGGATCGAATGCGCCACTGATCAGGATTCATCCTTTCGCAGCCTGTAAGAAGCCTTTTCCCAGCCGACGCACACTTAAAGATATGAAATTCTTATAGTTCGCATAAATTCAAGAGCTAATATCATGTAAACTAGATGCCGCTGTCGAAAGCAATTTAGATTTATGTCTACAGCTTGCCGAACTTAATTGCCGTTTTACCCACGTGGACTCGCGTTGCATCATTTCTGTCGTGGTTGCCGCTGCGCTACTTCGCGGGTTAATACGCGGAGAAGTCCAGACCGAAAATCAAATCAACCCAGTCGTTCAAAAATGCAAAAGGTACATAGAATCTCAGGAATTGAGATACGGTATCCATGAAGATCAAGAAGGGCTGTATTGTGATATCAGTGATGAGTCCTGGGCTGAACTCAGCCGCCTCTTGACAATTCGATCACTGCCAGAGCTGGACCTCGAGAACAGCGGCGGAGAGGCATGGAAGTGCTTGAGCGCTGGAATCTTCTGTCTGAGAACTGCCATGACCAGTCTCGAGAGGCTGTCCGATCAGGCGCGCGAGGACAACCGGAAGGTCCTTTTCGCCGAAATCATCAACAGCGTTGCTCTTGAGGGTGGCGCAGCACAGGCCAACGCCGCGTTTGCAGGTGCCCTACTCGGTGCTTACCTCGGCTATGACGCCATTCCTGAGAAGGCGAGAAGGGGTCTCAGTCGTAGAAGGTTCCTCATGCGCAAGTCTCAGATTTTTTGCGAGGTCTTTGGTGTAATCTCGGGTGATCTGGATATGGTCGAAGAGGACTCCGAGATTGGAGCTGAGCCGGATGAAAGACACAGAACGGCCATCCAGAGGGCGATTCAGCGCGACCATGATTTTAGACTTGCCATGCTGATCAAGAGATGGGAGCGGAGGAGAGATAATATGCCAGCGAGCGCTTGAGTCGGATGACTGTTTATGAGTCACTCAAAGTTCCGCCAACGGGAACCTGAGCCAGCATCGTCGGTTGCTTATGAATCGCTGCTGTGTTCCATTCAGCTTTTGGTTAGGAGCCTGCTCAGACTTTTAGAAATATTCAGATGCAGTGCCAAAAGAAAGGTGTCTATCAAGATTTCGCATTAACAAGCACTTGATCTAAGTAGTGGAAGAAATACTAGGGTGGAGTCTTCTATGTGGCCACCCCCCGGCGCACTTTTAGGAAGCCATGTCCTAGACAACGGGTAAAGAAGTCTTATTTTGTTTTCCTGCCATTAAACTTGAATAATTGAGATGAGATTAGCACAGTAGCTCCTCAGATTATCTATACTCCTCAGATTATCTACATATGTATATCTACTAATTCACGTTGAGTCCCATGACACTTACTACTGCGTGGTTTCGCTTCTAGTTATTCCACATTCGTCCGAAGCCATGCAGTGGCAAACGCTGAAAGACCCATAGTTTAAAAATACTATAAACTGCCAATGATATTTGAAAAGTTGCGCGTTGAAGGCATTTCAGGATCCAACAAGCGTATTCTCTATGGTTCCAACCTGGCTTGTAGCAATCTTAATCACATCGCCTGTTTTCAACCAAGGCGGCGGCACCCGTCTGCTTGCAATGCCACTCGGCGTGCCGGTCATGATGACTGTCCCTTTGCGCAACGTGTACCCGTTACTCAAAAACTCGACGACTTTGAAAACGTCAAATACCATGTCGCTTGTGCTCGTGTGCTGCCTCTGCTCTCCGTTCACCCACAACGTCATGTCAATTTGCGACGGATCCACCCCAGGCGCATGCGCATTCAAAATTGTCGGTCCAATGGGCGCAAATGAATCAAAACCCTTGCCGTAGCAGTATTGGCCCCCCGAATGCGGTGGCCGCTGCCAGTGCCGGGACGACAGGTCGTTGCCGCCCGTATAACCCAAGATGTACTCCTTGGCCTCAGAGGCTCGTACATTCTTGCAGTCTTTGGCGATAATGAGGCACAGCTCGACCTCATAGTCCATCAGAAGGGCGTGCGCGGGGATCGTGATGGCATCAAAGGGGCCGGCGAGCGCATCGGCGGGCTTGACGAAGACGACGGGGCTTGGGGGGACTTCGTTCTTTGTCTCAATTATGTGTGCCAGATAGTTCATGCCGACGCAGGGGATCACGGGTGTTCTGTCGAGCGGCGCCAGAACCTAATATGACTGCGGTCTTAGAACACTAGGCAGATATCTGGGTACTTTTGTATCAGAAACGTACCTTTTTAATGGTTGCTGTCTTGCCAGTTACTGTCAGACCACCATCTAGGGGATGGCCGTCGAGAACCGCCGCGGTTGAACCAACAAGGCTGTCAAGTTTATCCGGCGATGCATCTCCCCACTGAATTTTGCCTGTCTCATCCTCAAAGCGGACTAGGTTGGTGAACGGTTGTCCCGCCATGATGAAAGAAGGACCAAATGCCTGGGGCTGTTAAGAGGAACGATCTACTACTGAAGGAGACAAATGAATTTCTCAATCAAGACCAGACATAATATACTCCTGCGTCTTTATAGTGCTACGAACCACTTGATTGCACCATTGAAATCTCATCGCAGTCCATCAAAATACACCCAAGCTCGTAGCCTAGGGTTGTGCGTGGGGGCAACTCAGGAACAATGGGGTACCGAGCCTGTTTGAACCTTGAGCCATGCAGCCACGAAATCGGGTCTACAGCGGGCTTAGATTACGGAGTACTGATAAGATCGTTGGAATGGGGATTTCATTGGCTGTTGGGGTTTCTGCAGCGCATAAAATAGGTACCCGGAATTCAATGAAATGCCGACGATACAAAGCAGTCAGGTCCACGATTTTGTCGCCGAGCTTTCATGATGATGTCTAAGACAGCTCGAGTGATCTTCTCACGTCATACAACAGGGCAGCAGCAAACTCACATTCAGTCTTTGGCGAGAATGGCGCGACTTCAGACAAGCGGCTCTAACAATGTGGCAGCTTTTGAGGGCTTCGACTTACCCAAGCCCGCGGCGAGGGTTTCCTCAACACGGCGAGATATATGGCATGTCTAGTGATCGAGCCCTTGTTGGTCACAGGGGAGAATAATTTAGAACTGAACTGAGGCTAACCTGTAGTTCTTCAGGTCCATTGTGAATGACGCTGCTGACTCTAGCCCTTGCCAACCCGTCATTAACTTGGGTCAAGGTTTCTTGTGAGACTTCCAAAATCGTGTTCGAATTCGAACATACTCCTCATAATTCCAAAAATTACTAACATCTTTCTCTTTTTAGCGGTTACAATCCTCCTCAGTTCGTAATTGATGCTGCCAAAAGCGTCTTTGACCGTGTTGATTGCAACCAATACGCCCCAACAAAGGCAAGAAACACAACCTCCCCAAATATCATAGGTCATGTACCTTGTTTAGGGCAAGGGAGCAAAACCTACGAACTTTGCAGACGAATATCTGACTTACGGCCAACTTCCTGTTTTAGGGCAGAATGAGTCTTAAGAAAGCCATCGCGGATATGTACTCGAAGCTCTTCGACCGTCCTATAAATCCAGAAACAGAAGTGACCATCACGACGGGTGCAAACGAAGGTGCGTAAGAGTGAATGCTCCAGCTACTTTAATTCCGGGACTAGGAGAAATCTCTAAGCTGAGAATGTCAACAGGAATGCTGAGTGCCTTTATGGCATTTCTTGATCAAGGGGATGAAGTCATCGTTTTCGAGCCCTTCTTCGACCAGTACGTTTGCGGGACATTCCTTCATTATTATGGACAGCTTGACTCTCTGTCAATAGGGCTGCCATGCGTTTTTCTCCATAAATGGCTGGACTTCACAATGAAAAGTGGTGGTTTCGCTCTTAATCCGTGTACACTCCGAAGGAGTACGGTCCCTTCATTCAGTTGTGAACGCTCAAAGAACCAGCCGTTAAAAGTACACAGTGCTCACAATGATTAATCTCGTTCTAGGTATATCAGCAACATCCAAATGCCGGGGGCAAAGGTCGTGTACGCCTCGCTTGTGCCTCCAAAAGTCGGCGGCAGAGAAAGGACATCGGCCCGGGATTGGACTGTGGATATAGATCAATTGAAGGGATTGATCACTCTAAACACGAAAATGATCGTTCTGAATTCTCCGTGAGTCTCACTTTTGCATCTTGACACCTTCCAAGGTTGGCCTTTGCGAGATTAGCCTCTGTGGCCAGAGAAGAAAGGCACTGGGTTGGGAAGAGAAAAGCTGACATGTACTTGTAACGGAAGACACAATCCCATCGGAAAAGTCTTCACGCGAAACGAGCTGCTTGCTATCGGAAACCTCTGTGTGAAGCACAATATCATCATGCTGTCCGATGAGGTGGGTTATCAACATACTTTCGCCCCGTGTAATCCGCATTGAGTGATATGACCAGCTGACACTTTCATCTAATCTCTGCGTTACAAGGTCTACGATAGTCTCATGTATGTCAAGGGGACACGACTCTCTACACTATCCCCTGAGATAGAGAGACTCACTCTCACGGTCGGATCCGCGGGAAAGATGCTCTACTGCACAGGTTGGCGTGTAGGATGGCTCATCGGGCCTCCGCATCTCATCCAGTACGTCGCGGCCGCCCATACACGCATCTGCTACAGCAGTGTAAGCCCGCTCCAGGAAGCTGTAGCAATTGCCTTCAAACAGGCAGATAGCCTTGGATTTTGGGAATCGAGTCGCCTGGAGATGCAGGGCAAGATGCGGCGGTTCAACGATGTTTGGGATGAGTTGGGGCTACCGGTGGGTTCTTCTTTTCTGCAGAAGGAAATGTCAGAGAGAAAATCATCGCAAGGTGACAGAGGCATGTTAAAGCTATGGAACTAATGCCAAAGACCGTAGTATTCCATCCCAGAAGGTGGCTATTTTGTTCTCGCCAACTTGAGCAAGGTCAAAATACCGGACGACTACAAGTTCCCTCCTCACATTTTGGAGAGACCCAGGGACTTCAAGCTCTTCTACTTTCTTGTCCAAGAACTGGGTATAGCGGCTGTTCCTCCTACAGGTATGTAACTCTGCGTTGTTCCAATGTGGTTGCTAGCTACCTAAGGCTGACTATTGACACCAGAGTTCTACATTGACGAGCATGCCCACATGGTGCATGATCATTTGCGGTTCGCAGTATGCAAGAATGACGAGGTATTGGAAGATGCAAAGGAACGACTCAGGGGTTTGAAGAAGTTCATTGTTTGAAGAAGTTCATGGCGGCGTGATGCGCAGTCTCGAACCGTGGCGGTTCTCAAATCGACATTCAAGTTATATTCGGTCCCCCACGAAAGAGTAATTGTCAAATAAAAGGTAAAGATGAGATTTTATTCGTGTAATGTCTCGACTCCAAGATTTACGTGACAGCGATATAGCCAGTTGCCCTTGACGTCCTAGGCCCGATGTTGGCCCTCTTCTTGAGCTCGAGAACGCTTTCGCCACTCTCCAAGCGCTGAATAAGCTTCTCAGGTACGAAATCGACCCCCATCGGATTCTCAATAAACGCCTCACTATTCATGAATTCCGTCGCCTCCTCCGCTGTGTCAAAATTGTCCACCTGTGTCTCGACCTCGTTGCCGTCCGGATCGGCGTAGTAAATGCTAGTCGTGGGCCCATGGTTGACGCACCACGAGGGCTTAATCCCCAGCTTGCGGCGCTGCACATACGCTGTCAGGAGCTCGTCGAGCGTATCGTAGGCAAATGAGACATGCGCAAGCCCGCACGAGTTTGTGGCATCGCCGCTGCGCGGGATGGTACCCGGACGGCCTGTGATGGCGATGCGGTGGTGCTCCTCATCATAGGTGATAAAGCTGAGCACTTCGTTGCCCCAGACTACACGCCCGCCGAGAAAAGATACGTACCAGTCGACCATAGGCTTGTATTTTTCGGGCTGGACGCGGAGGACAATGTGACACATCCTCTTAGGACTGAGGACGGTGCCGCTTGCTTCTTGGATGGCCATGCTTGTCTCTGGTTTAGATGAAAGAAATGGCGTCGCGAACTACCAGTCGGGAATCTAAACGGTTGTCTACGACCATTTTCAATGCTGAATTTGACCAGTGCGTGAGTGACCTCATCCTCCAGCTCCGCCCACCTGGTACCAAGGAAATAGCTGTGAGGCCCTTACGTTTTAAAGTATCTTCCTAATTAAATATCCCACTTATAATTATTAAGATAAGCTAGTTTCTTATAAAAGGATTTTTAATAACTTATTATTTTATTATTTTTTATTAAAGTAAAAATAAAATTTAAGAAAAAATAATTAATAAATAAAAAAATAAAAATTATTAAAAGCTTTTAATATATAATTAATAATTAAAATTCTATTAAGTTAGAGACTAAGGTATATACTCTTATTAGTAAGATATGTACTTATTTTCTATACTAGGGTTAGTGGATAGTAACAGCTAGGTCGGCGGACGTCAGTTGCTTATGCCTAGTCTACGTGCCTCATACATTTTCGGATAATTGGGGAACCGAGGAGAGGGATAGTAGTACTCGGCGACGACACGACAATTCGGAACCCCAAGAGCATCATGCGGGAACGCGGCACCTGGGGTCTCCCGACACTGCCGGTCTTGGCTCACAGGACCGGATGCCGCACTGCACAGTGTCCGGGTCTTAGTTACCCTAGCCTAACTCCTTCTAATCAGCTAGGATTAGAGTTAAGATAGGAAAATTAGTATAGGATATGCTTTTTATATTAACTATGTAGAAACTTTTAATCTTTTAACTAGTATAATATTAGTTTATAATAATAATTATTATTAGTAGTAGATTAATAAATTAGTTTTTTAATATATTAATAAATTTAATTAATAATTAATAAATATAATATTAAATATTAAATATTTAATAATAAAACTTAAATAGTTAAACTAATATAATAACTTAATTATATTTAATATTAAAATAGATTCCTTGGAAGAATTTAAGAGGATAGTACTTATAATACTTATAGCGTGAAGTTCTAGTGCTTAAGTGAGGCACGCACTTGTTTGACCAACTCTGCGCCGCTAGGGAGGCAAGTCGAATGTAGATCAGGGACGGCAAGGTCAAGCACTGTATGCATGCAGTAACAACGGTAGGGACTAACACCTGAAGGATGTCCCGCACATAAGGCAAGCTTCCTGTTCAGCCATAAATGGGGCAAGTAAACGGAATAGCAAGCAGCATTGGGGAAATGGCATTGACGTCAACAGTTGCCCAGGAACGTGACTATCCCTCTTGAGTTCATCCTTGTTTTCGGCTATTCATTCCCTCTCCTTGCCCTCCTCTCTTACTCTCCCAAGGTTGTTTTACCCTTCTGCTGGGACACCTGCCGATCAATATGACTGGACGAGTGGCATTCGTGACTGGAGCCAATGGCATTAGCGGAAACGCCATCATAGAGGAACTCATCCGTTCAAAGAAGGAGGAATGGTAGGCCGCCTGTTCCTCTCACAGTTCCCACGACCGCTGATACATGATCGTTAATACCTTCTGACAACTACACACAGGTCCAAAATCGTGGTCACGTCCAGGAAGCCCCTTTTGTACTGTTGGCAAGATCCTCGTATCGAGTTTGTTGCCGTGGACTTCTTGAAGCCACTGGACAGCATTATCAAGAAGCTCAGTCCAGTCTGCAAAGACGTCACGCATGCGTACTTCACGTCGTACGTCCACGTCGCCAGCTTCAACAGCCTTCGTGATGAAAATGTGCCACTCTTTGAGAATTTTCTGCAAGCGATAGATAATGTGGCACCCAAATTGCAGCGGGTATGCCTTCAAACGGGTAATAAGGTAAAACTCGTTTTATGGGTAAATATGCCAGGTACAGTTGAACGCTAACATCGGCCCACCCAGCATTATGGAGTTCACTTGGGCCCGGTCCCACTTCCGGTCAACGAGTCTCTTGGGCGGTTGGACAAGTCCGGCACAAACTTCTATTACGAGCAAGAAGACATCCTATTTGAGCTCGCGGCAAAGCGACCATGGTCCTACAATATCGTGCGACCTCATGCCATTGTGGGCTACGCTCCTGGAGGTGAGTACGCCCTTACTGTGTTAGCTACGAGTCTGAATGCTAGGGCGACACACGGAGGAAAGTAAAACCACGAAGAACAATAAGCCAGTACTGACATTTACGCTTCGCTCCAAAAGCAAATGGCATGTCTCAAGCGACCACTGCCGCCATCTACTTTCTGATCTGCCGGGAACTGGGCGAAGAGCCCAAGTTCCCAGGAAACAAGATAATCTACAACTCCCTGGATGACAGCTCTTCTGCAACCAGCCTGGCGGATCTGACATTATTCGTCACGACGGAGGAGCGAGCCAAGAACGAAGACTTCGTACACACCAACGGCGATGTCTATATGTGGCGTTATTTCTGGCCGTTTCTCGCCTCGTATTTTGGTCTAGAGGTAAAGCCTTCAGACCCTACACGTTTATCCACTCACTATGAAAGGAATGCTAACGAAAGTTAAATTGGAAAAAGGTCCCAACCACACAGTTCAGCACAGCTAAGGCCGCTACGGAGACCTATGAAAATGAAGTCCTTCTGGTCGAATGGGCCAAGGACAAGAGGCCTGTCTGGGACAGAATATGTGCTAAGTATGGCGGTAAGCCAGAGGCTTTCGACTGGGGCACATGGCAGTTCTTTGAGTGGTCCTTGGGTAAGAGGTGGCCCACGATTGCGAGCAATGCCAAAGCGCGCCGGTATGGCTGGAAGCGCATTGATAACACCCATGATGCGTGGATTGACACATTCAAGACGCTCTCAAACGTCGGTGTTATTCCGAGCCGGGGGGCCCTTCTGGCTTCTGGGAATGAGAACGCGGCAAACTAGGGCTGAATGCGGCGGACGGAGGTATTAGGCTGGTGAAGACTAAGAATACTGGCTAAGAGTGATTGTGAGACTATTGGCGTGTTGGTATTTTCTCTTAGGATTCTGATCTCATGTTGATGCGCAGCTGTGTATGATTCCGACTTTGTCGAACTAGTTAGTTATTGGCGGCGGATCTCAAGCTTGAGAGGAAGTGAATATGACATATTTTGTCTGCAATATTGTATTTGACCGCAGAGACTGGGTTCTTCCTCTCGTGAAACCGGTGGCACAGGTACAGTTCACATCACACGAGAACCTTCGCTTACATCTACTAAGCCCCAGGTGACAAATTGGCAGACGTATTGGGAGGTATGGGTTGAAATGTGGGCAGCGTTCATACCTAACACCCCTTGCCTATTGTACTATGTTACCCTGTCCCAGCCTAGTAGTACTCCAAGCCTGCTGCAGCGTCTCTAACTTGATCCGAACCCCAGTCGTAAACCATGTATTCCCCTCATCCGCATCAAGTAGTGCAATACACGCCCCCAGCACCCTCCCTGGCTCGCGGTCCACACGCATCGTCACCGCGCCCCCGTTCAGAAGCACCGGCAGGCCCTTCCCCTGGCGCAAGAACCGCTCCACCGCCGGATCCCCCGGCAGCACCGAGTCGATGGCGATGAGCACCTGCTTGCCGCGACCGCTGCTGTCCTTCTCACGCGATGGAGGCGACGACGGCGGCGGCGGCGATGACGAAGACGAGGAGGAGGAGCATTGCTGCATGCTTGCATAGGCCCACAGCACCAGTGCAGCGCGGTACACGGCCGCGCCCCACCAGGGCGGGCGCCTCGAGAGGGCCGTTTCGCGCACGAGTCGGAGGACCTGCCCAGCGTGGTAGAGGGCGTCGTGCGGCGCAAAGACGCACTGGGCGGCAATGTGGCGCTGGCGAGTACGGAGGGAGATGGCGTGATGGCCGCCGGCGCCGCTGCCGCCGATGTACTCGGCTTCATCGCTGCTGCTGCCGGCGGAGCAAGATGGGTCTTCGCCGCGGGCAAGGCCCTCGATGGCTTTGAGATCGGCGTACAGGTTTAGGCTGATGAGGTGGAACAGGAGGAAATTGGCGCTGGGAAGCACTTGGTCGGATTCTGACGGCGGCGGTGTGAGTGGCTGCCCGGGATCGGCTGTGACGGCGGGGGCCCGATGCTGGCACTGTTGTGCGAGGGCCCACCAGTTCTGTAGGAGGTTCTGCAGCTCCTCGAAGCGCAGGAGGGATGAGGTACGAGTGGTGGTCTTGAAGCTAGACGAGGCACGAATTTGCTTGTCGGGGACAGCGTCCAGTAGTTGGCTGTGGTGGAAAACAAGGCTTTGGATGGGGTACAGGAGTAGCCGCAGGCGGGTCGGCGTGAGGTGGTAGGAGTCTAGGTTGATCTCGTTGGCGAGGCAGAGCTGGAAAACCTGGCGGAGCGAGTATTGAGGTCGCGAGGCGTTCTCGCTGTGACAAAGAGCCCTCCATTCGTCGGCGCTCTTAGCAAGCCAGAGGGCGTCGATCTCGGGGAGGGGGGCGCGGAGCTCGGTGATGGCGAAGGTAGGGGGTTGATCGTAGAAGAGGCTAAGCTCTTGGTCAAGCATGACCCAATCGTATGCAAGTCTGCTCTTGGATGCTTTTGTTAGTGCTTGTGTAGACAATGTCGCACGGGACTTTATTGTCGGATCAAACTTCCCTTCGCCGGCCTTCCTGCTCAACCCATTTCCGCCACGCGGCGTGGACACTTGTGCGTCTATCAACGGCGACCGCATCCCAGAGAAGGTTCTGTGTCTTCTTTTGAAAGTACCCAGAGTTTCGAATCATCTACAGACTCAATGTGTCAGCTCAACTCCTCCCACACCTGCCGGTCCTCCTCGCAGGGGCAACACTGTACGATGTTGCAAGAAAAAAGAAAGAAAGAAAAGGAACACTGACCGCAATATACATGAAGCGGTGGCCCGCCCCGATATCCATCTGCCACTTTTCGCCGCCCCAGCATGACTGGATGGTTAGCAACAGACTGCACTGCAGGATCAATGGCACCGTCGAGTACTGATTGTCCTTCTCCACCAAATCCGTGAGCGCGATGCGACACACTTCGGCCAGCCCCGCGCCAAACCGCCTTGCCCTGGTCGCACGGTTGCATGACGCCCCAATGGCCATCATGAGCAGCAGCAACAGCACCGCGCCCTTCTCGTTGCCGCTGGCGCCGAGCAAGTCATTGGGGTCGAGAGTGTGCGTGGGCACAAGGGGGTAGAAGGGTTCCACGCAGCGAATGTAAGTCTCGAGGAAGATATCAAGGTCCGCAGTGGGCGGCAGCAGGATAAACCCCGACGAGCCGAACCATTCTGAGGCGTTGCGGTTTAAGGATGATGCCGAGGCCGAGGCCATCCCGTGCATCTCGAGGGCCCTGGGGAAGAAGGTCTGAGTGATGGCGGACAGCCGCTCTCGCGTGGACGCCGAGAGCGACACGTTGCTGCCCACAGGCTCGGTGCTGCCGCGCGTGGGCAGGCTCCAGGGGCCGGCCGAGTTGCGCAGCCTCGAGCTTTCTTCGAGGAAGGACAGGTGGGCGGTTGCGCGGCCGGGGGATACGGAAGACGGAGTGGGACAGCACTGGAACATGGTCCAGTGCTCAACGTCCTTGGGGAGGATCCAAAAGTCATCCTCGCCCGTCTCTCTCACGGTGAGGCGGGGATGTCGTGCTGTTGTGTCTGAGCCAGGGGGTGTATCAACTTCCACTGTTGGTGCATCCATGTGCGGCTCTGGCTGCGGCTCTGGCTGCGGCTGTGGCATAACAACACCCACTTTGCTTCCACTTGTGACAAGAGTTGCTGGTGGCTCCATGGTGAAAGGAGGTGAACAGGAAAAGGGCAGGAAGGCGCCAAAGACGCTAGAAGCTGGGTTAAACAAGTACTCAAAGTCCTCTGGCGGATCGCCAAAGTCCCATGATGGACCAAAGACGACAGGATCCCCGGCACCCGGGACAGAGTCCATCGGTGGGAAGATTTCTGGATCAACAGCTTCCTGCGGCCAGAGCATGGAGGCAGGCCGGGAAGGATCTGTCTGGTCGTGTTGCGAAGGGGCAAGAAGGGCCGTGGCCACGCTGGAAGGACTCGGGGCAGGATAACCTGCCACTACGCCTTGGGGGCTCCATGAAGAAGACGAGGCCGCGTTAACAGACGGTCCAAGCCCTGATGGTGGTCCTGATTCTTGCCCTGGTTCTTGTCCTGCATGTGGGTAGCCGTTGACAACGCTTCCCGCCGAGGACGGTGTATCCTTGACTCCACTACAGATTGAGTGAGTGCGGGCGGGCGAATTCGCTGCCGAGTTCGAGCGAGCATCCTCTGGCTGTGCTTCCGGCTGCCCTTGCCCCTGCCTCAGCTTAGGTCGTGGCCCCCGAGGACGAGTTGTGCGGGCTGCGCAGGTCAGACCCTTGGACCGGCAGCGCGTACATGGCTGTTTGGTGTCGTTGTCACACTTTGTCTTTGTGCGCGCACAGTTGGAGCAGGCCACAGTGCTGCGGACCTTGGTGAGAAGCGCGCGCGCGGACTCGCTGTCGTGCGTGCCGAGCCCAGTCGTGTTATTCTTCTGCGTGATATCGTTGGCATGGTGGGAGAGGAAGTGCTTCTTCATCAAGTCCCTGGCATATGGATTTCCAAGTTCAGCTGAGCGAGCACGAACGAAAACATTCAAGTGATTCCACACCACTCACTTACTTGCGTTTGAAGGTGATATTGCATATTGGGCAGTTGAACGGCCGGAGATCGCTATCTACAGTAAGGTGTGTTGGTTACTCGTTAAGGCACTCATCCCCACACCTACTAAGCAGGTATATTGTGATTGCGTTGCGGGTGGGGCCCTGGGGACCCGAGAATGGCAGATGTCAACGTACGGGTCAGCACATGTCGTTGCAGGTGCTCATTTCTTGCGAAACCCTGCCCGCAGTATGTGCAATAGATAGTCATGCTGCTGTGTATGGGAATAGCGGCCCAAGGTCGGGTGGTGCTACAGACAAACTTAAAGGGTGGAGAACCGACTCGCGCAGATGTTGCGAGGATGCCTTTAAGGCGCGTGTGCGACCTGGCGGGGTCGAATATCTGGGGTTAACAACCTGGGGTCGGAAATCCGGGGGTTGAAACTCTGGGGAATCTTATTTCCCGAGGACCAATCTAGCCCAATCTAGGCTTTCGTAGACCCACTGCGCGCGCTGTATGCTCGACATATGTACCAAAAGACCCACAGCCCCACCATTTGCATTGGCATGTAGGGCTGTTAGCTTGCTACCATAGCGCTCCCTAGGGTGTTTTTAAATATCGCATGTAGTATTATTCCTTATAAGAAGGGACCATTCTCTCCCTTTTTTAGGTCTCCTTATTATTTTTTTACTATTTTATTTATAAGAAGATAGTCCTTCTTATTATAATTTTTCTATAAAGTAATTATAGAAATTATAATATTAATATAATTTTTTAAAACTATATTATAAAAGATTTAAAAGTTATTTAAATTAATAAAATAACTTAAATAAATAAAGTATATAAATCTATTAATTAATCTTTAAAGTTATAATAAATATAACTTTATTAATTCTATAAGTAATTATTTTATACCTTTAATAATAAAATATATTATATAATAATTAAAAATGTAATTACTTTACTAATATATATATATATAAAGAGTTATAAATATATTTTATATTTTATATTTTATATTTATATATATATAATAGTTATAATTATAAATTATATATAATTTTAAATATTATAATTAAAAATATAAATAATTAATAAATAGTTTATATTTTAAAATATAATTTTATAAAATAAATTATTTTATAAATATATTAAACTTATTAAATATATTATTAAAATAGTTTAAATAATATTTTTATTATATAAAAGAATGAAAATTATAAGTATTTATAATAAAATATTATAAAACTTAATATATTTTTATATAATATTCAATAAATTCTACTTAAATTCTTTTTAAATTTTAATATAAATTAAAAAAGATAAGTTAATAATTTATAAACTATTTATATTTTTTAATTCTACTATTAAACTAAAAGTAAATAATTAAAGTTTTAAAAAATAAAATATAATATATTTTTAAAGATTAATTTAATTAAGTTTACTATATAAAACTTTTTATAATAACTTTAATAATTTACTATATTTATAATATTATTTATTATTAAAAGATACCTTTTATATTAATATATTAAACTATACTTAATTAGTTTAAACTAGTATTATTAGTTTTAATATAAATTAATCTTATTAATTAACTTAAAAGAAAGTATTCTCTTTAATATCTCTTTATAACGATAGAATATATACCTATTAAAAGTTAAAGCTATTATAAACTATAGGTTACCTAATCTTAATACTATTAAGCACTATATATAAGGTCGCTATATAACTTAAGTAAGTTAGTTAAAATAAGTATAAATAAAGCTATTATTCCTTTAAGGGATATATATAAGTTCTAACTCTATTTAAATAAACATTTATTTAATAAACTTAAGAGACTATTAGCTTTATAAATAAAACTACTTAAAAGTAATCAATCAACTTATTAAATTAAAAATAATTAAATAAAGTAACTATACTTTATTATTTAAGTTTATAGTTTTAATAACTCTATTATAAATAAAAAAGAAATAGTTATTAATAATTAAATTTATAATTATATAAAAATAAACCTTTATTTTAAAAGAAGTTATTAATATTTAAAATAATTAATATAGTTTTAAAGAAGTTAAGAGATTATAAGTTTAATTTAAAGGAAATTAAAATCTATAAGAATCTTAAACTTACACTTAAGGATTCTAATTTAATATTTATAAAAATAAAAATAAAAGTATTTATAAAACTTTTAAAAAAGCTTAAATTAAGTTAAAGATTAAACTAAATTATAATATAATAAAATAATTAAATTAAAATTAATTAGAAAATTATAATTATAAGTCTTTTAACCTTATACCTAGGAGGGAAGTTAATAACTTATACTAATTATTTTAAGAGACTTAAGGTGCGGTAGTGCTTAGAGTCTTCCGGGTACCGTGCTGGTGGCAGGCTCCTTGAGATAACACTGATACGGAATAGAAGTGGACCAGATAAATAAACACTACTTCTTGGTCCTGCCCCCATGTGTTTAATTCTAACGTATAGGTAGCACCAAAGGGCTGATGCTTATTACATGTCTCTGTCTGAGACTACAGCACGGTCGCTACTACAGCATCAACACTACTCAAGTACACTTGGCACGATATCGAGCATGGGAGAGGAACCTTTCGCTCGACCCGCCGCCGGCGTCTCCTTTGGGCGAGCCATGCGCAACACGCATTTTCTCATCGAACCGGCCTACGTCAACCTGAACCACGGCTCCTTCGGAAGCACAGTCCGCCCAGTGCGCGATGCCATGCGCGCCTACCAAGATGCCTCGGAGCAGGCGCCCGACCGGTACATCCGGTACGAGTACCCGCGCCTCCTCGACGCCTCGCGGCACGCCGCCGCGGCCCACCTGCGCGTGGACCCGGACGAGCTGGTGCTCGTCGCCAACGCCACGACGGCCGTCAACGCCGTGCTCCGCAACCTGGCCCCGCGGTGGGTCGCAGGGGATGTCGTTCTGTTCCTCGACACCGTGTATGGGGCCACACGGAAGACCATCGACTGGGTGGTCGACACGTCGCCGGCCGAGAGCGTGTGTGTTGACTTCTCGCTGCCGTCGGACTCGCACGCGGATATTCTGGACGCTTTCAGGGCGGCCTTTGCGCAGTGTGCGCGGCAGGGCAAGAGGGTACGCGTGGCGGTCCTGGAGACGATCCCGAGCTTGCCGGGCGTGAGGCTTCCCTTTGAGGAAATGAACCGCATTGCACAGGCTGAGGGCGCCTTGACCCTGGTGGATGGTGCTCGTAAGTAAAGTAACCAGCTGACTCGTTGCCGTTACGACTTCTGATGGGTCGGTTGTGTGCCCTTCGCAGACGCCATAGGGCATTTCCCATTCGACCTCAGCAGCCTCAGTCCAGACTTTTTCACGTCTAACTGCCACAAGTAGGTAGATAAGCGTACCTTTTCCTTTTCTCTTACTGGCCAGAATGCCAACACACGAATAGATGGCTCTACACCCCACGAGGCTGCGCAATTCTCTACGTCCCGCTCCGCAACCAGCACCTCATGCGCTCCTCCCTGCCCACGTCGCACTGGTATGAGCCCCTTTCCCACCCGCAAGGAGCAGGGCCGACGCCCAACCCCCTCCCACCATCTACCAAGAGCAACTTCGTCCAGCAGTTTGAGTTCGTGGGCACCGTTGACAACGCCTCGCTGCTGTGCGTCCCCGCCGCATTGCAATTCCGCCGTGACGTGTGCGGCGGCGAAGACGCCATCATGCGCTACTGCTGGGATCTCGCAGCACGAGGTGGCGCCCTGGCGGCGAGCATCCTGGGGACAGAGGTGATGGACGACGCAGGCGGCGGGCTGCGCCACCAGTGCGCCATGGTCATGGTCCGCATGCCTCTGGAAATGAAAAAGAACAATGCGGTAGATGGAGAGGGCAATGCCGCACCGCGGATCCAGAGCTGGATGAGCGAGGAGATGGTAAGCAAACATGGCACGTTCATCGCCATAGTCTTCTACCAAGGCCAGTGGTGGGCACGCTTCTCGGCGCAGATCTACCTTGAACTGAGTGATTTCGAGTGGGGAGCTGGTGTTCTGAAGCAGCTGTGTGCAGAAGCGGCTGTGGCATTTCCAGAACTAGTTATGTAGATGGTTCGGCTTGCATATGTATGTACTTATATGTCCTCGGACGTATACGGGATAGAAGCAAAACCGGCAGTTACAGCAGGTAAAACTATCGACGCCTGGCATAGACACACCAACTCTTCCCAACCTTAACTTTAACCTAGACCCGCACACGCACAGACACATGCATAGCTTAGCCCTTTGATTGAACATGGTTCACTTACTCTACTTTCTTTGCTCGTGGCGTAATGTGAAAAAACATGGCCTTGCCCTGCGGCGACATGACCCCGCGATCCTGCGCATACATCATAGCAGATGTGGTCCTTTCCGAGTCCAATCGCAACTCAAACCGGTTGTAAAGAGCACAAACCAGCAGCATAATGTCCATACGCGCCAGGTGCATGCCGATGCAGTTGCGCGGCCCCGTGCTGAAGGGCCGGAACGCCAGCTTCATGGCTTCGGTGGGCGCCGCCCAGCGCTCGGGCACGAAGACCTCGGGGTCTGGGAAGATGGCCGGGTCACGGTGCGTGGTGTAGGCCAGGTTGCAGACGCGCGTGCCGGCGGGGACGAAGTGGCCGCCGATCTGCTTGCCTGGGGAGATGCGTGGGAGGTTGACGGGGATGGGCCCGCGGAGGCGGAGGGTCTCGTCTAGGACTTGGTTGAGGTATGGCTTGATTCACAACATGAACACATTAGTCGATGGTTGCCTGCTTGCCACTGCGTGGATAGACGACGTACCAGGTGTTGGATGCTTTCAAAGCGGGGGATTGTCCCGGTGTCTGACGAGCAGGCCTCTCGGATCTCCTTGACCAGCTTCTCCTTGACGGCGGGATGCTTGTCAACCTCGTACAGAAAATATAGCGATGAGCTCAACGACGTCTCGCTGCCGGCCTGTATAAACACAATGGCATTCTCCATCAGCTCCAAGTCTGTCAGCGGCTGCGTGAGCCGGTGCTCATCCTGCTCAGTCTTTCCGAGTCCTTCGTTGTCCAGGTTCGTCTGTACACTCGTCTCCACGACACGCTTCAGCAACGACCCTTCCCTCACCATGTCCTTGGCCAGCCGTGCCCGGAACGCCTCAATCCGCTGCCGCGCAAACTCCACCATCCGCGGCCGTGCTCGCACTGCTTCCTGCACAAATCCGGCTGGCACCCACTCAATAAATGGCACCATGCCGACCAGCGCAGAGATGTTTTGTAGCTGGTCCGCCCACCGCGCCTCTTCGACAAGGTGCCCGCCCAGCGTGTCAAACGACTCGTCAAAGCTGAGCTCGCTGATGATGTCTACAAAGAGGCGCGAGAGGGGCTCGTAGAGATCTACCGGCTGAGAACCGCCGTCCCCGCCGTCCCCTTCGCCTCGCTCTGGCTGCTGTCGCTGCGCAGCCTCCAGCCTATCGAGACACCTGGCTATGATGGGGGCCACACGCCCCTGCATCTGGGAGACCTCGGCCAGCGAGAAGGCATGCGCAAACAGCCGCCGGATGCGCGCATGCTCGGCACGCTCAAAGCTGTTGAAGACATTGCGGGCGCCACACACGGTAAAGGGCCCGTAGAAGGCCGAGTCTTTTGGGCACGGGCGCGACGACTGGCCGTAGATGTCCTTGACGGACACCAGGTCGCTGAAGAGCAGCTCGTTGGGCCCGATGCGCACGGGGCCTGGGCCGTAGCGCTGGCTCCAGGCGTGGCGGGTGCGCGTCGACTCGCCCGCCAGAGAGGCGAGGATCGTGTTCCATTCGGTGAGCTTGCCAAGCCAAGGGCCCGGGTAGGCAGCAAGAGGATGGAAGTAGAGGCGGTAGATGACAAGGGAGGCGGTATAGAGAAGGGCAAGCCCGAAGATTGCGGCGACGACAGTGGTTGTCGTGATAGTGGTGAGGGCCAATTGGACCCTGACGGGCAAATCTGCTACATGCATCACGAGCGTCATGATGGACTCTGATCCGGAGCTCAGTGCGTATGGCAAAGTTGGCCCCCGTGTAGAACCACTGCAGTCACGGAGGGCATATCTTTTGAACTAACTAGGTTCCAACATCGTTCTCACCATCCCATTCTTACAGTGGCATTGCATGTAGTACTCAATTAACCTTTGCCTAGTTGTCTGCGGTCCTAGTTGCCGTGCAACTCTTGAGACTGGGGACGGCCGTCGAGAAACAACCACCAGGATGTGCCTGGCTTAGACCAGGCCACGCCACACACAGCAGGAGGTGGGGTTCCGCATCCTTGGGTAGCCTCCAAGTGAACCGAGACTAACACGCCGCAGACCTCGGGAGGCTTTGGGTGGGGTGCCGTAGCTGTCAGCTGTCCCAACTGTGCGTAAGCTGAATGCCGGGTTTCATGTTGGAGTCGTCCAATACACCCTGGTGCTCATTCGACACTTGCAAAACCGCGCCAATAACATACAATTATTAGTGAATACATAGTATACATATACACATTAAACTATTAAAAGAATTTATAATCTTTTTTAAATATATTTATATGTAAGCAACTTGAGTAAATGCTTATATATGTATGCATTATAAATTCCATTTTGAAAGTGTTAAATTTACATGTAAGTAGGACTGCTAAAAGGCCCATGCGGGGTCTCCTCAGTGATCTGTCTACGCACGGTAACCCTACCCTTCGAAGTACTTATATCACTGGAAGTGAGGTGGTCTCTCTTCAACATCCACTGACTAATCAACTGACCCAAGAAACCGGAAACACTCTGATTATCATCTCCTAACATGTCCAAAACATCGCTCGCGAATGGGAATGGGGTGTCGGACAAGTTGATCCTGCAGGCTCTCTCCGAGGTGAACGCGACAGCCCAGCAGTGGAGTAACGCCTCGAGTCAGGAGAAGAATGGCGACGACACCGAGGCTGCAGTGGCCAAGGCACGGTTTCAGCTGGCCAACCAGGTCTGGCGACTGTACTCGGCCATCAAGGGGCCTGCTGATATGGTCCATGACCACTTAGAAAGGGTATGTTGGTACAGTGCCTACGGGACGATATGATTTGGAAAGGTATCTGACCACAAGACTAGTTCACGTATACTGGCGCCGTGCGTACATTGCTGGCCGTGGGCGTGTTTGATGAGTTGCCCACGGATGGGAAGAGCAAATCCGCGCAACAACTCAGTGACAAGCTTGGAATTGAGAAATTATTGTTGAGTAAGTCCATTCATACTCTGCTGCGCATCAACGTCTGGTCGACAGGTTTCATTTTGGGAACCTTGTTTGGCGTGAATAGGGAGACAGTGACCCCAAGCTCATTCTTCCTGCTCATATAAAGTTCGCCTGATGAGAATCACCACGGCACTTGGTCTATTCGCCGAAGTCAACAAGGAGGAATACGCCCATACGGCTCTGTCGAAAGCCTATTTGGCCCCTGGGCTCAGAGGCTTTTTCCAAATGGCGTAAGGACTTCCTAACACAACCTTCTTGCTATTTGAATGCAGTGATGACCCTTGGCGCAAATGTTGACAAGAAAGAAAAAAAGCGTCGACGAGCACATGGCCGTCTCCGCCAATTTCCACGAATACTTTCAGCAAAATGGCTACAAGGTGCCCACCTCGCCCAACGACAACCCCTACACCTTCCACTTCAAGACCGGTGGGCTGCCCATCTTCGAATGGATGCAGAAATTTCCGGCGCGCATCGAGAGCTTTAACATGGCAATGACAACAGGCTCCAAGCAGGGCGACGCGTCCATCGCGCTGTTCCCTTGGCGCGAGGCCGTGAAGCGGAGCTCAAGCAACAGCACCACGGCCGAGACACCTCTGGTCATCGACGTCGGGGGTGGGCGCGGCCATGCGGCTCACCTGATTCGGCAGGAACTTGATGGCGTGCCCGGGCGCGTGATTGTGCAGGATCTACCTGGAACGATTGAGCAGGCACGGGATGAGTATCCCGACGTCGAGAAGCTAACGCACAATTTCTTTGAACCGCAGCCCGTGAAAGGTAAGATGAGATTATTCCTCCTCCCACAAATTCCGTCGTCACCTTTACCCGCTGCCATCCCGCTTCCCACACCCTGGCCTCCGACTCATCTGGCTAACAACTAACTCGCATGTGCACTAGGCGCTCTCGTCTATTTCATCCGCCGCGTCCTCCACGACTGGCCGGATGAGGTCTGTGTGGGCATCCTGAAAAACGTGGCGCTGGCCATGACTCCCGAGTCACGCATTGTCATCAACGAGTTCCTGGTCCCAGAAGTTGGCGCAGACGCTGAGACATGCTGGGTCGATCTGGTCATGCTGACCTTTGCCGGGATGGAGCGGACGGCGGCGCAGTTTGAGGCGATTCTTAATGCTGCGGGTCTGAAATTGACCAAGATCCATAGCAGCCCCAAGACACACTATGTGGGTTGTTTCATTCCCGTTATTTTTCTGCTCGTCCTATACTAATCACAAGCCGCAGGTCGCTGTTGAGGCACAGCTGAAGTAGATGCAATAGGCCTGGGATGTCACGGTGTGGGGAGTTCGAAATGGTCAAGCTACATCAGTAGGAAGTTGGCATCTACATGTACTGCCTAGGGTAGACAGACACAATTTACATCCAAACTTCACATAGTATAAAAATACACAGGAAAGAGTGTTAGCCTAGCCTGCTTAGAGTTCACTTTCAATCTTCCCTTGATAACTAATTAAATGCTATTATCACGGTCTGCTGTCTTTCCCTTAAAGGCGCACACGAGGCCAGGACGCCCTAACTACCTAGGTACGCCGCAAATACCCTTACTACACTCACGGTATAGGTCCGGCTTGCGTGCAAAACATATGAAGATCTGTCTGAGCATTAAACTCGCAATATTCGCACCTTAAAGTCGATTAATTAATTATTAGAAATGATATTTTCTATAGTATATAAACTTATATTTTTTAAATTATATTATTAATAATACTTAGTTAATATTAAAATTTAATAAAGCTTTAAAACTTTAAATAAAAAGTTTTAAATAATTTTAAATATAAAGTATATTTTTTAATTTATTTTATATAAAAAAGTATTACTAAAATTAATTAATTAATTAAAAGTTTAACTATTAGTTATTTAATATATAATAAAATATTAAAAGTGAAATATAAATTAAAAATAAGTTAAGTCTATTATAAGTATATTATTATAACTATTATAAATTCTTATAGAATATTAGTTACTTTCTTTCTTCTTAGGAGAGGAGATTTAATATTTCTCTAGAGGTCCCCTTAGAGGAGATATTACTTAGTATTCATTGTTAGTAGTAGCTTCTTCTCCTAACCTCAAAACATCTTCTTAATTACTAAGAAACATAAATTGAACCGCGTTGGTTCTGGGAACTCGGGTCGTGTCTGCCGCCCTACTCCCTGCCCTCCGATGTGCCTCGCGCTTCGGGGCTCGCCCCTTCGCCCCGGCCGGCCCTTTCGGTAAGTGGGAATGTAGATGTTTTGAGATATTGCTGGGAAGTGAAGCTGTCTTTGCCGCAATGCCGAAAAAAATTGCCAAGCAAGAGATTCTTCCTACAGGGTAGTGCCAAATTCCGGTTGCTGTCATAACACAATTGGCACCACGGCAAATTGCCCCGGGACCCCAAGCACTACGCAACTGGACATCCCGTGTGCCTCTCACTAGCAGCTGGTCGTGGCATGTGCATTAGCATAATATGCTTTAATGCACAGACATGGCCTATCGATCATTTGAAGCCTCAAACGGCAGCATATCTGGCAGACGTTCCTGTTGTCTACAGCTCTTTTCCAAGAAGAAAAAGAAAAATCAAAAATCAAAAAATTAGCCTAGTTGACCAAACATGTCGTCCCTCCGCAAGCAAGGGCCCCCCTTCCGCGCCGAGCACATCGGCTCCCTCCTGCGGCCCCACAAACTCCGCAACGCCATGCTCACGCCCGGGGAGATCAGCCAGGCTGATCTTGCCGAGCTCACCAGCACTTCTGTGGCTGACATTGTGGCCACGCAGTGCAAGCTAGGCTTCTGTGCGCCTACCGACGGCGAGTACCAGCGTATCATTTTCATCGGCAACTTCCACCTGGCCCTTGCCGGCTTCGAAGATGTCGTCGACCGGCCCATCCCGAAAGAGGCCTTCCGCACCTACCTGCCTGATGTCGCCGACTTTTTGCGACGCGGTGAGGGCATACCGTATACGACCATGTGCACGGGGCGGATCCGGCATGAGTTGGATCGGCCCATCTATGAGAAGGAGTTTGCCCATGTGCAGTCATTGGTGGAGGAGCTTGAGAAGAAAGGTGGAACTGGCCAGAGGGCCAAAATTGTGCCCAAAATCACTATCATCTCACCACTCTGGTATTACACTCTGTACCGGAAGGGTCACGCCTATCCTCAGGATGTCTATGCCAATGATGACGAGTATTTGGCGGACTTGTCCCGAGCCTTTAGGAAGGAGATTGATTTGCTCTACGGGATCGGGTGCCGAAACATCCAGGTTGATGACCCATACTTGACAGGCAAGTGATTGATGAACCGTGACTGCTCCCGTGAGGAGCACATGCAATTAGCAAAACTGACAGCAACAAAGGATTCTGCGATGAGCGAGTAATCTCCGGCTTCAGGGAAGATGGTGAAGAGCCGCTCGAGATTTTGTCAAAGTACTTACAATTTTACAACACTTGCCTTGAGGGAAAGCCGGCCGACTTGCATGTCGGCATGCATATGTGCAGAGGTGAGTCATAGGATTCTCCAACGACATCTTCAAATGAAGTGTGTGTCGATATTAGAAGCCGATGTGCCCATAACTGACAATACTCAGGAAACTACAAGAACTCACGCTACTTCACAATTGGGTCCTACAACCATATCGCCGAGACCTTGTTTGGAGAGTCCAAGGCCTTTGACACCTTTTACCTTGAGTACGATGACTCCCGCTCCGGCACCTTTGAGCCGTTGCGCCACCTGCCCAGAGACAAGAACGTCATCCTTGGCGTCGTGTCCACGAAGCACCCAGAACTGGAAGATCTGGACGAACTCAAGGCCCGCGTCTTGCAGGCGGCCAAGTACGTTGCTGAGGGGACGGGTCAGACGCTGGAGCAAGCGTTGCAGCAGCTTGGCGTAAGCCCACAGTGTGGGTTCGCCAGTCATGTGTTTGGGAATGCGGCGACTTGGGAGGATATGTTGGGGAAGCTGAGGCTCGTCCGCCAACTTGCTGATGATTTGTGGCCTGGACAGCTTTAAAGCTGGTTTCGCTTCTATTCCGTATACGTCCTTAAAAGAAGACGTCAGCGGGAAGAAATTTGGAATGGATTCAATCGCTCGCTCATAGGTGTATGGGAAATATTCTACGGCGTACATCAAGCAACTCCCTCTCCATCATCTAGGTTCTTGTACAGAGAAGCACTATTGCATTAAGTTTAGTTATCCACAACTGTGCGTGAAATCCATCCAATTCCACAGCATTTGACACTGATATCCAAGAATCACCGTAAGAAGGCGCCATGTATGTCCTCGGACGTATACGGAATAGAAGCGAAACCACCCAAAACCACATATCCAAGAATTTCTCTTGGTTGAGGATTCTCATAGACCAACTGTATCACGAAAGACCCGCCCCTGTCTGACTGACCGCAGATACTCCAACTACGACGAGTGATAAGAGTCCAGATCATGTAAAATTCGGCATTGGATACCTCACCCGAAGACGGGCTCCATAAACATGCAACAACACGACGAGAGCCGTCGCCGCGACAGAGACCAAGGCCTGTATACCATAGACCCACTTATACCCCATGGCCCTCGCCCCTTGATTGGACATAGAAAATATCAGCATTCCATTACTCATAACGTGAGAGAAGGCTGGAGGAGTGTTCATCACAGGCACTTACAAGGCTCTTGGTAGAAACCAATGGCAAAGCCACCAACAACGCGCCCAAAGTTGATCCACGCGGCGACCTCCGATGGGATACCAGGGTATGCATCAGTAACATAAGAAGTCCCAGCGACCGACGATAACATGATGCCAAAACTATAGATGCCCCATCCGAGAATGACTGCTGCGTGGGGAAGGTGGTCCTCCAAGGCGAAGCCCGTCAAAACAAGACCACAGACGTAGAAGGGCGCAGAGATATACAAAATATAACTGTCAGACATCAAAAGTGCCGAAGTCAGTAAGTGGAATCTATAAGACCAACGCATATTTACGAGACAGGCCAACTGGTGGTGGGCAAATGTAGGTAGAAACTCACAGGCGTGCTTCGGGCTCAAAGATGCCATTATGCGTCTTGATATACCAACGCTGTATCCAGTCGTTGAGATAGTGCCCCACTATCTCGGCCAGAATGATGCCCACTATCGGCGTGAAGTAAAGATAACCAAGCGAGGTAGAGCTAAATCCGTATCCTCCGAATTGCTCGGGGGTCGTAAACAAGAGCGCGGCGGACAGATTGATGCCAATTGCCCAGCCAAAGACCAGCATACTGTTTATAAGGGAGGTTAACATCCGCCGTCTGGCCACGAGTGGCTCCTCCGCGACGCTATCCATGACGGTGTCCAGTGACTTACTAGGAAACGCAAATTATGCCCAAGGCTGGCCGAGTGACTAGGAACGCGAATCGAGTGAAGGCCGTCTTGATAGTCGGGAAGTAGTCGGTGTGGTACTCGATAGACCAGATGCCCGTGACACGACGCATGCGAGCCAGAAAGTCCGCAGGCCGGGGGGGCTGATGCGAGAGGGGAACGTCCCGGTTATACCACGACTCATCAAGAAAGAGTATAATCAGTACAAGCTGCAGGCCCGCGATACCGCTAGTCAGCCACATGACATCTGGCCAATGACCTGTGGCCCCGAGCACAAAGTTTCCCAGGCAAGGGCCAAGATAGGGAGAGGTGACGTAGATGGTGGCCCAGATGCCAATCTTGCGGGCGCATTCGTGGAAGAAGAAGACGTCCTTGATGATACCGACCGATACGGTTTGCGCGGCGGTGATGAAGAAGCCGAGCAAGACGCGCAGGACAAACATGGGTGCGTAGTCGCGTACGAAGCAGCTGCCCAGGGCACAGGCGAATCCCAACACCGTCGACCAGAACATGACGGGGGCGCGGGCCCAGCCTGATGCCATGGGCACCCAAAACAAACCACCGAGACCCCTGAACGTAGCGAAAGCAAGAGATTGTCAGTAATGGGTCAACTGTTTATGTTGTTTGCTTTGTAATTTTTTACCGCAATGCAGGGGTCGGACAGAGTCGCGGAACCTACAATGCGAGGGTATTGATAGCATTGATCAGGTTGGCCGTGCTGTAAGAGACGTCCCATTCAATCGACTGTGCAAGTACAGGAGCATAGCCAGCGGCGGCGGTGAAGTCGGACACATTGGCCCCAAATGACGCAGTAAAGAGGACAAGGTGTTTTTTCCACCACGACCAATTCAATGGATCTTCGGACGAGTCGGTCGGCTGAGGCAGGAGGATCGTCTATGTCGGCAGGTAGCATTAGCAGTGTTATTTTCGCAGCTCAGCGCACCGTTGCCAAACGTGACGACCCACGAGAAAGCCACAGTATAAAATGCACAGCTTACCTTGCCATCCTTTGCCATCTTGAGCCCCTGGATGGAGGCATCAGCCTGCACCATGAATCCGCCACCGACATTTTTGTCATCGCGGGCAGGATCGAGGTACTCCGCCATCTCAACCTCTGGCTTTACTTCATCTCCATTTTGCGCCATCGGAGACTTGTTTTCAGTCATGACTGTCGGATGCTAGTACGAGTATCCGGGAAGTCTACTGTGGGACTCGAGGGTACGGTTTGCGAGAGTGTGTAAGAAAATTCCAGTTAGTCTGTCCCGTCCAAGTTCGCCGCCGACGTTGACAAGCGAGGCTGAACTGTGCGTGAAAGGACAAGTAGGAGACGAAGGCGTTGACAAGGTTTTGGGGAATAGATGGGGGCTTCAAGTGCCGGACTATGAGGAAACGTCGAAATAGATTCTCGGACTGATTCTGCTACCGGTACCCGAGAACATTCGTTCGCCCCAGGAGGGCAGCGAGCATCTGACTATCGCCAAGTACTTTCTCCAACGCCCAAGTGAGCCAAGGCTCGGGCACTTCAATGTTGAGCCACGTGTGTATTCATTGATACCTCGTATCTTTCCCTCTCAATCGCGGTCTCGTGAGTCGGCAAGGAGCGCGGGGGTCGGCAGCTTGGACTGTGGTATAGGATTTGGCAGTTATGCTGAGACCGGAACCCCGCCGCCTTCGAGGAGGCCTGAGGGGTGGCCCCCTGGCAAGCTCCATTGGTACCCCATGGTGGGGAGCCGAAATGAAACCATGCCTAAAGAACAAAGTACTCAAATTTCTAGTGTGTTGAAATACGAGTCTCGGTGCTCCCTTATGGGGGAGGGGAAGGGATGGTGCAGGGAGATGGTTAGGTGGGTTTAAGTGGTTTCGCTTCTATTCCGTATACGTCCGAGGACATACATGGCGTCTGCATACGGTGGCAACCATGGTAAATAAATAAAAAACCTTACATTCAACTTGAGTTATTCTGCAATTCGACGCGGGGACCGTCTTATTTGGCAGCAAACTAATAAGCTAGCTGCTACGAGATTCCAACAGCTCAGCAACAGGCAGCCGGTCATTAGGCTAGAAATTGACTGCCGCTGGCAGGAGCTGAGCTTGATACCCGGCCCGTGTGTGCTCATCCATTTCTGTGGTATTAGTCACCGGATCCTGGGGAAAGGTCACAGTTGCGTTAAGATGATTACCGTACCGGGGCCTGCAGGCAGCCCGCAAGGCAGCCCGCAAGGCTTGCCTCGTTTTTAAGACCTACACCCACCACAAGAGTTATCCCCTTCCACAAGATTCAGAGAATTAAGGTATAATAAAAGTACGTACCTAGAGGAAGGGGTAGCCAGGTACGAAGAGCCAGTCACGAAGAGCCAGTCACGAAGACCATAACTAGAGACAAGAACTCAACCAGACCAGAGACCACAGTCTTGACCACATATACACCTAGGTAGAGGTTCCTAAGGGAGGGATCAGAATAATTTCAGAAACAAAATCCTTCTCAGCTAGCCTTCACACCTAGGCAAGCAAAGCACTTTTAGATCACTAAAATCTCCTCAGTAACATTTACCTACCGGGGGGAGAGGGGTAAATTAAGTGAATAGTACTATTATTTTAGAATAATATAAACATTCTCTTAAAATATAAATATACTATTAATATAACTAAATAATATTTAAATAATATAACGCTTTTAAGTTTAATATAATTTACCTATTAATATACTATTAATATACTATTAATATACTATTAAAGGTTTAATATATAAATAAAAAACGAGTTTAATTCCTATTAGAATTAAGTTCTTTATTTCTTTTTTATCCCTAACTTAACTATTTATTAGTTAATTTTTAACTTAACTACTACTATATATTAAGTTTATAAAGCTATAGAGTTAACGAAATATAGAAATCCTATTTCCTTACTAACTTATAAAGTTTAAAACTAATAAATTTAAAGATTTTAATATAATATTAAAACTTAATATAATATTAACCCTTTAATAGATTTTACTTATAATAATATTTTATTAACCTTTTACTAATATTTAATTATAATATTTAGATCTTATTCAAATATTAATTTTTAATATAATTATATGCCTATTTTAGGGACCCCCCCTCCCCCTAGTAGGTATACCTTAATTCTCTAGCTCTTATAAAAGGGGATAACTCTTATGATAAGCGCAACTCTTGTGGTAGGCGCAAATCTCGCGGTACGCGTAACGCTCACAGAGGACCGCACCGCTTGCGGGTCCCCCCTACCTAGGTATTTACCAGTACGGTATCTTGAATGAGAGCGGGCTGGATCCCGCGTATGCCGGGCCAGAGAGGTGGTGATGATGATTATACGCGGATTATCATTGAGCTTTTGTGAGGTGCAGGCCAATGAACGGTAGGTCGTTTGTTAAGTAGTTGAATATACCGGGGAGCAAATCAAAGGATTTCTTGTAGGGTACCCAGGTAGGTAGTATGGTCGCACAGTAACACCTGATTAAAGATTGCAAATACAACAAAAGACCCACCTGACCCATGGCATGTTTACTTGTCAGGTAAATTTGAGGGGCAACTGCATGGAAACGAAGCTTGACCAGAACTGCCTATCTAAGTACCTAGGTACTTAAGTAGGTAATCGATCCGAGTGACTGACTGCCGCCGAGCTCCCTAAACCAAGAATGTAAGTATCATCGGGAAGTGTAGTCTCGTAGCCTACCTCTTTATTGTAACGTTGTTAGGTTTATTTCCTGACGGCCTGATGTGCCGGCTATGTCAGCTTACGGTCAACCTATAACTGCAGCCTTGAGCGCCCATCCTCGAACGGGATATGTAGCTCGATATGCATGAAGCTTGCGTAGCGTAAAATAGGCGAGCAAGGGATCCAATAGGCCTAGCTCAACCCACAGGTGCATCCACTTTGACCGTCTTACGATAATTCTCTACCTAATACCCTATACCACCTGCCGCCCATAGCTCATGAGTTCCGAGGCCGTCTTCCCAAAAAATTGAAAACCACGTGTAACAACTCTCCGATATGACGCTCCGGTTCAGCTCCCAGTATTACCTCTTGGGTTTCATCGTTGTTATTATCCAATTCGTACTGCGAGCCGAGGCAGCTCCCCGCCATGCTACAATAGTATCTCGCGACTTGATCAATGCCACCACAAAATATGATTTCATCATAGCCGGAGGAGGGATTGCAGGTCTGACGCTGGCAGACCGCTTAACGGAAGTGCCAGAAGGTACGGCGGCCGCCAAACAGTCTTGAGCGACCCTACACATAGATTCTAACCACGCTTCATTACTTCTAGTGGCTGTCTTGGTGGTGGAAGCTGGCCCATTGGATCACGGGGAGGACGCTGTCCTTGTGCCAGGGGCTTACAACCCCGCCCCATACTTCTGGCCAATGGTCTCTGTGCCTCAAACAGCGCTGAACAACACTGTCCATCTCGCAACATGTGCACGTGTTGTGGGAGGTGGAAGCACTATCAATGCGATGATCTTCTTGCGGGGTGATGTGGAGGATTATAACGGTTGGACCAAGCTCAGCAATGAGGGTTGGTCGTGGGACAGCCTGCTTCCATATTTCAAGAAGGCTAGTGAGACGCGTGGCGTAAGCCATGGATGTATTCACTGACATGTCCACATAGAGCGAGAACTTTACCGCGCCTGATCCGGCATTCGCAGCTGCGGGCAACATATCCTGGATCGATTCTGTTCATGGCTTTGGTGGCCCAGTACAAAACACATACCCGAATTACTTCTTTCCAGGAAGCGGTGAGAGTTTATTGTCTTGCATATCCGTGCTGTAACTTGGCCGAGTTTCTAACAACACCTAGGGAACTGGTGGGTGGCGGCAAATTCCTCGGGTGTCAACCCATGCCCCGACCCAAATGCTGGCGACGTCAAAGGAATCTTTTGGCTTCGATTGTCAGAAGATGCCGAGAAAAGACATAGAAACCACGCTCGGATCAACCATTATGAGCGAGTGATCTCTTCAAGGCCAAATTACCACCTTCTACCTGATACCACCGTCAGAAGGGTCCTATTTGAGGGCAACAAGACGACTGGGGTAGAACTCATGCCTACGACAGGAGGAGATTTGACTGTCATGAGTGCTTCCAAAGAAGTGATCCTCGCAGCAGGAGGTCTCCATACACCCCAGATTCTTCAACTCTCCGGAGTTGGCCCAGAGCCCCTCTTGAACTCCTTTGGCATCAACGTCGTTTCGGATCTGCCTGGAGTAGGACAGAATTTCCAGGATCAACCAACGATTACGATGTCATACAACTGCAAGTAGCCCAAGCTCATGTGGTACACTGAACCACAAAGCTGACACTCTGACAGTCACTGATAATTCGGAGCCGAACTGGAATACCTTGCTTGGAAATGCCACCTACGACGCCGAGCAGTTCGCGCTCTACAACAGTACCGGGCGGGGCCCGTACACAATCACGCGGACTCTGAGCACGAACTTCATATCCCTTCCATTGCAGAATCTTACTTCAAAAGCTAACGATATCATCGAGAACGCTCGTAGCCTCAGCGGGCAGGGTTCTTCCTTACCCCCAGATACCGACCCCACTGTGATTGCGGGATACATGAGGCAGCGAGAAATAATGCTCGATCAGCTTGACAACAAAGTATCCATCGGTGGGCTACACTGGGGCACCGCGAACACGGGCACACTGTACCTATTTAAGCCCTTCAGCCGCGGTACAGTCACTATTAACTCGACAGACCCCCTGGCAAACCCCCTTGTCGACTTCCGCGCGGCCACAGATCCGACCGACCTGGACGTGGCCGTGGCTCTTGTCCGTAAGGCACGAGAGATCATGGACGCGCCTTCCATGCGTGTGCTAGGGCCGATCGAGGTGGCCCCGTTCGGACAAGTCGTGCAGACTGACGAGGAGATCAGGGAGGCTGTCAGGCAGACTTTTAACCCTTCCAATGGGCACGAGTGTTGCACGGCAGCTATGATGCCCAAGGAACTTGGCGGTGTTGTCGATGACAAACTGAGGGTATATGGAATCGATGGTCTGCGGGTCGCAGATACTAGCTTTTGGCCAATGCCGCTGAACGGAGCCCCGAGTGCTACCGTGTACGCGTCGGCTGAGAAGGTGAGGCCCTTGCCCTTGTTATTAAGGTCCTAGATCTGGAGTCTAATCAGTGTGCTGAAAGCTTGCGGACATGGTCAAAGACGAGTATTACTCCGAGTAGTCTTTCAAAATAAGATACAGAACATTGGATATCTGAAGTCAAGATATGAAAATGTAATTGATATAGCATCAAGGCTAGCTGGCAGAACATGGATGTCCAAACATGACCTAATCTGAGGGCCTTTCCCCCATTTTCCTCGCCAAATCGAACTCGAATATTTCAGTTAAAGCGCCAGACAACGGAATGCTTATTCCTCACTGTATGAGAATGGAGATCTTCCCACACGACGGCCAATCTTGGACAGTTATTTTCAACTGATGGACCGTACATTGCACTTTAGTAATTAGGCGGTGGACGGTGTATGGAAGCTGCGTTCATATTAGAGTCAATCGAACATGGGAAAGGGGGTTTGGACGAATACTGACACATGCTGACACGAGCTTGCTCCTGCTTCCACTTCGCGGCTGGCTCAGCTCCGAGGAAAGGCTGGGAAGCATCCGCGCCATGTACCTCCGAAACATTCGATCGGGCCATGGCGTTCTTCCTGGCACGTCTCTTGCAACAAAGCCTAAACGATTAAATGAGCCATTGAACTCGAAGCCACGGCAGAACAGCGATACGTACCAAATGCCAAGAATCACTGCGGCGATGAACGCGCCGCCCAGGCCGGCGGACAGCCCGATAACCAGCTGCTTGAACTCCGGAGACCATTTGTTAACTTCGTCTTTGGCGTCATCAATGAGGCCGTTGGCGCCATCAATGATATCGTTGATGCCATCGCCTATGGTGTCGGTTGGAAGAGGAGGAATGAAGGAGACGGGACTGCCGATCGATTCCTTCACCCTCTGGACGGCGTCACCAAAGGACTGAAGGACGGCGGGTCTGCCAGCGGTCGCTGTGGCGGGGAATGTCGGCTCTTCCCCTGGAGCAACTGACACAATAGCTGTTGAGGTCGTGGTCACTTGGAACGTACTCTGCAGCGAGGCGGGACAGTTCCTCAGCTCAGGTTCCTGGCAGACCACGTTGGTGACGGTAACGACGCTTGTGACCTCGGTCGCGGTCCTGACTTGGCGCCCATCCAGCAGCGGCGGTGCTGTGTGTCTCGCTTCCACAGCTGCCGTCTTAGAAGCCGGGTCGATGGCGCATGCAGAGAAGAGTGTGGTGTAGTAGATCTGGATGCTTGTGTTGGGCGTGGGTCCCCATTTCTCATCTCTGAACTGGACGAAAGCTCCAGCCAAGGCACCGAGACCGAACTCATAAGTTTCGACCACGGGCATGAGACAGTCATCATCCTTATCTCTGGTCCCCAGTTCTAGGGGCTTTGGAGTGGTGATGTTCGTGGTGAAACGAGCCAGGTCTGCGTACACGGTGGCTGAGGACCCGGCGGCCAGCTTGATGAAGTCTTTACCCAGGTCTCGTGACATGTTTAGGCCTGCGGTGACACCCATTCGGATAGTCGCGTCGAATACAACGCCGCTTGATTCGATAGTGACTGGGAGAAACTCGAATGAACCATCCGTACTGGAGAATTGTCAGTCTTACGGTGAACAACTTTGAACGGGACAGGGGTGGTAAACTCACAGTTTGATGCTCGATACATCGCTGCCAAACATGGCAATCTCCATAGCAAGACCGTCGTCGAATTTAACATGCACACCTGCGGAAATGCTGGCTTTCGTGTTCAGTGTGACCAGCAATTCCAATGTGATGACAAGGCCGACAAGCTGATCGCCAATTTGAATTCCGGCTGGTTGTGAGAACTCTGGAGGATACAGATTGACCTTGTAGGTCTGTGCAGCGTCCAAACTAGCTTCAAGCTCTAGGTAAAGCTCCAGCTCATCAAATTCAAGTTTCAGTGTTGTCTCCGGGATATTAGTGAGATTCATCTCGAAGTCAACATCAATGGTCGGAAACGCGTAGACACTCCAGTCAATGTCAAGCTCATCAAAATCGCCAGTCTTGAAGAACGCTTTGATATTGTCCCCAACAGAGTCGGTGACATCATCGACGACGGATTCCGACCAATTTTTGAATTGATCCCAGACCTCAAGGGTGATGTTCTTAACCTGCGGCCAAAATTGATCGTGGAACTCATCCAAAGCGGCGGTGAAATTGAAGTGGCCATCGATGACCAGGCTTGCAGAAGCTGTGCCCTTGACGTAACAGGTGACACATGATATCGACAAAGACTCACTGCAAGGTTGAGAAGGGGAAAGGTCAGTGCTAAGATCCGGTATTTGCAAGGCGATCCAACGGACAAACTCACTAGGTGAAGAAGGTTGCGTCGTTCCACATCAGATCCAGAGATCCATTTGTCTTGAAAAGATCCTTGTGTCCATCGCGCTGTTGGAGGCTCGCGGCAACCAAGTCTCTTTGCAAGCCTTGTAAGGCTTCATTGCCGAACGAGGGCACACCGCGACGGGTTTCGAGAACCTGAACCGGCTCCGGGAAACCAGGACTCCCAGAGACAAGCTGGAAAGCAGCGGCCACCAACGCGGCACAACTCCGCCGAGGATTCATTCTGAAGATAGGTTCAAATGATGGCTATTTTCAACCGGGAGAAAGGAAAAGAGACTCGTCCAGGTCCACGAGATAAAACCGAGCTGGCGAGGGCCGCAACTCACGACGACATCGAGGAGCTTGCATCCTCGGACATATTATACTGGCACATTGGGACACTGCAGTGACGGGAGCGTGCACCGGCTCTGAAGCTGAGATGCGAGTTGGATGAGAAGTTGGACGTACGCATGAGGCGCAGCTGCGCGGGCTGGCTCCGTGGTGGGCGTGGTGCGGCACGGGATATGCTGTTGGTTCCAGAATGTCAGCACACACAAATCCATTGTCACATTCGACCACGTTCTCATCCCAGTACTCGAGGCCGTGCACTTCAGCCGGTCCAGATTTGAGGGTTATTTTTGCGTGCACCCTGGCTCCAACGCGTGATAAGTGACAGTGACATGGGCAATCCTATGGGGCGCGCACTGGACTTCTGAAGTGTTGTATGATATTGACTGTTCTGACGAAACGCCATGGTTGTTCAGCCAGAATACAAAAGCGGTGGAGGAATTCAATAGTGATTGACTCATATCAATGGCTTTCGCATTTTACTGTCTACTTGGAAGCATTTCCTTGTAGTATCCTGGTATCTACATATGTACCTAGGCAGCGGATCGATAGAGACTTTTCCAGCCGCAACCTACATTTATTTATTCTCTATTGTTTCCCTACCGGGCTGATGAAGCTGATACACCAAGTCGTAATTGTGAATGATCATCCCTCGGGTTTAAGTTTAATTGTTGCGCAGTGTGTAAACCGGGAATATCTGGGGCTCATCTAGCCCCGATCGAGACTTGCACTACTGTAGGCCAAGCACATAAAGTTCCTGTTGGTCTCTTCGAAGTTGCTGTGCCATACAGCCTTCTATTGTAGTTGCTTGGCGTTCAGGGCATCAGCCTGAAGCCCATGCCAGTGTGCGCCACGCCTTCGCCTCAGATGACCCGCACGTGCGGGCTACTCTGAAAAGATACGTGTTTTGTGTTTTGTTTTGGTTGGTGTCGCCGACCAGCAGCACCAACCGCAGCTCGTAGGATCGATCACCATGAAGCCTGGAGGCTCCACATGCTTGTCGGACATTTCAGCTCGGCGATGTTCACAGCCTTGAACGCCATGGAAATCCCATATAATATCCCGCATGAGTGTAGCTTAATAATAGAAAATAAAATTTTCGTGGTCAAGCATTGGACGAAACTCTGCCAACCAATATTTTAAGAATCAAGGAAATCATCAGGTAATTAAGCGACAGGCCCACGAAGCCCTTATGTCGTTGAGGGATAGACCTTGGTATGCCAAAAGCACGGCTGCGATCCCGACCAACACAGCTGACTGCATACTCACGTATGGTATATTCTGCAAGCATCCTCATCCCTGGACCAGAGACTGGGAAGGCTCGCCCTGGCAGCCCCGGCCACCATACGGAAAATTATGTGGCGCCAATCATCATCAGTAGAGCTTTCCTCAGTTCCCAACACGCTTATGTGTAAATATCCTGCCTTGTATCATTTGCTGCCCTACGTAAAATGTAACCAACTTCAGATGTGGCACACCGGCAGGTACTTATTTCTCCCGCAAGAAAGGCTGGCGGGAATGTGCCGGGATGATTCCTCACCGGTTCTAAACCACCGTGGAATTCCCAGGACGTTTCACGCCTGTGCCCGATTGTGGACGGTAGATACTTCTCAATTCGTCCACAATCTACTCACGTTTCCCAGGCATCTGAACACAATACACATGAAAATGAGCGGTCAGTGTCGGTCAAGTCTGCTGGACTCGGCCCGGTGAGTGACCGCGGTGTCAAAATTGGCAACGGTGGAAGACAAGGCTGGCTTCACTGGAGACACGCATTCTGGGATAGATTCGAGACCAAATCGCCAGGCATGGGTCGAGCTGAGCTTTCATCCAATACCCATCGACGGGCTGCAAAAAGCCAGCCACCCGAGAAACGTTGCATGAGTTGGCAATATGGGCGACCAACGAATAGCCTCAATGTATTAAAGTTCCAGTATGACTTATATGGAGGTGCAAATGTAGAGTTTGAAGCTAATGCCGGTTTCCTGCGACGCTGCACATCTGCTGTGACAGATCTCCGCCAGCCTGGCCAGCTCAACGACCCTCGAGGACAACACGTTTCCTCGTGACATTTGAAAAGCAGATGAGATCGTCTGTCGTAGCAGTCCAGCTCATTAAGTTTCAATTGCCGACTCTTTCCAGGTGCCTGCCGGGACCCCGGAGGAAGTGTTTCGATTACATTACGCATCATTGACCTGTTTTTGAATCGGCACATGTGCATTTCCTCCCGCCCAGAGGCACCGCAGTCACTGGGAGACGAGTTTGAAACTGTAGAAGAAGGCTGATGTCACAACCAAAATTCTGCACTCACGATTCAACAACCAGGGCTACTGTGTATGTGTATATTCTCGGTATTTGCTTTTCACGAAACAAAAAAGACGGCGCCCAAGAGCCGCAGGAGATATTATTAGAGCAACCCAGGGTCCACCGACACCTAGAAACACTTGTGAAGTTGAATCGGCGCCCCTCCCCTCTGTCCTTCACACCAATGCAGTGCCAGACCGCCGCTCAGACCCCATCACCATGCAGACCCCTTTCTGATCTACACGGAACCGAACCTTCCCCTTCCCAACTCAAACCCACAATTACATACACACCCCCAAGGCAAGCTCACCATTTAGAACAGGAAGGCGAGGAGGCCGAGCAGACCGGCCATGGGGACACCGTTCGCAACAGCGGCACCGGTGAACTGAGCCGGGCCGGAGGAAGTCGGGGATGCACCGCCGCTCCCGGTGTGAGTAGCGTTGCTGCCAGAGGAGCCACCGCCACCGGAGGAGCCACCGCCACCTGTAGCAGACGGGGTGGAAGCCGAGGAGGTGCGGGAAGGCGTCGAGCCGCCGGCCGCGGAGCTGCTGGGGGAGGAGCCGCCGCCGCCGCCGCCACCCCCGCTGGCGTTGGTGCAGTTGCCCTCGGCGAAGTTGGCCTGGTTCTGCTGGAGGGTATCGGTGAAGCCGGCGACCAGGTTCTGGGCGATGGACTGTGCCTCCTGGGGCACCTTGCTGACGATGGCGTCGATGAGGGCCTGGGAGTCGGTGGAGAGGCTCTTCGACTGGTCTAGGACGATGGTGCAGAGGCCGGCCTGCTCGATGGCCGACTTCTTGGACGACAGGTTGTCGACGAGCCCCTGGGCGCTGGACTGCAGGCCCTGCACGGTCGACTGCAGCGACACGGCGTCGGTGAGCGTGAGGTCGTCTGTGCCCTGCACCGTGGAGGTGCCCGACTTGATGGAGCTGGAGAGGTCGGTGGATGCCTGCGTCAGGCCGGTGGGGTCGCCGTTGAAGCTCTGAGCCGCGTCGTTGAGGGCCGTCAGCTTGCTGGAGACATCACTGATGACGCCCTGGATGGTGGCCAGGTCACGCTCGAGGACGACCCTCGGGAGGTTGGTGGCATATACGCCTGCGGCCAGGGCGGCGACGGTAAGTGAGTACTTCATAGTGATATATGTGAAGGGTTGACTTTCGTCGACAACGAGTGTTTGGGTTTGTCTGAAAATTTGTTGGTGATAAAGTTTATTGTAAAACAATTCGTCCCTCTGATTTATTCCGAATGGAAGACGAGGAACGAGACTGAAGGGGTACCGCGTCAGTTCATATAGACAAAGCAGATCTCATCACAAGCTTCTGGGTGTCAGTCCCTCGGCCGATACCCTCGTCGATTGCTCCGATGTGAGTGATGGGAATGGGGGAGGGCCCATCCCAGCCAGGCATCGTCTCACACTCACACCTCCGCCACCCTGGGCTTCCTGAAGAAGGCAATCCTTGAAACCTCAAAAGCAGGCGTCCAGATTTGGAGCATGTTTGGCCGTGGCCAAGGACCTTCCAGTCAAGCAACGGGGGTGCCAATCGAAATTTCCCCGAGCTTCTGGCCCATCCTCCTCAAGCCAACACGCCGAATGGGGGGGCAGGTAGAGCCGTGCCTGAGCTGACAGGTGACTACTGCACAGCCCATAGCAGGCTAGACATCCGGTGGCTGCATCGTCAACACGGGCCTGCCGGGCCATAGAGTGCCAGAGAAGGATGCAGAGCTCGACCCGGGGTACATGGTACGCGCCAAGAGGATGCCAGTGGGTGTGACGTTGTTAGGTAAGAGGTCGACAGCAGGATAATTAACTGTGGTCCGAGTGCACGTCCAGAGGGATGAACTCATGCGAGCATCAGAGAAGGGGTGACAGCATGTCATTCGATTCCAAGCCTTGCGCAGAGGTCCCTGCCTCGAGATGACGCCCAACGTTGCACAGCAAAGCAAATAAACATGGGCCGAAAGCATCCGCGCAGGGAGTCAGGGCTTGTGATCTGCCAATCGCTGTGCTGCGCTGCCCTCTGCGCTGGAAGAGGCCGAAACAAGGAGGAGAGGCTTAGCAGGCAAGCAGGTATTGCTATTGCTGTTGCTATTATTCCGGGCATCCAGGGCATCCAGGGCATCCTGTTGGTGCTGGGTAGACAGTAGACCGGGGATCTGCATTATATTAATGATGTGCCTGGTGTGGAGGGGAGAGCCGGGCACTCGTGGTTGGCCAGCACTGCGAGCCAGGCAAGCCAGGCAAGCCACGACAGCTTGCCAGTCGGCCCAGCCTCGTGCACAGCTGCGGTGGTTTTCCGGGGTGGGGGGTGATGCTTGAAACTGCGGTGCGCTTCACTTGCCGCATTCATGGGCGGCACTATAGGCGGCACTATAGTAGACTTCCACCCTGAGTCGATCCCCCGCAGTTGCAGTTGTGTTAGTCGCGCCCGCTTCCCGCTTTGGGTCTGTCATGCCCGTCCTCCCGTCCTGCCCGTGCTGGCAAGCTGGCCGTGCTGCCGCCATATTCCCGCCGTCATTCGCCATAAATAAAATGAAACGGGGGACAAGACTCGTCCCAGTCGAAAACCTGGGGCGCGCCAACCCGCCCTGCCCGCCAACTGCCCGCCCGTGTATCGCAGACTGCCATCATCGTCGTTGTGTGACACTGGCACGCAGGTCTCAAGATCTCGGAGCAGAGTTGCCCTTCTCCTCAGACGACCCAGATAAAATTGGACCCTCGCATGGGCTCGCCCGGTAAGGATTAGCAGAATGTGGATACGGAGGCAACTCTAATTGCACAACACCACTCCTTCAGGCCTCAGTTGGCCGTTGCCGAACACCACCCCTTGCAATGGCATGTGGACGTCTTTTCACCGAGGCACAGTCTGCCAGGCTGCCAGGCTGCCCAGTCTGTCCTGCTTCCCCACGAGCGGCTAGGTGCGCCAAGAACCTGGGGAATTGGGGTAGTGGCGACGTAGTGGAGGGTGGGAACGGAGCATTGTTGCTCGAGATGACGAATGCTCCCTTCTTTTGCACCATGCGATCAATCTCATCTCGGTGTGGTTGCGGGTGCACCGGTGCAGCAACCTCTACGCATTAGTCCCCGCCGTTGAAAGGAGAAGTAGAAGATCGAGCGGACACACGGCCTCGTATCTGCAGCTGATCGTCCGCGACCAATGTCGGCCGACCAAGATTTCGTCACTCAAGGCCAAACACTAGATGAATCCTTTGGAACGTGAACTGTCAGGTGATCTGATTACCTGCTAATAACTTGTTTGGAGTGATTCACTGGTGGATATCTTTCGGAGTTTGCAAGCCTCCGATGGGTATCAATATTGCTGGCTCTGCCCTGTTCGTCTCCCCGGGGCTCAGTCGGCTGGAAAGACGCGCCTTTGCGAGCTTTCCGAAATCAAAATGCAGGACCGTGTCCTGTAGCCCGCGCCAGGTCGCAGGGCTTGACTGTCACGCGAATGCGCAAGCAGAATGAAAGGCGCTTCCCGGTCGTTGAGCAAGCAGCTTTACTTGAACAAGCGACGGCCACGGGTCTTGACACCAAACCTCTCCACCCCACTGCTTTGCTGCAAGTGCCATAGGCCCAGTGCGCCAACATTGCCGCCCTCTGCCCCTTGCTTGTACCGTCTCCACGCCTCACGCACGTGGTCTGGTCGTAGGGCGCCCCGGGCCGGCTCCTTGGGTTTGACCTTGGGGTGCGTCGATCTGGGTCGACCGTCCTCGGGCTCATCCCAGTGTTCTTCCTCCTCATACGGCCATGGTGGGAAAGCCACGCCCTCCTCGGCTTGTGGCTCGCCCGACTTGTCTATCCACTCTGATTGCACCCTTCGTGATTCCTCGATGATGTCGCCGATGAAGACCTTGGCGACCGACTGCATTGCTTTGGTGACGTTGGCAGGTACCGATTGGGAGACAGCAGCGTTGACAATCTGTAGTAAACAAATAATCAACAATTGTTCTCACGAGGGCCGTTGTCAGGATGGAGATTGACGTCGAAATGCTTACCCTCTTGACCACGCTCTCGGTGAGCTTGGCAGCGTGCCACATCTCGTATCGCTCAGTCTGGTCCTTATCCATCTGCTGGACGAGCATGAACCGCAGCTTCTTCTCCTCCTCGCGTTCCTCCCTGCTCCTCTCAAATTGAGCGACTCCCATCTTGGTCTTGATGTCCTTGTCATCCTCTTCCTCATCATCCGCCCCGTCATCGCCAACTGCGCTCGCCGCGCCCCTGCCAGCCCCACTCCTACCGCTAGCCGTAGTCATGGCCCTGCCCCCGACAGCACTGGGTGTGCCCTCCTTTTCGGCAGCCTCGCGAGCCTTGTCGGCCTTGCTCTTGCGGCCGCGCTTCTTCTTGGCGGGCGCGCTGACCGAGACAGCAGAGCCGGAGACCATGCTGACATTGTCGTTGTCAAACCCGACGCTGGGGGATCTTGCGGCGAAAGGAGACTCGTCGGGAGGGAAGGAGGTTTGTCGAAGTGGATGGGCGGAGCCGACCGAGGTGACAGACATGGTAGAGGGCTTTCTTCGCTTTATGGAGGGTGATGGCCCGCCGTCGCCGGCCGAGCGCTTCTTTGACGAGCCTCCGCCATTTGCGAGGGTGTTGAGGGCGGGTAGCTGGGAATGCGATGGATATGGCGGAGAGTGTGCGGGAGGAGAGGTCTGGCTTTGATAGGGCGGCGAGCTCATCTTGACAACGTAGCGCGGGCGAGAGTGCGGCGCGTGCCGACCAAGTATCGGAGGGAGGACGAGACCTGTGGTCTGATGTGCGAGCAGCGCTTCAAGGTAAAGTGGCGTGGCGATGAAAGATGGTAGCGGCGGCTGGGCGGCTGAGGATGCCAGGAGTGACGTTGGCGATAAGATGTGGAAGTTGAGGAGCGTCGAGGAGACGACCGACGGCCCACCTGCTGCAGGTGGTCTGGTACTACGGAGGTACTACAGCAGCGCAAGCCGATGCCGACGGCAGGAAGTGGTAGGAGCTCCACCGGGGCCTGATAAGATAAGGATTTTTGGGCGGGCATGGCGGGCCTGGCTGGACTGGAGCTTTCCCCACTGCAGGAAGGACCCTGACAATTGACAAGCTACATTGTACCCCGAGGACGGCGGCCAGAGCCGGCCCACGCAGGCACGGGGTACTCGGCCGGCGAGAGTCATTGCCAGTCAGCCATCGCAGCAAATTTGCATGGGACTACGATGAATTAGACCCGTCTCCTCCTATCTTCGGGCACCTGTATCGGGGGCCGAACAATCCTTCGAGGTGGCCTCGACTCATTTCCATATTCCTCAATTGATCTTCCTGAGGCATCTTCAAATTGTCAATTGTCTCTGCCCCAAACAGATTGCCAATCGAAACATTAGCAAACGCTTGCCTGATTTCTTTATTCCCTTCCTGAGACCATCTCCGACCTGCTTGAGAACAAACACAACTAGCGAATATATATACATACGTCCCACACCGCCAGACGCAGGCAGAGGACCCGGAGGAACAGCCAGGCTTTCAACGGAACCCCAATGCCTTCTGCAGAGAAAATGGACACCGCAAGCATCACGAGCTCGTCGTCCGGCGGCCGGCGCAACGGCGAGGAGCGCCCCGGCAGCAAGAAGCGCAAGCACCACAAGGTCAACGGCACCCAAGAGAGGCGGGACAGCATCAGCGCCCCCGCGCGAGACCCCCGAGATATCCCCGACCGCCCCAAGAAGAAGAAGTCCAAGAAGTCCAGCACCACGGCGCACACCACCACCGCCGGCGCCGGCGGGCCCACCGCGACCACATCCCACCACAGCACAGGCGCCGCCGCCCCCGCCGCAGCTGGGACGGTGACGCGGTCGCCGAGCCCCGTGATCGACTTTGACGGGCTGTCGCGGCCCAGCTCGGGGACGCGCGAGCGGCTGGAGGAGACCAAGGAGCAGGCGGACAAGCGGCTGGCGCGCATGTGCGGCGCCGTCAGGACCATACTCGAGTGCGTGGGCGAGGACGCCGACCGCGAGGGCCTGCTGGCGACGCCCGAGCGCTACGCCAAGGCCATGCTCTTCTTCACCAAGGGCTACCAGCAGAACGTGCGCGACATTGTCAACGGCGCCATCTTCGAGGAGGGGCACAACGAGATGGTCATCGTCAAGGACATCGAGGTCTTCAGCATGTGCGAGCACCACCTCGTGCCCTTTACTGGCAAGGTAAGTCTGTGGCGAGAACCACCCGGGTTGCTGCGGACGGTGTACCTATGCGCACTCTCCCTCTCTTTTCCCGTATTGCGACGCAGGAACTAAAGCCCAATTGGTAGATGCACATCGGGTACATCCCCAACCAGTCCGTCATTGGCATCTCGAAACTGCCCCGGATCGCGGAGCTGTTCGCCCGCCGGCTGCAGATCCAGGAGCGCCTCACCAAGGAGGTTGCCAATGCCATCATGGAAGTCCTCAAGCCTCAGGGTGTCGCGGTCGTCATGGAGTCCAGCCACCTGTGCATGGTCATGAGGGGCGTCGAGAAGACCAGCACCAGCACCATCACGAGCTGTGTGCTGGGCTGCTTCGAGCGCAAGGAGAAGACGAGGAATGAGTTCCTGAACCTAATCAGCGTCAACCGCCGCGCCTGATGGCCCAGTCTCGCTTGTGGTGTTCAGCTAAGTGGTTAGGACGTGGCGATGGGGACGTTCTTTTCCCCTCGGTCACATCTTGTGGTACACCATGTGTGTACAAGGAGTGCCCTCATCGGAGAGGCTGGATGATCAACTCATTACAAGGAGCGGCAACGCCCCCAACACGCTCGCTGTGAGCCTCGTCGTGGAGCGTGTCTGGTATTGCATATGAATCTCGGCGTTTTGGGAGAATTTGGACAGGGCGGTAGATCGGGCTCAAAATGGCATTCATCATGCCCGCCAACGGTATTCAACATCGGAGCATTCATTTCGGAAAGGGGGGCGGCTAGCTGTGTGGCAAAGTTGGCGTTTGTGGCTTCAACTCCTCTATACTGAATCAAAAAGCATAATGTGACAATCGGGACTGCCATCTAGTCCCACCCATTAGTATCCCTCCCTGTATGCACCCTATACACGTATCGTGAAGCTGGTAAACTGACCCGCCCATACACTGCCCAATGGCAACAGAGCCATCTCGTTGCCATCATGACACCTTCCTGACTTCCCTCCCGGACTCCCCCTTCTCAACAGCCTCAACCCTCGGCCTGACAACGCCCAAGATCTCCTCAGCAACCTCCTCAACACTCCCCCCAGCATCAACAACAACCAAATCCTCCCTCTCCTCATCAAACGCCACCCCGCTGACCTCCCCCCTCTTGAGCCCCCAGAACAGCGCCTTGACCCGCCGCTGCATCTCCTCCGTCTCGTACCTCTCCTCGCCGAACCCGCCCCTCCGCCGAGCCGCCTCCTCGTCCAGGTCCAGGAAGACGACGGCGTCCGGGCGCGGCAGCCCGACCTCGGGCGCGCGGGCCCAGGGGAGGCCCAGGGAGGGGTTCCCCTTGGCGGCGCTGTAGACCATCCCGGAGTAGTAGTACCTGTCGCAGACGACCGTGACGCCCTGCGACAGGAGGGACGTGATGCTGGGCGCGGCCTCCCACCTGTTGGCGGTGAAGAGCAGGTGGATGGACTGGTCTGGGAGGGAGGCGGCGGAGGAGAGGTACTGGTTTATTATCTGGCCTGTCGGCGTTGTGCGGTCTGGGGCTTGGTGTTAGTGGGTTTGTTTGGTGACGTCTGGGATTATGGGGAAGGGGTGTGAGATAATTGGCATGTCTTCATGAAGACCAGGCCCGGGGGTGAGGAGATGATAGACCACCCACCGCTCACTTGAGCGACCTCCAAAGAAGGTAGTGATCCCCCCTGCTGCTGTTGATTCCGGCCGTCAATCCTACGAAGCCGCCCATCCCAAACCACGCACCGCTCGACCGTGAGCCCGTCCGTCCCCCACTAACAAGAAGAACCCAGGCAAAAAACTCACCAGGAAACCGCATGAGCTGCACCTTCCTCCCAGCCCCGGCGAGCCTGGTCTCAAGCAGCTTGACCTGCGTCGTCTTGCCGCTCCTGTCCAGGCCCTCGAGCACGATGAACGCACCACGCACCGCCGGCGCGCCTGGCGACGAGTTCGAGGCGGCGGCGGCGGCGGCGGCGGCGGGCCCAGCCGCGCCGGGTGCAGGATCGTTCGCCGCGGACATGCTAGCTAGGGTGTTGCTAGCGAGGCTTGGAGGAACAGCCTGAGAGGACAAGGAATATATAAAGCCTGTATTTAGTCTGATGTCGATAAGGCGAATTTGGGGGGCCGTCGAGTTAGAGTGGTTGGCCGATGTCCGTGGTCGTTGGCCGTCGCGTGTTAGTACGGTTCAGACGACGCGACCTTAATAGCTGGGTTCTCGACTCGCGGTGGGGCTCTTCTGTGTCGGAACGGTCCGCACGGGGATTCTACGTAGTGTCCGTTTGGAACTGTCACTGTTTTAAGAACGACGGCTTGCTTTAGATCCCCATATCTTTCCTGGGATAGCCTGAATGCTCTTGTGGTGCAATGGCGGACACCGTCATCTGGAGCGCCTGCCCGATGTCATGTGGGCAAATCCATGGGCATCGCAGCAACACAGCTGGCAGTATATCGGCGCAGCATTGTTTGAATCTGACCAAAATCTCTATTACCATTTACGGCAGCGCAAGCCCACTATGGGGGCTCTATCGAAGGAGCGTTTACTGGCGCAGGTCTGCGCCTCACCCACTCACTCATACGCCTTGAACCCGTTCCCTGACCATATCCTACCTAATCCGATCCAACCAGCCACCCTGACCCGACCATCCATACCCGAGGGAACCAGCAAAGAGCAACTCTTCCGAGTGAAGAGACACAAAATCAAACGCTTGAAATACCACCCGAGGAAACCATGTGCGCCAATGGCCTCTCCCTTGGCCTTGTCCGAGGCAACTCCTTGGAAAACAGTAACAAACGCAAGCAATGTACAGTCGAACGAAGCAAGCATTCAGCCCTCATCACCAAAATCGTCGCCCCTACTTGAAGCGGGAGACGCGGGCACTGGGCTGGGTGCGCCGTCGCCCTCCTCCTTGGCGCTAGAGCTCTCCCACAGGTCAAAGCTCTCGCCTGTGCCCTCCACGGGCTGAAGAGTTGCCAGCTTGACGGGCTCTTCCGCCTCCTCCGGCTCGGGGGCTTCATCAAGTGTGGCCTGGTTTCCGAGACTCGATGATCCCGAGTTCAGGCCCTCGCCCTGGGGTTTCTGTGTCTGCTCCCCATCAACGACTGTGCCATCGTCCTCGTCCTCCGGGACAATGAATACAGACGTCGGGTCGCAGCCCTCGGCGTAGAAGTCTTCCACGTTCAGATCGCCAAGGGCGGTGCGCGGTTTCTCATACTCCATTCCGCCCTCGCTCGTCGTCGTCGCTCTACGCACCGAGGTTTGGGAAACATCGTCTGCGGGTGGGACGTTCTCCTTGCCCCGGCCCTCGGCCTTCTCACGGCTCGCCTTGCGCTGGCACTCCTCATCGCTGCTGATATCAAGGCGACATGTGCTGTGCTGCAGGAGGTTGGTCATCTCCTGCTCCGGCGTGTCCTCGTGAATGTCGAACTCCCAAGACGATTTCACATTGGAGCCATAGAAATCGTCTGAGCTCGACAGTGACAGTGACGACTTGGCGGAGCGGGCATTGGTCTTCGCCGCATAGCTTGGCACTGTACCCTTAATGGCAGCCTCGAGGGAGAATGGTGTCGACGAGAGGCTGAATGCGGGCGGATCGATTCGGGTGAAGGTTCCGGTTCGGCGTCGGTTGAGGATGCCGATGCGCTTGTTACCGCGGGTCGGGGAGCGCCCTGCCGGGGCGGACATGGGGCTGCTGGTGCCGCGTGAGAGACTGCTCAGCTTCTTGGCTGGTGACTTCGGGTTTAGGATGGACCGCGGACGTGGCGATGCGCCTTTCATGGGGCTGTTGAACACCGTTGCAGAGATACCATCCTTGCTGCTATGCAGTGCCGAAGAAGATGATGACTTGGTGATGATCAACGAGGACGGCTTGAAGAAGTCCTTGCTGGATCCATCGGCCTTGGACCTCTTGGAGAACAGGAGTGCAGGGTCAACATTCTCGAAATCGTCAACGTTGAGGAAGTCAGCGACCTTGCGCTTCCCAGGAGATGACAGTGCTGCCGGGGCGTTAGCAATAGCCCATTTGCACCATACGCGACGCGGTAGGATGAGAAGAGCTCCGGTCGCAGGGCTCAATCCAAGCCAACGGGGCCGAGATGACGAAGACGCAGAGCGCGGATGGGGGACTACTCACATGCTTGCTGGTTCCTCGCGCTGGTCAAGCTCTGCAGTCGAGTCCCGTCAAGAGGCGCGAACGGCTGACGTGTGACGGCTGCCATCGTGCAAAGAGGGGGCCGTGGATGGCCGATAAACAAACAAACACGGTCGGGCAGGCCAGGCAGGCTTGAAGTCGGATGCCGGCGCCAAGTGGACAGACAATGCGATGGTGATGTCCAAGTTTCCGATCCCAGCTCAATGGCAGTGGAATAGGGTTTGGAGGTCGGAGCGTCAAGCTGCAGATTGGCCGATGTGATTGACAGGTCAGGACGGAGGGGCGGAATTGTGCTTCTCGCAGGCGGTGTGGAGCCAATGAGAGGGGATCAACTTCTGCCCGGTGAGGAAGCGACTCTCGGCCGGGATTGTGGAGCCGCGGACTACCAAGAGGTTTTCTTTCTACCCGGTGTCTTTTCGCACTAGGATTGAATGGACCAGACTGGAATAAGACTGAGAAACTGAGATTGGGAGAGAGAGGAAAAGAGGGGAAAGAGCCTCAGACAGGAGGAGAGTGGAAGGTGTGGGCGGGTATTGTCTTATTACACCAAGTTGCTGGCGTGCGGGCTGCCGTGTGGTACTCGAGAAGGGGTGGCGGTGGTGGTCGATCGGCGCGAGGTGACTGGAGAGGTCTCAAGAGGGGGGTGGCCGAAGTCAACGAGGCCAGGTGCGGTTAATGCTTCATGCGACGAGCAGCGCCAGCAGCCGGGACTAGTGGTACGGTGGTGTCGGGAAATTGGGAAATTGGGATTGGTACGAGGTGACAAGCAGGACGAGATGGTGTGCGACCAGTGGTCTTGGTCCCGTCTCGCAGGTGTTTAGGCGGGCGGCTGTCGAGGTTCGTGAAGCCTGATAGGGCGAGAGGCCAATCCTGCTTCTGATGCGCTGTTAGACCGGCATGTCCCTTGTCACTTTCTCGGGGCCGAGAAGCTGGTTCCAAAGGCTGGCTGGCTGGCAGGGCAGGGCAAGGCAGGGCAGAGCACACCACAGTCGTTTCTTTGGGATCGTGACCCAGGGCTCACGAATTCAATTGGCGATAAGGTTGGGCAGGGCAGGTTGGTTGGTGGGTTGGTCGGGGCAGTCGAGCTGAGAGGTGGTAGGGCAGAAGAAGGAAGAGTCGGGAGTGAGGGCTTGATTGGGTCGAAGCAGGTGTGACGGGAGGGAATCAAGGTAGCGCGACAAGGAGGAGGGAAGCTTGGGTGGGGGGTTTGGAGGATCGCCCTGCTGCTGCTGCTGCTGCTGCACCGAGACTTACCTTGCCTTTACCGAACAAGCAACTGGCAGACAGGCCAGTTGCAGCAGAAGTCTGGAGGAGTTCGGCGTGGAGTCCCCAGGACCTGGTATGAGCCGGGGTTTAAAGTGGAAGCAGGAAAGGCAATCCTGGCTGGTGCGGGAGTGGGTGTGGCAGCGGGTGTGGCAGTGTGGGTGACGCGAACTTTCGTGATTGAGCCGATCGCGTAAAGTGGAAAATCGACTAGCTGGCAGGTTCCAAAAACACCTGGACAGGCTGGACTAGGCCGCAGAAATTGGTCTGTTTTGGAATGGAACAAATGCAGCAAGAAGATAATCAGACAATAATGCAGGGAGGACGCCCCGGCGGCTGATCGGCTGCTCGACTGCTCAAACGGCTGGCGAGTTGGTGTCTGCGAGGTGAATGAGGGAGAGGCGCGGAAAGGAAGGAAGGTGAGGGGCAACCGCAGCCCAGAGGAGGATGATTATGATTGATGAAGCAAAGCCTCGCGTACACAAGTACTTGAGCATGTATGCCTTGCTTCTCTGCTTCTCTCAGCAGACAATGCTGACGACGGCAATACTATAGATCACCAAACCGAGGTCACCAGAGAAGAGGATGTAGTGTAGTATGTCTTGGGAAGATCACAGACTGGGAACGGCAGTCACCTACTCGTCGAGTTGTACTGGGCGGCCAGCTGGGCAGGTGGGCAGTGGGCTGGCGCAGCGAGCAGAAGCCAGCTGCAGGGGCAGACCAAATCAGACAGGCCACGGCCAAGGTGCAGCACGTCTGCAGCAGTGCATGCCCGCCAGAGGTGGGGATTGGCTGCGTTTCAAGTGGGCACATCCGTGAGCAGCCAATCATCACGTCTGATGCGGCCAAGGAGGTAGGGCGGGAGGTGTGGAGTCGCGCCGCACCGCGTCCGTGACATGACAGGTTCGCGCCACCGTGCCGTTTTCCCATGCCCAGAGTCCCAGACTGCCTGCCTTTACATAACCACTCACTCACTCACTCACTGCCTAACGTCATGGCAGGAGCAGGCACATGCTGGCCACAGTCACCGTACATCCCAAAATGCAAGTGACGTTCGGCACTCAGCTGCAGCAGTGGGGAATATGCGCTCCCCTCATACAGGTATCCGGTATCAAAAGTAGACAGATATGCAAGCAATAGACGTCAGAAGTGCATGAAAAGAAGAAAATGCATTTGTACTCCCTGGCTGCTCTTATGTGCCTACGCAAGATATTCATCGATCACTTATTCGGCTCTAGCTGGTCACTTGCATTTCCATGGATTTTCTGAAACCCACAACTAACCATATGTACCTTAACGTTTTCGGACAGGACCAGCATGAGCTGCTAACCAAACTGGGTGTACACACAGAGACATGTAGACTCTGTTGTCATTGCGAACTCCCCGTCTTTTGAATCACCAGCCGCATCGAGCTGTAAGCAGGCTGGCTTCGCAAAACGGATCGGTGGAATGTCAACGCTGGAGCTGAGGTGATCGATCCGCATGTCGTACAGCGGTTTCTTGCAGTTATCTGAACACTCTCTAGCTCGCATGCTCGGGGCCGTTACGCTGCTTAGAGGCTGTTGAGCCCGGTTCGGAAGCATGGTGGGAGCTGGTTGACAGTTGCACTCACGAGGATTGCGAGTGTTATCTAGCCATCGAACCGCGAGGGCGAAGTCAGCTTCCCGAGGTCAGTATCCGTAGCATTTAATTACTGACAGGTGAGGTATATGAAGTATTATTGGAAGGCTAAGGATTAAGTTAGAAACTAAGTAAGAATGGACATTAGTAAAGTTGTTTGATCACAAATAAGAACAGAATATTCGCGGAGATCTGGGTTAATTAATACCGGTGGTTCAACTATCGATCTAGGTGCGCAAAGTTAGCAATGATTGTAATTGGCCTTCTGATTTCAGTTTGAATGGCGAAAGGCAGATTTGAACAAGCATAGCAAGTAAGGCCGTGGGATATTACTCGGGAACAAACCGGTCACGCAACTGTCTCTGGGGCAAAGCCTGCCCCTCGGCTCGGCTTTAAGGTAAAGGGCTTCAGTTTGGTTTGGCGGTACCAGGAGCAGCACGAGCCGCTGCCCGGGCTTGCATCGTCAGAGCTGGCGTGGGGGAAGCAGGTCCAGATGAAGCGGGCTCATGATGAGAAGCGGGCTCCACGGCAGGCCCAGGAGCAGCAGGCCGGAGAGAAGCACTCGAGGGCCCCTGCCAAGCCCGAAATGGATCAGCCAGAACGTTGCGTGCCCGGCCTGCCTCGATCCTCGGTCGCCCACGAGGCAAGCCAGGTGGCTTCTTCTCCCATATCAAGGAGATGGCACGCTGCCGTTCCCTCTCCCTGATGCGCCAGCGGTACTCTCCTATCCCTTTGTGCCTCTCCACAAGGCCCTTTTTCAGCGCAGCTTTCAGGGTCGCGTAGATGTTGTTCGGAACGTTGTACCTCGTGCTCAGGTGACTGAGCCCCGGGTATTTGTCTTGGAGATATGCACGCACTTTCCTGACGCGCACCCAATCCCCTGCCGGGGGCGCCAGCAAGGCTTGCAGCACGAATGCCCTCATCGAGTATACATCCCCTAGGTCAGTGCCAGCCTGGGCGGGAGATGGCTGCTCTGCTGGAGATGTGCTCTGGACAAGAGCTGGAGACTGAGCGGGAGGAGGTGGAGTCTGAACTACGGTGATGGAGCTCTGACCACGGATAGGACTCTCAGGCTCGAAGGTGTGACGGGTGAGGGGAGGCTGCCAAATCAATTCACGTCTGGGGTTGGTTCCAAGCATGAATAGGACCTTTGCTGCCTCCAAGACTTCGGGGTCCCTAGAACCACTCATTTTGGAAGATACAGCTCAAGTGATCTAAAGGTACTCGTCTCGGCCTTTCAGTAAGGCTCTGAGTTTTGTGAGACTAGATGAGAGTTGAGTGTTTGACTCGGTTTGCGAACAATCGAGAGACGATAGGGTGATGGCGGAAATTGTCAAGTTTTTATGACTGACTCCGTCTTCCCGATATCGCGGTACCATACACATAGATTCTTTCAATCCTCCTGGGTGGATGACTTTGTCCTGCTCAAATCTGGCCCTCAATTTTGTTCGGGAGAGAACAAAAGCTTTGTACTATGGCGAGGACAGTAAACTCGCCTGTTAGATACAAAGCCTTTGTTGGACCTTAAATGTCCAGGCCAGCGCTTTCTGAAAGCTCCTTATAACACAGAAGTGTCTGACAACCTTATCTGCCAATGGTGAGACAAAAATCCCTAACCAGGCGACTCGAGTAATCATTTCCTTAGAGCTCTGCGTAGTTGATTGCCATATGAGAAAGATGTCCTCAATATCGAAGCTCTGGCCTAGAAGTACCTCGCATTACTTGGACTAAATGGTGTATAGAATAAGAGAACGGAAATTCGCATACCCTTAATTAGAAGGCGCGTACCTATTGCTAATTAAAAAGTATTCTATATAAGACAACTTCTCGAAAGGGTTGGCTAGGGTAAAGGGGGCGAGCCCTAAAGTATAAAGTATAGTAAAGAGCTATAAGTAGGGCTAATAGGTACAACCTAAGTTCCTAGAGGACCAACCTACCCTATTTATAATCCTTTATCATAAAGAAGTCTTATTTATTAAAGTTATAAAGACTTTAAGGTTCTATACTCTAATTAATTAAATAGTAGGGAGGATATACACCTTTTAATTAAGGGTACACGAATTTCCGTTCTCTAGAATAAATACTAAAATGTCAATTATATTTATAGTCATCGATTACACTATAGCTTTTCCAGTTCAGTATTTTCTTAGGCAGTAATTTATATTTTCGCAGTTTATGTGTGGGGACATTCCCTTCGTCGCAGTGACTAAATGGCGTATATGACTTTAGCTGGCTGGCTACCTCCATGTAAAAAATGCCGGCTTACTACGTATGGAGGAGATTCAAACATGCTATCCTTACATCTATCACTGGGGCTTCGAACTGGTCTCTATAACAATTTAAGCATTGACAGCATTTCTGGACTAACATCAAGGACAAGCTCTAATATATGACTAATTCAACAATTAATCTATTCAACTAAACTTCACTCTGTCGCAACTAACCGTCTGAGTTCAGCCTGAATGCCAACACGCAGAATATAGACCATCCCAGGCTGCACGAGGACTTCCCCAAGCTCTCACAAAGTGCTGCGGCGCGGTCTCGCCGCAGAACGGCCGGGCGTCGGAACCTTCCGGTGCTGCCCCTGTATAGGAAGCTTCGGCTTCCACGCGGCCGAGATGGCCTGCTGCCGCGCCCCCTCGGCTATGCGCCACCTGTGGTGCCCCCCTACCCCTCCGAGCGTGTCCTTTTCCACGAGACAGCAAGAATTGAGTGCCTTTAGGGTGTCGTTGAAGCTGGACCAGCGGTTGGGGTTGCGGGGCCCGAGTCCCTCGAGTCTGGGGTATCTGTTAGTGACGTATTCCAGCACCTCGCTGAGGAGCATCCACCTACCGGGGGCGACGGACAGGAGGGCCTGGAGGCAGAATGATTTGTGGGTGTATGGGTTGTTGCGGCGGGAATAAGTCGAGGCCTCGTTGTGAGATTTTGAGGCCGGGGGCTCCTCCTCTAATCCAGCAGGAGGCGGACAGTGGTACTCGGGCGTGTGGCGCGCAAAGGGAGACCGCCAGATAAACGCGGGGCTGGGGTCATCATATGGATGCTGTGAGGGATGCCGCCATATTTGATTTTCTTCCGCTCGAGTGAGGCTGGGTTCCCGTAAGAGCTGCTTGGCCCGCTCCACCCACTCGTCCTTGAGGTTCGGGTCGTGCAGCATCCGCGGGCGGTCGACAAAAAGATTAGGCGGGACCCTTTTTGGGTCGGGCCTCTTGTAGGGCTCGTAGCGCGTGACCACATGGCGACGTCTCTGTGTGTTTACACGGTCGTTACGAGCTACTTTGTGGCGGCTGACGTCCGAGTCCATCTTATGCCTGCGTTCCTCAGGGCGGGAATGCATGGTGACACAGTCGTCTTCTTCTATCTCTTGTCTTGGAGCTAAGGATATCTGAAAACTAAAGAGCTGGACGTTGTAGCGGGTTGCAACAAGAAATCCGAGACGGACGCGCAGTTGTTGCTCGTGGGCAATTGTCGGCGAGGGCTGTCTCGTGATATACGAAACACAAGTCATTGTTTTGTAATCTGATGAATAGCTTTGTTGTCTGCTTACAATCCCGCTCTTCTCTCGCACACAAAGGGGCCGCCATCGATTTCGCTGTCAGCCACAGTTACCTGCACGAACCTTGGAAGGCTTTGTCCTGTACTTGGGTGGGCAGCGAACTGTCTTGATGAAGACAAAGGGTGTGTCCTGCTCTGAAAATTGCAGGTCATCGCTTCCCAAAAAGATCCATGCAAGTGGCACAACATGGACTGCAGCTTCAAGAGATGCCAAGTGTGTCTGCCGGTGGTCAGACACATAAACCAGTATAGGATATTTAGGTAGTCCGCCAAGAGCTAGAAGAGGTCGTTTTGTCGCATAGTATACCCCAATTCCTGCCTGACCTTCTTGCCATAAGAATTCTAGGCACGAACGAGACTGGATCGGCGCATGTGATATCATTGATGTAGCTGCATATGTGAATACTACACCACCATCACGCGTGTAAGACGGCAGCTTACTAAGTGCAGGTGAGATTCCAAACACCCTATCTTGTATATAAAGGCTCAATATGGCATTCTTGGGATCCATAATACAGAGGACGATCTCATCTTATCCCACAATGTCCGGCCGGAATCTCCTCGAGTTGGGTGAGCAAGTCTCCCGCCTCACCCAGAAAATAGCACAAGACTTGCAGGGCCGGGGCCAAACAATCCCGTCCATCAGCGACACTTTAATTGATGGCACAGGACCCGTGGGCGACGCAGAGTCAGCGCTGAAGCTGGCAGAGGCGGCGCGGGAGCTCGTGGCCCTCGCCCTGGGCCCGCACCAGACGTTGGGTCTCATGGGACTTGCCGTGAGTGACAACAAACAACATGAACATCTGTGAACCAAAGCCATAAGGCGCAACCAGAGCGCTAATGGTGAGTCCTAGGTCCACGACGCCTCCAGCCTGGGCGTCATCGCCGAGTTCGACATAGCCCGCCTCGTACCCCTCGGCGGCGCGGCCACGTTCGCAGACCTCTCCAGAAAGACGGGCATCGATGAGGATAGGCTGAGCATGCGCCTCCCAGTCTCCCCGCGCTGGAAACCGTGGAATGTTGGAATATGTCTTGCTAACCCGCACAGCAGCCCGCATCCTCCGCCACGCAACAACAAACCACATCTTCACCGAGCCCACCCCGGGCTCCATCGCACATACAGCCCTCTCAGCCCACCTGCACACCTCCCCAGCAACAGTCGCCTTCCAGCGCACCTTGGCGACAGTCTTCAACCCGGCCAACGCGTGCCTCCCCTCGGCGCTGCGCCGCCACCCGGCCAGCACCTCCCTGACCCAGACGGCGCACAACGAGGCCCGCTGCACCGACCTGCCCTTCTACGCCTGGCTCGACGCCGCCGCCGCCGCCGCCGCGGGGGAGGGGGGCCGGATGATGAGCCTGCGCGCGGTGTTTGACGCCGGCATGGAGGGCATCAGCCGCGGCGGGCAGCGGCTCCAGTCCACAGACCTAAGAGCCTTCCCGTGGGCGGACGCACTCCCGCCTGACGCGACCGTCGTGGACGTCGGGGGGTCGAGGGGCCACTTTGTGCGCGACCTGCTGGCCCAGAACCCTGGGTTCCGGGTCGTGGTGCAGGACCTGCCGCAGGTTGTCGAGGGGCTTGAGGGGGAGGGAAAGGGGGAGGGAAAGGGTGGTGGCGAGGTGACGTACCAGGCGCACGACTTTTTCAATCCGCAGCCCGTCGTCGGTGCAGATGTGTACTTTCTGAGGCACGTTATGCACAACAACCCCGACGAGGAGTGCGTGTCCATCCTCCGCGCGCTGCTCCCCGCGCTGCGGACGGGGGCGCGGGTCCTGGTGAGCGAGTACGTCGTGCCGCCTGTTCAAGACCTTTCGGGGGCTGCTGGGCTGCTTGCCCAGAAGGCTATGCGGTGAGTACTTGGCGTGCTCCTTCCTGCTTGTGGGACATGATGTTTTCCCGCTGACATTTACATGTGTTTGTGTGACGTTGTATAGGCAGATGGACCTCATGACAATGGCCCTCTTCAACGCCAAGGAGCGCACACGGGACGAGTACATGACACTGTTTGGGCGCGCCAGCCCAAGACTTATACTAAGGGCCACGCACCAGGTGCCCGACGAACTCGGGAGTTGTATCTTCGAGGCGGTCTATGAATAAGAGGGGGTGAGGCTGTGACGGGCGCTGGAGGAACTGGGGCCTCTGGTTGTGCGAAGAGTTGGGCCATATGTGTACTTGGTCGGATATCGCAGTCGTTTTTATTACAAGCCTTGGGGAGGGGGGTAATTGTGGCAGACTGTCGAGATGGAGGAACGCCTGCAAATGACCATCCAGTCCCGGTCGAGCTGGACAACGCACTCGTACACACAAGTACAAAGTCCCCTCACAAATACATTCTCAGACATAGTCAACTGATGACCCTCACACCTGGTCCAACATTTTTGATACAAGAAGTATCTACTTCAAGCAGACAGAACTTTAGAACTGCATGACTCCTATAGCTCCCCCCTTTCCCATCCGACCAAACCCCTGGGAACTTGAGAACCTCGCCGAATCCGTGGCCATTCAGTCAGTAAGGAGGGAAAAAAAGCCTTAAACTCCACACAAAACCAACATCAAAGAAGAAAAGAAAAAGAAAAGAGAACGGATATTCACACAGAAAAAAACGGCTAGTACACAGATACAATATTTCCTTCTAAACTACAGCCAATCAGAGAGCTTTATTTAACCTCCCCTAACTATACACACCACCTAAACAAAGTACTTTTTACACCCCCCCCCAACCTAAGCCTACTAATTCTCCTTTACCCACTAAACAACACTCTCTCACTAACCTCACTAACAATAACAATATTAACACCTAAACTAACAACTAAAAAATCCTATATAAGGACTTATAAAATTAAAAAATAGTAAATTATTAAATTAAAAATAATAATAAATATTAAAGCTATAAACTAAATACCTATAAAATTAATTAATAAGTTTATATATTCTACTTATTTTATTAATCTAAATAGCCTTTATACTTTTTATAATATAAAATTATAACTTTATTACCTCCTCTATATTATTTTTTAAATAACTTTAATTTTAAATTAATAATTTTTATAAATAATTTAAACTTTTTTATTATAAATTGTAAAAACTATTTTAATTTAAAATTAATTAACTTTATAATTTAAAAATTATAAAAATATTTATTTTAATTAAACCTTTATTTTTAATTAACTAATTATAATAATCTATAAAACTATTAACTTTATAAATAAAAAATCTAAAAGACCTTAAATAAAAGATTAATACTTTTATAAATATTAAAAATAACAATAAAAATAATAATAAATTTAAAAATATTAATAATAAAAATAATAAAATTATCTTTTAAAATATTTTAATATTTAATTTATATTAATAAATTTAATTTAATATTAATTAATTTAAATAAATTCTATTTAATTTTAAAAGATTCTATTAATTTATTTAAACTAACTTTTACTTAAAAATAAGTAAACCTTTTATTTAATATAACTTTATAATTAATTAAATCTTTAAAAATAATATTAATATTAATATTAAAAATAATAAAATCTAAAAGTTAATTAATTATATTAATATATTTATAATTAAATAATATATAATTAATTCTTTTAAATTAGTTTTTATTAATAACTTAATATTTAAAAACCTTATTAATAAGATTAAATAGTTTAAAATAACTTATTTTATTTATATATTTTAAATCTCTTTAATAAAAAGGGTTAATAAATTTTTTATATTTTAATTAATTTTATAAATAATATTTCTTAAATTTATATAATAAAACTAAAAATAATATTTAATAAGTTTTATTTTTAAAATTATAAATTTAAACTTTCTTTATTTAAATTATTAAAATAATATTATTATTTTAAAAGTTAATACTAATTTATTCTATATTAAAAATAAATAAAATACTTTATTTAATTTATAAAAATTTTACTTTTATTTATAAATATTAAAAGTAATATATAAACTATTTTTATCTTTAACTATTTATAAAATTAATTTAAATTAATTATTAATAAATATAATAAACTTATTATAAATTTAAAAGTAAAAACTAAAACTATAATATTATTAAAAATATATAATTATTTTAATTTATTAAAATATAAAGAATTAAAATATAATTATTAACCTTTAATAATAATTAAATAAAGTTAATAAAACTAATTAAATTAATTTTATAAAAATAAATTTATAAAAAAGTTTATATACTTTAATTTAAAAATATTAAGTTATATATATAAACTATTAATTTTATTAATATTTAAAACTCTACCTTTATTTAATAAAAGTACTTTATTAAAATAAACCCTTTATTTACTTAATATAATAATAAAATTAAAAATAAATTAAACTTTAAAATATAAAAATACTAACTTTAAAATAAATTAAATATAAATATAAACTATTATTTTAATAAATATAGTAAAATAATAGTAATTAGAAATTAAATAGGTAATATTATTATTAATATTATAAAATCTTTTAAAGTTTAATTACTTTAATTATATTTTATAATAAAAACTTTCTTTATTTAATTAAAAATAAATATAATAACCTTAATAAAAAGTTATAAATAGAAATTAACTTTAATATTTTAATTATAAAATCTAATAATAAATTCTCTACTTTTTATAATAATTTTATTTAACTAACTAATATATATTAACTTTTAAAAATAAATAAAAATAAAATATATAAAAGTTTACTTTAACTTTTATCTATATAATCTTCTTTCTTTCTAAATTTAAAATATAAATATTACCTTTAAAAATTATTATATTTAAATATAAATAATTAATTAAAACTAATAACTTATTAATTAACTATATAAAATAAAACCCTTTAATAATAATATTAATAGTAATAAATAAAATAATAAATAAAACTTTAATTATAATAATTTAAATAATAAAGAAAGAAATAGAAATAATAATTATAATAATAATAACTTTAAATATAATATTAAAGATATTAATAACATTAATAAAAACTAAACTAATAATAATAACTCTTTTTCTACTTATAATTATATTAAATAAAATAACTTAATAAAAATAAATTAATTAAACTTTTATTAAAAGTATTTATTTTTATTATAAAGAAATAAAATATATAAATATTAACTATTTTAAAAACTTAAACTATTACTTTAATAATAATATTTATAATTATAATTATAAAATTAATTATTATAATTATATTATTTAAATTAAAATACTTTATAATAAACCTTTATTTAATTTAATTAAATTAAATAATCTATTTAATAAATAATTTAATTTAGAAAATTAATAATTTTAAAAGAAATAGACTTTTAAAAATATATATATATTTTTAAATAAAGTTTATATTAATAAAAGAAATTAAACTTATTTATAAATATTTTATATAACTATTTTATTTATATAGTTAATAAAAATCTATAAATAATACCTTATATAATAATTAATAATAAAAATAATATAAATATAAAAACTTATAAATATAAAAATAAATAAAATAATTTTTATTAATATAAACTTTATATTAAAATTAATTTAAATCTTTAATACTAAATATATTTTAAAATTCTAACTATATTTAATTAATAAATTTAAAAGTAAATATTTTAAAAATTAATATTACTTTAATTATTAACTTAATTATTAATAAATATTACTATCCCTAACTATTTATAATAATAATAAATATATATTATAAAATAATTATTAAATATTAATAAATATATAATTATAATATAATTCTTAATATTTAATATAAAAATAACCTTTAAAATAAAATATTTATTTTAATATCTCTACTCTTACCTTAAAAGAAACTATTAAAATTAATAATTAAAACTATATATAAAGGTTATAAAATTTAAAGTTACTATTTATAAATAGGGTACTCTATACTATTAAATAAATAATACTTAATAAAATCCTATTTAATTCTTCCTTTAATAAAACTTAAAAAATAAAAATACTCTATATAACTATCCCCTTTAACCCCTTTAATACCTATATTTATACTATCCTTTAAAAATAAAAACTTATTAATAATAATAATAAAACTATTAAAATAATTAGGATTATTTAAATAGTTATAATACTAATAATATATATATACTATATAAAAAAGTATTAATTAAATAAAATATTATAAAGTAAAAATTAATAAAGTTTAAATGAAAACTCTTTTACTTTAATTAATTATAAAAACTTACTTATTTTTATTATATCTTTTATAAAATTAATTAATATATTTATAATAAATAAACTAATATAATTAAAAATATATTTTATAATAATAAAAGTTATATTAAAAGCTTTAATAAAGGTATTAAAGTAATATTATTATTTATTATAAACTTTTAATAAAATAAATTTAAATTACTTAACCTTATATTAATTATATAATTTAAAAATTAAATTATTCTTTAAAATAAATCTTATATTTATAATTAAATATAAACCCTTTATAAGATATTACTTAAAAAATTAAAGTAATTAAAGTATATATTATTAAAACCTATAAAAAAGTTTATTAAACCTATAATTATACTTTAAATATTATCTATCCTTATAACTATTAAATCTAATAGTAGCTTTTAATTTTATATAAATTTTAAAAACTTAATATTATTATTAAAAATTATAAGCTAATCCTATTAATAAATAAAATTAATATTAAATTAACTTAATTAAATTAATATCTTTATAAAAATTAATATTTATTAAACTTTTATAAAATATATTTTATAAAAACTAATTATATAATAACCTTTTATATAAAATAAAAATTGTTTAAATATAAAATTATATTATTTAATTTATTTAATAGCCTATCTACTATTTAATAATATATTAATAATATACTTTAAAATACTTTAATTAATTTATTATATATATATTAATATATTATTATTTACTTTAAAATAAAAATAAATATATTTAATATATTACTATTATACTTAAATACTTATATAAAATAAACTTATAAATAAACTTAAAAATATAAATTTTATATTTAAAATATTAAATTCTTAAACTATATTATAAAAGTCAATAATATTTTTATAAACTTTAAAAATTAAAACTATTTATAATTAATAAATATTTATAATATTAAAAGGTATAAAATTCTTTTAATTTTTATAATTTTATTAAAAATTTATCTTTATATATAATAAAATTATTAAACTTTTAATATAGTTTATATATAAAAATAAAAGGTTTTAATAAACCTTAAAATATTAAGCTTCTTTTAATTACTTTAAAAGTATATAATTAATACCTTAATATTATTATATTTTAAACTTAAACTTTTATATATTTAAAAATAAATATATTTAATAATATTATAATTAATATTCTCTTTTAATAATATAATAATAATAAATAATATTTAGTTAAATATTTTTTAAAATAATATTAAATATATAAATAAACTACTTAATTTATAATAAAAACTTTTAATTATAATATATTTCTTAAAATTCTAAAAATTAAAATTAACTAACTTTTAATTTACTTTATTTAAAATTATTATTAACTATTATACCTTAAAGTTCTATAATATAAAGTATCTATTAAATTCCTAATAAATTAAATAAATAGATTTTTAACCTATTTTAATTTTAAATTATTATATTACTTAAATACTTAAAATATATTAACTAATATATTATTTTAATACTTTAAAGAGTTTAAAACTTAAAAGAATAATTAAATACTTATTAAACTATTTAAGTTTTTATAAAGTTAATAAAGATATTAAATTAAAAATATATAATATTTTTACTTTTAAATTAATAATTAATTAAACTTTATTTTATTTAATATTAAAAGTATATATTTAAACTTAAAATTAATATTTATAAATATAAAGAACTCTATTAATAATAATATAATTTAAAATAACTTTAACTATCTATTAATAATTATACCTTTTATTCTTTTAAATAATTTAAACTTAAATTATTAAATATTTTACTATATATTAATTATAATTACCTAACTTTTAAATATTATTATAACTTAATAAAATAAAATATAAATAGCTAAAAGTTTATTAATAACTAATATATTATCTTTTATAATAAATTAATAATTTTAAACTATAATAAACTTTATATTAAAATTATTAATAATATCTATTTTTATATTATAATTATATACTTAAAATAAAATAAAATTATTAAATTAATATAATATAAATATTAATAGTTTAATTTATAAATAAATATTATATAATTTATAAATAACTATTTATATTAATTCTTTAAATATCTTTATAATAAAATATTAAGTTTACTTAAACTATTATTTATACCCTATTAATTATAATAATATTTAATAATTAATTTTAAAAGTGTACTAAAAGATAAAATTAATTTAAATAACTTATTAATAATAATAAACTACCTATTTAAAACTATATAATATATCCCTTATATAAATACCTATATTATAATATAAATAGCCTATCTCTATTATAAAGGGCTTTTTATATATTTAATCTTTTAAATCTATTATTTTTAATTATAGCCCTTAATTTATCTTATTTTTATTAATAAACTCTATTATATTATAAATATTTAATAAAAGTTATTTATTATAAACTACTTTTAATTTTAAAGATAGACTAAAACCTCCTTTAATAAATTAATTAATACCTATATATATTTATAAACTACTATTAAAATAATTAAATTAAAGTAATATTAACTTTAAACTTTATTTAAACTTACCTATTATATAACTTTTTAATAAACTCTTACTTTTAAAATCTAAATAAAATTTACTTTTAATCTTCTTTTAATTAAAAATATTAAATATAATAATAAAATATTAGTTTTATATAAAAGTAACTATTATAAAATAAAATCTAATATATAACTTATATTTTATAAAGCTATATTAATAAAACTTAAAAATATATAATAAAATAAATAAATTAATACTATTATAAACCTAATTTTAATATTAATAACTATATTTTTATTATTAAAAATATAAATAATTAATTATTTATATAATAAACTTAAATACTCTCTTATTTAATAATTCTACTATATTATAAATAATAATTTTTATTACTCCTTTAAACTTAAAATTCCTTAATTTAATATAATTATAAAATATTTATATTTAATTAATTATAACTTAACCTATAAAACCTTTTAAAGTAACTCCTTTTAATCTAAAAGTAAAATTATTAATAAAAAATAAAAGGTAAATAAAATCTTAATATTTAAAATCTTATATAAAATATTATTCTATTAAATCTATTAAAAGGGTTAGAATCTAAATTTAAAATAATACCTAATTAATAACTTTAAATATATACTAATTATATTAAAGGTATACTATAATACTTACCTAATAATATTAAACCTTTATATTAATTATAAAATAATTATATATTTAATTATAAAAAAGTTTTAAATTATAATAATAATAATAAATTAATATAATCTAATTAATAATAATAATATATTAAATAAAAATATAAAATAAATATATTTTTAATTAAAGTATTTATAATAAATAAAAATATTATTTTATAATATATAATATAAAAAAGTAAATAATATTATTAATTATAATATACTTTATAATTAAAATAATTATAACTTTAATATTAAAAAGTATTAAAAGATAATATTATAATAAAATAATAATAAAATATAAATTACTTTATAAAATAAAAAATTAATTATAAAATATCTATTTAAAGTATTAATTATTTTAATTATTATATAATATAAAACTATTATAACTTAAAGTTTTAAAACCTTTAATATAATAATAAGTTTTAAAATTATTTTTATAAAGGTTTAAAAGTATTATTTAAATAATTACTAATAAAATTATAAATTTAACTTTAACTAATAGTATAATTAATTATTTTTTAAAAAGAGAAATTATTAAAGCTATAAACTAAATATTTATAAAACTAATTAATAAATTTATATACTCTACTTATTTTATTAATCTAAATAACCTTTATACCTCTTATAATATAAGATTATAGCTTTACTACCTCCCCTATATTATTCCTTAAGTAACTTGAATTTTAAATTAATAATTCTTTATAAATAATTTAAGCCTTCTTTTATTATAAGTTATAAGAACCGTCTTAATAAAAGAATTAAAAATTAAAAACTAATATAAATATATATAGTTAATAAGTATAAATTTTAGTTTTATAAAATAAATAGGTAATATAAATTAAAGTTGGCACACTAAGAGTATTTATACTTATATACCAACCGTTTTTTCCTGTGCGAATATCCGTTCTCAAAGAAAAAGGGGGGGTGGGGCGCTGTCATAGGTGAGTTGCCGAGAAAAGGTTAGCCAGTCCCTCTCTAAGGATCCAGTCACCATTTGGGTTTTCAGTTTCGTCCAGAAGACTCCTATGGTGCAAGGTCTCTTGCTCTGTTCTGTGCGTCCTAAATATGCTATTCTATGGGTTCCACTTTTTGTCGAAGTGACAACTGCCTTGGCACCGCATCCACTGCTGCAGCATCAGGCAGGCAGCCAACTGCAGCCTGGACGAAGAGAGCGAGATTTTTGTGACTAATTATTAACTAGCTAGCTACTCCCCTCAAAAGCCAGTTACTTATTGCCTCTGACATGAATATCTATCCGAAGCAGCTCTGTTGCAATTTGGAATCCCGAGGTTGGAAACCATGGCCCGGATATCACTAGAAGACAGGTCCGTCCAAACGAACCCAACAACTCTATCGCAATGGGACAAACTCAGCTCACAAGTATTGCTCAACCAAGCCATTTCTACCTCCCGAACTGGGCGTCATGGGACGCCCTCAAGACCCTGCACGAGTGGCACTTACGAAGAGGCGCCGCGGCGGACGCCCCGTACCCCAACAGGCACGCGTGGGAGAGCATCCTGCACGTGTACTTCCCAAGCCGTACGTTGCATCTATGTGCAGTCCCCTTACATCCCATATCAACAACGCCCGCCGGACCTCGGAGGGGAAAAAAAAGGTCAGGCGGGATGGATGAGTTCCGAACCACAGCGCTGGACCTAATGCCCCGCCCAATACCTACTAGACTACGACCAATCCCAGCTCGACATCCAACCAGACGGGACCGCACAGGGGATCAAGTACCTCCTCCTCAGGAAATTCTTCGACGCAGCATCATCACCCTCGGACGGCTATGGTACCGGGGAGGGCCTCACCCTCGAGCGCATCTCGGTGGACCTCCCGGCGCGGGTCAGACACCTCCGCGATATCCTCTGGGTCAAGTGCAACCCACCGAGCACCGACGGGACCCAGTGGGCCAGCGCGATGCGCACCACGGTGGCGTACCTGGGGCGGAGGCATCCCGCCCGCGCGATGTATCTCATCCTCGCCGTGGGGATGCACTGGCTGCCGTTTTACTGGGACCCGACGGACCCTAGGCCGGAGGGGCGAGGCCTAAGAATGGCAGAAGGGAATGACGAGGAGGGATGGTACGCGGTCACGCCCGAGGTCCACGCGCCGCCTGGTATCGACGCTGGGCATATCGACGGTGAGGGGATCGTCCACCTGGATCGGGCCAGGACCCTGGACTGCTTCAACGGTGCGGGGCCGTTCTTTGCTGATGAGAGGCCTAAGCTAACGTACCAGGAGGACCTGGACTTTTTAGAGGAGTTCCTTGGGGTGGTGGTGAGGCATGCTTATGCAGGTGAGCACGGGATGAGCTTCGGGTGACGGCCGTAGAATGTAGATAAGTTTGGTTTCAGTGTTTTCTGTACGACTTGCCTCACATCCATTACTAGTTCACAGTTGATCACCCTCTTCACAGCCGAGCAGCACAGAAACAAAGGAGGGCCATTTAGCTTCGAAAGAAACCAACATTACAGTGATAAAAAGAACACTTGAGTGAAACTAATCCGATTTGACAACCCATGCCTCTTACGACTACCAGTACTTAAGTACGTTACACGGTACAGTGCAAGGTTACCCTTGAGTGCAGCGCCTTAGACCGCTCGGCCAAGTTGCCTTATTCATTGATAAAGAGTATTTGTCCAGCTACATAAGCACAAGAGTATTGAATTACATGAAGCATTTTCTTAATTAATAATAATCTCCCTCGCGGCACAGAGGCCTGCTGTCACGGAGTCCACAGGACGGCGCTGATGGGCAGTAGTGTGTGGATGGGCGAATGGCCGCCGGGCTTTTTCTCTGTCTTGATTCGGAGATACGCGGCAGAGATCACATGCCTCATGAAGGGCGTGATGTTTATATGTACTTGAGTAGCATATGAAGGCGTGGTGGGTGGTGACCAACCTCCCTCCGCCGTTAGACTCCCCCGCCGGTAGAGGTACACCCCGTACTTACCAGTATTAGAATTGCACACGTGTAGAGACAGCTATTTAGGTATTTCTGATCGCCCGCTTCACCACCTGATAATTATCGTGCACATTTCACACTCGTCAACATGTCTCAGGCTGCCCAGGTGGCTATCGGCCTCGTGAAAGATGAAAGGAGGGGGACAGTTTGCTTACGCCGGGAGGAATGAGTTTCCCGTCGACGACCTCGCCGTCCTTGTTGATAACGCGCGAATTGGGGTGGGCGCATGGCCTGACATGTCTTCGTGTTGCTCGCTAGAGACAGATATTCGCAATGTTATCTACCAACGCGGGCATGCAATGTTCCCACCATGTTTGGTCTAGTTCGCGGAGGTTGTATTCCATGCGGGCCTGGCTAAGAGCACGTTGGCGTGTTGTCTTGGCACGTCAGTCGGCAGACGTACAGTAGGGCCGTCAATGCCGGATTTTGGGGCCAAAGCTGGTAGAATAGGCACACAATTCCCACGCAACGGTTGGCATGTAACATATTTCTTTCAAGGCTTATGCTCGTGCAGCATTGATCCCTTCTCCCGGTGGCTTGAGGATTAATCCATGACAAGGTCGTATTTTACAACGAGGATCGTGGTAGCCGGCTGATTGTTGACTGACTCGATTTAGAGGGCCAGGAATCCCTGGCTGATGCTACCCTCTAAAAGCCGTGGCATATTCCCACAAAGGAGAATCTGCGATGCCTTTAGTAGTGTGATATTGCCGTTTTGGGTACGGAGGTAACCACCGAGCCATCACTCATTACGGCCCCACGGGACCCAAACGCCAAATATTCCAATCATACGCTGTGCTTCATCGCTGGCTGGGACCGTTCAGTCCTTCGGGGGGACGGTCCAGTTTGAGTAGTGTCAATCCATATAAGTCCGCAGTTTCCAATTCTGCCGTTACACAGCCTCTGTGATTCACTCTATGCCATCAACCTTGAAAGTATCCATTCCACCAACATGCGACCTTCACTCTTCCTGTCTCTGACCGTTGCTGCTGTCGCGCAGGCGGCCGTTGTGTCTCGGGCAGCGGCTGCATCTGGGCTGAAGTGGCTGGGTGTCAGCGAGTCCGTTGCAGAATTCGGGACTGCCCTGCCGGGAACATGGGGCGTGGATTTCTATTTCCCCTCGACCACGACGATTGACGTACGATCATCCCAATGGCTTACCTCGATTTCCCCAATGCTACGTATGCGCGGATTCACTAACTGGAGACCTTCATCAGACCTTGATTAGCGAAGGGTATAACACCTTCCGAATTCCATTTCTACTCGAACGTATGGCTCGTGGGAGTATGACTGCTCAGCTGGACAGCGGGTACCTCAAGAACCTCACAGATGTTGTCACACACATCACTGGAAAGGGAAAGTTTGCTGTAGTAGACGTCCACAACTATGGCAGATACAACGGTGCAGTCATCACGGATACAGCTGGATTTGGTACCTTTTGGAAGAACCTTGCCACACAATTCAAGAGCAACGCCAATGTCGTAAGTAGCTCACTCGCCTTTGACTTTCAGATAACTAGTCCTAAGTTCTGACCGGACGGCCTCTTCAGATCTTCGATATCAATAATGAGTACCACGACATGGACCAGACGCTCGTGTTCAACCTCGATCAAGCCGCCATCACCGCCATACGTGCGTCCGGTGCGACCTCACAGTACATCTTCGCGCAAGGGAATTCGTGGTCGGGAGCTTGGACGTGGAACACAACCAACGACAACCTCAAGGGCCTGAAAGATCCCAATAATAAGCTCATCTACGAAATGCACCAGTACCTAGACTCGGATGGCTCTGGCACGAGCGGCAATTGCGTCTCAGCCACGGTCGGCGTTGACCGCATCATTGGTGCCACGAGCTGGCTCAGGGCTAACGGCAAGCTCGGCGTCCTGGGAGAATTCGCAGGGGGCCCTAACACCCAATGTCTCTCCGCTGTGACGGGACTTCTTGATCATCTCAAGGCCAACTCTGACGTTTGGCAAGGTGCAATTTGGTGGGCTGCAGGACCGTGGTGGCCTGCTTCCACATTCTCGAGCTTTGAGCCGCCCAGTGGTACCGCGTATCAGTACTACGACAGCCTGCTGAAGAAGTATGCCCCTGCTTAGGACCTCATTAGAGCGGCATCTTTCGACGGAAAAATGAAAGGAAGAGGGTATCACTACTATTTTAGTACCTAGGGAGCTTTTGAATGTACAATATTACAATTGGATATGCAGCTGTTTATGTCGTCATTTGGCCTCATAACCTTGGAAATGCCCGTCATCTATCCTGTACTCTCCTAGTATCTAGGTAGCAGGTGGTTTCATGGTCAATATTGAAGCCAGGCATTGCTCGAATGTCTTGAGAGATACGACCAATGCCAGTGGGCTGTCCGCGAGCAGACAATGTCGTACGGGGCACTGCCGAGACCACTGACATGGATCAATATTCATTTTCACGAGGAACCTGCTCTGCCGGACGTCTGAACCGCGTTCCCCTGACAACCTTGCCTGTTATCAGTGCTAGTTCCTCATTGACCCGTTGCTATCTTGCCACAACGTTCGCTACTAGTGTGAAAAAAAAAGGCTGTCTCATGCATTCAATATTCTTCAGTTTCACACCCGGGCATTCCAAAACTTACTGAATGAAAGCTGCGGTCGTTATGTTGTCCCGTGATGTGGAGAACATGCCCGCTAGTAGATAGGGTAATGCTCACCCGGCCGTGCCGCAATCCACTGCCCAGGTGTGTGCGGCCATTGTAAGTTGGCATGATCGTGATCTAGCTAGGCAAGTTGGCATGATCGTGATTTACATAGGCAAGTTAAACTTTCGGGAGCCCCAAGTACATACTAGTAGAGGGGTTAATAGGATGGATAATGCCCACCCGGTACAAATCTAGCGAAGCCCAGTGATCAAACGTCGAGGTAGTTTCGGTGGGAGTGCTTCACCAATTTCTAGACACGACGAAAGCGGCTTGGAATTCCGAAGATCTCTCGGTGCCAGATAGGATACTGGTGGCCCGTGAAAATCGATCCGAGCAAACCACATCGGTCTATTCGGGCAGCTCCAGAATAAAGTCATGGTACATTAAGAAGTGAAGTCTGCCCACAATATCGAACGAGTGTACTACACTACAGGCTCTCATTCACAACCTCACTGAAAGAACTCGATACGCGTTACTAAACTATTCAAGCCACCTGACAAGATAGATCGCCATGGCTCCCAAGCTTAAAGTCGCAGCTATTCAGGCTGAGCCCGTTTGGCAAGACCTCGAGGGTGGTGTCAATAAGTCGATTGCCCTGATCGAGGAAGCGGCCAGTCAGGGAGCCAATGTTATTGGATTCCCCGAGGTTTTCATTCCCGGTTATCCTTGGTGAGTAGCTGCACCACAAAGCCATATACTTGCTGGACACGTTGTTTAGGTGTTTGACTAATTACTTACGTCTAAAGGAGTATATGGGCGAGGTCTCCGACTGAAAATGCTGGCTTCATGGACGAGTATTTTCGCAACTCTCTGGTAAAGGAATCCGATGAAATGAAGCGGATCTGTGCCGCTGTTAAGGAAGCCGGTGTTTTTGTCGTCCTCGGATACAGCGAGCGGTACAAGAACACCTTGTATATCGCCCAGGCAAGTACTTCGGTCTTCAATCCCCAATCTACCAGGAGCTGACGCCTCAGCCAGTCTTTTATCGATGAAAACGGTGTCATCGTCCACCATCGGCGCAAGATCAAGCCCACTCATGTTGAGCGGGCATATTGGGGTGACGGCCAGGGAGAATCGCTGCAGACTGTAGCTCCCAGCTCAGCCCACCCAGACGTCAAGATCGGCGGGCTCAACTGCTGGGAACACACCCAGGTTCTTTTACGGTACTATGAGTACGAGCAGGACGTCGACCTGCACGTCTCCAGCTGGCCGGTCCTCTGGCCGCACCCAACTGATAAGACAGGCGCCCATGACCCGGACTGGCCAGGACACATCACGGACGTGATGAGCATGCGCTTCTCACAGATTGTGGCTCTTGAGGGGGCCTGCTTCGTGATGGTCTGCACGCAGGTGGTCAGCGAGGAGGGCAAGAAGAAGTGCAGGCTCGAGGACTTTGGGTACGCGACGTGCACTCTTGGGAGCGGCGGGGGGTTCAGTATGATATATTCACCCATGGGCGACGAGCTCGTCGAGCGTCCCCACCCCGGCAAGGAGTGCATCCTCTATGCCGATGTGGACCTCGCGGAGAAGGCCAAGGCGAAGCAGAACCTCGACATTGTTGGGCATTACTGCCGGCCGGACCAGCTGAGTCTGCGCGTCAACAAGTACCCTGCACGACCTGTGTTTTACGCGGCTGAGCCTTGATTGACGGGACGCTGGCGTGGCGGTAGTGTAAGATACCTATGTACCTAGCTTTTTTTGCTGTTTTTTTATTTCTTTCGATGTCTTCGCGTGCGGAACGGGACATTGCGAGCCGCGGTTGCAGCCGCGGTTACGGCGCCACTCAGCTGGGGTGATTTTCTCGATAGAGTTTATCTCTACGTCACGTCAAAGCTGAATAAACCCTTGCACACTCAAGTACCTAGCGCAGCTGAGAGATAGGGGCAGGAGTCGGGTGCGGGGTTCTCGTTTCGGTCCTAGCGACGGCGCCGCATTGACATATCTTCATCGGCTCCGCCGTTGCAAGGGGAGCACATGCACGTGTTCTCCATTTCGACGTCTTGTCAAGGTTTCACGAAATGGAAGTGCTCGGAATCTATGACGCTGACCCACGAGCTCCCAAATAACAAAGACGGAATACCACTATACTTCGACGTTGCATTCACGTCATGTCAGGCTCCGTGTCGCAGCCCGAGGCCAAAAAAAGGCAGCGGGTCTCGGTCGCGTGCCTCGCATGTCGGCATAAGCGCATGCGCGTGAGTCTAAAAAGCACTTGAGCCACACTTGTCCGGTCACTTCACTTACTCGGTGCTAGTGCGATGGACAGCAGCCTGTCTGCGGGTCATGTCTGAGTAGAGGGGTTGAGTGCATATTCCAGCACGCCGAGAACAAGCGCAGGTTAGCCTCATCCTCCCGGCGTCGTGAAGTGCACATCGCCTACACCTGTAGACGTGGGTGCGCATAGCTTGGGAAGGAACCTGACAGTTCGACTTCTGCCCGCATCCCAGACCACCCAGCAAGAAATACGTGGAATCCTTGCAGGCCCGCATTCGTCATCTAGAGGCCCAGGTCGTATCACTGGGCTCTAAGCCCGCGTACGGTTCCACCAAAATAGATTTGACCGCTGAGGATAACGAGCAAGACGACGAATCTGGCGGGGAGGACGACCAAGACCCCTTTTCAGATCTCACAGTCCGGGCTGGCCGTCTCAATGTCATTGATGACGGTCAGTTGCATTACTTCGGATCGCAGAGCTCCTACAACCTGGTCCGGGAACCCCTGCGCGATGCAGACCCTCAAGAACCATCTCATAAGGCACAGGTTGAAGGTCTTCTTGCCACTGCCCAGCTCGGGAAGACAGTCAGTATCTCCGATGAGCTTCAGGATCACCTACTCGACTTGTACTGGCGGTGGCAGAACCCTTGGAACTACGTGATCCACAAGGGCGCATTCTTGAAAAGCTTCAAAGGAGAAGATGATGGCAAAAACTGTTCACCTCTTCTTCTGTGTTCAATATTTGCAATAGCCGCGCGGTATTCTGACCGCCCCGAGCTACGCTCAATACAGGACGATCCAAATACTACTGGCGATGCATTCTGTGAACAGGCTAAGATACTGATGCTATATGAGACTGAGGCTCCCACTATCACGACTGTACAGGCCGCCTGTCTTCTGGCCTTGAGAATTATGTCTGACGGAAAGGAGGCTCTGGGGTGGTTGTATGCTGGTATGTGCGCAATTCCCTGGTATATCTTATGTTCTTTCGATCGCGGTCATCCTAACTACCATTCAGGAAATGCGACAAGAATGGCCCATAACCTTGGCCTTCATCTAGACTCTTCAAAATTGATCGCAACAGGTTCGTTGTCAGGAGAGGAAGTTGAAGCAAGAAAGGTGACATGGTGGGGTTGCTATGTCGTCGACAAGTAAGTGAACTGCGTGATGACGCGATCATCCATTAGCGAGGATTTGAGTATAAACCACTAACAACATGAAGGCTTTTCTCTTGCGGCCTAGGTCGCCCCAGTAGCACCCCCAAATCCAGCATCTCCTGCCCGAAGCCCAGCATAGACACCAACGAGGAATACAGGCCCTGGTTGCCGACGCCCGATGGATCGGCTTCAGAAAACTTCTTAGGGATGCACTCACATGTGTCGTCGACAGCCTGTCATGTCTCAGAGACCTATACCATTGCGTGTGAAGCGATGGACATCATGTAAGAGGCCATTGGCAGGCGGCTGTTCTGGCTCATCGTGTTCGCGGAGTTGGCTAATAGTAAAATACTAGCTACGCTGCTAACAGTACATTGTCGAACCGCGAGCTGGAGGACGTTATCAGCAAGGCAGATGTGGAATTGCGGACTCATTTTACAGCCTTACCAAGCTTTCTCCGGGTGTCGAATTCTCCCAAGGTGCCCATGCTTCCTCACGTTTGCATATTCCAGTCAGTTCCTCCTACCAACCCTTGCATCGACTCCGAGTCAAACCTTGAAGAAGGCTAACGGGGAACCTGGCAATAGTATTCAATATCATGCACACCTCATCCTCTTACACAGACCCATGATCCGTAACAGAGGACGAAAAAACTCGGCTAGCGTCGACACATCTACGAACGATGGAAGCAACAGGGGAGACGAGTACGAAAACCAGCATATGGCTACGTGCCGTCACTCGGCTACTGAGATCGCACGCTTGCTGCGCACATACAAGCAGCAATACACTCTGGTATGACATGGGTCCTCCTGGAGCAAATTATCAACCGCCGACACGACTTCTTACTTGGTTCTGTGCTAACCATGCTTGGCAGCGACGGATACCCATCGCAGCAGTCCACCTGTGTTTCTCAGCAGTCGTGATTCACCTGATGGATGCCCGGCCATCGAACCCGAACAGGTCACAGGCCATCAGGAACTTCCAGATCTGTGTGGATGCGCTGCGGGATCTCCGGACGGCATGGTGTGCATGGAGCGATCGAGCGCTGCGGGCTGTTCGGCTACTGGCCCGGGAGTGGTATCAGTGCGAAGACATCTCGGATCTACAAAATTGCGGCAGTCCTCGGAAGCCAGGTGATATGAAAGCTTCAGAGGTGGGAGTGGAATCCGAGGTTGGAGACCAGGGCGAGTCACTGGCGTTCTTGTTTGATGTTGGGACCCCACTTGCAAGCCAATATATGGATAGTCTGGTGACGGACTGGCTTATGGAAAGCGGGTACGACGTGTTCCCTACCATCGAGGAGTAAAAAGGTGTTACGAGGGGGCCATGAAATACAAAATATGAGAAGTGCCCGGAATGATCACATCTCGCGGACAACCCTACGCATGTGCAGTACCTCACAGGAATCCATCCATCGATACGAGCATTCCATGATTTAGAGAAGCAGAGTCGATAACAGCCCACACGATGTCTCAACGTGGGGATCTCGACTGCCTGGTTTTCGCTTCTATTTCGCATACGTCCTGGGACATACATGGCGCCTTCATATGGCAGTAAACGCTCAAGACCCAGCAATGAAATATAGAAAGCTTGGAATGTAGCAAATGTTATCTTTTATCTATGTCTATGAAAATACTGGGGACACGAACTACATGGCATTCCTTACCTTCTACTTTCTTTTCCTCCTTTTTAAAGAAGCGTTGCTGGTGTTCCAACGGGTTTGCGTGCCACCATCAGGAACATCGGTGTGAATAGCCTCTCCTTCCCTCCTAATACCAACGCCTCCGCCGCCTTTGACAAGCTATCACCGGTCTTCTTGGTTCCGGGAGGTGCCAGTCTCAATGTTTCGAGGGCAGCCATGAAGTTATGAGCCGCCCAGCGGCCCCATCGGGTCATCCTGACAGTCCCAACCAAATCACCTATAGTATTGGCATACCTCCAGCCGGCCCCATCAAGAGGCCAGTACCATGGTGCTGGGTCTGAGCCCTCTGCGCCCTCTTGGAAGCGCTCAGCGAGGTCCTCTGCCTCGATGAGCTCGAAACCCGCGGCTTTGATAGCACGAAGGGCCTCTTCCGCCTTGACCATATTGGCGATTCCATCTCCCTGTTCGATGTCGAGACGAATCTTACGATGGTGCAGATTTTCGTTGTCGTAAGCATCCGTCATAACCCACTCGTACACTCCAAACACCCCACCTGGCTTCAAGACCTTGTAAATCTGGCTATACACACCCTCGAGGCTCGGCGCATGAACCGTAGCCTCGATGGCATAAACAGCGTCGAAGGTGCCCTCATCAAACGGGAGGTCCATAAAGTCACCCTGGACGAAGCGGCAGTTGCCTGCCAGGCCGTCCTGCTCGGCATACCGCGCCGCGCGCTGCACCTGGTACTCGTTGATCGTGATGCCGGTGACGTACGCGCCCGTAAACTTTGCAATTTCTCTTGCGGGACCTCCCACACCACAGCCCACGTCCAACACCTTGTCGCCCTTGCGGATGCCAATGCTGTGTGCTAGGTAGTGTTCGTGCCGCGCGATCGCAGCGCGGAACGCCTCCCGAGGACCAAAGCGACAGAAGTGGAAGGACTGGCTCCACCCGTACTCGTAGAAGTCGGTCGCTAAGTTGTAATATTGGCGCGTCAGGCTGGCGTAATCTTTTGTGCGTGCCTGCCCACGATTTAGTATCACCGTCTGGATCTGTTTTGTTGGGGCAGACTCACGGCTCTGTCGGCATCCGTCTCGTTCTTGGCTTCCTTGTTGTCCCAGTGTTGGAAGTATTCGCTTACAGCCGCCTGCTGTGCTTCTTTATCCTTATTCAGCATGGCTGAGAAACCTTCGTGCGTTGTGGCTGTTTTCTTGTGCATAATGTTTTCGAAGGTCATGTCTTTCGCGAGGGCAACTTCTTGTCCGGGAGCCATTGTGTCGTCTATTTTTGCAGCTGGATTTTGCGCCGAGAGGGAAACAAATGTGTTTGATTGAAGAATGTGATGAAATTGATTTTACTGTCCTTGCAGGCAAATAATCACGGCTTATTTATGATATATTCCATCATGTCGTGAAACCGAATACAAAGCTGTTCGTGTAAGTCAACACGAATACGAATGATAGCTACCCTAGGGTAGTGTGCAATGCGAATACGAATGCGCGTGGTCGGGTTGATTGATTACACTTAAATCCTTCCAGAACTGGATTAAGCGATGGCTCGCATTTGACAGCCTGCAAATAATCAGGTGGATACCAACTTGGAACACTTTAGTCTGGATTTGATACCATGTAGTATGATCTCAGCGCTCTTGTTCAGCAAAGGCCGACCGGCCTTAGGCCAAGTTAGAAAGTAAAACGCTCAGGGCCTAACTTTGAACCATCCCTCGAAGCAGGCAAACGCCTCATGTTGATTGTATTCTGCGATAATATTAAACCCAATTTACGGAGGCAGAGTGCCTCGGCAGACAGCCATGTGTCAACGGCTCGGTCATTGTTGGGTGATTGCCCCAGGGTGACCTGAACGACACCTAGGTTGTTTAAAGCTGTGCTGGAAGATGCTAAAAGTTTATACGCTTTTCTCCTGACTTCAGGGGCAGGAAATACCCGTGCCTTATGATACTGGGAAATTCATAAGAGCAGCCCCTCTAGACACCAATGGCAACAATGTGACTAAAGAGCCTCTCACACTTTATATATATACTGCAATGGCGCCCTCAGGGGGTTTTTTATAGTTAGTTTAGAACATATAGTAATATAGTGTATTACAGTAATCCAATATATTATACTTCTTTTAGATATACTTTCCTTATAATTTAATAAGGAGAGTACCTTATTATAAGCCTACTTACTTTACTCCTTCCCTTTTTTATAATTGATAATAATGAGGACCTCTAAATATTTAAAATAAAGTAGTTTATTAGCTAAAGGGTAGAGAGAGGGTAGAGAGAGGGGGGGAGGGGAAGAAATACTATATAATAAAGGGGTATTATAGAGTGAAAGTTTAATAGTTAATCTTTATATTAAAGTAATTAAGAATATTTAGGATTCTTAAATATAAATACCTTTATTAGTAAATTAAATAGGAAGGTACTTTTAGAGGAATAAGTGTAATGTATTGAATTATTATAATACACTCTATTATTATAAGTTCCTGACCAACTATTTAGGGCCTAATTTACTGTAAGAAATGCCCTGCCAGCGCCATTGCAGTAGCTATAGCCAACAGCGCCAGGGACAGGGACGAGGAAAAAGTCATCTACATCGCTCTAATACAAATGCCTCTGGGTAATAGCCAAGAGTGCCCTCTATCTCGACTCTCCTTCCAGCTCCTAGAATAGAGCACGGAAAAGCTCAACGATCGAATGTGTGTTTGGTTCAGGTTGTTTATACAGGTATCCACTCATGCACCTTAGAATGCAAATAGAATGAAGCTTACAGTATGAGAAAGAAGACAATGAACCGGTCCTTATACTGATAGCTCCAATTTAGTGGCCAGCCGGCGCAGTACTCACAACGCTGCGGAATATCTGCTCCAGAACCTCGACACATGTCACCACGGTGTCGTGATCTGTCTCGCTGACCGTCGTGGTCGTAAAATCTAGGACATCCCGAAATTCATCGCCTCCACTTCCTCTCCAACAATCCTCCATGTACTTTTGACCTTTCTTTCCGATCATGTCATCAGTCTCGGCGAAGTAGGCGCTGATCCTCAGCCTTTGGCTATCGCCACAGCCTTGGTCTACTCGCCGGCTCCTCTCCAGTTCGGAGAGCTTCCTAACGAAGAGCGCGTAGTCATCGCACTCGCCCCAAAACCCAACAGGCCCCTTTCTGACACAATAAAGTGCCTCACTATCCGCGCCCACCAAGTTCTCACTGAGCATGGAGCTGGAAGCTACGTTTGGTAGCTCCTTCAGCAGCCCACTAGGCATACCATACTCAGCCTCTCTTCTCTGCTGGTCTCTCTCTGTCAGTGGTGACTTCCCTGAGCTAAGACCGCTGCTGGAGGGAAGTAGTTTCGTGGCTTTCGCAAACACTGCCTCAAAGTCCGATGCGACCTTGGGCATGCGATGCCATAATTGAAATATGCCGGCGGGCAGTCTCTGGACCATCTGCATGGTCATAACTTGCGAATGAGATGGATCGACCCATGGTGCTGTCATCGAATTATTAGCTATGCCCTGCCAGCTTTGATTGTTGACGATGGCGTGGGGAAAAAATACCTATTAGGGCAATAAATGGCCTATTCGGATCAAGGATGCCACGACAGCGAGTAAGAGTGTTCAGGAGATATATTGTGCCCGCACTGTGAGCGGCCAACGCGACATGATTTATCTGTAAATGTTCAAGGAGGCGGGGAACGACCTCGATCCAAGTATTCAATCGCTGTGCAAGTGGCACGTCAGTTGAATGGCCCATGCCTGGCCTGCGGCGACATATCCATTGGTTAGTCGATCTCGAGCACTGAACTGGGGAGTCATAATTATCACGAGAAGAGGGTGGTACCTATCCACCACCAGAACCCGAACTCCCAGCTTTTCCGCTATCGCATGCATCCAGACGCTCAGATAGCGCGTTCCGAACATTCCGGGAATGAAAAGCACCGCCGGCGGCTGGGTGACACCCCCGCCCTGATTCGGAGAGTGTCCCACGTCCGCGTAGCTGACTTGGAGCTCGCAGTGGTCCTCTGTGGCCGGGAGCACGAAGCGTCGGTGGAATCGCTCTTGTGCAACGTACTCCGCGGTGCTCGAGTGCCCGGCAGGTGCTGGAGTTGGCGCCGACATGGTCCTAAGGTGCAGTCGATGGGCCAGTGTCGGAGAGTGACGAGGCGATGTTTCTCGGCACTTGAAAGCGCTGGAGCCCGCTGAAAGAACTCGTCCACTATATAATAACAGGCAAAGGAACGTGCCCCCAGCCGGAGGAACGTGCTATCTCACAATGCAGCTTAGCGCTGACGGTCCCGCTTCCCACTTGCGCGACGAGCGACTGCGCCTGGCACAATGTGCGATGGTTGTTTTGGAAGAGGCCTGTTCACCTTGGGAACTAGACTAAAAGTTTGTGGAGAAATTGTCAGAATTGCTGTTTAGTAACGAAGCTGTTTCTAATGTAGTCGTGACTGTAAGGTCCTAAGGTCTTCAAGGCAAGATCCATAGAATGAGGGTTGGATGACTGTCGGGGTCGCTCGATCCGGTGCAAACAGACAACTCGATAAAACAGGACAAGAACCGGAAAAGACGAAATTGAGCACTACAGGCAATAGATACCATGCTTAGAGCGACGAGAACTCGCATTGCAGACCACATAACCTAAACCACATTAGAAATGCAGGACAGTTGACTTATACTGTGCAGACAGTGAGGATTGGATTTTACAGGAAGCTAGTTTCTACAGCTATTGCAACATGGCAGCTTGAGAATAAGAAGTGGTCATGCTAAGACCTATGAGGTGTTCGTCAAAATGCCGTGCCCCTGGCACCCGTTACAGCCCAAAGTAGGAGCGGCCAGTGTTCGCCATAATGCAAGTGTGTACTGCCGAAGCTGTGATCAAACCTCTTCCACCCAGCACACCTGCATCGTCGCCTCCTTATGCAGGACATTAGTGATGATACATTTCTTCTCGACGGAGATCGCACCGCCCTGACCGATCCTCGCCTCCACGTCGCCAGCCTTCATCTTCAGGACACCTCTGATGACCGAAACCGTGCATTTCCAGCCCTTTTCCGGCTCAATAGGGAGCTGATGAAGAGCTGCGATGCTCTTGATCAAGACCCTGTGGTTTGGGCTGAGCTGTTGGGCAGCTGCCACGCTGATTACCTCACGCCTGAGGAAAGATGTAGAAAATGCCATGGGCCTGCCGTCCACGACGAGTTTGCCCGGCGCGATCTCCCACTCATCAGCTGCTGCTGAGGGCCCGGGGAGCAGTGGTATACCAGAGGCTTTCGAAACTCCACTGCCGCCAGTTTGCAGCATTGCAGACATTTGCTGCATCTGGTGCCACAAGGCGGCCTGCTCCTCAGAAGGCAGTCTGCTAATGTCGCCAAACAAGCTGAACATTCTGCTTGCCAGCCGTGGGGTCGAGATATCCCCGCAAGATAGATTGGAGGCAGCTTCTGTAAACGCCTCCGTGTTTGATCCGGTAGAGGTGAGGGTGGCGTTCGAAGATCCATCATTCGACGCGTCTGGGCCGGCTGAGCGCAATCGTGACTCATCTGTGGTGTGGCTCTCAACAACACTGCTGCTATTGTGAACCTCGCTATCTGCCTTGGCGACACGGTTCGATCGCCGAAGAGGCTTTGTCTCTGCTTTCACCGGCGACACGTCCGGTGAATCCTGGAACTGACTCTGGCGGCTCGGCCCGTGAATCGCGAATGATGGAATCGGGACAGGGCTCTCTGAAATGGGTTTCTCAATTTTCTGGGCCTTGTATAGCGAATAGGGAGGGACAAATTGCCGGCTAGAGACTGCTGACCGAAGACTTTTGGAAGGGGGCGAATCATGTGAGCGCTCAATGACCGGTATTGCCCGTGGGACCGGCGGAACTGGGACAGGGATTGGAGTCTGCTTGGTCGTGGTCGACGAGTCCGGGAATTCGCAAGGTCTCGACGCCTGGAAGAAAAAACAATTCACACACTGTGACCCGTAAACCTCTTGAAGCTCCAGCATACCTGCAGCTTCTGGGGGTAGGATTTTGCAGTTGCGCCGCCGTTCCGGAATTTTCGAATCGCATGGTTTACAATGAGCGACAACACCGACGGCCTGTAATATGACACTCATCAGGGCCCGGTACAGCCTTTGGTGGGAGCCTTTTGTTCCCGCAAGCCACTCCATATCCATCTCGTTCCTCAGTGGCAAGGATATAGCTTGAATGAACGCCCTCTTCTCCAGACCATAGGTGATGGATGCGGCCCAAGACTTTGGAACTAAAGGAGCCACGTAAGCCCAGACTTTGGACTCAGCCATGGCGCGCTCAAGCTCAGAAGGGGCCGTGGCGGCGCTGTCTTGCTCGGTATCACCACTGGCAGAAGAGGACGTGCTGTCAAGCTGGGGATAGGGAATCCATTTCTCTTGTTCATCGCTGGCGAGGTGACGGGGATTTTGCGAGACCACAATAGACTCGAGATTAGAGGCGCCGCCCGCTCTTGAACGAATGTATTCTAGAGTTGCATCCCTGTCCAGATTGTCATTGAACTCGCTTCTTGCATGATGTGACTGTGATAAAGTCAGTAACTGCATTCCCAAAAGGGGCAGAAGGAGAAGTTGCCTTGAAGTGATTGTCCAGCTTCTCGAGGGTGTGGCAAAGATCCGGACAAGTCCGGACTGGACAGGGAAAACGACGAGGCTTCCGTCCCAATACAGATTTTGTTTTGTATCCGTCCGGAAATAGGGCGAATGGAAATAGGGCGAATTTTGGGGAATATGCACTCGAGATATTGTCTGAGAAATCTTAGCATCATGCTGGGTGTATATTACTGTGCATAGAGACTCACCTGGCAATTGATGGTAGTCCCTCCCAGATGGCGTCTTTCTGAAAAGACTCCTTTCGACTCCTTGCTCATCATTCAAGTCATCGTCCCGGATCTCCGACAAGTTCATAGTGCTGCCGCGAGCTCCCAGACGGGCGGTGCGTTGCCGCGTGGTCGGGATGGCATCGTCATCGCTGTCCTGCGCCTCCTCCCTTTCCTCAACATACGAATCGTCGTCACTCGAAGTGATTGCATGCGGAAGTTCTTTCGTCCCATTAAGACGAGAAACTGGAAGGGCCTCGTCGCGTCTTTCAGACTGCCAAACCTGCGGGCCAGTGGCGCCACGCCGGGTGTTGTGGGATCTGCCCTTGAGTTCCTGGTGGAACTTGGCATTATGACCGGGCTCCTCCGACGCTGCCAAAGAGTGAGGTGATGCCCGAGTTTCGTGCTTAGGTGTGGCAAAAGGTGAGATCCTATTCGAACGCGCGGGGATCGAGGATGCATCCGACGATGTGGTCGGCGAGGTTGGAATTTGAGTTGTTGGGCGGTGTTGGTTGGACTTGTGGTGGCCGTATCCGCTGGGTGTGGTACCCCAGGAGGCCCCTGTAGCCCCTGGAGGTCCTGAAAGCCTAGCCGCTGAGTCATTGCTGAAGGGGGGGTTGACAGGCCCGTGCATCCGCGGCGCAGACAGTGCTGGTCGCTCAGCCGAGCGTAATGAGAACTGAAGAGTATCGAGCTGGGGCTTGGGAGGCTGTGAAGTGCTCTTCCTCTTGGCCCTGTGAGATTCGAGCTTGGTACTGTTAGACGCGGTCTCATCATCGTGTTGTCCTGTGGCGCCGGCTGTTGTGAGCCTGCGCTTCGAGCTGAGGTTGTCCACCGTTTTCGACATGGACGCGTCGTCCAGGTCGCGTTTCCTGGTGTTGCGCCTGACCCTGCCCCCATCTCCACCAGCCTCACCTTGCATCATGGCTATCCTTGACGAGCCAGGGCGGACGTTGCTGACGGCTGGAGAGTGGGAAGATACGTTAGGCCTGCAGCTGGAAGCAAAGCATGAGGGTGCCCTTCCAGGGCAGCTTCAAGAAAAACACAGCCCTCTGGGGACTAGCTCCTGCTTTGAACGGTGGGGGGCACCGTGGCGGTTTCAGTTGGCCTATAAGATATGCTAACACAAACTTTTAAATTTAATAAGAAGTTATTATACTTTACTCTTACATAGTAATTATAAATAAGAGAGTAATTATAACTATAAATACTTTTTATAAATTAAAGAAATTCTCCACTGTTATATAGTGCTAAGGTAGTTTTGATAGCTACCCTGTTAGTAGGGACCCAGGTGAATTACTTACCTGGCAACTACTTGGGTGGGTACTTAAGTACCTAGGTGCCTAACTCAGTGGGCAGCTGCGCCCAAAGTCGTGCCACACCCGATTCTGAATTGCAGCCTTACATGCACTCTACAGCATTCTATTGAAACCTGTAACTAATTTCCAATCTTCTAAGTCCCTAGAGATAAGGGCTCCTCGACTCCACCAAATGGCGCCCGTTGGACGTAGACCTGTTCAGCCAGTTAAGGTGTTGTGAAAATGGGATCGATGCCAATACTGGTTGGTGGGCTAGCACACATGGTCTTAAACATCTATTTGCCAAACAAGACAAGCTACCTCTTCAAAGAAGGCAATGGTAGTTTCTAAGAGAAGATCAGAAAACAAACTTAAGTGGAAATGCTCCCCTTCTACCAGTACCTATGGCAGCTTGTGTCATCTGATAACCTCTGATTTAGTGATAAACCATGTGTTGGGTCAATTAGTTCACCTCTAAGGCTCAGTTCACGGTACCCTGAGACATCCGAGCAATACTGATCTCATCGAACGAGTTGTAGAGCAGCAGGGCCACAGATGCATGTTCAAGGCCACCAGTGATGGGCCAGACCCTCCAGTGTCGCCCCGGAGTCCATATGGTACCGGCATCTGGGAAGTTACCTAGGTATGGCCCTTAAGCCCAACACAGTAACCCAAGTGAGCTTGGGCGAAGGCCCAATCAATATTGAGGATGCTCGCGAGAATATCTGGGTGGTCGGAGACGGTGCCTGCTTGATACAAAATGCCCTGAATCAAGACAAACTGGTCCAGGCTTTCATTTCATCGGAGGATAAGTCAATCAATGCCTGACAGCTGGTCCCGACCTCTCTCAGCCGAGGACATCAGGAAGCTCTACCAAGACTGGCCGTCACACGTTTCCAGGGCTGTCAATGAGGTGAGTAACTTCATGGTCCCAACATGCTGAAGTTAATGGAATTTTGAAATGCTCAGCATTTACTCCGACCAGCCGGAACAGCCTGCTATTTACCTATGGGGATATTTGTCCACGCGAACCTACGTTTCGTGCCTACCTGCATTATCGGCGATGCTGTATACGCCACAACTCCTCGGCAAAGATTCTGGAGCTGGAATGTGCATTGAGGATGGCCTCATCACCTCTACGCTCTCGAGACGTGCTCAGAATCGCGAAAAGGCTTTGGTAGCGTTGAAGGCTTACCTCACCGTCGCCACCCACGCACCCAGCTCATCTTCGTTTCGAGCTGGGACACCGGTATGCCCGAGACAATACGTAGCGAGGAGACTGGATTAGATTTGTATCGTTTGAGGCACAATCTGCTGTCCCGATAGAATTTCATTATTGATTTTCTCAATGAGACGCAGGTCGCCGAGGCAGGGTAACGCGATGCAAAGGTGGCTGGTAAGGGCTGGCTTTGAAGTAAATGAGTACAGCCCGACTCCAGATGTCAGGAGCGTGTCAGTATTACCAATCTTCCTCATGAAGTGGTAGTAGATATCGCACTATTTTCTACGTCTATGCTAGACAATCGTCTTGACGCATGAGTTATGTAAGGAGCATTTGATCCAAGACGGCCTGTTTCTCGACCACAACTGTAATAATAGGACGACTTTAGTTCTGACTAAGGTGCCAGAAGTCACATATTCAGTGGCCACATTATGCTATGGTCGTCAGCTGGTGCCTCTGATTGGAGCTTGGCTCTTCGTGGACCTCCTGATTTCCGCCATGGTACTCATATGTTATATCATTGTGGTTCACACAGAAACCTTCAAGTTTTGCACGACTGATAGCAGTCCGTTGTCCTGTTGTCCAGATACCAGACCTATAATTACGCATGGATCTCGGTCAAGCCTGTGTGAGCGACCAGTGTCTGCTGGTACCTCTTCGACTACCCTATTGCGCTCACTGTCTTTGTCACGCCGAAAGCTGCTCGGACAAAGTCCATACGTTTGTGCGAGTTCTGTTCTTGAGATTCGGTAAAGACCTAGACAAATCAGCCACCTGTCTGATAACCCTGAATCGTCGCAAAATTGAGATTGAGATTTGCTGCGCGCCATGTTGTCTCAGTCCCTTTATCTATGCACAGGGCCCATTGCCTCTCATTGTCATTTACCCTCCATTCCATATCTGCCCAGGTGGCTGGACCTAGCATTCTTGGATATAAATGTCCCGATGCTTGCTTCACATTGTTTCGCCACATGATGTAGGGCGAGTTTCTGTGGCTCTTGATCTGAATTCAACTGGATGTTCTCGCTGTGCTGTAGGACATGCTGTAGGTTCTGAAGTCGGGAAATAAGCTTGCGGTAAGCTGATCGTCTTCTGGCTGTATCGTCAATGGCGCGAACAAGCTTCTTGAGGAGAGACGTCAGCGATGAAGCCCCCACAGAGAACCTAGAGCCCGAGTAGTGTGAAACTTTTGAAGCCAAGGTTGATCACGCCTGGATGAGATCAGTCAGGAGTAAGTCAACTCCTGACGCCGTGGTAAATAGGGCTTAGGTGGACTGGTGTAACCCGAGATGGGGAATTCCTAGGACCAACTTGGACTGAAGATGCTCAGCGTCTAATCAAGGGAGCTTCTAAATGTTTTTTGTATTGACAATCGCAGCTCAGTATCCTACAGTTCATGCATCGACCTTGTTCTTGGCCTTCTCCTCACCACCCTTCTCCCCTTCCTTCTGCGCGCGCCCCTGGCCCTTAGCCCTCTGCTTAGCAAGCATGCGCTGCCTCTTGGCCTCCTCAGCGATACGCTCCTTCTCCTTCTCGGCCTTGACGAGCTCGCGGTCCGCGGCGATCTTCTTGATCTCGTTCTCGCGGCGGGCCCGGCGGGCCCTGAACCGGGCCTTGCGGCCGCCCAGCTTCCAGGGGGGCGTGTACATGGTCCGCGACGCCAGCCGGCCGATGGCCGCGTTCGTCTCGGTGTAGGAGTAGCTGCGCGGGTTCAGGTGCAGCGTCCGCGTCCGCCGCCGCTCGAGCCACCGCTTCTGGATGAACGTCAGGGGGTGCACCAGCCGCCTCTGCTCCGACCGCGTGCGCTTCTGGGACTTGGCGGCCCCCGGCTCCGCCTGGCCCTTCTCCGCGCCCGTGACAGGCGTCATTTCCGTCTCGCCCGCGGCGGCGGCTGCCTGGGCCGCTGCTGCTTCCGCTCCAGGCGCGGGGTCCGACGCTGCCGCCTTCCTGGCCGCCTCCCTGGCCGCCTCCAGCTCGCGCGCCTTATCTCGTGACCACAGCCGCTGCTCGAGCTCCTTGATGTCATAGATTCCGGCCTGCCTCACGACTCTTCTTGGGATTCCGCTCGCTGAGATGGCGTCCTTCTTCTCGTGGACCTTGCGGGTCGTGGCCACCATGCCGAGCTTGCGCCGCCGGGGTGCGTCTTTCGGGTAGGGGAGGGTGTCGTCGCGGTTGAAGGCGACGCCGATATATTGGCGGGTCGGGTGTAGTTGAGGGTCGCGGTAGTACTTGACGTAGCCCTCGACGGCGGCGTGGATCGTGTGGTCACGGCCCTTGAGGGCGTTCTCGCCGGGGTGCCACATTGTGCCTCGTTGTTTGAAGATGATGTTCCCGGGGATGACATGTTGGTCTAACAGTAAGGTGAGAAGAAGAAGATGTCAGCTGATTGCTTCACGAGTCCCTCCTTTGAGGGCTCTCGGCGTGCCATGCGCGGTTGGGAGACGGCGTCGCATGGACAGCAGACACGGCAGACATGAACATACCACCGCTCTTCTTGGCACCCAGTTTCTTGGCTATCGTCTTCTTGTTTGGTATCCTGTATGCTCCCTGCGACTTGACACTGGCATACCTCCGCCCTTCGACGACGGCATCTTGTGCTTGCGCCGGTGTCGACTGGATTGCTGGCCGCGACGGCAGGGCGAATGTGGCGAGCGTCGGTCTGCAAGAGCCGGCCACAGCAACGGCCTGTATTGGCCGTTGCAATTGACCGAGCCGCATCATATCTGGGGGTCGCTGTGGGCTGTTGCGAGCTCCGTGCTGGGGTATTAAAGCTCCATCCGAGACGGCCTTCCATGCGCTCATCCAGAAAATTGCTAGCTGGACGTCGGGTGGCTTAGTCATCGTGAATTTGATAACGATAAGACAGCGGCAGGGGTCGGCTGGCCCGTGAATTTGGACAGCTTGGCCGCTAACCACCTAACCAGGGGCTCGACCGGGAGTGGGCGTTTATTGTAGCTTCACTGATTCAAACTCGAGGACAAGTCACTTCTTTGCGAATTTCGAATCAAAGCAAAAGGCGCTTGCGAGCTTGTCCGGTTTTGGTCTCTCCTTGACGTTTGAACTCTGGCTCCATAGAACACAATGCGTCAACAATTCCTCCTCTCGCTGCTCTTCGCCCTCCTGGGCACAGTCTCGGCGCAGTTCAACTTCTTCGAGCAGATGTTCGGGGGCCAGGGCGGTGGTGGCGGAGAAGGACATCACCACCAACACCACCAACAACAACAGAACGCGCCCTCCGATTCTGCTTGGTACAGGGCACAGGTTGACAGAGGTATTGCCGCCCGCATTTCCATCCCGGTAATTCATGCTGCAACCCCAAGGCTGACACTTGTCCCAACGCAGCGCACTGCGAAAACTACCTCTGCCCAGACACGCTGGCGTGCGTGCACTTCCCACACCACTGCCCCTGCGCATGGCCTAGCCACGAGGACAAGTTCGAGTTGGCAGACGGGCAGCGCATCTGTATTTCAAGGGGAGGGTTCAAGGCTGGGGAGGCGGCTAGGAAGGTCGAGCTGGCCAGGAAGGGATTGCTGTGAACCAAGGTGGCCTGCCTTGTCCATCAACGGAGCAGAGCATCCGTCACGGTCCGGTACGAGAAGCGAATATTTACAGACAAATCCAATTCAGCGAGATTAGAGAACACAATACGATATGCAGTCAAGAACGTCGCTGGAGGAAACATGCTCTTGTCAGAGATGTCATGGATTACTTGTGACCTGACTATGTCTTGATACCAAGTCCCAACTGCGCGATCCTGCAACATTCGTGGTATGTGCGACAAAAGGGAAACCAAAGAAGTGAGCTGCGACAAAAGTGATTATGACTCCTCGAAAACGCCCTTGACCAGTGTGTCCTGCTATGTTACCGCTGTGCCTCCCTTCCTCCCCTCCACTGCTCGGCCCCATTCTGTGACAAGCATGACAACACAAAGATGAAGTCAGCCGTAAAGACTGTGTCGCTGTGAAACGTTCGACAGCACTTTCGGTAGCGTCCACTTCAAGCCAGTAGAAAGATAGCCTTGGATCGCTGTTCTGGTATTGGAAAACCCGACAATCTCCAGTACCGTGATTCCAAAAGATGTCCAGTTTCCAGCTTCCCCATCGGCCTGCCCCGTCTACGCTGACGGGCCGTTAATATTAGACGGCAACGGAGGCATAGGCGGGACAGCAGCACCATTAGACGCGCCTCCCTCCTCGTCGCTATCATCCTCGTCTTCGGCTGCGAGGGTGTCGATCTCCTCGGGGTGGCCGAGGGTGTGGACGACCGAGGTCATCTTGTAGTGCTTCTTCCGCATCTCCTCGAAACGGCGGTGCTTCTCGGCCTCCTCGGGCGAGAGGCCCACCTCGTCCTGCGCGCCGGTGGCGCCGTCGATGTGCACGGCGCTGCCGCTGCCGCTGCGGTGCTGCTGCCGCTTCAGCTCGACCTCGTCGGCGGGCACATCCGGGACGGCCTCCTCCGGCTCACCCAGCGACAGGCCCGGGATGTCGTCCTCGTTCTGGGCCCGGCCGCTGGCGTGGTGGCTGCCCTCCTTGCGCTTCCTGCTGTTGATGGCGCCGGCGCCACCGGGGGCGGCGTTGATGTCGTCATCGTCGCTCGGGTCCTCGGCTGGGTCGTAGTGCTTCGCGTACGGCGTCTTGGGCTCCGTGATCTTCATGGTGCTGGTGCGCTCCTGCTCGGTGAGGTACAGGTTCGCCTCGTCCCACTTGATGCGCGGGTCGGCCTCCTCGGAGGGGTCGGTGACGGAGGGGGTGCGCGAGCTCTGGCGCCGCGAGCCAACGGGCCTGGCGGCGGAGGAGGAGCGGCGGTGGCCTGCGTTGATCTGGGTGTTTTGGATGGTGACCTCTTTCTCGCTCATGGGGTGGTCTTCAGTGGAGTCGATGGCATGGCTGTTTGAAGCGGCGGCGGTGGGGGAGATGGGCGGCGAGCGACCGTGGTAGGAGTTCTTGAGGATGCCCTTTGGGCGCTTGGCGTTGGGAGGAGGAGGGGAATGCGAGACGGCATCGGTGATCTCGACGACCTCAGCCATGGCTGCGTTTGGGGTTGAAATGCTTGTTTTGTGGTGCTCTGTGGGGAAAGAGTATGACGATGGAGAGAATGTGGCGGGCTCTTTCTGTTGTGCGATGTGCCGTGGGCGGTGTTTGGCGTATCGTGTGATGTTTTTGTTGTGTTGTTTTTGAAGTGATGTCAAAGGATAACAATGACGATGGCTGGATTGCCCCTGGGGGGGGTAAAGGTGGTGTGGGCTGGCCGGCCTGCTTGCGAGCTTGAACGGCAGGCCTAGATAGATACACAGTAGGTTCGGTGGGGTTCTTTTTGAAGTGGGGCTACACAGTAGGTGGTGCGGGGGACATCTAAAGGACCAGCTTCTTGGAACTCGCTCGAGCCCAAGCTTGTGGAACTCGGCGGGACTTATTGTGGTTCACAGTACCTGGGCAGTCACCTCACTCTCGGAATATGCCACTAGCGGGCCATGCCACAGTGATGGTCATATCATGGCCACCTGGGCAGAGAGCAACTGATTTACTCACGTCGATCTGGTGTGAGGCCTGGCGACCACACTGGTCATGGATTTTTCCTGCCCTCGAAGTTCCAGCGACGGATGTGGCCATGCTCGTCCTGATGTCAGTGTCAGCCGTCTCAAAGACATTGTCAGCCACAGGCAAGATTGAGGCGACATATCAGGAGACGGCAGCATGTGATGCCCAACCAGGGCTGCCCAGGACATGCATGCAGCAGCATGGGTGGTGGGCTACCGTGCAGCTGTGCAGCTGTGGTAGGTACTCCGTACTCATGCGGACCGGGTAGATGCCCACTCTCTTCCGCGAGCATATGATTTGATTCCTACTTCCCCGTAAAGTACGTGCAACAACCCTCGACACCACAACGGTTATTGCTCGTTGCACGTTGCACCCGTCTCAAATGGCGAGATGCGCCATTCGTAGATTGCCATGTAGGGGCTGTGAGCCTGTGAACTACTGCACATAGGGTGACATCCCCTGAGGTGCTAGGTCCTGCCGACCGGCTTACTGATGTCAACCCCAACTTCCGGCTTTGAAGCTAGGCGCGCCCACGTGAGGCTTTGACATCATGCTCGTGCACCACGGGCATACCAGCCTGCGTGTCTTAGACAACCCTTGGGAAGCTGCTGTGGTGTCCCTCCAACATGTTGCAATGCGTCCCAGCTAATCCAGCCTCTTGGAATTCTTCCGTCAGGTCTACCTCCCGCAAGCCGAGCACCTTATATTGTATCACTTGCCACACAGTGATTTGGCTCTCTGCCGGCAGCTCTAAACAAGTCCTGGTATCTGGTGAAGCCTTGCCCCCTTAGTTCTGCGCACCTCGAATACCGAGGTGTCGAGCTTTGTTTCGCAAGGTTCTTGCTCCAAGTAGTTATTCCACATGACTACCTGCCTAGGTAAAGGCTTAAGTAAGTTAGATGGTTTCCTTTCTTGATCAATAGGGTATACACCCTGAGACATGTGCTCCCTTTACACAGTTGGGGTTCAATGTTTTAAAGACCTGTGACGGTACGAGCTTACAGCTTCTAGATTCTGAGTTGAGGCAACCTGGAATTGTGGTCTTTTGGTCGGGCATCTGTGGCGTAGCAGCCCACGGGTCCGTCTCAAGACCAGTTGACCTAGCGTTTAAATTATACATGATTGAATGGATACCTTGGGAAATTCCACGAGCCACTAGAATGATCAAGAAGACAAAATAGGTTGCCTTGGTCCCATATTCCAGTCATTAGGTAAGCCATGAATAGCTTCACATATCGCTCCTCTGATCTCCATCCGACTTGCTGATATTAACCCCACCCCTGAATTGAATTCTCTCGCCATTAGTATTCCGTCTATGAGTTCACCTAGGATGGCTTTTCATTTTCTCAATAGTTCTATTGGCTGCCTGAGTGACAAAATAGAGTACCCAGACGTTCCACTCTTGTAGGATATAGGTCGATGATTCGAGAATGCACGCAATTCGATCTGCCGCATAACTCGCGTTCAGTCGGTCATGCCTGGGTCCATTATCGAACAGTAATTATTCCCGGGTCGCAATCTTCTCCACAATGAGCCTAGGCTTCTATGAGTTGTGCAATGATATCAGCTGCAATCCCAGTAAATGCTGACGCCAAGACGGCAGGCTTCCATGAACTTAACAGTCAGTCGCCTTCAAAGAACAAGGCCAGTATCGTCTTGCCGCAAGTTGCTACACGCCCACTTTCTCGATATGAGCTTGAGGCTGTCAATCAGGATACTACATAGGTACTTAGTGCATATGGTATCTACAGCAGAGTTCCGGGCACATATACAGTCCAGCTTCAGGAGTCAAAGTTTTCCTCTTTTAAAAAAAAGATCTACCCTAAATAATACCTTATTAAACCTAATAAAGAAAAAGTTTCTTCTATTATATATTAATATTATTAAAAAAGAGTATTTTTACTTAATTATATATTATTTAATATTTTAATAATACTTTTAATATTTATATTATTAAAATAATTTAAATTTATTAATTATCTTAATAGATTATTTAATTAAAAAATTATAATTTTTAAATCTTTTATTTAAAAAATTTAATAATATATAAATTTATATTATTATAATTATTTTTATTTTATTTTTATTACTTTTATTTTTATTACTTTTATTTTTATTATTTTTATTTTTATTATTTTTATTTTTATTATTTTAATTTTATTACTTTTATTTTTATTATTTTTATTTTTATTAATTTAATTTTTATTAATTTAATTTTTTTTTCCTTTTTTTTATTTAAAAATTAAGAAATAAAAAATAAAAAATAAAAATAAGAAATAAAAATAAAGAATAAAAATAAGGAATAAAAATAAGGAATAAAAATAAAGAATAAAAATAAGGAATAAAAATAAGGAATAAAAATAAAAGGTTAAGAGGCTAAGGGGTTAAGAGACTATAAGAAGGGAAGGCCTATTAACTGGCTATTAGTTGGTGGATAGCTACTGTTAAAGTCCTTTAGTTAAAGATCTTTAGAGACCTTTAATAAAGTTTATAATTATTATAGAGTAGGGTATCTCTAAGGTATATAAAGAGGTACCTAAATATAAAGCGCTAATATAAACTATAAATATTAATATTAATTTTTATATTTATTTAATAAGTATAGTATTAATATAGATCTATATTTTAATTAGGTATAGGAAATTACTACTAATATTTAAATTAATTATAAAGATTTTTTATTAATTTTAAAGATTCTTTATTATATTTTATAATTAATTTATTTAAGTATTTATCTATATACCTTTTAGGTTACCCTATCTAGCCTTTTTACCTTTATAGCCTTCTTACCCTTATAACCTTATAGCCTTTATAGCCTTATAGCTTCTATCTACCCCCTTATCTACCCTTTTATTTACCCTTTTATCTACCCTTTTATCTACTCTTTTATCTACTCTTTTATTTATCTTCTTATTTATCTTTTTATCTATTTTTTATATTTTTATTATTTTTATTATTTTTATTATTTTTATTATTTTTATTATTTTTATTATTTTTATTATTTTTATTATTCTTATTATTCTTATTATTCTTATTATTCTTATTATTCTTATTATTCTTATTATTTTATTATTCTTATTATTATTATTATTCTTATTATTCTTATTATTCTTATTATTCTTATTATTTTATTATTCTTATTATTCTTATTATATTATTATTTATAAATAGTTAAATAAATAATTAAATAAATAATTAAATAAATAATTAAATAAATAATTAAATAAATAAATAAATAAATAAATAAATAAATAAATAAATAAATAAATAAATAAATAAATAAATAAATAAATAAATAAATAAATAAATAAATAAATAAATAAATAAATAAATAAATAAATAAATAAATAAATAAATAAATAAATAAATAAATAAATAAATAAATAAATAAATAAATAAATAATTATAATAGCTAGGCGGAAGCTATAAAGAAGCACCCTAGAAGCACCCTAGCGCCTAGTTATACCCCTTTTTAGGGCTTATTAAAAGGTAAGTAAAGCCTATTTATCTCTTTTTAAAAAAAAGTAAGAATTAGTCTTATATTAGATTTAAATTTAATAAATCTTTAAACCTCTTTTAATTTATACTATTATATTTAATATTATAGTTTATTATAATTTTAATTCTTTTTTTTATACTATCTATAATACTATTAAAAATAGGTAATTAAAAAGGGAGGTTTTAAGTAAGTTTAGATAATAATAAGAGGAGTTTAGATACCCTTTTAATAAGTAATACCTTTATTTAAAAATAAAAGTAAAATTAAATCCTTTAATAAAGGATAAATACCCTTAAAATAGTTAGAATTATTTTAGAAATTAAGCTAAAGGATTTAAAGTTAACTAATATTACTCTACTATTTATAGTTTATACTTTATAGTAATATAATAATTAGATAATAGATTTTAAAAGTTTATATCTTTTAATTATAATCTTTTATAATAATAAAATAAAAGTAATTTATATATTTAATTATATTAATAAAAGTATTAAAATTATTAAAATATTTATATAAAATTTAAAAGAAAAAGATAAGTTTATATTTAATTATTATAAATAAAATAAATTTAAAACTTTTAATAATAACTTTAAGAAAACCCTTAAAGTATTTTTAAGATTATTTAGAATTTAATTAATTTTACTTATTAATAAGAAAATTAAAACCTTTAATTTTTATTAATATTTTAAAACCTTAAAGTTAAAATAAACGGTTAGGAGTAATAATTTTAAAGTTAAGTTCTTTTTCTTTAAGTTATAAAGTTAAATTTCTTTAAAAATTTAAATTAAATATACTCTAAATTTACTAAATATTAGGGATAAAATAGTTAAAATTATTTAAATAATTTAAATTAATATATTTAAATAAATTAAAAAGAGAAAGTATAAGGAATTAAAAATAAAATATAGGGGAGGTAATAAAACCTCTAATAAAAAAGAATAAAGGGAAGTTTTTTAAGATAATATTATAGCTTTTAAAGGAATTTAAAATTTATTATATATAAAAGATTAAGGTTAAAAATCTTAAAATAGGGCTTATATACCTAATTTAATTAAAATATTTAAAAAGTAATTTTAAAACTACTTTAAAACTTAATTTTTAATAATAATAAAAACTAATTATTTATTATTATTATAATAATATTTATTATTATACTTTAAATTACCTAATATTAATAAAAGTTATAATATTTATAAATTAAGTTTAAAGTTATAATAATTATTAATTAAAAGGTTATTAAGAGTAGAGTTAAGGTAGAAAAGTTAAGAATTATTTTAATTATTTATTAAAATAGGATTTAAAGTAAAAAGTTAAACTAATAACTAAAATTAAAGGAGAAGAAGGAAATAATAAAGATTTATAATACCTTTATAATTTTAAAAAAGTAAT